GGGGTCCAGGAACGTTGGCAGGGCGGATGGCTATCTGGTCCTATTTCTGGGGAAGACGGCAGATGGAGCTCTACCGGTACTCGCCCTGATCTCTCTATCCCTCTCTCTTGGTTTGGGGGGCGAGCCTGCAGCCCCGTTGTCAGTCGGTCTGCCCTTCTCTCAAGGTGGATGCGTCGTCTGACATGGAAATCATTCCTCGAAGGGGGTCGCAGAGCGCCGTTGTTCCCTTGGCTGCTTGGTACCGAAGCGTGCCGGCCGTCATTGGCGTCGTGTCATGGCCAGGCGCCAGGTCCTCGGACAGTAAGCAGTGAAAATGCAGCGCTCGCAGGGCCCCAACACACAGACGGGGCCCCATGCCGTCGTCCTGTAATACCCCGGGTGACACTGCCTCCGCCAGGCTTGCAGGACGGCGGTTGGCCATCGGCACGGTTCTGCAGGCATTGGACTGCGGACAAAGGCCGGAGGGCGGAGGTCGGTTGGTGCCAGTGGCGAGCGCCCGTGGGACGGCGAGAGGGTGTCGAGGTAGGCGAATGGGCGACGAGGAAGAGGTGGCGTAATCCACCTACGAATGGCACGGACCTCTTGATGCTAAAAAGCTGGTGTCTGCATCAATTCAGGGGAAACCATGGGTGCCTGCATGCAGGCGCTTCCAAGTGTGGGCGCATCCAGAAAGCGCGCGTGAACGGGTCATGACAGGAAGGACGCACAGAGTCCCGGAGGCTCAGAGGAAAGCCGAGAAGTGCGAGCATGGAGCCCTGTGCATGGAGCATGCATCGACGGGGAGAGAAGCAAAGAGTCCGCGACATTAAAAGCGCGCGATAAGACGGGACAATGGACGGGATATGCCTTCCGGCCGCTGACTGGGAGGGAGGTCGTGGCCGAGGTCTCGTGTAAGAGAGTAGGACAGATGACCGGAATAGTGTCGCGATTGGTGCACTCGGTGGATTGGCGTGCCGCTGGCAGTCGTACATATGGCACAAGTACATGGTGTCGTGTATTCGTAGTGTGCGTGCCCATCGACGACCTTTGCTGGTGGTGCTGGGTGTTGCGCCTCCGTAGGTGAGGTAAGGGTAGCTATTGCCCGCCCGGCGTTGCATCGTGTAAGATGGCCTGACAGATGGTGAAGTTGTCTCTTTCGTTCGTGCCATTCTTCTAGAAACCAGTAAATGGTGACGGCATCTTGGTTGCTCGAGGTTGGGATTGTTGTCGGACTTGTGGGACCGCCAAGGGGCAAGCCCCGGAGAGGACGGATTGGCGGACGGAACAACCAACGACGACTAAGCGGCCCAAAGGCGGTTGATGGTCTTTAATGACAGACAAACATTGACGGAGACGAGCGAGCATACACTAATCGCGGCGCAACCATGTCCCCTTTCGCCCTCTGTTCCCCTGCGCAGCCGGTGACACCCTCGACAACCTCGAAGGAAACCCGGCCAATCTTCTGGGGGTGCGTTGGAGCCTGCTTCTGCTTTGGGACAAGAGCTTTACCACGGTGCCTGGTGAAATGGCTGCATCTTGCATTGCCCCTGCAGCCCTGTCTCCTCTTGTCCCCCTTTTCCCTATTCTTTGCGTGAGCACTCGTCAAGGGGTGTGGCCTGTCAACAAAAGGAAAAAAAAAGGGGGCGCTAGTCAAAGGCGGGAAAGGGCTACCGTCGCCGGTGTCTGTCTGGCGTCTGGCGTATCTGATATCTCGTGTCTTGCGAGGCCACCCGCCTCTCTCTCTCCCCTTCCCCCCCTTTGCTCTTTGTCGTGGCCGGTGCTCAGCGAGTGGGTGCCACAGGTTGTCAGATTGCCAGCATGTCACAATGGTAGCCAGCAGCAATTGGCTTAGGCCGTCCAATATCGGTCTGTCAGTGGGTCAGCCCGTGGATTGGCCATGTTGCGGACGGACCAGATCGGTGATGGTGGAAAGCGGAGTGAAGAAAGCGGTTATTCTTCTGGCCGAGAAGCAGCGTGAAAAAGAAAGGTACAATGTACAGTAGACTCGCAAAATGAAATAAGGTACGAAAAAAAAGAAAACAGAACAGAATAGAAAGGAAAAGCCTGCTGGCAGGAAAAGGGGGGGAACCCTGCAGACGTGGTGGGTCACTGTGTTCTCTTTGGGCAAGTGAGGACCCTTTCCATGTCCTTGGCACCATCCCTAAGGGGTTATCTTTGCAGTACTATGTACTATGGTAGGTACGTATGTACTGTACGCATACTCTAAACCAAGTGCTCTAGGGGCCTTAGGGGCTCCAGCTGCTCCATCCGCTCCAGCGTGTCCTAATTTCAAGTACGTACTGCAGCAATTTCCTCGATATTCGACATGCAACAGGCAGCAGGCAAGAAGCAAGAAGCAAGACATGACAAGGTTGCAGGGTCGCGGCCACACGTCTCGAGGCCCGAGGGAGCTTATGGGGGGGGGGGGGGGGGGGGGGGGGAAGGGGGGCCGTTGCTGACTAGGTAGGACCGGATGGACCCTCTGAAGTCCATGGAACCAGTGAAGAAGCTTCAATGCGTTCGTTCTCTCCGTCGTCTGTCCCTGTTCACCAGCTCCGGCTGGTGACTCCGTTACGGGTACGTACCGCGGCCACCCGGGAGAGTGGGCGAGAGAGAGAGGGAAGGGGCCAAGGACAGACGAGTCGGGGGCCAGGCAGGCAGGTTGCACGTCGAAATTTGGGCAGTGGAGGAAGGAACAGTGGTCTCGTCGAGAGGGGACTACATCGTACAGGTACCTGCCATGTATGGTACCTCACTGTGGGTAGGTATGTAGCACATGGTGGACTACAAATACAGAGTAGGTCCGCGAGGGGAGCAGATGCCGGATATGGAGATGGAGGACAACCTTTCCATTCCTCGGAGGTCTCTGGTCTATGGTCTCTCGTCGCCACGTCAGTGAATCAACTGGTAGGCCCGCGACTGGATCTATCCTCCGTGCCTCGTACCTCGTACCTAGTGTAGTATACACAGGTACCTCCCGCTGATATTGTTGTCCGTGCTTCCCTGTGTGGCCCATTTTCCCTTGCATGTTGTTATTGTTGTTATTATCGTCTCGTCTGGTGTTTCTCTTCTCTCGGGGCCGAACACGACAGGGACAGGCACTGCAATGCATGAGATCATGAGGGGGGCATCGAAAGCGAGCCCATTCAAATACCTGCAATGCGTATCTATCTGCCTCTGTGACTGACTGTCTGTCTGTCTGCTTGCTTGCCTGCCTGCCCTGCCTGGAATGCCCTCTGCGTGTCTTACGTGCTGCAGCAACATTGAGTTCCATCCCGTCGCCTCTAGTCGGCACCGTTGCTGGCCTGCAGGCTACCTTACCTGATAGAGACAGCCAGACATGACAGGTCAGACACGGTCCAAGACGCTACGTCTTATCACCCTTCGCTGCAGACAGCAGTGACATGTGCAGAAGACACACAGACGACGGCCTGGCATTGTCATCATCCACCTCATTCAACTCGCATGGCGGCCGCAGTAAACGACGACCAAGCAGACATTCGGCATTTCGTACACTCCGACTCTGATCTCTGGTACACTAGCAGCTGCCGTCCATTGTCATAGCAATCCCACATCTCCATCTCGACAGCCACTCCATCCACCGAACTCCCCCCTGTCCCGTTCCTGATCTCGGTCCTGTTCCTGTTCCTGTTCCTGGCCCTGGCCCTGGTCCTGCCCATCGTCGTGCTTCCGACCCCCCGGCGCTCCCATCATTAGGGAACAACACACAAGGTGCCTTGACCTTGACCGTACCTTACCTCGACCGTCCCCGGCCCCAGTTCTAACTCTTCCATCCCGCTTCTTTTCCCTTCCCTTCTGCCTCGTGCCCTTCTCTCCACGTGTGTTTCAAGGCGCTGCGCGGCTCGCCCATGAAAGCAGCATCGACAATCCGTCCTCTCTGACTGCTCGTGCTTCAGCAACCAACGGCCCCCGGCACACGGCGCCAGCTCCCGAACGAACGACTGCGTGCGCATGCATCATCCATCATCCACCGCATCCATCCCCTCTTACACAACCGAATACTACGCTCCGGTCTAATAATACACTATTGCTTCTTCCACCCTGGAGCGTCCTCCACCGACAACACCACCACCACCACTGCCGCCGCTGACACACCCAGGCAGGCCCCGTTTCCCATCGCCAGAAAACCACACCCTCGCCCGCCGGCCGATCACCACCACCACCACCAACACTCCCACGCCCAATCCCACCGCAGCTCAGCCGAGCCTAGCAGGTTCCTAGGTCAGGGGAAGATTGAGGGTAGCATCCATCGCCTCATTCGGAGCATTGTACCAATTACCCCCCACCATCTGAGTATTCGCCTACCCACTCACTAATACATAATAAACCTTCCGCCCATCGTGGCACCTTCTTGGCCTTGACTGCCCACCCGCCCATGCCAAAGGGGGGAAAACGGCGAGTGCAGAAAAAAGCAACCCGTGCAGGAAGAAGAAGAAGAAAAATCCCATCGTTGGCGTTCACTGCAACGTCGCCCACCCGAAGAAGCCCAAAGGAGACTCACCCAAGTCTTCAATCTCGGCCACAAATTACTCCCTTGGGACTCGTTCTAGCGGGAGACACAGCCGACCCCGAACCTCTAACCCGGCTTTGTGGACATTGCGACGCCTGAATAGTAGCCACTCGACCGACGCACCGCTCCCCAGGTCCATCAGCTCACTCCCTCCCCCGGTGCTCCTTTTGAGTCGTGGAGACTCAGCTGCGGCGTCGTCATCGTTTTTGGATTGGATCGCTAGCCTCGATACGGTTGTGTTGGATTGCTTGCTTGCTTGCTTGCTTGCCCTGGACTGCATTGGACCATCTTGGGGAACCACCCCTACTAGCAACCTACTGCGCGTAGGATCACTCAAGCGGCACTTTACTTTGGCGAGACATTACTGCCGACGTTGCTCGCACACGCGCCTGCACCTTGTGGCCTATACGCTTGCTGAATTCCAATCCGGAAATGACTTGAAAACCCTTCCCGACCCCCACGATACCCTCCCGCCCCCCCCTCCTTCATCATGTACGCCGACACGCCGAGACGGTCCAGTCGTCGCCGTCCCGACCTCAACATCGACACTTCTCCCCCTGCCATCGCCGCCGCCTCACGAGAACCCGCTGCCGCTGCCGCTGCCGCTCCCGCCGTCCCCCAGACACCTCCAAGCAACAGAACCAAACCGCCGCCGCCGCCTTCTTCCTCATCGTCTGTCGCCAAGGGCAAGTCCAATTCTCGGGTATTGAAAGGCCCGGCCCTCTCCCGCCATGCCAACGACTCCTTCCTAGATACTCCCGACTCCCCCGACAGCTTCGACATGTCCGCGAACAAGGAGAACGATAACCCCGACCTTTCTCGTCTGCGCGACTCCCACGATCTGTCTCTGTCTCCACGAAACGTTACGCGCGACTCCCTCATGGCGAACATGCTCATTTCTCTCGACCAGTTCACCATGGGTGGCCCCGTCTACGGTCCATTCGGGGCTGGGGCGCCGGACATGCTTGACGAGCCGTCACAGCAATACCAGTACGATACTGACGGAGACGGCTTCTCGAGGTCAGTGCGAGGTGGCCGTGCCAACGGGGGGCACTCGTACTCGTACAGCTCCGATTTCGACGCCGACGATGCGAGCAGGATATCTTCGCGAGGACGGAGGAGTAATAGTAGTTCCAACTTCCAGCCCGGCCTGCATCGCATCAGCAGCATGCGCGAGCCGCTGCGGAGCACGTCTGGCCCTTCGCGCCACATGCACTCCCGAGGGGGCAAGGGGAGCACAAAGAGCAGTAGCTCCAATAGCATTGACGCCGGATACGTCCAGGTGCTTAGTAGTACGAGGTGGGCGTCCGGCTTTGGTGGTAGGTCGTCGAGCTTCGATTACGGCCACCGCCCGCCCGCACTCCAGGCCACGCAACAACATCCACAGCAGCAACCACAGCAGCAACATCAACAACAAGCCGGAGGTGCCCCGTGGCATATCGAATTCTCCAATAACTTCTTCGCCGACGACTACGACGCAGCGCCGACGCCTACCGTGCCCGGCGGACCCCGACGCACGATGCCGCCCATGACGCCCCCGGCCACGAACCTTCCCCAGTCGCCAATGGCCGTACCCGCATCTCTGGCTGTGGAGCCAGCCGAACCGCCGCCCATCGTGCTCGAACGCAACCGCTCGAACCGCTCCGCAAAAAGCACCTCGACAAACCACCGCAAGTCAGAAAACAAATCCACCAACCCTCGCGACGAGATGCCGCCACTGCCAATGTCGGTCCCAGCGTCTGCACCGTCATCAACCGCGTCCCCGGCACCGTCTTCCGTCCCCGCGTTCGAGATTGATTCCGCACCCGCGCCACACGTGGGCTACGGCAAGACAAAAGAGGCCGTGCACGGAACTCAGGTTCCGACACAAGCACCGTCGCAAACAAAAGAAAAACCGGGGTTTTTCAGGCGAGTCTTTGGCTCGTCTAGGAACAATGCCTCGAGCAACCCGTCCGATTTGCAGAGTTCCACGGCCGTCACGTCGTCAATGTCTGTCGAAGCCGCCGAGCAGAGGTCCGGCATCAAGTCTATGCACGGTAGCAACCAGATGAAGCCCTCCGGTCCCACCCCTCCTTCGAGGGACACGTCTTCGTCCCATTCCCATCATCACGTGCTGCAAAAGAAACCGAGCTCCTTCTTCCGTCGCAGGAAGAAGTCTGTGTCCGCCGACGAGGTGCCCCCCGTGCCAGCTGCCGCCGCCCTCGAGCCGCCAATGCCGCCCTTGGTGCCTCCTATTCAGTTGTCCATCGCCAAGGATAAGCTTTCTGCGAAACCCGAACCCAGCCCAATCAGTAGCCTTCGGAGGGTCATGAACCCATACCTTAAAGGCAGCCCGGTGACGCCAAATACACCTTTGACACCTCAGTCTGCCCCTGTGCAACCTGTCAACCCCGAAATGGCCACCGATTCCGCCCAAGCTTCGCACGACGACGCACGCGAGGAGCAGCCGCGCTCATTCTCGCCCGACTACGAGCCGAGCCCCAACGCACGTATACGAGAGGTTCGGTCTGGGTCTCGTGGCGACGATGACTCGCAGCATGAACCCGAACGTCGCACCGACACGCCTACTCGACCACCTCCGGAACCCCCTGTATGGGTCGAGAAGAGGAACAACTCCTTCCTCGACATCGATGGCAGCGATAACGAAGCCGATACCGAGTCCAAGCGGGACAACAAGACAAAGGAGAGTAGTTCCAGGTCTCGCGGGGCGGCCAAAAACCCGTCCCCGCCACGGAGGGGTGCCTCAAACAGAAAAGATGATACCATACGAGGCAGAAAGAACGACCGGTTAGCCGTCGGCCAAGCAGACTCTGATGACGAAGGCAACCGGCCAGCACTAATCCTGCCGATTGAGGGTACTAGGTCTGCAAGCAGGGCATCGGGATCGACCACGACTGAGTACAAGTCTGCCATGAGCGGGACCCCCAGCGTCAGAGTCGAAGCCTCAGAGACCAGCAGCCCCAGGGTCCTCGGCACGTTCGAGTCCTTGGGCGCGAAGCCTCTGGATGAGCCCGATTTCGTCGTCGGAGACCCGACAGAGGATGACCGTCAAAAGGCCCAAAAGATCTTTGATGGTAACGAGGACTTCATTCAGAAGGAGAAGGCTGCTTCGTGGATGGGCGAGGAAGGGCCCATCCGGCAGAGAACCCTGCAGGCATACATGGATCTCTATGACTTTACCAACAAGAGCATCCTGCAGAGTCTTCGGTTAATTTGCGAGCGCCTGGTCTTCAGAGCGGAGACGCAGCAGGTTGACCGCATTTTGGTTGCCTTTTCCAAGCGTTGGTGTGACTGCAACACCAACCACGGGTTCAAGGCATCCGGTATGTTTTTGACAACCCCCCGAGTGATTCGGGCCCCAAGCTAACGCGGCACAGACGTCATTCACACAATCTGCTATTCGATTATGCTGCTCAACACTGATTTGCACCTGGCTGACATCGAGCAAAAGATGACGCGGAGCCAGTTCGTCAAGAACACCATGACTACCATCACTCAGGCGGTGGCGGAGGCAGCTCCCGATGCGTTTGAACGGCCGACTATCCTGCCAGGCAAGTCCAACAGCGCTCTCGGAGGCGACGATTCCAGACCATCGATCGAGGAGCGGTTCACTTCGCGTCGCTTGTCGTTCCGACCCCCACCGAGACACGAGGGAGACGGGTCCGGAGACCACTGCCATGACGAATGCGGACCGCTGGTGAAGACGCCGTTCGACGGTTCGATGCGAGCCTGGGAGAGCCAGGTCGAAGTCGTCCTCAAGGACATCTACGCCTCGATCCGCGACGAGCGATTGCCCCTGTTCGGCGCCGATCCGTCCAAGAACCTTGCGCCGAACCCGCACAGCAGCTTGTCCGTCATCGGCATGTTGAAGCGAACGCCTAGCGTTCTGAGTAAGGCCCCGTCTGAGAGTCAGGCATCTATGCGTGGGCGCATAGCTGAAAATGGCCGTGCCAATTCTTCCAGATGGAATTCGAAGAGCAGGTCACGACCTCGTATGGGCAATCCGGGATTCTCTTCGTCGCGAACGAGCTTCGATGACGGAAATTCAGTTTGGAGCCCTACCGTATCCTCGGCAACCTGGAGCAAGCTCTCGCTGGGCCGAACGCAAACATCGATGTCTGTGGATTCGCTCAGCTCGTCATTCCGCGGAGGCGACTATCAACAGTCCATCGGATTTGCCAACGCCCTTAGCCAGGCCGTCATCCGTGATGATGAATCCAGTTTCGGCAAGGAGCCATCCATCATGAGCGACGAAATGAAGCCCGCCCACCTACTCGAAGACGAATCGCTGGAGCTCGCTGGCCCCCCGTGGGTCAAGGAAGGTATGGTGATCCACAAGCACCACCTCGACGGTATCGAGAAGAAGGCCAAGGACCGTCACTGGAACGAGGTGTTCGCCGTCATCCAGAGAGGCCAAATGAGTATCTTTTCCTTTGGCACTAACAAGTCGGCGGGCCGCAAGAGCCGCGGTCGCAACGCGGCCAAGGGCCCAACCATTGTCGGAGGCGGCAACTGGCAAGAAAACGCTACTAACCTAGGCACCTTCAGTCTCCGGCAGACCCTGGCGTCCACGCTGCCGCCGCCTGGCTACTCGAGAGCCCGCCCCCACGTCTGGGCCCTGAGCTTGCCTACGGGTGCCGTCCATCTGTTCCAGGTCGGAACCCCGGAAATTAGCAAGGAGTTTGTCACCACAGCCAACTACTGGAGCGCCCGCCTGAGTACGCATCCGCTGGTCGGCGGTATCAGCAACGTCGAGTACGGTTGGAGCGATGCCATCATCAACAACGCGCTTGTCGCAGCCATCAACGAACAGACCACGGGCCCGACGCATGGACGCCAGCGGTCTAATTCGCGGCCCGGAAGCGGCACCGCCAACCCCCGACCGAGTATATCGAGCTTCCGCTCCGGGTCCCTCGACCAGGGCTCCGGAGGGCCCTACGGTTCCGCCAGCCGTGGCAACAAGCTGCCCGGCGACCGGATCCACATTGCCGAGTGGGCGCCTCCGGCGCAGAGCATGCGACCCAGCAACCTGCCCGAGGAGGAGCAGCTTGAAAGCCTCCTTGCCTACGTCAAGGGTATCGAGGACGAGCTGCAGGTGCACAACCAGCTCCGCAGCCCGATGCTGCTCGCCTTTACGCCCCGCGGCAACAACGCCATTCGCGCCATGGCAAACTGGGAGCGCAAGAGCGCCTACCTCCTGCGGGAGATTGTCAAGTTCAGAACCTACGTCGATTGCTTGCAGCAGGCGGGGACGCGCAAGAGCGAGATTTACACAGAGAGAGACCTGGCCCGACGAGCCGCCAGAGGAGAGCTGGACGAGGGGAGATTGAGTTTGACGTCGGACGAGACACGACGATCAGGGCCTAATGCCTTACAGAAACGCTACGAAGGGAGTTGTTAATCAGGAAACACCATTGAGTGGTTCGTGCGTGCGTAGCCGAGCCCACGACGACGACATGACCACTTTGGACTCTGGGAGTTTGAGTTTGGGTGGGCATCTTTGAGGTGTTGGCTTGGTACATCATCTATGCTTTTTCTTGACTTTTTTTATTTGTACAAACCCAGTTTGATACCCAGACTTATGGTCAACAACGCCCCCCTTTATTTCATTTTTATTTGGCCCTGCCTCTGACTCCCCTTTGCACTTGGGAATCACCGGCTTTTTTGGGGGGGGGCTTTTTGATGTCTCGGTGTTTGTCGAGGAAGCATAGCATGCGTTGGATGATTATGTTCTGCGGGCTGTCGACGGTTGACCCTTTTCGATAGTCGATAGTAAGAAAGGCATGTGCGGTTGAGGGGATCGTGGGGTTAACGAGGTGTAATTAGTAATGCGTCGACAAGGAGGAAACACGGAAAACAACAACACAAGAGGGATAAATAAACTCGGTTCTCCAACGTCTATGGTATGAAACTCTGGTGAATGATTGCTCAGTGACGCTTCCCGACCTTCGTTGTCTGTTTCTCCCCGTCTCTCGCCGCCTGGGCGGAAGCGGTGACCAAGCTGCCAAGCCATGCCGTCGTCCTTTGACGGGGGGTATACAGGTCGGGCGTGGGCAGGATATACCCTACCCGAGCATCCCAGCCCCGGCGGCATCAACCCCCCCATGCCTGGGGAACCGGAATCCTTCAAAGATGCTGGACACTACAGAAGAGCAGAGTTCGGTGGGTGTTTGGGAGGTTAAGGAAGCGAGGGTTTTGCACGACAAGGGCCCGTATGGCGGCATGCGTGGCGTCGCGGCAGGGCTTATGTTGTGCGATGCTTTGCCATGCAGCAGTCCGACGTCCAAAGACGCCGCAGGGTTGCTCAAGACATCGCAGCACGAGTGGCAAGGAAGATGGCAGGTAACCATGCGGTAAAAGTGGTATTATTAGTATTGCATTACAAATATTCGCCCAGCATCCGCAGCCGGGGCGCCATTTTCTAGTCCGTTATACATATCTACATACAAACACACAAGCCTGTCGTCTAAACCGTATGCACAGATGAAAAAAAACAGGCAACGCCGGTCAACCATGACGAGTGACCCAATTACAGCAGCATAGCAGCAAAGACGACCGCAAGACCGCCGACCAAGAGGCTGCTCTGCAGAGCCGGAGCAGCACCAGACGCGGGAACGTTAGACGGAGCAGCAGGGCCACTGGAGGCGGTGGGAAGCGTCGTCTGAGCGTTGGCAGATCCAGTGGGCGAGCTGGAGCTGGGGGGCAGTCTCGTCAGAGTCGATGAGGTACCGTTAGTACGGGTGATGGTGGTGTTGACAGCGAGGGTGACGGACGGGACAGGAGCGCTGGTGGTGAAAGTCGGGACGGCGGTGCTGTTCTTGGGGATCACAGGGATGTCGGACTGAACAGCCTTGCCATTGTCGTCGGTCTTGCCGTACTTGCCAACATTGTTGGAGGCAACGCCGCCAATGCTGGGCTTTTCACCAGCACCGATGACCTGGATGCTCTGCCACTTGCCGTCCGTGCCCTTGGAATACTCATACTGCTTGGCACCGGCCTTGTCGCCGCCGGCGTAGTCCCAGACCTTGAGAGAGCGGTAGTAACCGGCAAAGGGGGCCTTGTCCCACTCGGCAAGACCACCAGCCCAGTCGATGGTGCCCTGGGCGGTACCCTTTCCGCCAACCCAAGTGCCGAGCTTCAGCTGCATGGGCGTCTGCGGGTAGTTGCCCTCGGCCGGGGTGGCAGTGCGGTAGACTTGGCCGTCGATGGAGAAGACAATGGACTCCTTGGTCCACTCAATGGTGTAGGTGTGGAAGGAGGTCATGGGGTTGAAGGGGACCTCGTAGTAGCGGGCACGCGTGTAGTCGTTGATGCCGAGGGCATAGAAGTTGGTCTGGACATGAGTTTGGTCGGCGCCGACAAACTCCCAGTCGATCTCGTCGAGAACGTCGGACTGCAGGACAATGCTGGTAACGATACCGCGGCCGGGGGCAGCCTGGAGCTCGACTTCGACCTTGCCGAAGAAGAGGTAGTTCTTGGAGGTGAGGGTGGGCGCGTTGTTCTCCTCGAAGATGGTCATCTGGGCGCCGGTGTCGGCTGAGAAGGACATGACCTTGGGGTTGTACTTGACGCCGCCATCAACGATGAAGAATGACTCAAGGTCATCAATGTTCTTGGAGTTGCGGAAGTCATAGCTGGCGTCGCCGCCAAAAGCCGGGTTCGCAGGGCAAGCTGGCACATGTTAGCGTTGTGGAACTGAGGGTGGCAGCGGTCCCCCGGATCGGTGTAAGTGGGAGGGGCCAGAGTGAGGGCACTCACAATCGCCCTTGACGGGATTACACGACGAGAAGGTTTGAGCAGAGGCCAGGCCGGCAGTGGCCAGGGCCAGGGCAGCGTATCTCATCATCTTGACTGGTGGTGGCGATGACGGTGGTGGTGGTGGTGGAGATGTGTGGGTGGGTGTGTCTGGTGAGATCAAGGTGAACGAGTGGTGTTGGCTTGCTGAAGAACAGAAAGGGAAGAAAAGAGCGGAAGCCAGAGAAGTTATCGATGTTGAGCCGCAGTGAAGGGATGCAGGACCAGAGACGGCTTTCCCAAGGAGGAGGATGAGCCAAATATAGATGTTTGGGAAGGCTAGAGGTTACGAGAAAGGGATCTAGCGTAACACGGGGGGCGAAGCAACTAAGGAAGGCGAAAGGGGACCCAAGGTTAGGCTTGCGGAAACAAGAAACGAGAGGCTGGAGAGTTCTGGGACAAGGTGACTCAACCACCAAGAGGGTGAACAATGCCCTCTACCGAAGGCAGTGACAAGACGCAGAAAACGGGAGGGCAAGACACGAGATAGATGAAAGCAGGCGGCAAACGGGGTCTGGCGACAGTCGGGCGGCGGTTGCGCCGGTAATTGTAGCTGAATTCATCTCATCCGCCCCAAGGAACCTCCAAGAAAAGTCCAAGACTCCAAAAGACGGCTGTGCACCATGTTTCTTATTCTCTTCTGCTGCATTAGGGGCCGTAAGCGTAAGATGACACGGGTGGGTGGTCTCGTCTCGTCTTAGGTACTCCTTCCCACTGCCTGCCTGTTGCTCTTGTCTACCAACGGATCCGTGCTTGCCAAGAGCAACTTGCATTCATTGGCAGGAGTTCGACGAAGGCTGGGCAAGTAAGAGGGAGGAGCAGGCGGGGTGCAAAGGTGGGAAGGAAGGGGCAACGCTAACGCAGGGTCCAAAAAAGGTACACTGCGCGCACGAACATCGTGGAAAGGTACATCTCTCCGGATTCTCCCATCTGTGTTGCGCCTGCTCTTCCCCAGCATCCAGCCAGCTGGTTAGGCACGATTGGCTGTGGCCGCTGCAAGCGGGAGATTACCTCAGCTGCAGGCGCGCTTTCCTTACTTCCTGAATCGGTACGTACCGCAACTCTGCGTCGCTTCTGTCCGTATGTATCTTTCTACACCTTACTTATGCTGCGAGTGCTCTGTCTGGCCGCACCCCGTTTGCTGCGCCGACGCTTCTGCATCCGCCAGCTGCTGTTCCAGCCGAGTCCAGATTGGCGCCGTTTCCGTCTCTACACCATCTTCGTCATGTTGTTCCAGTTCCAGTTCCAGTTCCAGTCCCCAGCGCACGTCAGCTCAACTCAGCTCAACCCCAACAGCATCTCCCAGCCTCTGCATTCCCGACTGATGCATCACCACGACATCTCCTGAGGGGTTCCACCCGCTAACGGGTTGCTGGCACCGCATCGCCATTCCATTAACAGCATTCGACGACGCCAACGTTGCCTCCTTTCCAGCCCTCGGTCGGATTTCGTCCCCATCCAACAATGTCTCACGCTTAAAACAACATGAAGAAGTTATGACCAAGGCCATCTCCCCACCAGCGCAGTCTCGGCATGCTCGGCCGCAATTTCCAACTGGGTAACCGCTGTCGCAAGCGGCGCTGATGGCTCCCTCCCTCCGTAGACTATCAACTGCAAGACACACATACTGCGGTATGCGTCGGGCAACGATGATCTCCATCTTTACGGCACAAGCCATGCTGCCCAGCCCTAAAGCTCAGGGGAATAAGACCGATCGGGCTGGCCCAGATGCCAAGACCGTTGGTGGTCTCGTGTCGTGCGAATAGGACGTGTTCGGTCAAGCTGTGCGCCGAGATTGTTCTGTGCATTTGCTTCTGATGCAAAGTGATTTGAACCATCATTTGACTGCGTCGTCATCACGTCCGAGAAGAAGCAGAGCAGCATTCTAGCTCTTGGTTTTTTTTTTTTTTTTTTTGTATTTCTTTTCGAGGTCATTCTAGTGGTGACTGAGACCGACTAGCAACTCTTAGTCTGCATCTCTGTCTCCCTTTGCACGGCCTCAACAGCGCATACTTGCAACAATGGACTTGTCCCCCGTCGGCCCTTGCATCGATCCCTCATAAGCCGCGTAGCGGCGCCAAGCGAGCCCGTCCCGCGACCATCCACCAGCGCGTCCTCGGCGCTCCCGTAATCCATCTCCGATGGTCTCAGGCAAATTAGTTCTCTTAGGAACAAGAAGTGAATGGAAGAGTATGAACAAAAAAGGCCCAAACCATTGGTTTACTCGCTGATGATCACCAGACACGCAAAACCACCAGGGCACACCCGAAAATTCCCATCGCCCGCTCGTATCGAAGTTGCAAAGAGTCGCGTTGCTTAGCAGGTGTTCAGCATGGAGGTGAGGGCCGTCTTCTCGGCCGACGTGACACTGAGGGCCCAGTAGCTCTTGACCTGCACCCAGCTGCGCGCGTAGACGCAGTAGAAGCTGGACAGAGGAGGCTTCCACGAGTCGGGGCTCTTGTCGCTCTTGGCCTGGTTGACCTCGTCGGTGACTGCCCACAGCTGGGGACGCGTGAGGTCGTTGGCGAACTGCTCGCGCTTGGCCGTAGTCCACGATGCGGCACCGGACTGTCATCTCATGTTAGCATGCCACCCTTCTGCAATTGCATTGAAGCGCACAGATCCATCCCAACCGTGTGCACGACGATCGATCAGACTCTCAAAGGGGGAGACTTACGATCCAAGCGTTCTTCAGAGGCACCATGTGGTCAATGTCAACGTCGCTGGCCGCGGTCCAGCTCGCACCATCGTAAGGGCTCTTCCAGGTGCCGCTGGTGGCAGCGCAGGCAGAGTTGACCACGACGCCGGTGCCGTCGCGCTGGAGCACGGTCTCACGGGTGTTGCAGGCGCCGGAGACTGTCGACCAGTGGGGGAACAGGTCACGGTCGTACGTGTCCGTGTTGGTCCACGCACGCACGGTCAGAGCAGCAAGCTGCGTCTTGGCCGTGGCGGCAGTGGGGATGCCGGGCTAGAAACGAACGTCAGTCAGTCTGCAGGGTCTGTTGTGGGCTGGCCACAGCAATCAACGGGGTCTGCCGGCACATACGGGTGTGGGCATGGGCAACGGCTCGGCAACCGGCTCCGGGACGGGGGCGGCAAAGCCCGCGCCGGCGAGCATGAAAAGAGCGGCGGTAACCTTCATGGCGACGATTGGCGAATACTGAAGACCGGAGCGACCGAGCGAGAACAAGGATGAAGGCTGAGAGGTGTAGTGAACGGGTAGCTTGGCACTGACGATGAAGTAGGACAGCCCTGAGCGGGAGATCTGCCGTGGTTTATATGTTTTGTTTCTCTCCTTCCTGTTTACCTCAACAGTTTTCCTGACGTCTCCTCCATCGGCGGGTCGCGATAGTCCCCGAGCACAAGTTTCCTTCTGCTCAGTGACCTCAAACTCCGCAATCACGTCGGCTGCTTTGCCGTCGAGCCAGTCACCATCCTTCCCGACCCCACGATCCGTCTACCTGCTGTCTTAATCTCCAGCCCGACCCTCCAGGAACCCGCCGACGATGCGGCATTGGAGTCGATGAAACGGCGCGCTTCTCTCAAAAGGGACACTGAGCCGGTTGCGGTGCGACTCAAAGCAGACGTCTTGTAGGGCTTCGCAGGGGGACCACAGGGTTCAGCCGGCGAGCTGACAGCTGTGTATGGCCTTTATCTCTGCTCTTATTGGCGGGGTAATCTAGCATCATCCATCCCCAGTGCCGATGCACGGCGGTGGGCGTCCTCTCCCGCGCTTCCAACCTTAAGCCAAGTCCAAGACCAGCCACTCACATCTCCCGGCACCGGCACGTTATCTTATCAGTCCCTGTCAATCACCTGCGAAAGAGGGACATAGTTCAGGCCATCAGTCAATCTTGTCCTTCTCCGCTGCACGTCAACCCCCCCTCCATGTCCCGGCTCCTTCGACAGTTGCGCACGGGGCCTTCCACGAACCTTCCTGTTTGGGGGCCAGCTGCCGACGATGTGTGGTCAAGAGTGAGTCTGTGGTACGCAACGGCGAAGATAGCAACCTCTCAGGGCCCAGAGATGAGCAACTCGGGCAGCAGCTGGCAGCACGAGTAACGAAACCTAATGTCTCACGCCAGACGAAGAGAGGCAGGTGGGCGGAAGCGTAGATCCGTGTCACCACTGGGCCAGACGCAAACCTGGGGAGGCCATCTCGAAAGCTGGTTGGATTACTTTTACGACGGCCAAGCGAGGGCTGATAGCGATCGTCATCCACAAGCGGTGTACACATCCGCTGCTCGACCTATCAAACATACTTCCCGCCATATCTCGAAAGGGTTGAAGCCGTCCCCATAGGTCGGCCCTCCCATTACTCGCGCGAAGCGGACCTCTCCAGTATGACAGAGACGCAAGCCCACATCCCGACCTCCGATCGGACCTTGCATCTGATTAAGCTTAAGCTGCTGCAAGTTACGAATTCACACACGCGCATATCAATGGAGTGGCAGAGCTCCGGGCCAGAGGGCTTCCCCCTCCCTGCCACGGCTTATCGACCTTGTCTTCAGAACCTGAACGCTCAAACGCCTGATGTTGTACCCATTCCTGTACATCCGGCGTTCCCGCCAAACCAGCCGCTCTGCTGACGTGTCAGTTGAACTCCGAGGGTAAAGAAAAACCTCGGCATCGATAAGACGGAGACCGGGGGGATGGATATATCCCGCAGAACGTGGTAAACTCGTCCGAACGAGGACAAACTCACCCCAACGCAGCCAGCTGAGCACATGCCAAGCAGCTCGGAGCCGCATCCAGTGGCTCCACCACACGTTCCCGTTGCGCAGCTGCCTACCGAGCCGGGCCCTATGTTGACGAAGCCCGGCGGCGCAGGATACATGGCGCTCGTCGTCGCAGCGGCCAAGCCTGAGGCCCAAGGCCCGTCTATCACAACATCTTTCCCCCAGAAAGGCGTTCTGTCTTCGCCCCGGGGGCCCATGCGCTTGCCAGAGTCGACCTTGAACCTCGTGCTCGCTCTCTTGCGCGCCTTGGAGTGCGTCTCCTCCAATCTGTTGCGGTACTCGAGTCGTAGTGGGCGGGTGGTCGCTCGATGGGCTGTGGTCTCATTGGTGTGTACCGCTGGGTGCGACGAAATATGCGCCGACTCGACCGTGGGAGGCATGGGCACATTGTTAGCCTTAGCGGTCGCATGCCATGCTTCAAGGACTGCGTCAAGGCAGGGTTTGGTAAGTAGGTGTGATGGGAAAACAAAGTTACCCAAGTACATAGGTAGGATGCGGGAAAGGGGGGAAGGAGTGTCAAGGTTGCGGGTTGGTGCTCACGCTTCTCTTCCTTGCCAATGCTGAACATCTTGGTTGCAGGCAGCGCCATCACCCTGACAGCTAGAGATAAGGCATGCACCGTCAGTAAATCGTAACGATGTTTTGGTCGGGATGCGCCGACACGCGAAGACGACTTATATCGAGACCATGACAGTTTCGATTGCAAGTGCCCGCTAGCATAGCTGTGGGTGGGTGGAAGAACTTACTTTCGCAGTACCAGCACTTGCACTGGGCGTAAATCTCGCCAAACCTTTCCTGGTATGTCTTGCTCGTCCACTCAAAGGCCGTGCTCAGCTTATCCTCGTCAACCTTGTCGTTGTGGTCGACAAAGGCGCTCGTTTTGGCGAGGGTGAAGACGAAGTATGACTGCGGGGAGAGCTGGTGCGTGTGCCACGCGAGGTCGACGTCGAGGGTCGGGACGGCCACCTTGCTCTTTGTCGTTGACGCGATGGCGACGATTTCGACGAAGCGGGCGTATTTCTTGAGCAGATCGGTCATGAGATCACGGGCCGTCGGAAAGTGCAGCCAGTTGAGCTGGAGAGGTCCGTCAGTCTGGCTCTCCGAGAGGAGCACACGGTACCAAAGGTAGGTACGTAAAGAAACGAGAACCTCTCACCTTGCGCATCTTCTCGGTGAACGTCCCCTGCCTCATGACACACCCCACGAGATCGATGGCAAAGGGCGACGAGTTCTCCCAATAGCGCGACATCATCTTCCTCGTCTGCCGCCTTCCATCCAAGCTCAAGCGAAAGTCCATCACTTTTTTGTGGCTGTGGCGGTTCATCACCTCCCTCAGGTTTTTGGAGTCGGCGAACTTGCCCGTGAACTTCTCCTCCATGTGGTCCCGGATGGCCATCATGCCCGGCGCCACCTTGCTGCCGGGCCGCAGCATCTTGACGACCTCAACTAGCAGCCCGCGGCGCGCGAGGCGTGCAGGGAAGAGCCGGTCGGGACAGCCCGCCGACTTGCTGTTGTCCGAGTCGTACTGGAGGCGCTTCGGCAGGCCGGTGTACAGATCGAGGATCGTGCCTGGCATGGCGTGGCCCGAGGCGATGGCGGCCTGGACGTCGTTGCGGAACTTGGCGGCGCGGACGGACTCGTGGGTGATGGTGACGGAGCAGGACGGGCAGGTTTGGCTCAGGTGGCCGTCTGCGAAGCCCTCGCCTGCGATGCTGGTGGGTCTGTTCTCCTGTCAGGAACTTTGTTCTCTGACCGAACAACCTCGAAGAGGCAGTCGGGTGTGGCTGGTACAACAACATTCAAATGAATGGCAGGTGCTTACTTCGTTCCCTTGTAATCCCTCGGCTGGCCGCACGTCGTCCACGGGACGGACACCATTGTCGGGCACGAGGGGCACCGGATCTGCTTGGTGTCTGGATCGTCCTCGTTGCGCCAGGCGAGGTTCGTACGGGCCTCCCACTGCGCGACGCAGGCGTCCGAGACGACGTAGTCGAAGCCGGCGCCGGTTATGGCCTTGTTGACCACGGGCCAGGGCATGCCGGCCGCCCAGAAGGCGCCGTGGCCGTAGCGGAGACAGTCCTTGCTGGCAATCAGTTGTGCTCTTACCGCCACGATGCCGATTGCAAGAGGGATGAAAGGGGTCTCAAATACCTCGAGATAGAGCCTGGGGTTGAGCATGTGGGCGTGCCAGACCAGCAACACATCTGCGGCACTACGTCAGCCAGTTGCCTCATATTCAGCCGCGCCACTCCCGAGCATAGAACCGTCAGCGATGAGCAAAGGGCGTCCTACCCAGCGGCGGAAGCATGTCCGCGTTCCACGCCATGGGCTCCTCGCTCGGGAACCCCTCGTACCGGTCCCTCCGCTCCTCGCTCGGCTCGACCATGTCCCTCTCCAGCAGCATGTCCGGCACGAAGCTGCGCCACCACGCGGCGTAGCGGTCCGCCGCGCGGCCGACGTACACGGCCCACCGCTTCTCGCGGAGCTTGACCAGCACCTCCGTGTTCAAGCTCGCGTCTCCTCTGCCGGCGCCGGCGGCTTTGCCGTTGCTGCTGCTGCCGCCGGCCGCCGGTGAAGCATTGGATGCCTGGGCGCGCCTATCCCAGATATCCCAGAGCCCGTCGCGGTAGCCCGTTTCGTTCTTGAGGCGGTTGAAGGCGGCCAGCAGGCAGAGGTGGGCGAGGCAGGTGTCCTCGTTTGGATCGTCGCGGGGGTCGGTGCCGGGCGGGGTGGGATCAAGGTCCAGGGCGCCGAGGGCGGCCGAGAGAGCCTGGGGGTCCGGAGGGCTAGCGTTTGAGGTAGCGCCATATGCCGGTGGAGGGGCCAAGGCCGAGGTTGACAAGGTTGCGGGGCCGGACGCGGGCGTGGATCCGGACGCGGGGGCGGGGTCCTCGCCGGCTTCTCGGGGTTTGCTCTTCCATTTCCACATGGCAGCTGTGACTTCACCCTGTTTTCGTCTCGAGGCTAGTTATATGTAAAATCTAAACGTTGGGTTGACCTTGTTGTCGCATGCGTGCCACCCTCAGATCGGATTCGAGACCTGCGATACTATCTAAGAAAGAAAGCACGTTATCAGATCACTAGGAGACACGCAAGACTGCGCCACGATGTGATCAATCTCAATGTCCGGCACTTTAGCACCCCGAAAATGTGGCAGCGCATAAAGTCGAGAGAAAGCTGGACCGTAAGCGCCCGCCCAGCCGCGGAACAACGGCCCCGGGCGCCGAGGGGGTGGTCCGCCCGGCGAATGAGCCGTGGTGATGGCGGTGCTGTGACGCTTGCTGATTTGCGCCGAGACGTACCCGGGGGGGGGGGGGGGGGGGGGGGGGGGGGGGGGGGGGGCTCGAGACGAAGGGCCAGCGACAAGTCTATCAGCGGGGAGGTTTGAGAACGGTCGAGACCTGCTCTTCGACGACTGTCGTCTGAACCGTATCCGTCTCTGCTGATTGCTGATTGTAGCTGGCAAAATGTAAAGTCCACTCGGTGAGGGACGCGCTCCATGATAAGAGCTGCTTGGCTAGACCTCAACGGGGAGGGGGGCGATGTGACATTGCCCACCCCCCAATGGCACGGCGTCGTCGGACCCCGCAGATGGCAATCGCGGGGAATGCTTCAGCACCGTGGCATGGGGAGCGGAGCTCTGCATCCTTTGCGAGCCAAGCGAATGAGGGCTTTGGCCTGCGGGATGAGGCGAAGTCTTTGCAGCCCATTAGGGGTCCTGACGCGATCGATTCCTGGAGCGGTGCTGGGGTGTGGACGGCTACCATAGCGCATGGGGATGGTTGGCTGTCGAGGCACACGTATGCTGAACTCATTGTCGTCATCATAGCACGTTGAACTGTAGACGCGGCACAGGTTGCCGGATTACCAAGGACGAGTAGAGTAGCCTTGCCAAATGTTGGGCAGCATATTGTAATGGAAGATCAATGCGGTCTGGTCAATTGTTGACAAATATAGAAGGTTATATTGGTATTGGTATAAACGCTAGAAATCATGCGGCTGATTTAGTCCGCTTCAATGTGCCTCAACTCCATGCCATGCAAATCATTATGTAAAAAAAACCACTCCCAGGGACCCCCCATTTGTGCCTACAAATTGAGAAAGGGATTCCACGATTAGACTCTTTCTTGGTGAGAGGTACCGTTGACGCCCTTGGACTGCATGCCCTCGCTCTTCTCGCTCTGCGAGGCATTCTCGTTTGCGATAGCATCCAATTCGGTACCTGCCTGCTTGCGGATACGGTGCATCTCCTCGGCGGAAGGCGGCACCCATTGAGTGCTCTTCCAGGCGGCAACACGCTCCAGATACATGGTGTCAATCTCCTCGAGGGTGCGACCCTGACCCTCAATGACGAAGAAGTAGACGATCGCGGCGCCAACCAAGTTGCAGCCGGCAAAGACGTAGCCGTAGCGGAAGTCGATCGCCCCGGTGATAAAGGGTGAGAAGAAACCAATGAAGAAGTTGAACATCCAGTTGCTGGCCGTTGAAAGAGCCATGGCCTTGGCGCGGTAGCGGGAGGGGAAGAGCTCGGCTTGGATGGTCCAGATCTAGGGGGGAGTTAGTGTCTGGTATTACATTTTGTGGATGAGTGTCAAAACTTACCATAGGACCCCAAGTGGTCGCAAATCCCAAGATGAACAGGGCAGCGAATACAATGAGAACAATGCCAGGGCCGACCGTGCTCTGGGGGTTTTCCTGGTCGAGACTGAAGTGACCAACAGAGGCGAAGACCATGAAGCACATGAACATCCAGATGGCACCCGTGATGAGCGACTTGCGACGTCCAAAGTGCTCGACGATGTAGAGACCGAGGAAGGTGGTGCCGAAGTTGATGACGTTGAGGATGATTTGCGTGATGAAGGAGTTGATGTTGACGGAGGCGAAAATGGTGGTTCCGTAGTAGAAGAAGTAGTTTGCACCAGTAAGCTGTCAAAGTTTGTTAGTGTTGTGGGCTAGAAATGACACTTGGGTTCAGTCCATACCTGCTGGAACATCTGCAAACAGCATCCCAGGGCAATGCGGTAGGCCATGCGGGGTGCCTTGAACATGCCGGTGAACTCTTGGACGGCATTGCCCTTGATCGTGGACTCGGCACGGAGCTTGCTCTCAATCTCCTCGAGCTGGACATGGATGCTGTAGTGGTTCTCGGGTGCACCGTAAACGCGGCAGAGAGTGCTCTTGGCCCGCTCAATGTTTCCCATGCGGTAGTCGAAGCGAGGGGTTTCCGGGAAGGCCAGAATGCCCACGCCAAGGATGATGGTCCACAGCCAGCCAAGACCAATGACAATGCGCCACGACCCAGAGCTGTGCTCGAGGTGTGTGACGGTGCCGTAGTTGAAGCAGGCGGCGAGGAAGATACCCAGGGTAATGAAGAGCTGGTATGCGCACACGAGAGCACCACGAATCCATGGCGGAGCCGTCTCGGCCTGGAACATGGGGACGATGAGACTGAGGGCGCCGACTCCGAAGCCGGCAACGAAGCGGCCTATCATAACCTGCTCCCACGCTCTCTCGGCGGCGATCTGGATGACGAAGCCGATGGAAGTGATGATACACCAGAAGGAGATGGAGTAGCGGCGTCCGAAGCGGTCGGCGATGGGGGCGGCACACAGGGCGCCGATGAGAGTACCGATGGAGAGGAGACCGACAATCAAACCGGAGCGGACGTTGCTGAAGTGAAAGGTGCCATCGGGACCGGCCTCGCCGAAACGTTCGAGAAAGTCGGGCATCTCAAGGAAGCCAGAGACTTGGCCAGTGTCATATCCAAAGCTGAGAGATTGTCAGTGGCTGTTTGTATGATCTCTGATTGTTGGGCCTACTTACACCATGCCTCCCATGGAGATGAGGATGCCCATAGCCCATGACCGCCCCGTGATGCGTTTCAACGGGGAGTAGTCGAGATGGGCGAGGTCCTGGCGGGCATCGCTTGCCTTTTCCGAGGCGGGATTGTACTTGTCGAACTCAATCGTCGAGAAACCCATGTTGCGCGACGATTTGCTTGTATTGGGGAAAGGAGAGGTGGAAGAGGCTCGATGATTGATGCCAATGATGGTTCGTCCGAGACAATAATGAGAAGTTCTTTGAAGGGGCACGGCGGGCAGTATATATGCATGTTTCGGTCAATCGACACACGACACAGGCACTGAGCACCACCAGCAACGTGGTCCCGTAAAACACGACAGTTTGCTGGGGGACCAGAGAGCATGTGGGAGGGCGTCCCGGTAGCCCAGGGGGTGTGACGTCAAGGAGAGGACCGAGGGCTGTGTGTCAATGGGGGAGAGACGAGGCAGAGGTTGAGTGTCCGATGACTTGGGACGGATCATGGGCTGGACAAGTGTGGATGGCACCGAGGTGCTGCCGTCCGGGGCCTGGGGTCTCCAGGTCGAGAAATCGGTCCGTTCCCCATCATTCTGGTATCAGGGACAGGAGATGGTGAAAATTCGAGTGAACCTGTGAGGAGAAGAACCATGGAGATTGGTTAACGGCTGGCGTGGCATGGGGGTGGAGGGGCGTGCCAGATTACCAATGCGGCTCTGGGGACAATGAAATCATGGTATTCTGGGAACAGTGGGGATGACGAAGGGGAGGGGACGTAGGCAGGTATACCATAGTAGGCAGTGTGGCCAGCGATGGTTCCTAGAAGCAGTGGGCGGTCTGCCAGTCTGCTCTGTCAGGATGAGGACGGGGAGCGGCTGAATGACGTTGGTTGATGGAGGTGGATCTCGTAGAAACAAGAACGGGAGGGTGTGAGATGATGTAAACTGCTAGAGCGCGGAAGTTGGAGGAAGGCAAGGGGAGCGACGAGGGGGACCCGCTGTCGGGTTCGATGCATGCCCGTCTTGCATGGCGAGTATCTTTTGTATGGCAGTGCTGCGGGAAGATACACATGACCACGGGCTGAGGGTGTGACGGATGGGCCGGGTCCAGGGTGCGGTGCGGGCCAGCGAAGGTGTGGAAGCCGTTGTTCCAGTTTGCCTGGAGCGTCTCTCTCCCACGGGGTTCACAGGCTAGAGAGGAGAGTTTGTGGAGAGGAAAAGCTGGAGAGAAAGATGTCAGAATCATCGGCTGCGCCTGGACTCTTCTCCAGTCATCGCTTGACCATAATCACGACACTGTTCGTGTTGTAACTTTGATCTAGAAGGAATCCATCGAAGCCATCGTGACATACCCCAGCACGACCTGGCGGCATGTACCTCGACAGCCATGATTGTACTGCAGGGTACATGCGTCAGGTTATCAGGTTCCTTGCATCCGCCGACAACACGCACGACGGAATCCTACCGCGGCTCGTCTGCAGCCTGTCCATCAGTGGCCTGTCGAAGGCTTTCCGTAGCGCATCGCCAATCACTGCCAAGCGGCTTCCCGGCCAGGTGGATCGGATCTTGGGTGCCAAGGGCTGTTATTCCCAGCTTGCTGATCGACGCCATCCTGCTGCTGCGACCGACACCTGGCTGCATTGGGTGCCATTTCCATCGTGGAATTCCTCCCGGTTATCTCCCCCCAATAACCCCTTTGCCCGCCAAGTACGCAAGTACAGAAGCTAAGGCCCAAGAGTCCAAGACCCGCTGACCTCTCTACTGGGCAGAGTCTTGGGAAACCGCCAACAAGCTCTTTCCAAAACCAGGGTCGAGGAAATCTTGATTGAACCACCTGCCATCTCTGTTTCGGCGTCTCCTTGCCTCTTTCCTCCTTGGGTGCTTTCTTTCCTAGGGAGTCACCTGCAAAATCCTCTTCCGGTCTCCGATCGCAGACCCGCTTTCGGCCAAATGACGTCGTCAAAACACCAACAACCGGTACGACCATGACTGCGCAGCAATCGTGACGCTCCACGACTCTTCGTCTTTTTTTCGTCCATGGCCTCTCTTCGGCGCTTCTCCCTCCTCACCCCCCAATGTCTCCAGTCAAGACCCAGATATTTCTCCAGAAATCTCCAGTCTTTTTCTGTCTGTCTGGACTCTCTGCTGCGTGTCCTTCCCCAATCTCCAGACTCGCTTGCTTCTTTCTACAGGTCTAACCGGCCTGTCGGTCGCCGTCCGAAGCACTCTGCAGTATCTGCGCCAAAAAGGCATCCACGCGCCCACGCAATCCGCGCATCCACCCGACAAACTCTCGCCGTCTTCCCCTCGGGGCACCCAGATTCCTCCTCACTGCGCCCGTTTTTTTCCTTTTGGTCGATGGGGCTCTCGGGGTCTCCTCCGGGGAACGACATGCGAATCAGAGGTGTCTCGCCGCCTCCGCTGTTTCGGCCTCCGCCACCCTCCCGTCGCTGCCAATCACATCATCATGACACGCCGGGTTTCTCCCCCTTTTCGGGTCGAGATTCTCGTGGGCGGTCATGAGGCTCCCCTGGGGTCCGGCAATGCCTAACGGGCCTCGGCCAGTGAGTCTCCACAATTCTATCAGTAATTCCACTCGCCGTGGCCGTGAACCGTATTCATCGTGTTGGCCGGACACGAACATCGGCAATCCAACGTTTGGCATGGTGCTGCCCACTCTCCACTCTCATCACGCGCCGCGGCTAGAACCCCCAACCGCCATCACTATGAAAACTAACGACGGGCCTGGATGAGAAATCGATGCTCGATAATCAGGGGCGATTCCCCATATTCGGCGATAGCATCTTGCCCCCCGAGTGACTGACTGTGACTGACTGTCGGGATCAGGCACGTGCCCGGGCCCCCAACTTCGCCATCCCACTCCAACAGTTCATCTCCATTGTAATCCATATCCCACGTTACAGCTGGACATGCGTTTCTTGATAATCACGGTTTCCCACTTTTCTCGGTGGCTTTACGGCCCATTTCTCCATTTGCTATGCACGAGATAATACCAGACGAAGCCACGCACGGGTCGGCTTTTTTTATCCAGAGACCCCCCCAGTGTCTGGTTGATACCGGGACTTCCTGGCCAGATGGCGCGGGAGCGTATGGCCCGCCGTGTTTCCGCCCGCATCAATCATTCTTCCCGTTTCACTTCCGAAGCTTCCATGGCAGTCCCTGCTCTGCCGGAGAGCCGCGAGAAAATTCCAATGTCTCTGTCGCAGCCCACAAGCACCTTTAGACTCATCCACATTGCGAGCCCAACAAGTATGCGATCCGAGTGCAAACAGTCTAGATGCTGTTATGCGACTCACCACGTGGATTCCAGGCCGTTCGCCCCCGTCGGCTTATCCGCCAGCGTTGTGATCCGGAACCCGTGCCGCAGTCCTTCCTGCGGGTTGTGGACGTTGTAGTCCGAGATTGCCGTGTGCGCCGTTACGCGGTTGTCCCACAGCGCCACAGTTCCCTCTTCCCACTTAACGCGCACCTGGAAGTCTTGGCCGTGGTTGATGTGCTGTAATACTCGTTAGCGCCAATTCGTGCAAGATGCGGAGTTGTTGATTGATTTCCGCTTACCTTGAAGAGCAGCTTCAGCAACGCATCCGACTCCTCGTCTCGAAGTCCAATGATTCTCTTCGTGAAGCCGGGGTTGACGAACAATGCCTTCTGGCCGGTCGCCTAGAGACATGACTGTGAGTAGGCCAAAACAATGCACCAGTCTTTGAGATAACCTACTGGGTGGATGCGAACAATGGGATGCTCTGATTTGACCGGCTCCCTCCTCACAAATTTTCCGTCTCGCCGCGCATTATCCGCCTGAGGAAATCCGCTGTGCTCTGCTCTCAACCCCTCAAGGAGCGTCTGGATCGGCGGCGAGAGTCGCGCATACGCCGCCGTCTGAGAAACCCACGCCGTATCGCCGCCGGTCTCGGGCACCGAGAGCAACGTCAGGATCGTGACGCCAGGCGACTGGTGCTCGTATGAGACATCAGAATGGTACCCGATGGTCGAGAGCTTGTTGCTCTTGTTTCGATTGCGGTACTCGTTGTCCGGGCCCAGATAGATATTGTGGAACTCCAGATGGTCCTTGACATGGGCACCCACGGGCTGTTTCGGGCTCGTCAGTCATACTTTCATCAGCAGATTCCGAGAGAACGAACATGGATGTGAAGGGGACCAAAGTATCGCCCAAAGTCCTTCTGCTTGTCGATGCTGATGTCCTTGAAGTCCTGGTTGCGGAAGACGACGACGCCGCGCTCGGCAATGAGGAGCGCGAGCTCGTCCTTTTGTCTGTCGTCGAGTTGCGACAGCTGGAGGCCCCTGATCTCGGTTCCGATGACGGGCGTCAGCTTTGTTGCCTTGATTCCTGCGTTGTCCTTGGGGAGCAGGTTGGGTTTCTCCTTGTTTGCCGCCAGCCCGCGATCCGTGAACTCGAAAGGCTGCAGCGGAGGGAACGATGTCTTTTCGTCGTAGACGGGCAGGTACTGTGAGTACTTGTACTGTATGAGTCTCAGTATCTTGCTTGTCCGCGGGTCATTCAGTGATGCTGAAAAAATGTACCTGGTCATGGATTTTGTCGTCATAAGCCAAGGTCAGCTTGACGGACGCCGCCTCAGCCTGGGTCTCTGTGGTCGTGGTGGAAGACATTGCGCCTGCTCTCTTCTCTCGTTGCTTAATGATGTTTCTTTGTGTATATTCCCGACTGTTTCGATCGAGTCTCGCTCACGGAGACTGGAGCCTTAATTCATGACGAACGTTTTTAATATCCTCGCGAATGCTGAAAGCACACACGCGAATCGCCATCGCGTCAATCGGCGGGAGATGGCGAGCACTGGAGCCATCCACCTCACGGTTCACGCCATCGACGCTTGCATGCGGGGAAGTCACGGATAAGAGGCCCTCGCTCGCATATATTGTCAACATCACTGGTCGCATCGTCCGGAGGGCGTGCGTTGCATCATCAGGATCGACATGCTAATCTTTCGGCATCGAGACAATTACCTCCGATGCAGACAAGCTTTTGGGTCGAAGCTGGGCAGCAGAACGAGCACATTGGCTACAGACGGGCGACAACGCCGTCTCGCTGGGAGTAGTCGACGCCGACTTGCGTGGTGCGGTGTTTCGTGATCTCGGCAGGAATGGCATCAGGCTGGTGCTGACCAACGGCAGCCGAGGCGGGACCGTTTCGGCAGGTTTCTTTGCTCCGTGGTGCGGTTCTGGCGCCGGTGGAGACCCACATCGGCTCCGGAAACCCGTTATGCGCGAGGCCAATGGGAAAGCGAGTTGGATCCCACACCCCATATAATTCTCCAACTTTCAGTTTTCTCAAAGGGCATGACATTGAGATGTTTGATGGAACAGCTCAGTTGTAAAGAGAAGGGGTATCGCTTGCTGGTTTCCAGCTGTTCCCGCGGAAAAGGCTCCTGCATAACCGGCCATGTGTCATGCAGCCACCTCCTACTACGGTATGCGAGCGCGTCATATGTCGTCTGCTTTTAAGCACTGCATTTTTAACCCACCCAAAGGCCTTGTTGGCCTTCGCAACAAACCAATGGTTCGTAAGCTGGCATGCTGGGTGACTGGGTCAGGTGCTACGCCGCTCGGTCATGTTCGGTCTTCTGCCTGCCTTGGACACCCACGACTAGGAAGATACGCTCTTTTCTGCTACGACGCGGTTGGAAGACCCCGTGCGGCTGGTTTTTCTCAGCATTAACTGAATGGCAGCCCTTGATTTTGACTTGGTTCCGGGGCGCTGCATGTAACTCAAAGTGGACTACATTTTCCTGTTCTGGGGAGCCGGGGCTGGTTTGGTCCGCGGGTCCCTTGAGTTCAAAGAAGCTCGTGCATCGAGTCAACACCTCTCTATTCTTGTGTTTAATGGTAATCCTTCAAAAAGCAACCTGGCAGATGGCTTTATTTGGACTGTGATTCAATGGGGACATTTTTTTATCAGTCAGATGGGAATTCTATAGCTGTCGCCTTGACACGTTGGTTTGTGGGAAGATGGACAGGACTCGAGATGATTTTGGTTGTCAGAAACTTGTAGGACTCGATTTCACTGTAGTTTTAACCCACCCCAAAGGCTCCCGTTAAACGGGAGTGTGGTTCGAGTTGCTTGGGTAATTACACTGCAATTTTAAACCCCCCAAAGGCGTTCTTTGTGTGACCACTCCATTTGGGCAAGCCCCACCGCAATCTGAACCCAGCCAAACGCTCAACGATGTACAATGCTGCACCATTCTGCACACCAGTACCGATGACTTTTACACGAATATTACAAGCTCAATATTCCGGCAAACCTGATAGTGTATTGTCTCGAGATGCGCAACCTGTTACCTAGGCATCAACAGCCAAACCCAAGCCCTCATAAAACGGTTCCATAAGAGCATCTCGCCCCAAAAAATCCGAAACCGTCTTCATTTCGGGCTGGCTGCCTCCTCTCTCAAGCACGCCGTAGCGATACTTGCGGCCTGCCTCCTGACTCATAGGATCTCCCTTGAAAAACGTGCTGAAGATGTCCTGCGCGTAAACCTTGGAACTGCCACCGTAGTTGATTAGCCACGCACTCCCTGGATCTTGACCGAGCAGAGGGAAAACTTGCAAGAAGTAGCCGTAGAATCCGGCATCATACTCGTCCATCAGGTACCCGGCATTGGTGTACCCGTGCCCCACTCATCACCCTCACCGAGCGCGGATGGGTCGTCAGTTGGGACGATGTTCCTTCGAAGCTCGGTCCACAGCTTTGTGAAGTTTGAGGATTCGACCGCGTCCTGGCTGGAAGGTTGATGGGCAGCCATATCGAAAAGGCCGATGAAGAGCTGCTGCAACGAGCTCAATGCCTCTCCAGCATTCTTCGCTTTCAGTAGACCTTCAATCACATCCTGTGGGATCTTCTCCGGCGGTTGCTGCGCTTCCCCATTCCCTTCCAGCTCCCGCCAGTCTTGAAGGCATCCCTCCGAGAGGTACGAGTAATGCCGGCTCAAGCCCCTCAATTGCTCCGGCGCCCAGCACCAGTTCTCCAGCATCTGGCTCGGCGCCTCGCCAAAGTCAACAACGGTACCCATCGGTCCGTGGAACCGCGCGAGCTGCGTGCGGGAGACGAGGTCGTGTATACCGTGGCCCAGCTCGTGGAAAAGCAACACCACGTCGGAGTGGCGTAGGAGTGTTGGATGATTGGGCGACGCAGGAGTGTCCAGGTTGCATATAAGGGCTGTGGAGGGGCAGATGCGAGTTCCATCTGAATTAGTGAAGCCCTATGTGTGATGTTAGTATATGTTATGCCTCTATAGGTCAGTGACAAAGGCCTACCGGGATTAGACTAAAGTTTGCGGGATTTCCATGTTTCCCATGACGTTGGTAAAGATCGAGATAGAGATAACCCAGAAACCCGCCGCCTTCGCTCTCGGCGTCCCATGCGCAAAAGACTTGAACGTCTTCGTGCCAGACCACGTCGTTTCCTTTGCCCGTAGACGACAGCTGGTCTCTCTTTTCACCCGTCACCTCGTCAAACACCATACCAAAGAGGTGCGCAAAGATGTGCAGCATTCCTTCGACTGTCGGCTGCAAAGGGAAATACTCTGAAATCTTCTCGTGATCAACAGACCACTTCTCTTGTAAGTAGAGCTTATTGCAGTACAATACGTCCCAGACGAAGTACTGCCCATCAAAAGTCTCGCCCCGGGCTTCGACGTCGCGCCGTTTGATTTCGAGGCGACTCTCACGCTCTGCCTTCCCGGCTTCAATCAACTTCGATTTCAAAGACGAAAGAAAAGTATTGACGCGCTGAGGTGATTCGGCCATTTTATCCTCAACGCTAAGGGAGGCGTGATTGTTGTAGCCCAGGAGTTGAGCGGCTTCGTGGCGGAGGACCATGACTTCGTGGAAGATGGCGACATTCTCCGGACAGCGGTTTTCGAAGGCTACACGGACTTTCTTCCGAGTCTCGGGGTTGCGTACAGCCCTAAGAACGGAGGCGAGGTGGCTCGGGATCTTGATACGGAGTTTGCCCTCATTTTCACTACCGGGCTCCCCTCTATCGAGACGGGCGAGGGAGTCTTGTGAGTATCCATCAAGTTCGTCCAAAGTGAACCAGACGGAAGCATCGGTCTCGACCAAGTTCTTGGTAAACTCTGACGTCAAGCTGTCGAGCCTGCGTTTGATTTCTCTGAACCGGTCCCTTTGGGAACCAGCCGGGATACGGAGGCCGTTCTTGACGAATTCTTTGTGTTTCTTATTCAAAAAGTTCCTCTTCTCGGGATCCAATCCCTGGGTGGCATCGCTGTTGTTATAAACGGCATCGACGAGACGAAACATGCCCTCATTCATCGAGCATTCGAGCTCGAAGTCACGGAGGATGTTGCGGGCTTCGGCAGAGGCGGCACGAACTTCAGAGGATGGAGATACGGCATTGTAGAAGATGAGGAGGGTAGATTCCAAGGCTAGTGCATTTTCTGCGTGCGAAAGCGCAAGGAGGACGTTGTCGTAAGTTGCTGTGGAAGGGGGACGGAGTCCGCAATGGCTTGCTGGGCGGCCCGGGATGCCGAGATGAGGCGATTGATATCGGCGATGATTGAGGTTGGCGTCGCTGTGAAAACAGGCGGCTTCTGGGGAGGAATGCGGGGTTGTGCTGAGGAGCCGGCCATTGTGGAGATTGGCGTCGAAGGTTCGGAGACAGATCTTGAGAAAATGAGTTGGTTTGATCAGCTCTTGGTTGAAGCCGGAGAGACTGAGGCCAGACTCCTACATATATTATCAGTTGAGGAATCCAGGCAGCTGTTATCCGAACTAATGTTCAGTAATCGAGGAAGAAGCAAACGAAATAAGAAGGCCGTTGGATGGTTGACGCCGATGTAGTGTTGGTTTCAGGACTAGCTGTTGCGCGGTTTATGGTTCCAACAACATTCTGGCACACAACACCCGCGTTGATTGTAGGTGCCTTCAACCAACAGCCTGATGCGATGAGATGCTGAAACGTCAAATGCACGATGCAGGTGGCATTTCCAGGCACCCAATTGTTTGTGTATTGCCAGTATTCCAGGCATCACTCAATTTGCACGCTTACAACTCGATACATAGAGTTCAACTCGCGCAAGGTCCGGTACTCGGCACAAATGCCCCATATCCGCGCCGGGGTCCGGGTTTAGGCGCTAGCACGGCTGAGAATGGCAGCGGTCCATCTGCCGCATGCGTTCCACTCTTATCAGGCAGCATGATTCTGATCTTATACTTATCACTGACTTCATTAGATTGACCGGTGCCTGCCCGGGTAGTCTACTGACAGGGTCCGGATTGCTAAGTAACCCCGATCTCCCGTCATACTGTGTAATGCTGCTGCCTGAAGAACATATATGGAGGTATAACGCCCTTTCCAGTTCTACTCTTCACATTGTGATGCTACCCATGAGCATGAAAGAATAGTAATGGTGGCTTACCAATGTGCTTCTTTGTGGCCAAGAGACAAAGACAGTGTAACTAGGGTATAATGATGGGCATTTAAGCCTTACCTACCAACGACGGCTCTGATATGCCCCTTTCTGCCAAACCCCTCTCCCAGAACTCAGAAGTCTCTGTCAGGTTCCGCCTCAATGTCTTGGCGCTCAAATGTTTCGTGTACCGGTCGACGGCCAAAATAACCAAGAATATCAACGCGACGGTGGGCAAGGTGGCGCTACTCTTGAGGTACGTGAAAATGAACTTCTCCGACGCTGCACCAGCGGCCAGCCCGGCGGCCAGAAGGGCAGCTAGGCCTCGCGTCGTAATGGCCGCCTTATCGAATATGTTGAGCGGTCGGTCCTTGTGCCTGGTAATGATGATGAACACAGCGAATAAAGCCACAACAAAGAGGAAGGAAGACCAGTAGTAAATATACACAGTCGAGTACGCAGGGTGTGCCACCTCTCCGATGTCTTCGCCTCCAGACGAGCTGACGCCGTTGTACGATTCGAAAAGCACGCCGAGGACGCGCTTGGTGAGGATACGAAACTCGTCCGGCAGGAACAGGGAATCGCCTCCTGTTGTGTTTGTTACTGAGCAGACGCCGGTGATGTTACCGACCTTGTAGATCTCTTGGTAAATAAGCGGAACCATGGCGCGCGTTTCAGCGCTGTCGGGCATTGTTAAGCCATTGAATGAGGTGACAATGGAGGTGGTCAGGTCCTGGCCGTCTTGGTTATTGGTGACGCAGGCTTTGCGTACATCGCTGAAGAAGTCGCCAAAGTAGCTCAGAACCTGCCACGCCAGCGCGATTTGCTGGGATCCTTCGACGACGCCGATCATGCCGAGATGGAAGGGGAAGTGTAGGACGGCCCAGATTTGCTGGCGTACTGTGCCGAACTTGCATTCCGGGGGGTTGTCGAAGTAGAGCATCCAGCAGAACATCTGTCAAAGTTAGAGAGAGACAGAAAAGTCTTGGTGACATCAAGACGTACAAGGATGAAGACGATGCAACCAATAACAAGACAGGCGTCTAGTCGCAGCCCAGTGTTCCCCATGATGATGCCGATGGTTTTGGTTGCGCCGATAGCGCCCTCACCAATGATTACGAGGGTGAAGAGGCCCATTCTCTCCGTCAAGTGCGTGTGCTTGAAGCTAAGGTTCTTCCACACAGATGATATGCCCAGGGTAATCGCAATCTCTATAACTAGGATGATGTACCAGACGTAGTAGATCCCCAAGCCATTGCCAGACTCGGGTGAGAAAGCCGGCGTCATTGAGTAGAAGGACCCGCCGGAGAAGATGAAGAGGACGATAGTAAGGGAGAGGGGCCAGTTCAAAGCTCTAGTCTTCTTGCGCACGAAGTGTAGGGCAACGGAATACTGCGCAACGAGCAGCAGACGGGTTGCGAACAGGATATTGCATAGCAGTTGGAAGTTCTGGTGGCTGTTAGTTCAACATAATCCGAGCCTTCCGCCGTGAAGACACCAGCAGTGACGGAAAGCATACCGCGTTGTTGTGCTCCTTCGTCCCGGGACTAAACGAAGACCCTACTAGCGCGAACCCGACAAACATCAAGAATTGCAAAATCTTGCACATGCGCTCGTACCCGGAGTCGATAGAGAAGCGGACATCGTGCAACGTGATCTGGAACCAGGTGAACCAGATGATGCTGAAGAAGCCGAGATAAGCCGCGAGACTGCCTAGATTGGTGATGGAGTGCATCTGCGTGAATGTCTCGAGATTCGCGACGAAGAAGAGGTCGGAGAAAAGCTCGATGGTGTTTGCGTTGTGCCGCACAAACAGGCGGATTTCGCCCGTTTCCTTGTCGGCGGATGATACGGGGGACTCGATCCAGGTTAGAGGCGTGATCTTTTCTTCCTGGAGGTATTCAAGACCCCTGTCAAGAGACGGAGTTTTAGCTGCATGAGGCGACAGAGCATCGAGATGCGTTTTGGTTGATCATGGTCATGGGAGAGATGAGAGCGAAAGAGACAACTCACCAACTGACTGATGAACTATCAGAATCGACCCGGCGGACCTGGCTGCTCGGGAGCTTTGCCATGGCTGGCGGCGATGATGGATGGCGGTAGATGCCTAGTGAGAACGGTTGGTTGTCACCTACGTTTGTCTTGCGAGTCCGAGGAAGAGGTTCGATAAGTGGGAGAGCAAGTGCGAAAGGGAGGGGAACAAAGAGTGGTTAACATGGTCTGGAGTTCCCGGAGGGGGCGTATCCGGGAACCAGCTCAACCCAGTTATCCCGACGATCCGCACCATTCTCAAGTCCTTTGCCTCCGTAGGAGAATCGCACTAACGAGTCATCTCCATCAAGAATTGCCGTTTTGCGAAGGGAGACGGGAGGACATTGGTTTTCTTTAATGTTTAAGGTTCCGACTTCACCACCTAGCGGCCCCACAAGTGGTGTTACTTCGCTCTCGGTATCGGTCTCGGTGAGTTTAGGGGTCAACTGTATGAGTCGAGAATGGTTTGATTATTAGAGAAAATGGCCTGCATATATCTACCGACAAGTTCTGAATGTTGCTTTCCACAACAGAATCGTTGCTTTCTAGATGTACGGCGGGGGACACGAGTGACCCATAACCAGCGAGTTTTGATACAGGACTCGAGATCGATTTACATCATGACCATCTTTAAGCCTTCCTGTAGTGCTAGTCGTGATATTCCTCTACATAGCGATTCATGAGTTTTATAAAGAGGATGCAGCCTGCTGATACTTGATTCGGAAAGAACATGGCCACAAAGCTCGCGAAAACCATATAACATCATCAAAGTAGGTTCACCGAGAATCATAATCAACGACCCAAGACTAGCCCCCTAGACGCGCGACGCGCCCACAGCCACCGGGGCTACCGAATCTAAAGCTACGGGCGCTAGGCTTACTTTGCTCAATAATCCTGACAATAGGGCGATCTCCCTCCGGTCCAGTAGATCCAGCAGCAGTGTCTCGATATCGACTGCTAGTTCAAGAAGAGCCGTGGCCGCGCCGCCCACGTCGAGATCACACTCTTTACGAGGCTGAACAACCGTGACACAATCGACAATATGGTCGAGGTTTTGCCGCAGTGCTTTTGCCAGCGGCGGATCGCTGAGCGGCTTGGCAGATTTGGTTGGTGCCTTGACCAAGCGGTATGTGTCGATGGCAAAGCGGTAGGTGTCTTGGGCTGCTTCTTTAAGGGCGGCTTCGTTCTTCCAGGCGACCGATTCTGGCCAGCCTCTTTCCTTGAGACGGAGCATCTGGCGCAGAATAAGACTGGCGTTGTTGCACTTTTCGCTTAGACCACTGTCGAGCAAAGTTTCGTAGCGCTGATTTGTGGAGATGAGGTGACTGACGCAATTTCTTATATCGATCAGTGCTTCAGAATAGAGCTGTTGGTATTCTGGTATATATCTTATGTTGCTGCGCCTGGCTTCACCTTGGCCCGGACTCATTGGTGTGGGAGACCTTGTAGATCGTGTTGCTATGAAACCAAGTTAGCATGTCAAGTGCACGGCAAGCAAAGCGTAGAACAGCAGGGACATGGTCTCACCTGTACGTGAGGTATATGCCTGGCAACGCTCCCTCAATTCGTCCATCCACAACCTATCCTCCCAGTCTTTCCGATACGCGCCACAAGCTTCAGCACCAATCAGGATGAGGAGCTGCCTCAGAAGACTAACATGAGAGTGATAGTTCATCGCGTAGCTCGGATGGAAGCCATTGACCTTAAGAAGATCAATGAACCCGCGATTTCCTTCATGCCGGACCCTCGCTATTTCTGGCCATTTCCGAGTGCGTCCAAACTTCTCCCCAACCCCAATATTCTCGAACGTATAGGAAATGCCCTTGACTTTCGCCCTCCCAAAAGGCATCATAATCTTGCCCGCGCAGAGAAGAACCTTAGGCTCCTTGTCACAAATGGTCGCGGCCGACGTACGAAAAGCGTCCTTCAGCCTAGCGTCGTCAACATCATTGTGGTCTTCGGAAACATACGGTAACAGGTCGACAACGGCGATGTCCTTCCGAAAATCAAGGGTCCCCCGGGAGACCACGGCGAATATGTCGTCGAGGGCGCGGAGAGTCTCGCAGTCATTGATGACGGCATCGAGGCCCTTTCCGAACGGGTGGTTACTCCGGGGCTTCTGTAACATGATGGCAATACCGCCCTTCACAGGCGGGCCCGCCAATTGTGCCGTGACTTGAATCTCGGCGCGAGGTCGCTGCAACGACCGGCCTACTTCCTCTATGCGGGAGACATGTGTGGACGGCTCGGTCGCATTTTTAGGAACAGGCTTGAAAAGTCTCCTGATGCGGTGATCGACGGCTACGTCGAGGCAGATGCTGGTCTGCGTATCTGATGCCATGACTGGTGCTTACAGGGTGTATCTTGATATTATAAAGGAGAAACAATCTCATGCAGCTATTACGGATTGGACGAGGGAAGACCAGCACTTGGGCCGTCGACTATCTTGTATTTGGCTTGCACTGTCATAACCTGGAATCTTCGAGTGAGTCCTTAGCGACTGAGACGGCATAGCCCCTCATGAGGCAGACTCAGCTCCTGCATGGCGTTCACTGGATTGTCCTTTGAACCAACGTTGTGGCCTGAGAGTCTATTCCTCAATTGGCCCAGAGCTTCGCCATGTGACTTTTCAAGCAGGATGAGATGCAATACCCATGCAGGCGGAGGGGTTTATATTGCTTGTCGCGATACGTGATTCGCCCATTAGGCGGGCGTCAAATTCATGGCCATTTCCGTGCAAGCCACCCGCTTGGCTTTCATATCTGTGACCATTAGGCGTTGACCATCACTCTTGGGGTGTTCCGACCATGGCTGGGCAAGACGGATTTTGGGCTCCCTGCGCCAAATTTCTGCTTTGTTTACTGTTTGAGTATGTGTTCACGGGCGCTGTCGATCAGCTGGCAGGATACCGTCACTGCTCCCCGTAAGCTTCAACTTTCTACATTTTGTTACTGGGCAGAGCTTGGCCCCTGGCCGGTCGGGCGCGAGCCCCGGGGACCCGGCTGCCTCACCAGTCGCGGCAGCCAGGTTTCAATTGGGGTGCAGATGAAGTCGTTCGGCGCATTAATTGACTACTTCGTACAGCAATTAACTGACACTCCGCAACCGAAAAGTTTTCGGTCGAGAGCCAGTGCCTCTATCTCAGGCTTGGTAGGACAAAAGGGCTAAGACACATTCCGGCTGGCGGAAGGATCATATACCGCATACTTCAACTCTTACAAAGGCATCATGTACGCAAGAAGCGTCGTTCATTGATAATATCGCCAGATTTCGCACTTGCGATTACACTTGGGAAAACCCTGCTGCCGGACAGTTACACTACTCTAATTGTTGCAGTCTTACCAGGTACAGCACGTATCTTAATACAGACTACCAAAGGGGTGTGAAAAGTGGTTGCCTTCTGGCCGTTGTTGTGCCTGTGGGAAGCGCTGAGGGGCTACTTTATACTGCAGGTTAGGGAACATGGCCCAGGATGGCAGCGTTGGGTGCCCACGTTCCAACCGCGAGCTGAGGGACTTCAGCATTGCTACAACCTTTGCCACCACGCTGCAGGGCCCAACTCTGCGAAATCTCCCACGGTTCGCAGGTCAGCCTTACAAGCAACTAACAACGTTTTCACAACCAAAAGTGTCCGATAGCATTGCGTAATGTTAGGCTGCGCGATCGACATAGCAGAAACTGGCAAACCATACGAAAAAATGAAAGTCCAGAACTCTCGGTGGATGTCCATGTCAGGCCTTCCGGAACCAGCTTAGGGCATCCAAAACCGCCTAACAATGCGACCAGCAGTGACTAGCAAATTATCTCGACTAGGAACGTGCTTTCCGGAATTTCAAAGTCAAATGGTAGCTCATGACCTCAAGCCATAAGAGTTTCCAGCTGAACAAGATAGAGTAACTGGGAATTCACCTAGCTATGATGGAGGCATGCAAACATACCAAGAAGCAAATCGCTTGGGATCAATTAACCAATCCTTTCCGCCAACGGTTTGATATAGAAAGAGTTCAATGGAAGTGTGTGAAGGAAGCTGTATTACAAAATGAAGCCATGGTTAGATGAAAACGACCACCAGAGTAAAAGTTCGAGTTTCGGCACTCTCAATGATCGTTTTTCTTTGCTGCAACAAGAAGGTCCTCTGGAACATTGGTGCCAGCAAATGGATGATTGAATTTCAGAACAACTTTAAAATTCAGTTGTCGTCTTGGGGGATTCAAGTGCTTGGTTGATTACGATAAACTTGCGGTTGGTATTTGGCATGGGCAGTAGTGAGACAATGTGGGTCGGAACACGAATACAAGGCAAAGACAGCAGCGCCGCTTGCTGTACCTGAGCTGGCGCGGTTGTTAACATATACCTGCCTGGTAATGATGGTGTGGGCTGAACGGATTGGGTAGTGTATGTTTGATGTTTCTGATGCTGCTTGATTGTACAGCAGCTCCACATCAGGATCGCTCCGCAAACGGATTGCGAGGGTAGTGTTAGAGCTCGAGAACTCAAGTGAACATGGTTCAGTGTGGCTGTGGTTGGCGCTCTGCTCATCGGAGACTGGTTCAGCCTCAGAGGGGTCGCTGGACAACCCACAGGAGTGTTTGCGGCTCCTCTAATGATAACGCTGCAGCAAATCAGCAGTCGTATTGTTGCATCTACGATTGTGATAACTCCCTGTGTCGTTATGACGTCAGACCGGTGAGTTGGATCCCTGATGAGGTCAGTCTTGTACGAAAATGGGGCTGTCGCGTCAGCCGGGTTAATTACAACGCCGCGCTCACTCCAAGAGCCCAGTTTCGACTCTGTCCATGAAGCGCTGAACAGTTTGCTACCTTGGGAGCTGTCAATTGTTGGAGGAAACCACTCATGGTGGCCACACGGCCTGGAGAATTGAGCAACGTCCTGCAGCTTTGAACATGCTTCCAGAAAGCCTCTAAACTGGCAAGCTTTTACTCCTGCGCACATGTCATGTTGGGGGTCGGATCTCTTCCCCTTTCTCACTCCACCACATCAGTGCTCCGTATGGCTCGCCAAGCATCACCAGGCACAACAAGCTTCGATCGTGGTGCCGCCATGAAGCTTGATTTATCCGAATCCTGGTTTGTTTACCTGCACTGGTCACGGCTACCGAATCATGAGCGAGCAGTGCGGCGGGGCTGCCGGCCCCATTGTCGATCCGTGGGACGGTTTTAGGAATTTAACCTTATAAGGAAGGTGGTAGTTCGTGCCTAACTGATTCAACGCAGCTTTTGACAAACTTCAGAAGTTGATGCCGAACACCCGGTGGGGGAATACCACCAAACCAAAGATGAGCAAAGGTTAAGGCGCTCTCTTTCAACACAAACTATGCTTGAATGCTCTTTGGGAAATTCGAAGAAGATAAAAACTCTATTTTAGTACGTTGAGATTCCTAAGTTTGCTGTTTTGTTATTTGGATTGAATCGGAAACTCAGCGCTCTTTGAAAGCTGCTGTCATTACCCCCATCAACTGCTGAAGGGGTCAGTACCTACGTTAGCCGTGCGGAGTAGCTGCAAGGATATCAACATTGACTTCAGGCCAATCAAAAAGCAATTCCATTTGTGAGGAGAAAACTGGATCTTAAGTGGAATTCCATATACTGACGCCATTCAACCGTCGATCGGATGGGATGCCGTTGGTGCAATGTTACGCGGGCAATCTCGCGAGCCGGCATCCACAGGTGCCGAATACCGTCTGTCGAATCATGAGCGAATGACTAGCATAAACCTAGACCCACAGCGATATAATGCCCGAGGTGACCCGTTCTATCCTGGGACTTTTGTTCGCCTCTACCAACAGTCTTGCTCCTTCTTCTCGCGGTAAGGCGCCATGGGCCGAGTAGAGTGATGGTGTCATACACGAAGACCTTTAAATACTGCTGCTGGAGCGCCCTCTAGAGCGCTGATATTCTGGATGCAGCTTCATTCCAGTTCACGCCAACATGAGACTCCTTACCCTCCTCAGTGGGTTGCTTTGCGCTTCTTCTGCGTTGGCTTTCAAAAAGCCAACCAAGCCTACGCTTCCCAGGTCTGTAATTGAGAGGCGCGTAGCCAACCAGCCGTTCTCACACCCAGAGATCCAGAAGCGAGCGTCTCGTTTCCTGACGGACAAGACCGAGGGTTAGTAAAGCTTGGAAACTCAATTCGGAGAGCAGTGCGCTGATCTTGTTTAAGCTTTCGCTGTCAATGGTTCTGGCATTCCAGATGTTCCGTTCGATATTGGCGAATCTTATGCCGGACTGCTTCCCATCTCTGACAGCCCCGACGAGACCCGCAAGCTTTTCTTTTGGTTCTTCCCTTCAACGGCTACACAGACACCTGACGAGATCACCATTTGGTAAGATAGCAACCTCTATGTCTGAACTATTTCTCTAACCTGATATAGGCTTAATGGCGGTCCCGGTTGCTCCTCGCTCTCCGGTTTGTTGACTGAGAATGGACCTTTCACCTGGGAAGCTGGCACGCTCGCGCCTGTCCAGAACCCCTACTCATGGACCAATCTGACCAACATGCTGTGGGTCGAGCAGCCGGTTGGCGTTGGCTATTCCCAAGGAATCCCTAATATTACCGATGAAGTCCAACTTGCTGCCGAGTTCCGCGGTTTCTACAAGAGCTTTGTCGACACGTTTCAAACGAAGAACTGGAAGACCTATATCACAGGAGAGTCGTATGCTGGATACTACGTCCCATACATTGCTGATGGGTTTATCTCGGCCAACGATACCGACTACTTCAATCTGGCCGGTATCTCCATCAATGACCCCATCATTGGCGACGAGACCATCCAGCAGCAAGTTGTTATCCTGCCATACGTCGAGTTCTGGCAGAACCTCTTGTACCTGAACCAGACATTCCTTGATCAGGTTCGCGATCGTCAGGACTCGTGCAACTACTCCTCCTACATCGACACCTACTTCAAGTTCCCGCCGCCACAAGAACCCTTCCCCGTCCTGCCCGATCCCTACAACTCCGACACTTACGCGTGCGATATGTTTGACACCTTCTACGAAGCCATCCTCGAAGTCAACCCCTGCTTCAACATCTACCACATCACCGAGACCTGTCCGCACCCGTACTCTCAGCTTGGCATAGTAAACAGTGGCGACTATTCTCCCCCAGGTGCCTCCATCTACTTTAACCGTACCGACGTCAAGAAGGCGCTGCACGCCCCTCTCAACTCAAACTGGCAGCAGTGCACCGACGTTAACGTATTCGGCAATGGCACGAACAGTAGATACGCTTCTGATCAGTCCGTTGGCCCTGCCAACAGCGGTGCTCTCCAGCGCGTCATCGAGTTCACCAACAACACCATCATTGGCTCCGGTGATCTGGACATGCTCCTCAGCACCAACGGCACCCTCTTCGCTATTCAAAACATGACCTGGAACGGCGCGCAAGGGCTGTCAAAATACCCAACTACGCCTCTTTACGCGCCATACCACCCAGAGTACAACGGTGGCGCCCTTGCGGGCGCGGGTGTTCAGGGTGCGTGGACTGCTGACCGTGGATTGACGTTCTATACTGCTCGCCTCGCTGGCCATGAATTGCCCGGCTACACTCCAGGCGTCGCATACCGTATGCTTGAGATTCTTCTTGGGAAGGTGAAGGACTTCAGTAGTACTGAGAGCTTCACGACTCAGACTGGTAACTTTACTGGTACTAGCCCTATTTACAGGAGACATTATTAGTCTTCTATCGCAGCCGGCAGCAGCATTTTCTCATTGAAATTTGAGAAGCCATAGCCGATGTAATTAGATTCATGTAATTAATGATTACCTTCAAACATAACCTTGTATGATTTTGTGTCTAGCTACAATTATTGAGAGTGGCATACAAATTGTCCGTGGAGAGCACATCAGGCTTCAAGCCAGCTCTTGGCTGTTTCCTCGACAAATCGAACATAGTCCTCAGATTCCTTATCCATTAGCTTAACCTGGCGCTAGTATTCATCTTCGCTCTTGCCAAAGCCGACCGTCTCGAAAAGCTCGTACATCAGCCGCATATCCCTGCCTCATGCGGGTCCAATGGCATTGCTCGTGTGAGTCTCAAGGGTCTCAAAGCTCTCTAAGTCCTTTCCGGCAACTTTGACGTCTCTTTTGAGATCCTTCGACAATATATCGGCAATCTAAGCATTGTTGTTGGTTTTTAAGCTTCCGATGATGAATTTCTGACCACCGTATTTGCGACCTTGATCCTTGAGGGCGTGGTACGCCCCAAGAGCGATGTCGAATGGATCGACCCTTGACACGCCTTTTAAACCAAGCGGTTTAGCGGAAAACCCTTCATCAATTAGCGAATTCTTCGATTGAACGTCGTTATCGAAGAAGGGAGATGGTCCAAGGATCGTAATGGTAAGACTGTTACTAGGTAGTCCATGCCAAAGTTTTGCTTCAAGAAGGAACTTGACAGCAACATGAGGGGCACACATAACCTGCATCATTCCGGAGTCAATGATGGAGGATGGCGAGTGGTTTCCACATGATAATAGGTAAACCAAGTGCTTGACGGATGGTGATTTTGTCAAGGCGTCGAAGCAGTTCATGGTTGTGAAAAGTTGATCCGAACCCGTCAAGCAAAGAAAGACGGAGGTAATTGAGTGCTTCGACAAGATTGACTGAAATCATCTCGGGTTCTGGATGTTGCCTTCTTCCAGCACGATTTGCTTCTCGGAGGCAGAAGGTACGCGGCTCAAGAGCTTGGCTGAGTCAGATGTAGGGATGACGATCTTCGGCTTAGAAGAGTCTTTAGCAAGAAGAGGAATGGGCCTTGTGTCGATGTTGCCATTGCCTGCGGTGACGAGAATGACTTGTTGGTCGATGCTAACATCTTGAACCGGGTTGATTGTGACTGCGTTGACGGCAACCTCAGTTCTGGTCCCTTGCTCTTCGATATAAAGAAGTGTTGATTCTCGACATGGACTCTGTCTATGGATTCACCACGGATTCTCCGCAGATCTTCCACGAACTGTGTGAAAACGGCCAGAGTTCGATTAGGCGGCCTGTTCAGACATTAGCATCCATTTCGTTTATCTGATCATTGATTTCGAATAGCTTAGGGACATGTGCTCCCGATACTCCCTCAATGGTCTCCTTATCAAACCTTGACCCACCATGATCCACCCGGTCTCAAGACATCGTTATCCCTGTGAAGATGGAGGCGGGCCCTTTCACCTTGCATCATTCCCCAGCTCAGCTTTGCACGTAGTGGACTGGAACAATCGGCGCGGATAACCTTCGTGAGATGTCCAACTGGTGGGGCTTTGGAGGGTGCATTGAAACGATCTAAGATGGTGACGCTGCTATAGCTGCCTCCCAAGGGGCGATATGCAACCGATATACCGAAGTCGCCTACGAAAACATTGAATACTGTGATATGAATGATGAACGTCATAGATGACAAGAGGTCCGCAATATCTCCATCACATTTCTGGTTTCTTAGGCAATTCTCTAGCAAATGATTCTCAGACTCATCTCAGCATGTCTAGCTGGCGTTCACAGGGCCAATCAAAACGCCACTCTCGGCCCACAACGCAAGCACCACCGGCTTAGAAGTCAGTTCTACCCCTCTTGCGGCCGTAAGCAGGCAAACATACTCAATAATACGATAACCGCGCTTCTCCAGGAACCAGTCTAGTGGGATGGGGCTGGTTTACGATCCCAATCATGCAGCTCGAGTGACAGCAGCGGCACGGAAATCCTTGGTCGCCGATGTATGCCAAGCGCGCTACAACTTGATTCGATAAAAGACCCGGTGCCTGTATCTGATAGATTTCGGAGTGAAAGTCCGCTTCTGGTATATCCGCGTTCCCAGAACATGCTTGGCTCGCACAAAGCAAACAACTCCATCGACTAAACAATAACAAGGACAAGAAGATGTTTAAAAGGGTGGACGAGCCCGGTACATATACTTTATGGCCTGCTCGATCCACTTGCTCCAGGTCATTATTGACACCTAACGACACTATTGCCCCACGCCATCTACTTTACAGTGTGTGAGCGTTCATTCCCAAAACTTCGCTTCTGTTTGTTAACAACTAATAATAGTGGTGTTCCAATCTCAGAACCAACAATAAATGGACCATCAAGTTCAACTCTTTGTTGCTGAAGTAGTATCCTTCTCGTGGATCTAACAACTTGTATGTCCATACGAAATCATATCGACATAAGAATTAGAGGCAGCACTGTAGAGCGTATCCATCGCTATTTCACATACTCGACTTGGTGTTTATGAACACATTTTTTCCTTCTGCACCCAAAAGGGTTCAACCAAGCCACATCCACCCCCTCCCCCCCCCCCCCCCCCCCCCCCCCCCCCCCCCCCCCCCCCCCCCCCCCCCCCCCAAAAAAAAAGCAAGTGTCAACGCCGATGACTCCATCAACAGACATCAGGTCGAGTTCTGAGGGGAAGATAACGACTACATCTTCTCATGAACTTCCGCAGCTGTTGAAAGATTTATCCGAGGAAGAACTCAGAATTCTCGAAAAGAACCTGATCAGAAAAGTTGATATAAGAATGTTGCCAACAATGATATTGATGTACATTATGAATTATCTCAACAGGTGAGCTAACCCCTTACTTTCACTGTGTAATTCATTGGTTTTAAGACTTATAGGAACGCGATTGGCGTAGCGAGACTATGTGGCTTGGAAAACGACCTAGGTTTGACAGGAAGCCAATTTCAGGTGAGCGCATCGTTTGACTCCATACTCGCGTAACTAACAAAACAACGATAGACCTGTGTCTCTATTCTCTTTGTGGGATATATACTCATGCAAGTCCCGTCAAACATACTTTTGAATAAGAACGGTCGTCCTGCAATATACCTACCTGGGTGCATGGGTGTCTGGGTTAGTGCATAGTTTCGCTTTCAAATTCCAAGCTTTCATTGAAATGCACCATTCATGATTACTTGACATAGCTGTAGCATGAAATTTCTATTCCACCCCTACAGATGCTCCTTTCCAACTCCATGTATAATAAATATGCCGGATTTGTTTTCTGATAGTTGTGTATATGTTTAGGGTGCTCTATGTGCTTGCAGTGGCGCAATACATAACTTCGGCGGTCTTTTAGTGACTCGTTTTCTCCTTGGTTTTTTCCAAGCGGCATTTTACCCTGGTAAGTCAAGATAGACTTCAATTAGAATCATGTTTGTAATGACGTAGTTCCTAACGCTGCGGTAAACAGGTTGCGTGGCCACACTCAGCTCCTGGTATGTTCGCAAGGAGCTCGGTATCCGTACCGGCTTGTTCTACAGCGGCTCCATGCTCTCAGGTGCTTTCTCAGGTTTAGCTGCTGCCGGAATTACCAACGGCTTGGACGGTGCGCGGGGCTTTCGTGCTTGGCGTTGGATATTCATCATAGAGGGTCTACTCACCGTAGCGGTTGCCATCGGTGCTTTTGCTATCCTTCCTGACTTCCCTGCCAACACTAAATGGCTCACGAGTCAAGAGCGACAACTGGCTATGTGGCGCATGGAAGTTGACGCTGCCGGGGAGGAAGACTGGAAGAGCTCGTCATCACAACCTCTCTTTGACAGCTTCAAGATGATCATGACAGACCCCATCAACTGGGTTCTTGTCCTTGTTGTCTACGGCGCAGGGTCTTCTATCTCTATCAACAGCTTTTTACCCACGATTGTTGAGAGTCTCGGAAAAGACCGTATCACCACACTACTGCTGACTTCACCTCCATACCTACTGGCATGCATCATATGTGCAGTGGTATCATGGAATGCAGATCGCACAAACGAAAGGTACTGGCATACCGTCGGGCCAATTGCTTTCGCACTTGTTGGGTTCATCATCTCCAGTACTTCAACAAGCATGGGGCCGCGGTACTTGGGCGCCATGATTATGCTTCCCGGCATTTACACTGGCTTCAACATGTCAATGGTTTGGACGGCCAACACTGTCTACCGCCCAAGCGCCAAGCGTGCTGCTGCAGTGGCCTTCAATAATGCCGTATCTACAGTGTCTAGCATCTACGGCTCTTACTTCTATCCCAATAACGCGGCTCCCAGATTCGTCTTGGCTTTCAGTGTGAATGCCGGTATGGCGGTCATGGCAATTGGGGCATCCACAATCTTGCATTTTCTGCTGGAAAGAGAGAATCAAAAACTCATTGCGAAGGAACAAGAAGCAGAGAATGATGATCGGGTAAGGATCATGGGAAAAGGCTTCAGATACATAACTTGAATGAAGAAGAAGGCGGCCACCTAGCGTCTTTCATTTCTATTCCATTTCAAAGCTCATATTCCTTCCCAATCTTCTCCGCAGTAATTTGAGCAATAACATAAGCAACAATCTGAGGATCTGCGGGTTGAAATTAGTATAGGCCTTAAAATTCCGTGGACTTTCAAGTCGCTGTTGACGCAACTCCCATCTCTTTCGCTTTTGCCCATCTTTACACTGCAAGAAGCGTGCCACAATCCCGCCACATTCTCTTCGATGAACTCCTAGCTCATTTTAGTACCCGCACAACATGGAACAATGAGCAAAAGTTTGACTCACAATGATATCTTCGTCGCTGTTGGATTTGGGCGCAAATATAGGTTTGACAAAGTGGCTCTTCATCTGGGAGTTTGCATACGATTTAAACCTTCTCGCAAAGCTTCCCGCAAGTTCACAATATCGTAAGAATCACTGAGATACTTTGGATCGATGAGCGGTGGATCCTGCGGATCTGATGAAGACAACTTGATCTGCCCTCTAGATAGAGAGTTCATGTTGGCTACAAAGACTGAGAAAAAGCCATCATCTGGATTCTCGAAGACATGGTTGGGAGGGGTCAATGGCCCGATCTGCCAATCTCACACATGAGCGTGTTATTTACTTGCAATGACAACCGGAGTCCACTTATAACAAGCTCAAAACTCGGCACGCCAGGTCTCAGCAGAAAACGCTGTACTTCTTTGGAAAGTTGTTGAAATTCAGATGATCTGTAGGCCCGCTCGTTCTTGAGAAAAGCGTGAGGAACCGAGGAAAAATGACTTGAAAGCGGGCCATTTCCCGTCTCAGTTAGTTGTTTGATGGCGTCATGATATTTCGCCGGGTCAATAAGTCCCATTCGGTCGGTAAACCAAGACATCATCTGGAAACAAGCCACGATCATGGGATGGTCGGTGAAAGACTTGCCCACGCTATCAAGGTCCTTGACTACGCTGATGCCCAGCGCTTCGAGATCCGATCGCGGACCAACGCCTGAAAGGAGCATGAGTCGAGGACTGTCAAGGGCGCCAGCACACAGAATGACCTCATTTTTGGCGGTGACTAGTAACGGAGGTCAAATCATGCTTTGAATGAAGGCTTTGTATATACTTACTCTGAGATCCGTCTTCTTCAACAACTCCTATTGATCGATCGCCCTGGAAAATAAGCTTGATGACGCGGCTCCCGGTGAAAATGGTCAAGTGATCAGGAGACCCTCCTCCAAGAACGCAGATGCGCTCGTGCTTCGTACACCATTCAAGCTCGTCGTGGGATTTAAGGAGAAGCCAATAGGATCGCCATCATTGGGATCAAGGTTCCGCTTGTGCTATTAAGGATGGTCAGCGACGATGAGTCTACTCCACTACCAAACTAAATGTAAACTTACCCCATGTCGAACCCAGCGTCAATGAAAAACTTGGTTTCCTTTTCTACATGGCCAATTAAGACATCAACTGGGCTATGTCTTGTTAGCCGTTTCAACTCTTGTTGTTCAGCACAACACTCACCCGGAAACCCCATGATTTTTGGGATCAGGCTTGACATAATCCTCCCAATCGGCAGAAAGACCATCAAGGTGCAAGTTTTCCAGCTGCCAAATGTCAGCAACGCTCAAGCTTGACCCACTGATCAACAATATCTTGGACAGCCTAACCTTCTTTACTCTCTCAATCACTGATTCAAACCCCCAAGAATCATCACCCACGACTGCAGCCCACTCGTCAAACTCTTCTTTGGGACCAAGTGACCAGACTTGAAAATTCGTAGCACTTGAACCACCTAAACCCTTTCCTCGCGCCTGGGGTACCTCTCGGTTTCTCGCATGCTCCTGCGGCGTCGAGACATAGCCATAGTCGAGGCCAGGTTGGGCGATGGTGCTAGATCGCTCTGCCATTCTTCTGTACTCTGGCATATTGATATCGCTGCCTCCTTCCAAGAGCACAACTGAGGTCTTGGAGTTTGTATTTGCGAGACGTGACGCGAGCAGACACCCTGCTGTGCCGCCTGATCGTTACTGTTAGTGCGCTTGTCCTCATCAGAGGTCCGGGATCACCGGATCTTGAGTAACAAAACGCCTTGATCACCACTGTTAGATATTGAACTTACCGCCGACAATCACGAAGTCAAACTCTTGGGGCATTCTTAGAATTTTTTCGAAGGTCTTCACAATTCCGAAGGGTAGATTACGTCTTGTGGTCAATTGGTATGCTTAAGTATGGGATTGGTGCTTGTCATCATTGTTCTTGGGCTGGGAGATATTATTAGTATCCAATAAACGTGCATCGACATACAGATGCATCTGACTTCGTAAGCTAAGGTTCAGAGCGACAGATCAACTCTCTTAGCGGTGGAACTACCAGGCAGTATCAGCATGTGTACCTTAGCTGCTGTGTTAGTCGAAGAGGGGTTCAATGTAAAATGGGTGGCATTGCTCTGGACACGTCGTCAACTATTGCTCGTCAGTGCATAAATAAATTCAAATTTGAAGTGCCGGAACCCTGCTTTGCATCGTTAGCGTCTGTCGATATAACACGGTTGCTAAGGAAGTGATATAAATGAATGTTTTACGTCAGGTGCCCTGATGCTGAAGGTATCCGTTCAGTGTGATAGGCGCTAATGGTCTAGGCTGCCACAAGCTGTTGGCTGGGACAAATCATGCAACAGGCCATATCACTAATATTCGAATAGCCTACTGCCCCAATGAATATAGCCAGTGGATTGTTGATAGAATGATGCAGATTAATAATGTCCAAACTGAGATCGCATTTCGAACTCAAGATTTAGAAGCTACCTTCTGGTTGAGCATATAACCGAATATAACCGAAGTATTGCACCCAAAGGTATGCGCCAAGTTACGATTTGCAATGCCGATAACCAGACGTATCCAATGTCTAAGCAACCATGCACGCCTTTATCGGTCTGAATACGTGAACCGCCATAACGTGTTTCGGAGTGTGATGAAACACCTTAACAAGTCGCGCCTTGTGTTGGATCTGATACCACACCTTTCCCAAGTAGACGCCGATGGAAAGAGGTGCGTTGACAGGCATGTGGTCAGAGAAGGGTTTTGGTTGGCATTCTCCGTGGTCTGCACATCACCAGGAACTAGAGCAGACGACATCGCGGTGAATGATTGGCCTCCAGGAACACCATTGTTGAAGCTGGCGACAAGCACGCCTGCCACGCAGTCTAAATCACACACTGAGTAGATGGACACCCTGAGAGAAACTGAACCATTCGGATAAGCAATGTAAGATGTTCATGGTTCTTTCCATGGGGCCGAGGATGTTCTTGATGAGCCTGAGCTTGATACCCTGGTTATGAGCATGGGCTGTACTTTTGCCGCAGAGGCCGAGGACTGGAAATATTAAAGAATGGAAATTTTGCTGAATGATCTCACTCCAATAAGAAATGTTGGCTCAGAATGTCTTGGTGGGCGCATTTCCCTCCGCCTTGCCAGTTCCATACTTCTTGACTTTGTTCTTGCTGGCATCCTTGTCTGCAATGAATGCCTGAACCTCCTTGCTGTCCATATGTTTGGCAACATTGTCGGCCTGCCATTTCTTGAAAGAAAACCCCACTCCCCTACGCGAATATCAACATCAACATATTGCAGATAAAGTTAAGGTTAAGAGATTTATCTTACTCGTGGCTATAATCCTTATCGTTGGCTTGGTCCTTGTGATACTTGATTTGGATAAAATCGCTGTCGACAGTGCCGGGGTCTAAGCTAAGGCTCACGAGAGCGTTGATCGTCGCCGTTTTCGGAATTAGTTTGAATGTCCAACTCTGCTCGTTTTTGAACTGAATCAGATCGCGATCATTTTTAATGACTTCGTAGCCCTCGTTTTTGCTCGCGTTGAAGAGTTTAGGCAAAGCAAACCACTGCCCAGCCATCTTATATCGATCGTTGGCATAGACGAACTGGTCATCGTACACGCAGTCCGGGGTGTAGCGCTCCACACGCTCAATGGTAGGATCCATAGAATAGAGGGCAATGACGTCGTCAATCAAGGCCTGGCGAGCGGGAGAAAGATGAATTGACTTGGAGGGGTTGGGGTGGTAGTCCTCCGAGGTTGAAGTTTGGCGGACCTCAAACTCTTCACCTGGCGTGGCGGAGGTCTTGCCAGGGAAGTTAATATGTTCAGGTTCTGCAGTCATTTCAATGATGGCAATGAATGCGCTACGAGTATCCTCTATGTGTAAGAAGGTCTTCTTAAATGGAAGCAAGAATCGCTCTTCAGCAGTAAGGCGGTATAAAGATCTTTATAATTTCTATCGTGTTAAGACTTGATATTTAATAGTACGACTGTGTATAACGGTTGATTCACAGATGTCCGAAAACCCTAAAGCAGTCATGACGCGGAAGACTTTTGACAAAGGCTATTCTGGCGTCGCAAATCCATCTTTAGTTGTGAAAAACCACGTGAGAGGCGCCACTCGACCATTTGGGACTTTTAGTGTACAATGCAATTATGTAGTGCTGACGTCAACCAAGATGCATCTTCAGATGCACCTAAGACAGCAATTACAGCAACAAAGCGCAGAGTCAATTATTGTTTGGGAATCTCATTAAAAAAAACTTAATTTAGCTTTGGGTCTAACAATTTCTTGTGGTGAAAAGAGAGCCGCATTCCAACTAGTTAGCCTCTCGTCGAAGAAGACCTCATGTTACAGCTTGCACCTAAGGTCTTTCAAGTCGAGCACTTCGCCAGCCCGCCAACTCACGTTTTGCCCGGCGTCGCTCCCTTCCTTCCATTTCCATCGAGTTGTATCTTGTGATCCTTTTTCTATTAGGTTTTTGATCCAGCCTCCAGCCACAGGCAGCATCTTGAACCCATGGCCCGAATCGCCAGTTGCTACAAACAAGTTCATCTTCCCTGGCACAGAATCGATAACATAGTCCGAATCCGCAGTGTCTGCACACCAGCAGATATGTTGGTCAATGAAAGGCCTATCTGCCAGATTTGGAAGTGTTTCCTGTAGAAGTTTCCGTATTCTTTGCCGATCTGCCTCTGGTACGAAGTTGTTGTTCATCGGCGGAAGAGAGAGGCCAGTTGATAAATAGTTTGTGTATCCTCCACCACTCGGAGACAACTTTAGTATCCCAGTACCAGGCTCGGGCTCGAAAAAAAAACCTAAGTCTCGAGCATACGTAACGGGGATCCCTTTCAATTGCTCGGCTTCTTCCGGTTGGAGCTGGATGTGCAAGACACTCCACGCTTTGGCAGTGACTTGTCTTCCGATACAAGGGAGAATGTTGCCGAGTGAAGCACCAAGGGTCAAAATCGTTGCCGCTGCTAAAAACTCCTTTCCGGACGTCGTGCGGGCACCCACGCATCTATCGTCTTCGTACAGCAGACTAGCAACTTCTTCTCCCGTGTGAATATGGGCGCCTTGATCCTTTACGTACTCGTAGACCCCTTTGAGTGCGTTTGCGGCATGCGCATACCCAGCAAAGAGATTGTAATACCCTTCCCATCCTTCCATCGGCCCATTCAACGCAGGAGCAGCTTGAGCAATGTCTTCTCTGCTTCGGATAGGCTTGATTCTGTCTGCCCACGCCGGGTGTGTCCTGATACTCTCGAGGGACTTGGCAAGAGTTCGCTTCGTTTTTTCGGGCGCTGCAGCAGAGTTGGCTAGCAAGTAGCCGGTCTGATGGTAATGCCGTGAGAATAGCGGGTTATTGGTCCATTCAGACATGGCCTGTAGGGCCAATTCGGTGTAAAATGGATCTTCATACTCGGCGCGAATAATCTTATTCACGTCATTGCCTGCCGAAAGTACTGAGGGGATTGATGTGCCTCGTTCGAGGATGGTGACGGATGTGTAGCCAGCTTTGATGAGGTGATAGGCTGTCGAAAGGCCGAATGTACCACCACCTACTATTAGAATCGGGTCATGGCGAGTCAACATGGTGGCAAGATCCTTTACTTTGGCTTTCAAGATTATGGGCTGTTGGGCAAGGCTTGAGGTCATTTGAGTACCGTCCGGGCAGGTTGAGTCAGTTTTGAGTTGCGAAGGACACTCCGAAGTCGGACATAGTTGCTTCTGGCCCCGTTTGATGTAGGCTTATCCCCACTGACTCAACGACGTTGAGATAAGGAGTTTAGCCGCGGCGAAGTTGAGCGCCACCCCCCCACAAAATCTGATGCGACTTTGCCACCACTTAGCCTTAGGACTTGCAATAAGCACCATCGACTTAATGAGCGTTGCCAAAGCCAAAGGTCAGTCAGGGGGATGCATACTACGACCCGTTAAAACCAGTCTGCGAAGTGTCTCCTGGAAAACAAGGAGAAACCCATAAATTTATGAGCCAGGTTTATGGTTATATAGTTGAGCCGTTTTGTGATGGTATTTAGTTTGATAAACCATCGCAAACTACATGTTGCCTCGCGGACTACACAGAGCTGGAATGCCATTTTGCCAGTCACACCATCCCACCCACAATTGGGCAACTGCCAGACCTGCGGCAATCATTCCAAAGATACTGGCTACCACAAAGGCGACTACCGTGACCCAGAATGAGTGCCTAGGCTCCTTACGCCTATCTGCCCATCTCCCTGTCCAAGACATTGCGGTTGGGTCCTCGGCTTTTTCCAGTAGGCTTTAAATCCGGAGACCCCAATCTAGATATGTTTCGAACATTTGAGAGTATGTCTTCAGGCGGGTTCGTAATTCCAACTCTTGACGCCAGTATCGGAAAACTCCAGTTAACCTCTTATCGGAAGTCTTCTGGTGTCGGCTTTTCCATGGACTCCGTGACACTTTTGATGATGCTAGGCAGGTTTTGCGAGCCCATTTTCAAGTCCCTATGAGGGATGAGAAGCCGGTAAGTCTGTAATGTCTCAAGTATGAATCCGGCGGAGAATGCCAATTCGCCACTTGAAATTGTCATGTCAGTTCATTGTGGAGTGCATACTCATGAACGAGACTTGTCTTACCAATCAACAGAATAGCAAACCCTGGTTTCTGCAGACTTTTTATTCCGAGTGCCTTTGCCACAACATGCCACGTAGGTAGCCTCTATAAATGAGAGCAGATAAAAAATACTCAAGACCTAGCTGCTCTCATTGTATGAGAGTAACAAGTGATCTGGTAAATGCTTGGTCCACACAACCTCGATATCCGCATATTGGGTCATTTTTCGTAGTGAGACAAGTCTTTCTTAAAACCCTCCTGAATGCTGATCTTTTGGGCTGCTTTGACGAAACTCTCGCATGAGTAGTTCTTTGATCGTCATGCTCTCTGTCCATAGGCAGTTGCTCTGCCTGATCTGTATAGCACCCTTGGAAAAGCTAGGCTCGTTGTGAATCGAAACACCAAATACAGCTTTTGTTGCCGCAGCAAGGCTTGAGCTGAATAGCATTGACCTTTTCGGCTTTGGGAGCGGCGAAGGAAAGAAGTCGTCGGGATTTACCAGAGGGTAGCAAAACAGTGTATCGGTTCAACCTATTGGAAGGGTCTTTAGAAGGAAGAATTCTCGCTCTCAATGCCTCATCCCCAACTCGCCCGTTACAACAACCTTGCGTTCCGTCTCATAAAGATTATGGCGTTGGTCGGCTACTATGTTCTCAAGTTTCTCTACCTTCTCTTAGTGGTGATGTCGGATGGAACTTAGGATCTGAGAGGTGGTTAATGGTGGCGATGACAATGTCTGGGGTCAAAGGCGGCGGTGTCGTTGTAGTTCTCCAGCCCCTTTCCTCCGACCCCAGTCGGACTTTGGTACAACCAATAAGAACAGCACCATACTCGGACGAATCTCTGTGCAATACCCTCGAAATTTCGGTGCAAACAGTGAGGACCATAAGAGACTACACGGAAAGGCGGCCATATCCAAGAGGCGGCGGGGCGATTGGCGTTGGTTATGATAATGTTTGTGGTAGCCTTGAGCTTCGTATCGCGACGCTGTCAGAGTCGAAGATTGAAGTTATTATAGCAACTTACTCTTGTATAACAGCTTTTTCCATTGGAATCAATTGGGCTGAATCTCCTTCTCTCAAATTTTCATGCGAATCTCGTCGTCAATTATGCCTCTCCATTGCGACTTTCTCAGCCTTCGTGAGCAACACACTCTGGGGAGGTGGCACGCATCGATTTGCGCATAACAATCTTCCAACGTCAACTCAAATACCTAGTTCCGACGACTAATAAACTTTTCCGCGAATGCAGAAGATTGACTCTTTTGTATTGACTTGTATTCTTGGCTTACAACAGGCAAACCAACTATAAGCTAAATTGGAATGGAACCCGAGTGGTACCTTAATTGAAGTTCCATTCCCACCAGATTGGTAAAAGAATGAATATATAAGATAAGAAATGAGTGAGAAGTGATTTTTACATTTAGCAAGATAACAGAAGACTCGCATTAGTACCAGTAAAGGGTGACATGAGACTAGAACATAAGCCGTCATCTAACCAAAATCTCATCATAATTCCCCAGAATCAATACTGAAAGATAAATCCCATCAGCAGAAGACTTCGGGCGTATCTTAAACCAGTTACCAAAGCAATGATGCAGCCTTTTAGCCTGTGAGAAGCAGGAAACTTAAACCAAGCAGTATTCGAAGTGGGAAATGGAACTTCCAATCTAAGAATCGAACACAAGTATGATCCGCTGCCCCCAGCCTACTCCCACCGCCGCAGAAACCCCTCAACATCTCCAAATTCCTTTCTTAAAACCTCGGCATGTCTCTCACTCCTAAGCACAAACCGCACGGTATAGTCCTTTGGCGAATGCAAGAACCCTTCTTCATACGCAGCATAGCTCGTGTCCAGTTCTATCGCTTTTCCGTCTGCTCCCACAACTGGCTCAATCTTGAATGCCCACAGGATTTGGGCAATGATACGCCACTGCGTCCTCTCGGCCAAGTGCAGACCGACACAAATGCGCCGTCCAGCACCGTAAGAGTAGTGGTCGCGCTCATTATATCGTGAGGCAGCAGCTAGCTCAGGTGCGAGCTTACTCGCTTGTGGAATAAACTTGTCCGGGTTATAAGTGGAGAGGTCTGAGGACGAGTCACTGGTATGGTTGAGCGCGTACGCAGGGACAAAAATGGTGCTTCCGGCCGGGATGAACATGCCATCATACCAGTGGTCTTGCTTGGCAAAATGGGGGATGCCAGCTGGAATACTGATGGATGTTTGTGTAAGTATGGGGCCGTAACAACATGGAATGAAACACTCACACTGGCCTGATTCGTAATCCCTCCTTCACGATGCAGTTTATGTATGGCAAGTCATCAAAATCAGTCCACTTAGGAACCCGCTCAGTCCCACACACACGATCAAGTTCAACTCGAGCCTTTTCTTGGAATTCTGGATGCTTTGTGAGGAAGAGAATCGATGTGAGTGTTGCAGTGGCTGTTGTATCAGAAGCACCCATGTGGACACCCCCGAGGAAGTTGTTCAATTCCGTGTAGGAGAATGGCACATCGCACTTGATCTCCTCATCCAGGAGCTTATCGAGGAGAGAATCGCGCTTATCACCATTCTTGCGGCGCCTCTCTACTCGGTCGCGAGCTTCGTTCCAAATATTAGTCATGGTAATGTAAAATTCCTTGCCACGTCGCGCTGATTCGTTCCAGCGATCAGGGATAAGTTTAAGGATAGGAAATTGGTCCACTGGGAGAGAACTCCCTGGCTCGATGGCTTTCGATATCTATGCCGAGGTTAGTTCCTGATTGAGGGCCGAATAGAGAATCACAGGGGATAATACAGCTTCCATAGCTATATATACGGCCTAGTAATGTCAGTGAAGATCTCCGAGTTCAAGCATCGCAACATACATATGCCCAGAAACTTCCCCAGTCAGTTGCCAGATGGCCATATATCGTGATGCTTGCAACTGAAGCAGTAGTTCGCTTTATGAGCTGCCGGAAGTTTTCAGGCCTCTCCAGCAAGCCGGACATCAGTCGGGCAATCCTTTATCATGTCAGTACCTCTATTTCTTAACTGCAAGCTCATTTCCTAATCGTAATTCAAACATACTCAGCTTCTTGTACGGGTCTCAAGTCAGAGTCCAACTTCTTTGGCGAGAAATAAGAAGACGCGATTTTGCGTTCCGCTCTCCATTTAGGGCCTTCGTGCATCAGGGCTATGTTTTCGCCCTGAGTTGAGAGGGTAATCTGCTGATCAACCGGTCTGTCATTGAACCAGGCACCCTTCTGACCCAAAAGCTCATAGACGGCACGTCTATCGTTCAGCACGACCATGGTACTACGCCCCACTTTGATTGAATAAACGGAGCCATATTGGTCGCTCCATTCCTTGAGTCTGCGACTGATTAGTGCACATCTACGAGATTTCTGAGTACGACGACCCACTTGGAGTAGAATCCTTTCGATGGAATGAGATGGGCATTTCCGAGGATGGGAACCGTAGGCGGACCAGGTGGGAGACCTTTCTCTCTGCTGCCGAACGTCAGGATCTTATATACGAGGAGGATAGCTGGTATGATCCAGATGATGGAGGCATAGCCAGCCACAAAAGGCAATCCGGTCGGTGTTATCGTCATTTTTCAAAGTGTTTTCAAAGGCAAGACGCAAGAACATATGAGGTAGGTTTCTGCACACTCGTAACTCGTTATTTCTACGCCTGAACGAGTGGGCAACAGACACGGTGGCTACCTTTATAAGATATCAACCTACTTGACCAGCTACAACGATCTTTGCTCTATACAGCAGGTCCATCTGACTTGGGGGTACTGCAAAGTGCGGGGTATGAATGACACCCTAACTTCCATCGTTCTGCCTCGAGCATAATCTTGGCTCCATGGTTGTCTCAGGGCGTATGCATGTGATTGCTGTGAATGCAAGATGCTGGCTACGCTGACTGCTTAGTCGATCTCTGGATTACAGATTCCAGCACTCGAGTCGCCTGGTCTGATTCGTGATAGTCTGTAAGAAAGATAAGTAGATACACGCACTCTGTCGGGCGTCGACACTCCGTGCTTCCTGCAGGTGCCATATCTTCGGCTGCCTGTTTACCATGTGAAGGTCAGTCCAAACTTCGACAAGTATTTCATTCTCAAAGCCCGTGTGTTGTTTGGTCGCTCTACTGGTAAAGTACTGCTGCACACATGTCCTGGAGGACATACTCTTCTTTACTATTCTTGCAGTGTTCAGCTTTCCAGATGAGTGGGCAGACAGAGTGACGGACACTAGAAAAAATCACGACCATGAGAACTGAATCGAGTATTAGAAATAGGGGAGCGGGAGCAAAGCGATTTCTCGCTGGTTCGGGTTGTCTGCATTGTCCAGGCACCCACATGTCTCTGACCCCACAGGTTCACCGGTGACCCAAATCAAATTAGTACATTTTAAATAGCCAATCTCAGAATGTCGCTCAGTGCGAGGACGCGAAATTGAGCCGTGTTTGTATCGGTTGCATAAAGGCCATAAACGCCGTTAATGTGATTGGCTAGGCCTTGTTGAGGCAACCGGTAGGGTTGCAACGGTATATGCCCAATGCAATTGGTACTACATGTCGTGGCAAGTTTCGCATGATGACATACACAGGCCGATAGGAACCAATCTAGTACTTTAACCAATTCCTGCAGCTCAAACACTACAGCCAAGGCCTCAGACATCACCTGTGGCCAATCATATTATTTGTATTAGTACATTTCAAAGATCATATCGCTGAGAGTCTGCTGTACACACTAGGGTCATAAGATTAGAAGTGGCCCATACCCCCTAAGTGTATTTCACTGCGAGGCCGCTAATAAGTGGGAAGTGAAGGCGGCTTATTTAGGCAGATTCGACTTACACCACAACGAAATCGTGACAGATCATGAATGAGGAACCAAATAGTTTCGGTTGGGTTGAGACTGATACGTGGGTTTAGAGCCCGATTGAACATCAATTTCGAAGTTTTCAGGTCTACGAGTACCGACTAGTGAGTTCTCGACAGATCCTCGTATGGCAGCCAATTGAGGTTCAAGAAGCCCCGAAGACCGAAATGCAAGACCGTAGTATATGATTTCATGAAGGCGCATCATCACCTCAGGCAGACAGTGACATTCTGGAATCAGCAACAACTATTCTAACATAAAAGAATACATACGTGATTCATATGCATTATTCCAGGAGACTTTCTACACTTCTACTGACCTTTTCCTGGCTCTCGGAAATCTAAGAAGTGTTCAAGACTAATTGTGACTTAAAGTCGACACTCGAAAGCACTGGGCATTGAATGTATAATCATCGACTTTTTTATTAACTTAATGACGGAATAAAGATCACAAAGAAGATAGAACCTTATCAAACTGCGGCTTCAAAGCCAACGTTCTCGATAACAGATGACCAGGAGCCTACCTAGGGGCGGATGAACGATTGTGACGAGATGGCTTAGTAGGAGATGATTAAACTTGAGGCATATTACTTCATGTATATTAGATAGTTTTCAGAGACCGTATTGAAACAAATATTACATTTCAGGTAAGAAAATCTCCACTTCTCAAGTGATCACAGAGTTTGTAGCCGAGAGCAGCAAGGAGTCTGTTTTTGCAGCAGCATGCAACAGGGACAATGTACAGAGCTATAGAGTTGTGACCCTTGAGAGCAGGTTTAGCTCATGTCTTATTCAAAACACAAAGCTTTGTCTTCCGCTTCCTGACCTCTGCTGATAAGCTTAATATTGAGACACAGAGTTCTTTGGTTCCTTTTGGCATGACTTCGTCAGTTCGTAGGAGATGATATGAGGCCTTAGAGCAAACAAGGCTTGTATAATCGAGTCCACTCTACGGGCAGTATTCTTAGGGTTCTCAAGAAAATTTTTGATCTCGTTGCTGGTATCTACAACAAATGGTAAGATTTTACATTCAATTATGAATCTTTTTCACTTTTAGTAGAGTTCACTACCATATGATGCTTGATAAATTATATAAACTTTTCGAGCAATAACTAGCTAATGTATTGCAATCGAGGTTTCATTCTTGTGACCACAATAGCTCGACTCAAACGGTAGATTCGTTGCCTAGCAATTAGACAACAACACATTGATTGTCACAGGTCAATACGTCGCGAACAAACACTGCTTCTCGACATCGCAGACCGCCTGCGCCAAAGTTCATCTCGAGCTGAGATCGTATCTTCGCTGTCCTCTGGTTTCCAAACTATCTGCCTCGAGTCCCGACGAGGACTCCAGGGCGAGGTCTCACTGAGAAGGGTGCGGGGATCTCATTTCTCTCCCGAAGTCGTTCTGTCCAACTACGTCACATAACAAGTATCCAGGCCAGAACTCATGAAGCGGGATAAGCCTGCTATTCGTTCTGTAAGGCTCAAGTCCACTGACTCTAAAAACTATGTTTCTGTGGTGCATAAGTAGATGAATTTGTTGCACTTTGTAAACTCTTGGATTATGACATGATCAACTAACATGCGAGGGCTTCCATAGATTCAGCAACCTCATATACACGAACTGTAGACTATGTAGATCCAAAGAGTAAAGCATACGCGTCAACAACGTAAAAGGTACCGCTAAAACCAAGTACCACCATAAGGGAAGATCGCTTTGCCCAAATATGTCGAAGTTCATCCCAAAGAGCGTAGCCGTAAAGGTCAGAGGGATGAAGTAAGTCGCCAGTAGAGTAAGCTTCTTTGTCCTCTCCGATTGCTCAATCGCGCGTCGCGATTCCAGTATCATTGCGCGGTTCATCTCGGTAGTTTTAGCTGAATTAACTCGTGCTAAAAGGTTCAGGCAGCGTTCCTGAAGATCTTCGTGATCCTGAAGTATCCCTAAGACAGAAAATGATGTGACTTGTTGTTGATAACCTTGATATACTGTATATTCTCTGCCTTCTGCTGTGAAGGGACTACGTTGCGGTGAATGACTTTTGCGGTCATTAACATGAGCATCTGTGCTCGGAAGGGGAACAAACTGGCATTTTTCACTAAGAAGCTTAATTGACCTAATGCATTGACGTATTTGGGCTGAGTGTCGCTCTAGAATGATCTCCAAGTGTTGGAGGGCCTCGAATGTATCATTTCGGAAGTCGTCCAATGGCATTGGCTCTGTTAATTTGTCCAACAAGTCATGAATGAGGTTCAAGAAAGCAACCTCAGAAAATGCAGCGTGAGCAAAAACGGGAACCAACGCATGTAGAGGGTTTGACTCGGCCCTCTTAGAAAGGTCTAATGCAGACAGCAAAGACTGGTATTCCAAGGGAAGAGTGGATGTCGATTGTGGCAGGCCCGGCTGCGATAAGGGGTAGATGGGCGGACGAGACGAGGCACCAGCGTCGCCTAGCTTCCTCCAGGTCATTTTAGGGTGGTGTTGAACCACAGGTAGTGCAGTTACTTTAGTACCTGTCTTTCGGCCTATATCATGATTCCAAGGTCCAGCGGCAGACCTGTCAAGGTCTCGACCGATGTCCATCCAGAGAAGTCCTATATCCTAGTTAGCCATTCTCAAAAGGACGCCTTGGCTATCTACAAAACGTACCTGCCCAGCCATCACCATCTTCTGCAACACATATGGAAATACGTTGCTCCATGATTGAATATCGATCGCTTAAGATGGAGTATTCTCGTACAATAGAATCCCCACAGGTTGCAGACTTTTGCAGGCTTCTCTTGTACTTTGACAATTGATCTTGTATCAACCCTCGATGTCCAACAGAACTGTCGTATAGATTGGAGGTAGAGTAAGGCATCGCATCGGTGAATATAGTGGTCACGGTTATGTGAATAATGTTGTTCGTCGTGTTCAGCAGCGATGGTGTATTAAAGCAGTTGCCATGGGATGAAGCATCATAGAAGTCCAGATGGCGGTAAAAGAACTCGGGGTCGATCCGATATCTACTCCCTAATTCGGCAATCCACATAGGGGTAAGAAACCCGCGTAAAAAAATCAAGTGACCTTTTCTTTGAAGAGGCCGTGACGTTGGCAACCCAGTTTTATCGTTAGTGGTGTAACTCCGGATTCGGCTAGGCTCGTAATTGTCAAGATAATGTATCACAATGAGCTTGTGCTCATCCTCGACTCGTGCTCCTGCAACCAAGGAAGACGCAACTGGTGTCGGGCGTATGAGCCAGTTGGCAAATGCTGCGTAGTTGCGTCCAGGGAAGCTGGATGACACAATAGATCGCTGAGAATGAGCGTAAACCGCTTGCTTGTATTCGCGTGGGTCGACTGCATTTTCCATCAGCAAATTCATCCAAAGGTACTTTTGATCATGCAAAGTAAGGTGTAATACATGTCTTCTGGATACGCTGAGATTTCGAGTCTGGTGTCAGACGCGGCTGTTGCCCCGCAAGAGGATCTTGAAAGTCCGACGTTGGCTGATCGTGTTCAACGACATTTTCGCCCTTGCCTTCCCAAGGAGCCAAATACTGGTTCGACATGATGCTGTTTTACCAAGGAGAAGAGGAAAAGTAGAGAGGAGAGAAAGAAAAAAGGAGAGAAAGAAGAGACGCCACATAGCATTATGCATGAAGTGTTGGGAGGTTGCCTGCTTGCCTGGTCATCGGACCCCAACCACCTGACTTTGGTTGCCTGATGCTGAGACCAGCAAGCAACCAGATATGGAGGGTCATTGGCCATACAGGCTGCAATGTTCGTTCACAAGTGGCAATGCTTATCATACATGCTCACCAATCGTTGCGCCAGCCTGACCACCTCAATAGGTCCAGTGCGGGGTATCTGGTATGCCTCAACCAATGTAGGGTATCCGGCCGAGCCCTCACAGCTTCTCTTGATCAATTTCCCCATTGCATTAACTTTCCCAGCTTCAAATGGTTTTGTGAGCTCCAAGACAACTTCAAGCAAGCCGCCTAGATGACTCCAGAAGCTGGCTCCCTGAGAGTCCTGTTGGACACAGGCGACAAACAGGCAGATGTTGAGTAAGTATTTAGGCGCACTCGCTTTTTAAATAAAAAAAAGAAAAGGCTGACTGATTGTTCGTTAGCATCCTGCTGATTCCAGGCGTTGGAACCGCGAAGCCAGATGAATGGATCTTCTCTTCGCCTCAATGGCTGTCGAGAGTACTCCCGGGGACCTTGAAGCACGCACGAGTCCTAGCATTTGATTATTCTGTCTCTTTGAACGAGAGTGAATTGTCTAGCCAGCAATTCTTGGTGCAAGGGGACGTGTTGCTCAACCAGTTGGTTCACGTCCAATCTCGTCCTCAAGGCGACCCCCGGCTGTTCTTTGCAATATGTCATAGCCTCGGAGGTCTTGTCTTGAAGCAGGCTCTTTGCATCGCCCATGAGCAGACGTACCGCTATGAGTCCATCCTTGGCTCCATTGCGGGCATCGTTTTCCTGGGCACACCGCACAAAGGCGTTACAGATTTGGATACACTGACTAAATGGCTTACCATTTTCGCAAGTACCGCCAATATCAGGAAGCCCATAAACCTTTCTGAACATCGAGTCACCATAGAAGCCGCCATGCTAACACAGCTCGCCGATCGGTTTGAAGACGTCAACATTCAAGCACCAGTGCTGAGCCTTTCAGAAAGCAAGAAGACGAAGGTTTACCTCGGTAGATTAAAAAACAAGAATCTACTGGTGAGTTTATCGTCGTTGCCTGGCTAAGTTTGTCTCTCACCTCCGCTCAGTTGACCGATGCGCCACTCTGCACAACCAACTCCCCTATTGAGACTGTCAGAAGCTTGCCTCTTGAACATGCAGCACTTTTTAGGGTACAGCTTGCAGGCAGCCCCGATCAGAACAAGCTTGAGAATTTTGTACGAGAAGCATTGAATGAAGCCATGCAGGTCGTTGTCGCCAGATTAGCAGCATGTAGGGCCGGCCCCCGTCACGTAGACTAGGAGGAAAGCATGTTGGACTTACTTTCTCGATAGTGGATTTTAAATACGCTACCACCAGTACCTATTCACCAGTGTACAGTATTTCGAATTCCATCTCTGGTTAGTACATCACTTTGGATAATTGGCGCAAGTAATTTCTTTTCTCACTGTTATCGCAACAGAAGAGCGAGAGTCCGACAACATTCGCGACTCAAGCGGTGGAGCAGCCGCGGGTTCCAGCGATCAAGGATTCGAGATAATACCATCAATGCAGGACAACATTTCCAAGAAATCCATGGTGAAGCTGCCTTGCGTTATACTGGACGCTAACGATCCTGGTCGCATCTTTTTTGGGCAACAGAGGATCCTGGATGCAATCCAAGAAGCCTTAGTAGTCAAGGGCACAAGCAAAGGTTCTCAACCTGGGCTACGGCAGTTCGCTCTCTGTGGGCTTGGCGGCATGGGTAAAACTGAGATCGCGTCCGAATTCGCCTCGAGAAATAGAGACAACTTTGACGCCATATTTTGGGTACGTGCCGATGAACCTGCCAAGCTGGACCAATGCTTCCTGGACATTTCGGTCAAACTAGGTCTCGAAACGGCAGAGGAGGCTACAAATCAAATCGTTTCGCGGTCTCTGGTCAAGGGATGGCTCGCAAATCCTGTGAAGGGGGATACGACGATCACCGAAGACATCAGCTCGACAGCTTCAGGTGGTAACGATGCATCCTGGCTTCTCATCTTCGACAACGCCGATGACCCTAGATTACTTGGGGACTACTGGCCCGAGGGATCGGGTAGTGTCCTGATCACTAGTCGCGACCCGCTGGCAAAGCGACTTTATTCTTCAAACTCATCCGGCTTAGACTTAGAGCCGCTAAGTGACGCTGACGGTGGCGCTCTCTTCTTGAAACTCACTGGGTCCGACATAGTATCTGAGGAGGATCCGGAAAAGGTCGCACAAGACATCTCCAGGAGTCTTGCTGGACTGCCTCTTGCGATAGCACAGATGGCTGGGATCATCCGTCGGCAAGACCTGAGCTTAAGCGAATTCCAATCCATCTATGAAGAGGACAAACACCGGATCGCTTTGTACAACACAAAGTACAATGCGAGCACGAAGGCATACAAGCACAGTATCGCTACTGTTTGGGCGTTCGAAAAGCTGACTGCGGAGGCAAAAGGGCTAATGAAGTTGATATTGTTCATGGATCCCGATATCATACAGGAGAACATTCTCTTCGATGCTGCAGTCCTGATGTTTGCTTCATCTAACTTCACGAGACCCAAGTTTAACGAAGCGCGTGCTGAATTGTCACAGTCATCACTCGTACGGAGAGACAAGAAAACATCCGAGCTCTCAAACTATCACATTTCGGTCCACCGTTTGGTTCAAGATGCCATCAGATCAAGTATGAGCAATGAAGAGATGCAGTCCAATTTCGAGACTATGGTCAACCTGCTATGGCAAATCTGGCCGCAAGCAATGCCGGCACCCACTAAGCCCTCTTTGATATTAAAGCACGAAGTATACGACACCCGCTATTCATTGTCTCGCTATCCGTTGTGTGTGGCTTTATATCCTCACATTCTACGACTGAAGCAGCTGTGGCCTTTAGCGTCTGAGTGCAGCGATAGCACTAAAATACGATTTGCCGCGCTGTTGACCGACGCCGCCTGGTAAGTGAAAAAACCACTCAGGCCCCTCTAGTTCATCTGAAATCTAGAACCCTAATGCTCTTACCAGGTATCAGCATGAAAAGGGCCGCCTCCGAGGCTTTGATGGGTTTTTCGACACTGCACAAAGCATATGTGAATCTTTGCCAGGTGATGACAGTGACAGTGTGTTATACAGCATCCACTATTGCCTTGGCCTCATATACAACGACACCAACGCGCACAAGCTAGGACGTCAACACCAAGAAGTTGCCCTCAAATTGCAAAAGTCCGTGTGCGAAAGCATCGGCCCTGACTTTGTGGACATGCGTCTCGGTAATGCCTACGCTGAGATGGGTATCGGCTATGCTCAGAATGGGCAGTTGGTTGAGGCTATCGGAGCTTTCAGGCGGGAGATGGGGATACGAAAGAGACTAGGAATTATGCATCTCCAGTCTAGGGACGCCAACTATGCGATGGCTCTCATGCTTCAAGGAGACTTGAATGAAGCAGAACAAGTGTTGCTGGATTGTGTGAAACTTTGGGAGTCAACTGGGAGCCTTGTGTCATTGAGGTAAGATCAATTCTAAGATAGATGAGCAACTCTGACGGAGGATGATCTGGGGGCGTTGACACGTGCTAATATTTACATTGAATAGGATAGCACGAGTTTTCCAGGCTCTCGGAAATGTCAGGAAACTGCAAAGTCGATTTGACGAATCTTACGATTGCCACAAGAAATCGCTACGTTTCTTTGTTGAATCTATGGGCGTACATTCCTACCGGGCAGCGGACTTGCGCTACAGTTGCGCTCTACATCTCATTATGCTGCAACGCTACGAAGACGCTATGTAAGTTTCGTCCACGCTCAAACCAATTCTCATAAAAACCAATTGATATTTAAAATGAACTAACCGTGATCTCTAGCACCATGATCAATGCTGCTTTGGAGTCCTGGGCTCTCAATGCTGATCTGTTTCGGCCTGAGCTAGCGCGTACTACTTGGACCAAAGCGAAGCTTCTTGAGAAACTGGGTGAACCGTTGAAGGCGGTCGTTGCATTCAAAGTCGCGGGCCGTATAAGGGCGAAGATTGTGCCAGACGATCGCAGGGATATACGAGACCTGACTGAAGAGGACTTTGATTGCTTACTAGAGTACCGTTCTAGGTAAGTGGGTTATAGCAGAAGTATCGATGGTGATAGTAGAGGTCAAAGCAATAGGGATCCTGGAGAAGGTGGTCGCCATGGAGGGGTAAACAATCAAAAGTAACAGGAAAGGGATTGGGTAGAGGAACAAGGGGGGAGGAAAGAGCATGCATACAGATGGACAGATGAAAGAGCAAATGATGAGGCGTAGTCTACAGACAAGTCAAACATTATTATTCCTAAACCCACACACCATGTCTATAGACGGTACGCTTTTGGTCACTCATCTATGATACTCCTCAATACTTACAATGGACTCCCTACTTACCTACGTTTGACCAATAATTCTGTATGCGTAATAACGCCAGTTATAGGTAAGGAAACCGGCATGAACTAGCCATTTAATGGTGTATGTATAATTGGTGCCAGGCAGTTGGCGGCTGACGCTTGCACGAACACGACAATAATAAACGTCCCCTCATTCATGTACGATTTCGCCCTGCCTACCCATTCACCCAATTCATTGCCGGCGTAATCCAGCGAGGCACTAAGCGTTCAGGCTGTAATGAGTACCTGGGTAAAGCCATCTAAATTGAACTGTGTGGTGAAGTGCCACGCTGTCATTCAGGTGCAACCAAATGACCCGCCGCCCTCAGACCACGACGGTGGGGTGAAGAGCGCATCCAGGAACACAACATCATTTGTTAGCAATACTGATGCAGACTTTGAGTTATCAAAGCGCATAATAGTTGCATTTGTATTATAATATGTAACTAGCATTACCCCCGTGCGGGATGTGTCGGGTTGCCCCCTAAATCTACCTAGGTAGGAAATGCCCCAGTCAACAAGAGTGGATTGATGTGCTGGCTTGGCCAGTGGTGCCAGCTGGCCAAAAATACTCGCCGCAGTGTTGACACGAACGCCTGGAATGTTGCGTGCATTTGCCCCTTTTAGTACGGAGGTAGCGTTTTCGTCCCTCAGACAGGGATTATCCGCAACGGCCCCTGCGTTTGCATTAATGCGATCCCCTGGCCAATTTTGTTTACTTCACGTGATCTCCAGTTTGATCCCCCTTCGACTGGATCTCCAGGCGAATCTTCGTCTTGACATGACCACCAAAAGAAAATCCGAGCAGGCAACATGTTGAGCAACCGGAATAGCGGCGACTGGAAAGTCCCGCGGCGGCTTCCGTCCGTCAGGGAGAAGCTGTCGGGCTTTGTGCGGCGCGGGCGTGGATTGGCGAAGAAAACAACAATGTCGATGATCGGGGAGCCACAACACGAGCGACCATCACTAGACGAGAGTCCGAAGACCTTCCTGCAAGTCCAGGTGCAAGACTTTGGGACTTCAAGCCTTGATATTGACTTGCAGACGCTGGAGGCCTTCCGCATTGCGCCGCAGTCGCAGCCGCAGAAGGCAGCAGAAGCAGAGCAACAGAAGCCTCAACGGACCTCGACAATGACGCCCATCGCGGACATGTTCGCCAGAAGGGCCACCACCCTTGCGCCCGCAGTGGTCAACATGTCTTCGCTCAACAAGTCTTCACCATCACTAATCACATCACCCGTAAACAAACCCGGCAGGGTCCCTGCCGAAGAACGTCGTCCTAGCCTTGCTCCCTCCCATGCGGCACACGCACCGAGCCCTACCGCCAGCGTAACAATCATCAGCTCCAGTCATGGTCAATCACACAGCTCAAAGCCATGGCCGCCCCCTGCGACCTCGCGCGTTGTTGCGCCCATTCGTACTCAAGTTCTCACTAGCTCGGGCTCCAAACAGCCCAACAGCGCGCAGCTTCGCGAGCCACGACGCGCCGCATTTGTGCCGTCGAGTCCCGCCCCTATCAACACTTTAGGGCCTATCAGCAAGCCCCGCCAAAATTTCAATGCCGTTGCTGAGCCGCAGGGGCTTCCGCAACACGCGGAAAAGCGCCATTCGACGCCTGCAGCGAAGCCGTTGTTGATTACGGTACCAAGTTCGCTGCCTGCAGAAAATGCCCGAGCAGATCGGAGAAGGTCTTGGCAACAGGCGCCGACATCACACCCTTCAGGGATGTCGACACCGTCCGCACCACCATCTGCATCAGCACCGTGGCGTGGTATTACCAACCGACAAGTATCAGCACGCCTTGGAACGGATCGCCTTGCCTGGATCCGGGAGCTCGAAGAGTCCAAGAAGAACAGGCCGACTATCAGCGGCGATCTCCCTGTGCTCAGGACGATGCAGGGAAGTGTTGCGGACAAGCTGGCCAAGTTCGAGAGCAAACAGCTACAGCAGCAGCCGGTACCACTCACCCGCTCGAACTCAACCAGGAGTCGCACGACGTCAGTAGCAGACACTTTCTCCTCGTATGGGGGCATGACCACAACCCGGTCGTCACTTGATAGTCACCGCACATCGTCCGTTTTCTCGCATTATGACGACTCGTTCCGCGAGAAGATGGAGCTTATCACCGGGAATGCCAACCGCAAGGCGGCTGATGACAATGAAGAAAAACTTGCCCTGACACGGGTCACATCTACCTTTGTGTCAGTGGGAAAACGGCACAAGCAGGCAAACGTTGACAAGGCTGAGGCGGTTTGAGTTGGTGATTCTAGGCGATGGGGGTTATTTTCACTGAGTTTTGGCGCAGCGGAGGCGTACGTACAGGGTCCGATAACGGCAGAACCCTTTGCTTCGCATGATTTTTCCACGACATTTTTGAGATTGGGTGCAGCGTTTGTTCTGCCACAAGAGTTTGATCAGGCTTGAATTTCGACCGATTATTGCATAGTTTTTCAGATGATAATGATAAGATGTGTCTCATGATGGAATTAATACAACCCAGACCTTAGTTTTGATAACTTACACATGTGAAGCTAAGGCTGGTTACTCTCTGTTATGCTGTCAGCTTGAGTAAAAGACCGTGGGCCGGTTCCGTATTTTGACGGGCAGGCGCTGCATGTGTATGTTGATATTATCTCCCGTACCTGCATTGTTCTCAAAGCAGCAGTGAAAACCGGCAACGCAAAGGATAGTCGATTGATAAGGGAGTTTAGTTGTAGCAGAACAGTAGGCTGTAGCCTTGTGTTGCTTTCCAACATGTGAAGTTATGACGTACCTGGCTCAGTTTAGGAGGATTAATTACTCCGCACAGCACGTAGCGACAAGTCAGTATAAAAGCTAGGTAGATGTATATCTCTATCCGTCCAATCAAACCAAACGTATGTATCAGTCACCAGGTTCGAATATGATTTGCAGCTTTGTTGCAAATTCTAAAAGTGATATGTACCCAAGACATCTATCTGTACGTCATTATTTCTGGCCTTGTAGGACTGCAACTTTGGTTTTATCTTGGGTGCTTTATTCCAAAACAAAGCCAATTGAAACGTTTACCTTGAACGAACACTTTACTCTCTGTCTGGCAAGTTTAACCCTTAATTTGGGATATCATCGATACTGGTAATGTGGACTTCCTTAACTCCATTCAACTTTCGTCGCAAGTTGCTACTAGCGACGTAGACTGCAATAGTTAGCAAAAGTCATTCAATGAAGTCTGTGTGAGTAAGGTGGTTTGTCAATGAGATACATACCAACGCGCCGAAGTCTGTTTGGGCTGCCTAGAGGTTGTAGGCTCTTCAATCCATGCCACGGGTCAACTCGCATGTAATCCTCCCAGAACCTCTTCCTCTCATAGTCGAAACTGTTTTGTTGGGGGACAATGAGTTTTGCAACAGTCTGCCAAGGGTACTTCTCCTCATCCCACTCCGCGCCTGCGTACTTGACTGATTGTTCATCCATGTTCTCTAACAACTGCACTTGGAAGAGATACTCAGCATCATGGCTTGCGTGGAAGTTCTGTAACCACGTTTGCAAGATATCATCATCATGCTCGGGCTTCACAGTCTCATGGTACAGCTTCTTCTGTGTCTCACTAGAGGGTACTAAGGAGTATTTGATCATGTAGTCCCCAAACCTGTACGCGGTTTGAGAATACTGACGCGTAGACTCGAGATGAGAGTTGCGGACCTTGTCGCGGGCCAGCTGAAGCTCTGCATCGGGACGTGCCTTAAGGTGCTTGTAAAGCTCTTCTTTGTTGTCGCTATACTTCAGTCGCAGCTCAAAGATATCTTTGGTTGTTTTGGCGTCTACGAGTTCAATGGTCGGTGCGCTGTTGAACTCAATGTCTTGGGTTGGGTACTCTTTGCCCTCCTCGAACATTTCCCCTTTGACGTTGAACAGCTTCATGGCAAAGCCACGGGGCTGCGGTATGCGGTCCTTGGACATGTCAGCGAAATAACTGGTTATATGAAATGAAGTTGAGAACTTGCATCGAGACCTGGATCACCAGGCTCGGAGCTGTACCGGCAAGCAGCGGGATACTCTCCTCCAATCTGGAACAGCTCGGTTTGCTTTAGATGCTTTGGCAAATCATCCGGAACGATGAACTTGCCCTTTACAATGCCTTGTGTCCTTGCATGGGTCGCACCATACCCGTGTCGCGTTTTATTCCATGTTCTTCGTTGCTGCTCGTTGATTAAGTTGGCGACAGCCTGGATATCCTCTGCCTCATTCTGGGGAACTCTCTCTACACCTTCAATATCCCATCGAACATAGTTGCGCTCAGAAAGGTCCCCAGCCGGAAAATTCTTATCGATAAGGCTCGTCATGATTTCCAAAATCGCATATACGTAATTCAGTAAACAGTGTCAGGTTTGGTGCAGTCTGTGTGTTTTCTTTACAAACCGAGGTTTTAGCTCGTGCTTGTATTTATCGCTTTGCTAAATATGTATTTACATGGTAATTGTCATCATCGTAACTATAGGCAAGTTATAAACACACATCGTTGGGCGCTAATCCGAGCGCCATGAATCATTATCCCGCACTACCACACCCTAGCATCGTCGATCGCTCACTACGGCGGCCTTAGTACAAGCTCGCGTATGAGACCTGCCACACAAAGTCATTGAAGCAAATTGGAATACCGTATCTACTCGGTCAACTGGCCCCAATATTTGTTCGCGGTAACGAAACCGGGACAGCTCGTTGGCAGATCCGGGCTTATCACTGGATAAAAGGTGAAAAAAGGAACAGAGTAGGTTAGAGAACATTATTATGGGAGCCCAGTTGACTAAGTACATACTGTACACGGTCAGTCATCTACCGTCTCAACTGTTAGACTACAAGTTAGCTATGCGCCACTGGTACGGAGCTACGCCACGAAGTTGCAATGACGTGAAAATGCACTATTGATACTAAACCTCCAAAGAGCCAGCAGCAGAAACAGCACGGTGGCTACCAACCTCAGTCACAGTCTCCTTACCAGCGGGTTACGGCCACTACAACCAAAATAGCTTGCCCTACCAGCCTGAGCAACAGTATAACCTATATTTTCTGGAAACCGGCTCGTGGATGTGAGTCATTTGTATCCGTTGACGCTCTTTTTGATTATTATTACTAGTATTCAGGTTTCTTGTCATCAATATGTTTCAACTGACTTTGGGGATTGTTGAATTGTTCTAGATTGGTAGGAAGGTAACCACTAATACTTGCATTAATTTTGGACACTGATCTGCTTGCCTGCCCCTCCTAAGCCGACTCTGCTAATCTCAAGCTCATCTCAGGCATCATTGTCACAGCTGAATATCGGTCACCCTGAGGTAATCAGTTGAGTAAGGTGATCGCGCCTATCAATGAGAAAGTTATGCCACCGAAGATGTCTTTAAAGACCGGGACAGTTGGGCTAGTAAACAGGAACTATTGGTCACTCAGCGGAAACCGCTTATCGTGATTCGACCGCTTTGCAATCTAGCCAGATTCAAAAGCAATAATATGTGCCCGAAACCGTTTAGTTGAAGCCGCACAGAGAATCTATTCCTGGCACTTCAGCATCACGCACCGTCCTAAGCAGAGTCTTGACGTAGGCAAGCTCTCCCTCTTGGGCGGCATTTGAAATCTTGCAAAGACTCCATTACTGTACAGAATTTCACTTCGTTATTGCTGATTGTTGCACTGAATGAACTCCAAAGAAATGACATGCATTTTGATGGAACGAACCAACTTAGAACGGTAGGAGTCATAAACAGGAAACATAAATTTCAGCTGACATTCAGGATTACTCATGGCATATCAGTATACGTTGTTATTCTGCGCGAGGCCAAGAAAATAGCCCGGGAGCTACACATGATAAGAAGAATAATGTAAGCTTTGTCACAATGTCTGAAGTCGGCTCTCGGCCTGCAAAGTGATCCAGGTCGCTCGACTTAGTGTGCCGAATTTCCTGTACCTTTCCCTTGCATACATCATTACTGAAATTTACATGTTGTCAATAACCTATAAAACAGCATGAAGAGTAGCAAGAATATTAGGCGTTGCTCGCAAATTTCAGAACGTTGAATTGGTTATAATACTCGACGGCACTGTCTTCTGTGTCCCTACCTGATGGTCATGAAAGGCAACATCCCGCTTTTTGACAAGCCGCCAACCGTAACTTAGAGTTCCCCTTACACCTCGAAGCATCATATGTATGAGTTTCCAAATGAGTTATTTGAGCGGAGCAGGAGGTCAAGTGCCACTTGAATGGACTTCTACGCGGTCGCGACGTGCAGATCCCCCAAATATGAAAGGAGGATTTTTTACCTCACGTGTCATCTCGATTCGTCCACCCTGCACTGCCAAGGCAACTTGGCACTGTGGTGGCTGCAGCAACAGTTCAGCTTTCAGAAGATAGCGGCTCGGCACCATGCAATACCTGCAGGGTCACACACTCTTTTGGCATGCTACTAGATGAAAACATCTAACGGGAAAGCTCAGGTGGGGCTTTTGGCGAACATAGACAAGGCTTGTTGCGTGGTAGCTTGCTCTGCAATTTTATTCATTCCCGGCGATAGATCACTTAAGAATTCCCCTTCCCCCTTTGAAACCTACAACGGGCCCCCGGCTTAAGAGCCTGACAGTACTGTTCAAGTTGTTCTCGATGCCAACTTCAAGTCAGAAATCGAAACATGACTTATCGGATTTACACTGGTGCCTGGGTCGACTGGAGCCTTGGAAGGGTCAGTGGTACAACAATCACTCTTTCTGCCCGCGATGGTGCCCTTCTCCTTGCCTTCATTGCAATATTTGTTACAGTAATCGCTGCCAGACTTTGGCGTGTTCTCAGCTTCATATGCCACCAGATACTTGCAGCTGATGGTAAACATGACGGGCTGTACTACCAGCGGCAACTCATCCTCCGAAACATACCCGCTCCGATACCCACTACGTGGCTGTTTCTCCAACAAGCATGGCATTGGAGAGGACATGCGAAACGACCGCTTCTCAGAACTATCCCGTGGGCCTTATGTGGACTCTTGTACGCCTTTCTCCTCGGAATTGCTGCCATATTCTCTTCCAAAATTTCCGATGGTGCCACCAGCTACCGACTACTGGCCGCTGCAGACTGCGGAATATTTGTACCGGCGGACCGAGACGCCCTCCAACAAAAGAGTGCTTACGACAATTCCCTGGCTTCTATTTATGCTCGGCAATGTTATGAGGACTCATCGTCCGCATCGTGCAGCACACTACCTGTCTCATCAATCCGTTGGACTAACGAATCTGTCGAATGTCCCTTCGGAGACGATATTTGCATGGGAAGCAGGTCATTTCGAATGGAGACCGGGATGATCGACTCTCATATACACTTGGGCATCAACGAGCCTCGTCACAATCGAGTCTACTACTGGAGAGAGACGGAATGCTCGCCTCTTGTTACCCAGCGTGGATATTCGAGATTTTTGAACGGTAGTGAGGCGCAGGAGTTTGGCTGGGACGACGATGTGCTCATCAAATACTTTTACGGGAACATGGACTCGAACAACTACACCTACATCTATAACACTTATGGAGAGAGCATGAAAACCAGTTATTCGACCTGGGCTATTCACTCTATGGCCAATTCGAACGATACTATTTGGCGCCCGATAGACGCTTTAGCTCTCGACCACAGAGATGTCACACTGTTGTTCATCGCGCCCAACTCAGTCATCCATCTTGAGCCGAATAACGATCCTGTTTTTGGAGCTAATATTCCAATAGAGCTCGGGGATGGCGATGTAGCCTACCGTCCTGACCGTTATGTTAGCCCCATTGCTTGTGTGGACAGACATCGAATATGCAACCCCAATAACGGCGTCTGCACCGCGCCTCGAGGCGGGACGGAGACCATTCGCAGCGCTAGGGGTCAAGACATTGGTCTCAACGCAGTCCAGCTGGCTAGTGTAGACCGCATTGGATTCTATTTTGCGGCTTCAACCTTCAATCATCTAATCTGGACACGCACGCAAAGCTTCTTGAAGGCACAAGAGCTCGTTGCGGACCTCACGCAGATGGCACTGCCATCGAATCAGTGGCAGATCGAAATGGAATCTTTGTTTGCCGAGAACCTAGCCAAATTGCAACACTATATGTTGGAATACGTGTCAGGTCCCTCCTTGGCCGTGCGTGGCACGGTCGGTAAAGCCTGGGAGACTACCGAGGTTTTCTCTGAGGCTGAAGAAGATTACCAATTAGCACACGAGGGTATGTGCCACAAACAGAGAATCAAAGACTCGCAAGGGACGATTAACTTCTCTGTCGTTGGTCTTTCTCTGCTATTGGGTCTGGGCACAGTCTTCGTTGCTTTCTCGTATTTGCTTGAATTCATTACACAATGTTTCCAGAAAGTAACAGGTCTTGGAATAGAAAAGGCGAAGAGATGGGAGCGTGATGAGAACTTGCAGGTCATGCGGATGCTGTTCGAGTTGAAAGACGCCGGTGTATGGAAGGGTTCAACAGACTCCTTCCCCACAACTGAGTCAAAAGACGTTTTTGAGTATGATGGAGACTGTCTGGGTCGGAATCCTCGTTGTTCGACGCTGGTCCATGAGAACTATGGTAAAAGTTAAGAAGGAACTCACTGTCAGACTTTCACTGCTTGTTGTTCATTCATGTTCTCATCTTACAAAGTGGGATCCGATCTGGTTCCTTTCCACATTAAACCCAACACTTTTCACATGACTGAGGGGAAAGCCTAACCGCTATGTTATAAGCTTCAGTCCTCGATTTTTGGCGGTCAACCCGACCAACTCTCCGTATTACATGCCAGAGGTGACAAGGTTTCTTCATGCTCCGACACCTGGCGTCTATCAATTCCAGGGCAAGAAACAGAATATAAGTCAGTATAGAAGGCATTTGGCAGGTCAGTACACGGCCTGTGACGGATAGAAGGCTCCAGAAAGGAGTTCAACAGATGCCTTGAAGTTCCACAGACTATATAAACTGAACGAGAAAGCAAGTGAGTAGAAGTCTCCTGACGAAGAGCAATAAGGGTTTAGGGCATCGCATATACAATCTACCCGGTAGCTTAATAGTTATGCTATCTTCTTGGAAGTAAATCTCCCTGTAAGTTGCAATCCTGAAATAGTAGTCATGCTGCCCGAAGGACTGATAAGAACGACAAAAGATATGTAGCAAGTTTGTAGCGTAGCTCTTCTGTGATATTCGTTCTACTTAAGGCCATAGAATCAAGGAATCGTCTTGGTAGTGTCTTTGGCAGGCTTTTTCTGGTCGTCGTCGCCATCCTGGCTATCGACCTCGACCTTATCTAAGTTTGCCACGCTATCTCCGGCCTCCCTCAACACCTTCCAGTTGAGCCCAAAATCGAGGATGTCAGGATACTTCCGCACATACCACAACATCCCAAGAATCGCAGCAATGCTGCCCACACTAAAGGCAGCGGCCAACGGAAAGCCAATGGGGTACCTAGGGGAGTCGGCGGTCCTCCAGGCCCTCAGCGGGATGGTGGCATGTCCGACATACACCAACGTGACGGCCAAGCCAACAATGACAGAACGCGCTTCGGGCTCTTTGCGTAAGATGATCGCGAGCCATGCAAGCAACGCGTAGCCCCACGCCGCAGTTGCGAATGTCAAGAAGTAGAAAGTCATGATAGTGCCCCTGCCCCCTGGCCAAGCCGCCAGAACAGACGTTGCCACAAGCTGCAATAGCGCGGCGCCGACGGCGATCTGCCATCTCCAATCTTTCCAGTCACTCAACGCGTTGAGGGAGATATTGGCGACGATGGAGATCGCGTAGCCGCCAAGTGGGATGAGGTTGACCGTGTAGACCGAATAGAGCGCGCTTCCGTCACTAGCCTTGAGACCCTTGAGGTAAAGAAGGAAGTATGAGTTCGCCCGTTGGGACCAGGCGAACTGCAAATATGCTGCCAGGAAGAGGTATGTAATAGGGGAAGTGAAGAGCTTGCGTACGCGCGACCAGAGAGCCTTTCCCCTGACGATCTCTTGAGTTGTAGTTCCAGATTTGGCCATTCTCGAGGCAGCAAGGGCACGCTCATTGTTCGTCAGCCAAAGGGCTCGGGTGGTTGTGGGTGCATCGGGGATGACAATAAAGCCGTACAGACCCCACACGATCGTCATGATGCCCGAGACAACAAAGAGCCATTGCCATCCTTCCAATCCATGGGCGCCGTTGAGGTTCTTGTACAGCGCAGCCTGGAGAATGCCCAGAAACATGCTCCCCGCTTGACTGCTGACGCCGAATATGGCGAGGCGTTTTCCGAGTTCTCTAGGGGTGTACCAGTTGAAAATGAGGTTCACGATACCTGGCCACGACGTTGCCTCGAAAACTCCCAGGAAGAAGCGCAGCACGAATACGGTGCGCGCGTTTTTGGCGGCGAACGTCGCTAGGGTGATTGCGCCCCACACGACTTCGCAGAATGGAAGCCAGAGGGAGGGCCGGACGCGGGTTTGAATGAGCTGTGACGGAACGATGAAGAGCGCGTAGCCGATGGAGAAGTAGGTGGTGAACTCCACAAGCTCGTTGCCGTAGAGGGAGAGTGCCTCCTGCATACCCGAGACGTAGGCCGCCGTTGTCGCGGATTGATCCATGTCTTTCATCAGTCCTGCGATGAAGGCCCATGTCAGGAGGAGGATGTCGAGTTTGAGCACCAGTACGTGTTCGGCATCTTCGAAGTACGGGTGAATATTTGCCAGCCAGGGGATTGAGGGCTTCGTGGACGCAGCACTTGCGTCCGCCGGCGCCGTTTCGGTGTTAGTCGTCGCCATGTTGAAGGACTGCTATGCTCATCAAGCTTTCGGCCAAATTCTCTGGCTCCAGAGATCGCGCCTTGAATGATCACACAAAGTTTGCGGGTGAGCCGAGCTGAATTTTTCACTGGAAGCAGGCTTTGTTAAGTCGTATTTGAACTTGCTGGTCCGACACCAACATGCGATCGTCTTCTACCAAAACTTTTTGAAGCGGATTGTTCCCGACGAGGTGTCGGGTGGCGCCGACGTTCGCAATGCTTCACTTGCGCAACTCAGTATGGCAACATTGCCATCTTGGATGGTGGAATGCGGGAACAAAAGGCCATATACATATCCAGCCGTCAACATTTCTGTCATTTTTCAGACGAACCATGGTCAAAACTTTACGCACGTCCCCGAGTCGTGAGTGCGTAAGCTCGACATGGGATATCCCAGCACAGGGATTGTTGCCGGCCGTGGGGGGAAATGTCGCCATTCCAAGGCTATATGCTGTGACCCGTCGGAGCATAACCGCAAGGTATTCGTCGGGTGCGCGCCGACGGGGAGAAGTAGTCGATCTGCCATGCGAACCTGGAAGGACTTATCTACCCCAAAACATGCGTTCGCGCCCACACTTTCCGGGAAAGCTGGGTACATATATTGAGAGGGCAACGCGAAGTTTCAGCCGAGCTGTCAATCATTGCGTGCTTGGTGGCCAAAGCCTGTTCACAAATCAGCACAAGTAGCTAGTCCTGCACCAAGTCAGTCCAGTCACTATGTCGACCCAACCACTTTACCCCGCTTACCTGCCCACCCGGCCCGACGGTTTCCAGCCAACGATCGATGTTCCGTACTTTGAGGCCGAAGAGCCCGGGACGCGTGCGAAGGCCTCCAAGACATCCGTCTTTCGGGACGGTGCTCGAGTGGAGAACATCACGCCCCGTGTCGGGTCCGAGGTGAGGGGCATCCAGCTCAGCCAGCTGTCCAAGGCTGGTTTGGACGAGGTCGCGCTTTTGGCGGCCGAGAGGGGCGTGCTTGTGTTTGTGAGTTTATACCATTTGGTTCAACTACCAGTTGATGTTGACGACCAATGTGTTTGGTAGAGAGACCAGGACTTTGCCGACGTCGGCTTCGACAAACAAAAGGAGATTGTCCGGCACTACGGACCTCTTCACCAGGTATGAAAGTTCGCCAAGCGATAGTTGAAATTGTGTAGGATGCTACAATTTCAATCGCCTAACTCTTTTGCCAGCATCCGACCATGGGCTATCCTGAAGGCACTAGCCCAGAGTTCCATGTCGTCTACGCCGACGAGAAAGCGTAAGTTCATGAGACGCAAGGAAGAACTATATGTCCTGACCCCCAACAGAGGCAACCTCCGAACTCTCCTCGGACCCCATACGTCCTACGACCTCTGGCACGTGGATCAGACCTTCACCCCAAACGTCCCCTCCACAACCTTCTTCTGGGTCCTTGAGCAGCCCGCCTCCGGCGGCGGCGACACAGCCTTTACCTCCCTCACAGCCGCCTACGCCGCCCTCTCCCCAGCCTTCCGCAGGACCCTCCACGGCCTGCGCCTGTTCCACACCTCCGCCTCTGTAGGCGAAGTCGCTCGCGTTGGTACCGAGCGCGCATTGAAGGAAGCCGTCTCGACGACGCATCCGCTCGTCATCAAGCACCCCGTTACAGGAGCACCGAGTCTATTCGTGAACCCGACCATCGCCCGGCGCGTGGAGGGGTTTTTGCCCGAAGAGTCGGATGCGTTGCTAGGCTTCTTGCATAATCACATTAAAAGTCTCGATTTCAGTTGTCGCGTGAGGTGGGAGAAAGGAACGGTTGTGGTTTGGGACCAGAGGAGTACGGCGCATAGCGCGGTGCCGGATTTCAGAGATGGGGAGAGGAGGCACATGGTGAGGATCATTCCCTACGGTAGCCGGCCCGAACCCGCGTTTCCAGAGGAGCATAAGCGAGCTCAGGGTGATGAGGCATAGTTAATTATCGACCATTCTGTGCAATGATATGGCTCCCTTAGGAAGTATCTGTAGGCTTGACTTCAGCCATGAAAGTGAGAAGAGTAACAGCTCATACGTGACCGGGCGTCTCTCGGCTCAACTGATTCACTCCCATCAAGTCACGTTTGTATCCCTGAACGTGTTCGATCCGCAATGGATCTCCCCGCCCACAACGTGATGCGACAGAAAGTCGTCAAAAAAAGCTCATCTCCATCCCCGCACTGCCATACGTCTCCCTCACAGCCATCCCAATCAGATCGACCCCCTCAGCCACCGGACCCCAAAGCTTGGGACCGAGGTAATGCTGCCATACGGCAGCATCGTCTTAAGGTTCCCAAACGAGAGGATTTCCAAATGGCCGAATCCCCGATGGCCGCTCTCGGGTCTGGAAGCCCACCACCCCCTTGCCTCGAAGTTGTTCGAAGATCTCACGACCCCCAGTGCGGATTGACTGCGCGGAGCGGAGCAATATCCGGTCGAACATGGCCCGTTGGGGCCAGTCATGCTCGCGTACGCGGGCTCGAGAAAGTCGGAGGTCCTGGATTAGCCTCGGCGACCTGTACCAGCTGTGTCCATCGTTAGGACTCAGGCTCGTTCTTTACGACAAGACCAATATAGAAGCCGTCTTCTAAAGGAGTAGCGGTTGGTGTTATGATACCTGCAATGTAGGTGTATGTCTTGGAAATGGCAATAAATGGTGGTCTTGTCATTGACACGCACAACGTGCATCACAGCGACTGAGGCCATCTTCAGGGTCACACTCGACGGCGCCAACTCCCTTCAGAAGAGATTTTTTGGCCAAGACCTTTTTATAGAGTCTTCGGCTCGGCCGTTGTGCATGCGATGCCACCTCGACGCTGCGGCTCATTCATACGATGTCCGTCCCAGCAACAGTCATCGCATGGGCATGGCGAGCAACACGTAGCTGCTCGCCCGAAAGAGCCGCGCGTCGAGCAGTCACGTCCGCGCTGCAGTATTTACTCCGACGCCAACCCCCAGGAGGGGGCGCGCGCGATGAACATTAGATATGTCAATTATCTAACTGGACTTTGATGATCCGCTGGGTTATGCACGCTGGTAAAGGAAAACATAAGAAAAGAGCAATACCCGGGAATCCGCCCCCCCCCCCCATACGCCTGACAGAAGTCTATTGTAAAGCCCAAGTAGGTAGACCAGGAACTAGGTGATGAAACAAAAAAGTGGCGGCCGTCCCGTCGACCTTTAGTGGTCGTACCCAGCGCCGCGCTGCCATGGACTAGGTGAGATATTAGCAAGGGGGCCCACGGCAGAGGACGGTGAGAGTGAGTGGGCTTACCTGTTGTTGTTTTGCAACCGGAACTCGTGCATATTTTGGTGGTTGGCAAAGGGACTTGTCGGCGGAAAGTCGTTCCCGGGCTGGGAGTGTGGCGTGACGGGCGTGCGGGGCCGTATGGACGGGTCCGCGGGGAACATGGGCACGGAGGGGCTGATGGCGGGGCGGGTGCCGGCCGACGGGAGGACCGAGAGCTCGTGGTTGTCGCCGGAGGGTGGGGAGGGCGGCCGGTAGGGGGCGTTGCCCATGCCGCCCTCGATGGCCTTTTCTCCGAAACGCAGCGACTCGCGGCGGTTCGAGTCGTCCTCGTCGAGGTCGAGGAGGCCCTTGTTCTCTGTGCGGTCGCCCTTGCCGGTGACGGAGGGGTCGTTGAGCTGGGTGGGCTGGGTGGTGGGCTGGCCCTTGACGCGCCAGAAGACGAGGATGCTGGAGATCATGACCATGAGCAGGAGGACGAGGGCGAAGGCGGCGTTTACGACGAAGAGCACGACGCCGACGGCGCCGACGACGATGCCGGGGGCGTTGAAGATGTTTGTGAAGATGAGGAGGAAGACGGAGTTGATAAAGTTGATGGCGAAGATGGAGATATTGAACGAGTTGGTGGGCTTGTCCATGTAGGGCTTGACGACGCTGACGCCGATGAGAGCGGCAGCCTCGATGACCATGAGGGCGACGGCCTGGCCAAGGCCGGAGGCCTGGCCAAAGGCGACGACGGCGGCCTTGAGGAAGACGTAGGCGATGAAGGGGATGATGAAGTAGTAGGCGGAGGCGCGGTACTGGACGTAGAGGAAGCCCCACTTGTTGATGATGGCGGGGTTGGAGAAGAGGACGTGGGCGGGGTTCTGGTGGGTGAGGATGGACTGCTTGGCGATGCGGATGACCTTGAAGGAGGCCCAGAAGAGGGTGAAGAGGGTGCCGAAGAAGAAAACGACGGCGAGGACGATGAGGGCGGGCGAGTCGGCCTGGACAAACTCCCAGAGGCACAGGACGGCGATCTGGGGGAAGCCGATGAGGCAGAGGCGGAACAGGATGCCCTTGAGCGTCGTCTTCCAGTCGCGGCGGAACTCGACGAAGCGGTCGCGCTTGGTCCAGTTGTTCTTGGCGGCGATCTCGGTGCCGTAGCGGAAGGCGGCGACGCCGAGGACGGTGAAGAGTACGAAGGCGCAGTAGACGATGAGGCCGGTGAGGAAGAGGTTCGTCGTCTCGATGCGGGCCTTGAACGCGACGCGCTGGATGCCGTAGACGAGGTAGGAGCCGTTCTCGAGCTTGATGTTGGCGCGCTTGGCGAGAGCGCCGAGGCCGCGCTTGACGGAGCCGTGGACCAGGTCGACGGAGCGCTTCGAGACCTGGACCGAGACGCTGCTGACCGTGTCGAGCAGGCGCGAGGCCGTGCCGCCGGTGGAGCGCTGGTACCAGGTGCACAGCGTCTGCATCCAGCCGAGGTGCACGATGCCCATGGACCACTGGAAGTTCTGGGTCCAGCCCTGGACGATGGGGGGCATGTCGACGCCGCTGAGGCCTAGGAAGGCCTGGGCCTGGAAGTAGCCGAAGAGCGAGAGGGCGTTGGCGGCGAGGTGGGCGGCGGCGTCCGAGTGGCCCATGGCGGAGATGATGCCGGCGGAGCCGAGGCCGAGGCCGGCGATGACGGCGGTGGCCCATTTGACGCCGACGAGGTCGACCGTCTTGCCGTTGGAGAAGTCGGCCTCGACGCAGGCGACGGTCTGGTTCGTGTCGGTGAGGTTGACGATGGCGCGGATGGTGGCGTCGAGGTCGGGGATGGTGTAGGCGATGCCGGGCACGGCGTCGAGCTTGTCGCCGATCTCGAACGAGAACTCCATGTCGATCTTGCCGGGCTTCATCGGGCACAGGCCCTGGAGGTTGGAGGTGCACGGGTCGATGGTCATGCGCAGGTACTCGTAGCCGTAGATGCGGAGCGCCACGTCGAAGACGGCCTTGCCCTCGACGGAGACGACGGCGGCGACGTTGGCCGTGACGGAGCCATTGTTGGCCGACACGACAATGTTGAACAGGCTGGCTTCAAAGTCCGAGTCCTTTTGGCAGTTGTTGAGCGAGGACGACTGGAGGATCCGGTCGCCGGCGAGGGCGGAGGGGAGGAAGGCGTAGATGAGGTAGGGAACGACTGCGGTGAGTTTCATTTTGGATTTAGATCGAGGTCGTTTGCCGTCGACGGGTCCGGTTCAGAAGTCCTAAAGAGTTCACTATTCGTCGGGGCGTCCCGTCAGCAAAAAAACAAAGGGCGGAAGAAGGGGCTCTCTGGCCGAGGCCTCTCTACTCACGATGATTTGACCCTTGGAGTCGAACGGTTCGTACGGGAATTATTTAGAAAGAGGGTCCCAAAAGAGCGTCGACCCCCTGAACAAACGAACGAAAAGAATGGCGAGCAAGGCGGATCGACAGACGAGCGACTTTGACCCCGACGAGCACACGGAGAGAGAGAGACTATTCAATCAATAGGACAGAGGGCGCATTCGGGGCGTTTCTTCGAATGCAACACTAGAGTCCAGTCCAGTCCAGTCGCTCGGCCAAAGAAAGAAAATAGGTCAAAAACCGCGTTCAATGAGTGTATATCGAGAGACTAGGCTGAAGCAACAGTCTCTCATGACGGAAGATTGGGGCTTTTGGATCAAGGGGGGGGGGGGCGATGGGGAGTGGGAGGAGGAATGGGGATGGGACGGGTGATAATAGGGGATATGATGGATGGGGGCGTGTCGCACAACTCGGCTACAAGCGTTTTGCCAAGCTGCCAGTTGCCGTTTGATGCATGCAATTTCTCTATACGCGGCGACACGCACCGGTGATCTTGGGGTCTGGAGGCGAAGCACGCTTCGCGGTGGGGGTTCCAAGACAGGCACCAAGAGGAATAAACTCTGTATGTCATGTAGAGTCGCCGTCGTCGCACGTCTTTTCCGCCTGAACATAAGAGGAAGAGGGCGAGAGAGTGAAAGGAACGCTCCCACAACGATCGCCCATGCTGCCACCGCTCCAATGAACCAACACGGGCCGGGCCAGGCGTTGGTTCGTTCGTTGGTTCGTTCGTTCGTTCGTTTGTTCGTTTGTTTGTCCATACCACTAGTATATGCAAGGTAATATTCAAGGTTGAATGTGCAAACTATGCACGTCCACTGATATTCCTGTACCTGGCGCCGTTCCCCCTTGTCTCCCTGCCTGCTCAGCTGAGATAGATGGCTGTACCTTACCTTAGCGTCCCGTCCCCCCTCTCTCTCTCTCTTCTGCTCTCTCTTCCTCAGCTCAGCAGCTCACCTTGCACTGCCCCAAACTCTGCGCGCCAATCTTATTGGGTGACGCATCTCGAGCTGCTCTCCAGATTGTTGTCCCCATTGGTCCCCATTCCACCGCACAAATGGCACGCATTCTTGCCCCTAAATCGCCGAGAGATCCAAGACCCTTGAAACGAGACGAGGCACTTGGTGGTAGTTTATGTACCCGCAACGGGGAGGGGCCAAACGAGAGCCCACCGCAATTCCTCGGATCGACGAATCCGTTCTAGCTGCGCAGAACCTGGGCGCGTCGGAGGGCCACGCAAAGGGTGAGAAGCGAGTCGTAAGCAATACGCCAGGAAATCCTTCTACCACCTTGAGCCAACCGGTGGAACCGCCTGGGCTGGTCTGGTCGCCAATGCATTGGCCCGTCCCCGAAAAAGCTGCCCTGCCGGGTTATGCATGCTTCAGGTCAATCAGGTAAGGCCTCTCCCTCTCTCGCTCTCTCCCTCCCTCTCTCTTCCCCTCTCTGCCTCTCGCGCGCCTTTAACAAAGAGGATTCCCGGGGACGGAGGGAAAGAGGCTCAGCTTCATTCCAGTTTACTAGCCCGTTCGCCCATCGCAATCTCAGTGGACGATGGCGGCGCGGCAGAGCCGTGCGGCCCAGCAAGAAAACTCTCCGCGCTTCTTTGACAGTTGTTTAGTTCCTGGTCCACCAACACAAATCTAGAACGCCGCGCCGGGGAAACCCCTGATTTAGGCGCCCTTGGTGCCGCCAACGCTGCCAAGCGCCCTTTGGTTGGTCGCAGTTGACAGCCGGGCTGAACTGGAACCCTCTTGGCGCTTTCTTCTCCGCCGTTTGGACGGTTGTCCCTTCACGTCGCACGCAGTCGTCGCCGTCTTTTGTGAGCCTAATGACGTCGCAGGCGCCGCGCGGTCCGAGACAAAAACACGCGTTGATCGCAGTGCTTTCTGTCATGAGCAGACAGTAGCAAACACGGCATGCAAGGGAAGCGAGAGAACTCTGCCAAGTTCTGCATAGGCGTGGACTTCGAAACCAGGTTTCCGGTTGGAAGATACAGAGCATAGTTGCTACCATGAGACGCAGCCTCTTGCAACTGCTCAGAGAGCTCGCTTATTGACTGCAGTATGCCACAGTCCTTGCTATCGGTGGAAAGCTAGAGAGCTTGACGCCAAGCAGAAGACGACACGGCATCATCCCGGTTCTCAAATTCGATGCACAACTCAACCCGAGAACACTCTCAGTCCCTGGGAGATGAGGCCAAGTGTTGGCGCCGTCAAAAGCCACAAAGTCAAGCGACTTGGCTAATACTCGAATCAGCTGGCTGACTCTGCCAGTACCCCCCTCGTATGGATACTGCGCCGATGCGAATATGCCCAAGAACCTAGACGAAAGATTTCAGCAGAAACTGCTCCAAAAAAATCTCCCTAGCCAAACATTGCTGATAGCAGGCTTATGAAGGAGACAAAACAGGCCCCCTCAAGACAACGTTTGAGTCAGCATGGTTGGTCGTGAGAGCCCAAATAGCCTCGCGCAGAACAGCCTGCGAGCTGGCAGGCGACTGAAAAGTCACCCGAAAGTGCTCTGGCGTCAGAAACTACTTGCTCATCTGCGACGGCTCCAAGTTGAATTGATCATCTGGTAATTAGCGCGTGCGATCGGCCTCTCAAGTGCCGAGTCTGCTACAGTGCCGTGTCAAAAGTCTGAAAACCCCCGCATCGGAAGTGCACCACATCACCATCCCATCGGTTTTCGGACTTTTGACATGGCACTGTAACAAGCTGCGAAAGCCGGCCACCAGCCAGCGGCCCCGATCTCTGGCTTTGGCCCCACGGGAAACCTTTCGGGGGCCGACATCGCCGCATCCGTGTTTGGCCCGTTGCCGTCTGACGATAAGCGCTTGATAGGCACGTTTTTGGCAGACATCTCATTACAGTCCTCTCCGCCTAGTGACATGCTCTACGAAATGCTTGAATTGTGCATGTTTCACTCCCACCTTGGTGACTCGTAGCCACACTTTCACCAACCTCGCCGCCACATTCGCAGCATCCACAACATGAGTCTCGGCCCGCAATGCTGGCGTTGCCGCAAGAAGCGCCTGCGTTGCGACTCTTCTCACCCGTCATGCAGGAAATGCCTTCTTGCAGAAGCTGAATGTCCAGGCTACGGCGACAAGAGACCGATAGCGTGGCGAAGCCCACTAGTGCCGACGGACAAGGGCATCGTCCGGATCCGGGATCCGGAAAATGTGAAGAAACGCTCTGCCCCGGCCTCCGTCCTAGGCATCGTATGCCGATCGCCAAGGACGGCCGGCTCCGAGATGGAGCTCAAGATAGCCACCGATGCCATGGAATACTGTGGGTAACATGCAATCCATCTGTAACCAATGGTCTGATGCTTCTGGCAGACAACCACCATGTTGCACCAGATCTGGTGCCGTACTCGATAATACGCAGCCCGTACCAGGTGTCTCCGCCACAGGTTATCGAACTGGCCGAGTATCTGCGTAATGCATTCATCTCTATCGCGGCGCTGCACAGACACGTCAGCGGCGAGCCTTCCTTGGTTTTCAAGCTGTCACCTAGTAATGATGGCGGTGCGCAACCGGCCATCCGCTCTCGTGCTAGGGCGGCTGCGACCACGCCAGAAGACTCCGAGCTCTCGAGACTGGTAGCAGCAGGCGATTTCAAGAGCGTCTACTTCGCAACCCAAGCTGGTGCATTGAAGGCCCTGGGTGAAGAACTGCGTACATACCGGCCTGATGAGCCGACAGACGCTTTTAGTCCGAGCATCCTCGTCGGCATCATGGTGATGCTCTCGTCCCAGGTAACGTACCCTTCGCCACCTCGGCGTGCCTGTATCTGGAAGCTGATGGCAGCAATCAGATCCAGTTCTCGGCATACGCCCCCTGGCAATTCCATGTCGACGGAGCCTGGGGTCAGGTTCAAGCCCACGGCGGCTTCGATGTCGTCGCCAGAATGGATGTTGAACTCTGTCGATTGTTGCAGCACTTTGCCGTTTTTGACATATTCGGCATGACCACCCACCGCTTCACAGCGGTGTCTGCCCAGACGGTCGTCCGTCGAGCTTCATCGTACGCCTCGGTATTCGAAAACTTCAATGTGAAAGTCCGTAATCCATGGCAGCTGGTTCCAAACGATTTAGCCAAGATCTTGATCCGGATCAATGTAGTCCGGGCCAACTACGCTTTGTCTTTGAATGCAAAGTCTCGTTTAGAAGGACTCCACGACGTCCTGGACTTTCTCGACGGTTCTTGTCCAGATGACTGGGCTGCCGAAACCCTGACAACTGCCGCAGTTTGGCTGAAGCCGAGTAGACTGAGTGAAGACCGACAAACCAAGGATGCGTGGAGAGCTTTAATGGCAGCATATCACAGCGCTGCCATCTTGTATGCCATCAGCAGCCTCACAGTCTTTGGTGGCAATTTGATGAGTGAAGCTGCTTGGGGTCCGGCTTCCTTCCTTGAGAGGAGGATGAATGCATACCGCGCAGTCCTCTCATCTCTCCGCGTACTCTTCGACCAAAGGGCTCGGAGACAGCGGCATGGCACGGTTGATTCGCAGAGCCCCATCGCAACCAGCGCAGGTCTGTTGCACAAGTTTGTCATTTGGCCGATGGTTATTGCCGGTACCCAATCCGCCCTGATTCATCACGACGAAAATGCCACTAGGTTCCTGTGCTCAGGGATGCAAGCGGTCGGTGAAGAACTGGGCACGGTGAGCATGATAGACGGTGCTCGTCTGGTCCAAAGATTGCATCACGCAAAAGAGCATGGTCGCGACTTCTCGTCATGGGACGACTTATTCGACGGGGCACCCTTGTTTCTCATGTGAAGAAGCTATGCACCAGTCCCAGGTTCACCCAAGATAGAACGTAGGACAATCTAGGAGCTTGGAACTGTCCCCCCGCAAAAAGGGTCCCCACGAGGTTTCGCCCCTCCTGAGCAACACCGGGTCAGACAGCCAAGCGTCGCCGATGTGTCCGAACCGATCGTCTGAAGGTTGTGGATGCCGTCGCGCCGTACCCGGTCGAGCCGCGGACGATCATTGCCGATGCAGCGTCGTCAAATCCGAGACACGGAGCGTCAATCAGCGTTTGTAATTCAACCAAATTCCTGCGTTCGGCAAACACATCCTGGATGATTAGTGGTCGACCAGCGTCACGAAAAGGTTTGGATCTGGAATTGTGTGAAAAGTATTCATATAATCCGTTGGATATGTACAGGGAAAAGGGTGCGTGTGCAGCGCCGACATGCCGAAGGGTGTACCGAGCAGCAGTCCAAATTACAAGTCGGTCTAGTGTATCCAGACAAGCAAGATCCAGTGTCGGTGCGATTCTCACACGCGACATTGGGGGATATATAGAGGATGACGGATGCAGATATGCAAATGCAGCATCGACTAGTGGCAACCTTCCAGCAGAGCAAAATAGCAACGACAGGCTCCCAATACAAATGCAAGTGCGCCGCTAAGAGACGTGACGGAAGATGGTCGTAAACAGCAATATGCCAATTGCTCCTGAGCAAAGCTTCGTCGCACCTCGAAGACTCGCCCCGAGGGTATTCATGTCGCCGTCGTGAGATCGCTGTCCCAACACGCGTATCGTCCACCTTTTTGAATCGTTTGTTAACGTTATGTTTTTTCTTTCTAAGTCGCCTTACAAAGCGCAAGCCGAATGCGCCTAGCGTCTGATCTCACTGACGGAGACGCGGCTTGACCTCCAATCCTGTGTCGGGCTCTGCTTGTTGGACGATCCAAAACCAGGCATCGAAGAGAAGCGACTCAACCGCTTCTTGCTGGGCTCTGTCTGCGACGGAACCGACTCTGTGGGAGAGACAGGCTCGGCATGGTGGAGGGCATCGACGCGTGGTGACGAAGGCTCCTTGCTGTTGGCAGTACCAGTGGAGGAACCGGTCGAAGTAGGGGTCTGGTAGACGTACTCGCCGTCGACGTAGACAGCGTTGGAGACGAAAGTTGAACGGCGATGACGGCGGCGGGTGTATCGCTGCTCGAGGCGGAAGAGCTCAATCTTCTGCTGGATACGTTCAATGATGCCGGGAGCCATTTTGAAGTGATTTTTTGCAATGTTTGCGAGAGTCGATGTAAACTCGAATCGGAGCGTGCCTCTATCGGGGTCGTGCGAGGCGTCGGTGCAGAGACGGGCTGGCGACGGGACAAGACAAACTCAATCGACTCGTTGGGACGACGTATACTGAGAAAGGACGAAGTCTGTGGTCGGTGGCAGACGTACGATGTAATGTAGGGACGCGAGTTATCGGACGAAAAGCTTAATGGGACTGAAGGAATGCGTGGAACAGGATGTCGCAGTGTCGTGGCACAGATGTCTCTGGTGGCTCGGATGTGATGCTATTTCCCCCTTTTCTTTTTCTGGCCTTTGCGGTGGGATCTCTTGTTGAGAGAGGTTGATTAGGCTGGCAGGGCGATCGGGTGTGCGTGAGCTACGATCGGGTGACCTTGGTCTTGTTCTTTTTTGTAATTGGGTGCGGGTACGCTAAGAGTAGCTTGCTGTCTGTGTTCTGAGTCGGTGCGGGAGCGAAGGAGTGAGAGGAAGTCAAAACGCCAGGCTTCGAGGACCTCGTGGTGGTTTATTAGAACGAGTGAACGGGACCGGAGGGGCTTGTTGGTGTGTGTGTCGTGTGTAGCCGGTAGTGTGTAGCCGGTAGTGTGTATTGTGGAAGTGGTTGGTTAGGACAGAAGAGGACTGGACTGGATGAGTTGGATAGCGGCGGCGGATTGGCCTTGGAGGGGGGGCGTGTGTGGTGGAAGAGAAGAGAATGAATGGCAAGGTCAAGGTCAAGGTCAAGGGTGAACGGAAGAAGTGGAAGTCTAGAAGACGAGAAGGGGAAAAAAGGAGGGGGAGCAAGAAAAAGGATTCGACGATTGCGACGTTGGGCGACTCGCGCGAGAAAAACGACGGCAGGTGCAGCTCTGCTGGTAGAAAGGAAGGTATGGAAGTGCAGGAGCGAGCACGGCAAAAAAAAAAGTGCGAGTGCAAGTGCAGAAAGAGGAGTAGGTAGGCAGTGTAGATAGTGGAGGGGCAGCAAGAACAGCCGCAGGTGCGCGCGCGAGAGTTGATTGCAGGATTGCATGAACCTTCATGGGTGATGGAAGAGCAGGGGAGGTGGCAGGACCAGGGTGGGTGGATTGCGGTGGATTCCGTGGGAGGGAGGCCTTGGATTTGGAGCAGAGAGAAGGCGCGTTCCATCACCCTTGCACTTGGACAAGCATGGGCAATGCATGACAATGTCACCTTCATGCAGGTGCCACTGGCAGTGCTTTCCCAATGCAGTCCAGTCCAGTTGAATCCAGTCCATCATAATCTGTATGGTTGGGAAGTTGCCATTCGATCCCAATGACCGACGATGAGAGACGGGTCGGAGTTGGAGAGAGATATCCAGGAAGGCAGGGACAGCGGTCCCCCGATAGACCGGTTCTGTCTTGTTTCTTCCCTGCCAGTCGCTCTCAGTTCCTGCCCATCCTTTCCCTCTCTGGCCAAATCGTCGACCGAACGCCCCACTTAGCCACTCCGCTAGCCCCCACTTCCCATGCAATAGTAGCCAACGAGACGACGCCGGTGCCGACGCCTTCCTTGTCCAACCATGTGCTCTCCTGCCCTTTCCCAGGAGCCCGAATTCCCTCCCCAGACGTTGCTTCTCGTTCTTGTTCTGTATCTGTACTCCGAGTCTCGTTCCTTTTGGTGTGGGCTCCCCTCCCCGTTCTTGCGCGTTGCCATTGTTTCCTGCAATTGCACTTGCACTTCCAGCTCTGCGCGCATTTTCTTTGTCGAATGTTTCCATTGAGTGAGTTTTTTTCTAATCTCCCCACCGTTCGTCTCTCTATTTCGTCCGATCGTGTCCGTATGATCCGCCTTTGTCGTGGTTTCCAACCGTCGGAAGACCAGCGCTTGGCTAACCACCGATGGAGGCGTGGGTTTCTCTTTCTTCTTCCGCGTGGTTCACCCGTCTCGGCCCGTTGTCAAAGAAAAAAAGAACACAAATCCACCTGGGCACTCCAGAGCCGACAGCCATTCGACCGTCTTAACCCAACAGTGAACCGTACCATAGTAAACCGCTGCGTCGATCAAGCCTAGAATGCTCCACGAATGCTAGTGCTGCATCAGACTTGCTTTGACTTCACACCACCAACTATCTGTATTCTTGTGCGTCCCGTCAATCCGTCAACCCATCCTTCCATCGACGTTTGTGAGGAGCGCTTGGAGCTTCAACCTTCAGCCTCCTGAGGATTAAAACAGTCAATACACCGAGCCCACCCATGTCGCCATCATCGTTGCCCTTGAACCGGCAAACCTCGTATGGGCCCCCTCCCCTGTATCCCCCTCCGCCACCCAACTCTCCTGAGCCCTCGCATTCGGCGTTACATCGCTTCAAGAGTAATCGGTGGGACTTGTTCCCAGGGGTTCGTCCGGCACGATCCCCGCCCTTCGGGTCGTCCGACCCCGGGACGAAGACTGGTCCTGCTGTTAAGCGATATTGCCTTTCGCCGTCGGGACAACCACCATCGTCGGTGCGCAATTGTCAGCAAACGTCTTCGATGCCCAAGATAGATCAAGCTAACGGTACATTTGTATGGGCTGACAAAACGGCATTGGCTTCGCAAATGATACATCGCCGAGTTGATTAAGTTCTCTCACCGGAGCAATCGTGCGATTCTCGGAAGGGTGAACAGCTGACCCCTCTGCCACCTCCTCAAAAAGCTTCAACACAGCCCATATGATCGCAAGACCTTTTCTGTTGTGTCGAATCTGGAACAGGGATCCTGTTGTCGTGTTTACACAGCGTCTCTAAGTGAACAAAACTTGGCTAGGGAAGCCCAACATAGCTGCATGACAACTGTACTGCTGTTCTTCACTAACCTCTGTAAGCCTCATACTGCCTCGATAGACACAATCGTCATCCAAGCCATTTTCCAGCTTTCGGGCCTTGGGCTTGAGCCGGTACTCAGCTTTCAGCATTTCCCGAGCACCCCTTGGCTTCCCTACCGTAATCCTCGGGCAACTCTCAGATTATAGCTATTATGTCGAAGAGAATCAAACCCCGCCAAGTCAAGCGTCACATTCAATTATTGGACCGTCAAGACACACCTTCAAGTGTTGTCGACCGTTAGGACTGAGTTGTTCCACTTCATTGAATGCTCTCCGCATAGCTGACTGAGTCAAGTACTCGAAATGGGCAACATTGATGGTGTTGTCCGTCTTAGGAGCCAGGGAATCACCATATTGAATGGAGTTACGGCCGAGAAACGTTTCGTACAGCTTGGATGACTTGATGGTAGTCACATGATTGTCCTCGGCTCTACATCAAATACGTAATGAAGTGCTCCTCTACCTGACGACACACTACCGACCTGGGTTTCATACCTCGTTACATACAAGATCGCTCGTCAGTTCGTTGAAGTGTTCCTTGATCCACGGTAGAATCAGGTCTCCTTGTAACCAAAAAAAGCTAGATTTTTGAGGGTATGCTGAAAGATAATCTAAAGCCGTTTGCACTGAACCATCAATTTCAACTGGACGCCTCAAGGCCCAAGGATCAACGTCGGGACGAACCATCAGGGCCCTGATGGCAGCAAAGTTGAGCGCCACCATGGCACTGATGAGAGGGGTACGACCGGAGTTGTCCCGCAAGTCTGGCTGGATTGAGGGTCTCGCAAGGGCTCTCACTATGGCATTTTTCCACGCGCTGTGGCTGGCCAAGTTGTGCAGTAGTGTTTTGCCTTCCTTGTCCTGCAAGTTGATGTTGTTTTGAGGCGCCACCGAAAGAAGAATGATGAAAAGGGCCTTCGTTTCAGGCCGAGGAATCCATCTTTGGGTCAGCGTGTGCAATGCCGTTTCTTTCGTTCGACGGTTGACGAGGAAGTCGACTCCTGGGCATTGTGCTAAGAACTTTACCATTTCGACTTCTTGGCCGTTCTTGTTGACCTTGCTCAATAACTCGATAGCCAAACAAAGAGCAGTTTTTCCGGTTTCTCCAACTTCTTCGTTGACGTATCCAGTACTCTCAGAGTGTAGTGCTAAGATAGCCATGACCACTTTGAGACGACTTTGGGAAACGGCGTGATGTAAAGGCAAGAAACCGTCGGTATCTCGGATCTCTTCTGAAAACACCGTTCTCTCGTGTGACCGCAACTGCCTGTAGATTCCTACGTCTCCTTGTATTGCCGCATAGTGATAGAGGGTGTGCCCGTTTGGTGTTGGCTTGGGGTCAGCATCTGCTCCAAGTTTCAACAATTCCCGGGCTATGGCTGGCCTGTCCCCCAAAAGGGCCAAATGCAACAGTGTGTGGCCCTGGTTGTCTGCTTCGTTGAAGCCGACTTCATCGGTTAGGAACGACACGTCTGACAATTTCCAATGCCAAGGATCGGTTCTCGAGAGATAGTCTTTCGGGATGTTTATGTCCTTCTCGCCGTATCGAACAAGAATATCCCGTACCCAGTTATCGAGAGAGGAGATGGCAGTATAAAATCTGCTGTTACCATTCAATCTCGCTTTCAAGAAAACACAGCCAAAGACAAAAGTGAGAATTACTTTCTTCGTATCCATGTCGATCGTTGAAAAGCCCTTCGGCCCCGGGCTGAGGCCTCGCGAAGTCATCAGCCTCTGCATGTCGGCTGCGTAGTCTCTCGCGATGGCTCTGAATTCGGCGAAATCGAATCTCTGACGATCAAAAATTTCAGCCAATTCGCTCACGACGGTACCGAGCGGCTTTGTATGCCTCTCTTCCAACGATTTTGCATCCAACTCTGGATCACAGTCGGGTAAAACGACCAAGGCTCTAGTGATGATTCTTGCTTCATCCGAGTACATGTCCAAAATAGATAATCGCTTGGCTAAAGCCGCGAAGAGCGTTTGCTTAACGCTCCCAGGCTGGCGTAGATCTGAAAAAGAGGAAGGGAGACCGAAGCTAGACGACCAAATACTCCAGAAACCTTTTTCGGCCGAATCGTATCCGAAGAACTCGACTATATTGTCTTTTTGTACACTTGTGAAAAGTTGCTCATTGCTGGAAAGTTTAAGCAGAGTAAAGAGGTTGATCCTCAGGGTCCGTCAGTTTGAAGGCTCACTTGAGGGATGTTTCTTTTACTTACAGATCTCTTTCGCTCCACTCTTGGTCTGCAACGTCAAAACTAGTTTGGACAACCCCAAGGCTCATGCGGGGGAGCGATACGTTGCCTTCAATCATGGATTCGCGGCCGGCCTGAATTGAAGTATCTGCAATGTCCAGCAGTGGACCCAGGTGCGCTTGTCTCCTAACTCTTTTCTTAACTGTGCTGGGCGAGCATGGCAATTCTTTGGCAAGACAACGGTCGCACTTTTGTGGCCATTGGCGAGGCTGTGGACTGCACTAAAAGTTGGAGTCTCTGCCTTAGCGAGTACTAAAAGCAAGACCGGATGAGGAGATTGCAATACCTTGACTTTATCCGTGCGACACCTATGACACTTTGCATTGTTCAACTGCCGGGGGGTCCTTCTTTTTGTGGGTGTATCGTGTTGGTTTTGTCCCGCAGATACCACATCGCTCTGGCGTGTATTGGGGATAGGGCTCGGAACTAAAACTTCCCATGAACTGATCGGAATGGGAGAGTTCTGGGAAGAAGGGCGCAACTCATGGGATCCGGGACGGTCTTCTTGAGAGTGATAGGAGTAGTACATAGTGCACAAATCGGGACGGCTTTTCCAAAGACGTCGTCGGGTGTAAGGTACAGACAAACATACAATGGGTTCAAGACAGCACAAAGTGCGAAGGGAAGGGCGTGCCGGATTTAGGTATCCCATCGAGTGCGGCAAGACGTCCAAAAACCCCTATGCGGGGTAAAGCCAGTTATGTGTTGTGTTCGGGATTGCAGCGAAATACTTGCCTGATTAAATGCCAAAAATCTATGAGTTCCAGTTTGGAGAAAAGATGGAGACTTGAATGGATATGGGATGGGTTCTTGACGTCTTGTCGCACTCGATGTGATAAATCCATCCACCTAACTGCCTGAGAATATCAGCTCAACTGAACAGCAGCGAAGGGGCCGTGCGCCAGCTGGCAAAGAGCAGCGCTTCGCCTCAGTATGATTGGCTTTCGCACATCTTAAGTGCGATGGCCAGCCCAGGTCGCCTGCATAGGTGTTGCCGCTTCCTGCATCTCTCTCAAGGGGCGCGGTGACATACAGGGGCTTGAAGTGACAAGTCATAATGTTCCCTCACGAGTGCCTTGCGGAGTAAGCCATTTCTTTCGCACTTGCGTCGCACTTTGCCTTACCTAGCAGATCTTTCTACGTTGGTCAGACGGGCGCCTCAACCTGCGGCTCAAACCAAAGTGTGGGAGCTAACAACATGCCTGCCATCGCACTTTTCGCACTTTTGCCCTTCGGTCTCTTGCTGATTAATTATGTACAGCCCGTTCGAGGGCAATCCCGCGTGTCTTCGTTCCATGTCCATGTTTGGCTGGTCTTTGACCACATTGGTTTGGATGCCAAGCAACAAATAACGCTTCCTGGGCGCTTCGCAGTTTCGTCGCACTACAATGCAATCTTGGTAGTTAAGTCCTCGTCAGGCAACAGACCAATACGCCACAGACCCATCGGCACCTCAATCGAACTAAAGTGATCTCAATTTCTTCTACAACACTCCTCATCGCACTTGACGAGAGCAGGCTGATCAATGCTATCGGGCTGGGTAACGCATCCGGGAACCTAGGAATACCTGATTGCGTTATCGATCAACAGCCTCTGTACCCTGCTCGATTGGTTTCGCACGCATCGCACTTAGATCTTTTTCGATTCCCCCAAAATCCTGTAGCAAGATCATCGCACATATCGCACTTGATGTGACGATGGATGAGCCTCGCCCATTCTCGCCCACGAGATCCCAGGCAATGAAGAGGGAACTGGACCAGCTTCGCACTATTGGTCGCACAAACAATCAGTATGGACCCGGGGGATGATTTAAGAAAGCGAGAGACCATCTCGTACGACGCAAGATCTATATTCTCATGCTCTTCGTCTCTACCATCACTCAATATAGCATCAAGAGACAATTCCTTTCTCGCCCTACCATCAAGAGTTCCTGCGCTTCAAAGGCGGTCTCAGCTGCCATAGTCCTGCCATAAGACCCCACCACCTACTCCGTTCTTAGTCTTTTCCCGATCGGTATGGGCACAGCTGGGTCGCCGCAATCCTCAGTCGGCGTCGACGAGATACTCACCATGGTATTTGGCATCGTCGCTTCCTTCACAGCCTTTATCGCACTCATGCCAGTCGTGCAAAGACTCAGGCATGGTTGGAATCACCGCTTCGCCAGACGTCGAATGGATCATCCCGAAACTGGATACGAGATGCCCATGCGTTTAGCGAGGCCGAGATCTTTCTCGGCCCCTCCCGTCACCCACACGGCACACACTCGGACTGATGCTCCACAAATACCACCGGTGCTGTGACGGTGATGCCGGTAGCGCACCTTACCCCATCGGATCTAGGATGTCCTCGTAGTCAACAATGGGGGCCAATTGGCTGGGCGAGCGTCAAAAAGTTTGCTGAGTCGAGGGCAAGACATCAAAAAGCTATTCTTATAACCGTGTGTAGCCAGCCCTTCAAACTTCTGGGAACTAAACTGACATTTTTTCCCACAGCGAGCTGTAATTATTTGGAGATAGTGCGACCACATACTGGAGGCGGACTTAAAGGGTGGATCTGTGTTGCTGTGTAGCAGATGTATATCGGTAAAGAAGAAGGGGGAAAAGGAAAACTCAACAGACAGGAATGGAATGAAAGTGACTCGTGTTGCCACACGCCTATCTTGTTCAAGTGCATTTCTCCATTTGCAAAGAGCATAACAGGGCATCAACGTTCACCCACGCCTCTGTGACAATGCCCATGACCCTCACAGCTCTTCATCTGACTCCTCAGTCAACCCGCAACCATCGATATCCTCCGCAAGTTCCTCAAACTTATCTCTCAAGAACTCCAAAACATTGACATACTCTTTATGCATGATGTTGCTTTCCGCCTCTTGCTTTGCATAATCAAGAGCCGACCCTCCAAGCGGCTCCAATGGTCGTCGTAATGCTGCGATGTCGACGTCCTCACGAACGGCCAGTATCTTCACCGCACCAACTCTCGCCTCCATCACGGCGTTGGCGAGGGGCGTAGACCCGTCACCTGCCATCATGTCCGGGTCAACCTCTGGAACCCTCAGACACGCCTCTAGTGTCTCCCGATCACCGTGGCGAGCAAGTATGTGCAGCGGCGTCTCGCCGTTCTCGTTTTTCGTATTGATCAGCCCTCCAGGCACGATGGAGAGTAGAGACTGGAAGAGGGAGTATTTCCTGTGAGATGCCGCCACATGCAGCACCGTTTGGTCCATGTCGCGATCTACGACAAAGTTGACACCGGGGTACCGCGCCAGAAATTCGGCGGCGTCGCCATTATTCGGATAGGTAGTGGCTAGAGACAACGCAGTCTGACCCGAATCTGATGTCTCACTATTGACGTAATCTGCATCGTTGCAGTTCGCTGACAGGATGGCTTCGACTACCCGGGTATGTCCGTGCAGAGCGGCGACGTGCAGTGGCAGCCTGCCGTCTCGGTCCCGGATCTCCTCCGCCGGTGCTAGATCCGGGTGGAAGCGCAACTCTAGGTAACAGTCTGGACACCCGACCGCTGCTGCAAAGTGGAACAGAGAAAACCGCTTCCCTCGGATCCGATGAGACAGCTTCGCACCCCGCGCGATGAGTTGTCGAACGATATCCGGCCTTCGATCTAGGATTGCGGCGTGCATCAGTGAGAGTCCCTGGTTGTCCTTCTCGTTCAATCCCACCTCAACGGCCAGAAAGGCCAGGTCGCTCAGGGTCCATGATTGTTCCGGGATAGAGGCAAAGTCGTGTGGTGCAAGGCCGAACCCTGAGCCCTCTCTTGTGACAACGTCGTGGATCCAAATCTTGACGTAGCACCTTGGCTCGCGGTAGTGTTCACCACTGTCGAAGAGCAGTGGCCCTAGAACGGAGTAGGGGAGCAGGTGTGCCCACTCGGAGCCGAACCCTTGCTCAACCTGGGACCACTCGTATAATCCGAACCTCATCATCAGATCCTCGGAATACATGTCACTGGCCAGAGAGGCCAGCCGTCTCAGTCCAAACTTTTCTGTGGTTTGCGACCTCACTCGGAAGAGCAAGTCACACACTTGGGCCCAAATCGGTGGCCTATCAGCGTTGTGGCCTGCTATCACCGGACGTCGTGACAGATCGCCGTGCAAATCAACAAGTGCGATTTCGAGGACTATTCTCTCTGCCGGACGAAGAGATCCTCGTCCGAGGCGTGCTTTGAAAGCCATTGAAAGCTTGTCTTTGAGAAGAGGCAGGCTCTGGTGCAGGCTAGAGACGTATGGTACCTGAGGCTGCCCGTCTGATCCGGAAAACTGGAAGATATGACTGAGAGATGTTCTTTGACTATGATGAATCTCATACTCGTTGTTCAGGAGTTGAACGATGGTGAGGATGTTCATACTATTTCTCATCAGCTGGCGTGACGAAAGGGGTATATGCACGTGTGGGAAACTTCTGACATACACATCCTCGGTGTTCCAAGTCTTACGACAGACTTCATGACTGTTCCCTGGGATCGCTGGAGCATTTGGGGGGTTGATGATAGTATCTTCGGGCTCTTCCTCACTCAAAGCTGGCCGTCTGGTCCTCCGCTTGACCTCTCCAGGTGAGCACTGCAGTCTTTTGGAAATACATCGGTCGCACTTTTGCGGCCATACGCGAGGCTGCGGCGTGCACTGGAAAATGTTAACAATCTATCATCAGCCATCATTGCCGGTTCCTCAGTTTCCTAAGTAGAGAGATGCCAGGTTCATAAGGGGATGAAAAGAAATGTCACCTTCAACTTGTGTTGCCTGCAAAGCTGACACTTCTCGTTGTCCAGCTTTCGGGGCGTACTCTTCCTCTTGCCGGACAATGCGTATGACACTTCTGCATCGTTCAGGAAACCCCTGGACATTGGCCCGCTCATTGGAGAGTTTGACAATCGCGTAAAATCTCGTGAAGAAGGACGGAGAATAGGCAACAGCGTAGTTCGCGTTCCATTCCCATCGGCAGACATGGGGTCCATTGCGAGTTTAAGGGTAGTCTTCTAAGCGGGAGGGCCAGTCTTAAGCCTTGACTGTAAGATTAGTTGGCAAAGCTTGGAAATGGAATGCTGAGGGGAACCTAATTATACCGCACCTTTGCGACCATCCAGCTGAGTAGCGCTGGGCGGACGCTGGTTTACCATCGTAGTTGGAAGTGTGACGCTATTATGTATGGATGGACGGATGGAGCAGAGGATGCCAGCGAATAGGAGGGCGACCGCACTTTCACCGCACCGGCATCGCACTTGCATCGCACTTCGGCGCTAGCTCCGTCGGTGTTGTCAAATTTGGCTTGTACCGCAGGTCACGCTAACTCAAGAACCGGAGATCACTGGTCATTATACGCCGTACATGAACAACGCGTTGCTAATGCTTCTGGGATTCCGAACGACAGATTTTCAATTGAAAGAAGTAAGCGCTTGCATACAATGTTTCTACAGATGTCTGCCACCATATCTGAACTTGGATCACACAACAGCGCCGGATTTGGTCCCGCTTTGATCAACGTAGTGGATAGGGGAAATAAGCCTCGAGGCTCTAGCTTTAAGAGGTCTCTTAGTGTTGAGCAGACCCAAATACATATTTGTCCAAACCCTACAATCATAATGCCGGGTACCGATTCCTGGAAACGGCAGCCTCAGCATATGATCCCCAGACTTAATTGTCAAAGACTCCATTGACATCCACCTGGAGCGTGGTGACATTCAAATCATCAGATTCGAGTCCATCGATAAGGCCTCTCTTATCTCGAACGCCGCAAACCTGCTTGTCACACAACCTGCAGGCGTACTTGTTGCAGTTGCCGAAGTTATCGGTCAGGCAATAATCCCAAACTTGGCATTGGCCTCGGCAGTTGCCATTTTGACCGAAGAGACAGCACCAGTTGGCAGGTTATGGCAAGTCTTCACGGCCAATGTGCACCCATTGACAAAGATTCTACATGGACCCTCGGTCCAGGAAGAAATTCTGCGATCTCTCTCCGAGCCCTCCTCAACCGACGGTCCAACCGAAGCCCTGTTGTTCTCCATCTACCTTGTGGCAATCTTTTCCTTGACGGATGGGGAATGCCGGGAGCTGCTCGGCGAGTCGAAGGAAAAACACTTAGCCAGGTACTGCCACGCGACTGAGGTAGCATTGAGCCAAGTCGACTTTCGGCGGCCGACAAACTTGAAAGTACTCCAGGCATTCACTCTTTACCTGGTAAGCGTCTGAGTCGCATGATTGTCGGGGTGCTGCAATTTTGGAATTTCCCCTGCTGACATCCTGACAGCTTTCTCTCCGTCACCCTTGTGATCACGACATTCTGTGGCTTCTAACAGGACTGGCAACCCGTATGGGTCAGAGGATGGGCCTGCACCGAGAAAGCTCGTTGAAAGGTCTCACGCCCTTTGATGCTGAGCTACGGCGCCGAGTCTGGTGGCAGATCATCATTCTGGACGGCCGGACAGCTCAGTTGACGGGTGCTTCCCTGAGCCCAGAGATCCAGCTCTGCAGCGACACGAAACAGCCAATCAATGTCAACGACGGAGATCTCGTTCCTTCGATGAGCTCGCTGCCCCGTCCATCACCGGTAACCACCGAGATGGTCTTCTGCTCGGTCCGCATCGAGATTGGCGTGTGGATGATTCAACAGAAGTGCCTGCTCGGCCTAGCGACAACGCCGGAGAGGAAGATGACGTTTCTGAAATCCATCGACGAGCTTGAGAACCACATCGAGCAGAGATACCTGCAAAACATTGACGCTGGCATTCCGTTGAATCTTTTGACAACCCACCTTGCTCGTTCAGCAGTATGCCAATTGAGGCTGTCGGTCTACCATCCTATTCATCATCCCGAGACGGCCTCGGGCCTGACTTTGGAACAGCTTGACATGCTCCTGGAGAATAGCCTCGAGGTAGTACGATACGACATCATGGCCCACTCCACCGAGTCGTTACGGCGCTACTCCTGGCACATTGCAAAAATTTTCCCGTTTGAAACGTTTGTATTGCTCATCAGCACGCTATCTGGGCGACAGACGGGCCAGATCGTCGACGCCGCCTGGTTCATCATCACCCAGGTGTACGAGCACCATCCATGCTTCATTTCGGACACCAGTGACCCGTTGTATTGGGCCCTTCGGCAACCTCACGCTGAAGGCTTGGAACCAGCGGGTCGCGAACGTTGGAGCTAACGGGCTGGAGCCGGTCGCGGAGCCGCCATGCATAGTAGAGCTAGCGCGTCGATGGGCTGCGTTGTCGCAAAATCCCCAGTCTGCGCAACAGGCCTCGACGGCTACAGATAGTACCGGCCCTGAGACACCACTATACATGTATCAAGAACATGACCTGCCGAGAGAGAACAGTTGTGGTCTCCACATCTCGCAGCCAGGACCACTAACAGAATGCAATGTAACCATGGCCAACACTGGTGGGGAGTTGCTAAGCGTGACCGAAGGCATGGATATGGACTGGGGCTTCTGGCAGGAATTGTTTAATGGCAATGCCCAAGCCGCGAGGGACGCCCAGGAAACGTTTTATTTCTCTTCCTTCATTGAAAAAAGCGTAATTATTCAGGTAGTGACCGGAGTCCAAAAATCGAGGAGCGGGTTTACCCCCAACGGTTTTTGTTTCGATTGTAGGACCAGAGCTATACTATTGGTCACTGTGCAGTCAGTCTTGGACTCGGTAAAGATAGGCGAACCGAAAGGCGGATTCCCTAAGGACTTCGGATTAAAAAATGAAAAAGGGCCTCGGAAGATGGCGGCTCAAGACGACGTTTAGTGCTATTGCCTCCTTTTCTCAAATGACCACAAATGATGCTGCGATTTTGGCATCGACAGCGATGGAACTGCTTACTATCGCGTGCATAAGCACGACACATAGTGCTTCAAATATGACACGAGAGATCAGAAACTCGACTGAACTCTACCTCATCCCTTACTATAGTGTATTGTCGGTTTGCTGCGGCTGGGTTCAGGGTGAGATATTGATTGACGATGGCACACGTGGTATGTGAAAATATTTAAGCTAACAAACTGGGCTACAAATGGGTGAATGAACACTCGAATGCAACTAAGAGTTGCTCGATGACATATTTTTTAGGCTTTTCTCAGTGGTCAAACGTTGCCCCAGATGGCTGCTCCGGCTTTGTCCACATCTTGACCCTCCGTCGATGTCAAGTGGAAACACCAATGATTACCGATCGCGACATGACGCTCAATTTACGCAACTGTACGTCATAGGTAAAGAGATCACGATTGCATCTGAGCATAAGTCTGACTGGATTCCTCAATTCTTAAAGGGCAATCTGCTCTGATGATTCTTCGTGTTTCCGAATCTATCATGTCCAGAACGAACCTTCTTTCACCAGGCCTTCCTCCGACCGCAACCTATACCTCAAACCCACCTCGGACCACTCAATTCGTTAACATGCCTCAGTACCAGCCTCAGACTGACACCTACAGTATGTATACTTAGCTTGCATGCAACAATTGAAGATTTTAACTTTAAAATAGAGGACCCTGCCGGCAAGAGCGAGGCCAAGCAGCAGATGGCTGAGCAGGCGAAGCAGGAGAGAACCGAGCACTCCAAGAGCGGCGCAAACACCGAAAAGCCGCAAGGAATGGAGTATGTGGTACGCAAGGAGCACGCCGTAGACGTTCAACACAATCACTAGATACAACCGCACATCGTGACGGAAAATGAATCAAAGACTTTCGAACTTGGAAGGGGCCAGTCGAAGTTAGGCAGAGTATATGTCCATACGTTGGCTGTGACGAGTAATGATTTTAGAAAGGGACACAGATGTTGCTGGAGCTGAGAGAGAGCTTGGGCTGTGCATCATTTAGCGCTACCCAATATGAGCGGTTCGTTGCCAATGGCAATTCTTCTGCTTGGACCAATACATCGGTTTGGCTTTGATCGTGACTGTGGATGGAAATAGGCTACACGCAATGAGTCACATTCGGAATGAACTTATTCTATAAGGTGCTTAGAAAACGCTTATAGGAGTTTTATCCACAAAGTTCAAAACCTGAACCGGCTTCTACAGAAGACACACTGTAGTCGTGAGTATGGACTTTGGTTGGATAGTTGCCTTTGAGAGGTCCTAGCGCGTGCGATCCAAGCAGTTGTGGGGCCCAGCTTAGATCGTAGGGGAACTAACATCGATGCCGTCATTCCCCCAAACGTACTTTCTCCTCGGGCAGCTAGGCTTGTCAAATTGTCCGTCTCTACTGTACAAAATGCGAGGTAATTTGCTACCTAGACAGATTGATTTTGCAGTGGGGCCGACTGACTACTCGCAACTGTTTTTATTAAGTGCACATCATGTAACCAGATGGACGTGGACGTTCGTGAATTCATGCGAAGACAGCAAAAGCGACTTTCTTACTTAACACATGCACATCTGGCATCACTCTACTCATTCATTTCCCCATCAACTTTTCCTTAGGGCCTTGGTTCCGAGAGCCACAAATACCCAAGGCTTCAAAAGTACGGCAGCAATGCAAACAAGGGCCGCCTCTGCGGCTTTGGCTGGCATCGTGCCGCCACACAAGAGAAAACGCGACAACTTGGAGACCTCAAAGTCCAGAAAAACGACAAGAGGTCGTGGTCGTTCAAATAAAACTCCACTCGGCCCGTCACCGGACTCTAAGGAAGAGCCCCCTTGCACTTCTCCCATTGTGACGGAAGTCAACCAGCCATTACCAGTCCTAAACATCAAGAGCGAGGCCGCCTCTCCACGATGTCCTGAGGACTCACCATCAGCTAAGAAGCTGGCCGACAAGAAGTGGACAGCGTGGTCCAAGCACGCCAATTCGTCGCCGTACCCAGACTTCTTACGCCCGACAGCGGAAGAGTGTCAGACTGCCCACGACATCCTCGAAAAGCTCCATGGCGATGTGGTCCGCGAGAATTTCGCTGATCCAGATGCTCCGTCACAGGAGTATCCGTATGTCATGGATGCTCTTGTCGTAGCTGCCCTCAGCCAGGCCACCAGCTGGGCCAATGCGAAACGGGCGATGAAAAATTTGAAAGTTGTCTACGGCTCAACCTTCAATTACGCCGCGATAGTAGAGGGCGGTATAAACAAGTTGGTGGACGCACTCAGACCCGGCGGTATGCAAAACCGCAAGGCGAAGATACTGATGAAGCTGTTGGAAGATGTCAAAGAACGTCATGGAAAGTGGGATCTTCAGTTCCTCTTCAACGCGAGCGATGAAGAAGCCGTCAAGGAGGTGGTGAGCTATTGGGGTCTCGGGCCGAAATGTGCATTCTGCTTGTTGAGTATCTGCCTCAAGAGAGACACATTTGCAGTGGACACACATATTTACCGCATCACTGGGCTCTGGGGTTGGCGGCCGCTCGAGGCGTCTAGGGAGATGGCGCAGGCTCATCTTGATGCCCGCATTCCTAACGAGATCAAGTTCGCGCTGCACTACCAGTTGATTGTGCATGGCCGAGAGTGCCCTGTCTGTCGCGGGAATGGAGACAGCAAGGCAACATGTAATTTCAAAGTCATGCTAGATGAAACCAAGAAAGCAGCCGAAATTCATGTAGATAGTTGATGAGTTGAATGCAGGTATTGTCCAACACGACTGACGTAACATCACTCCGCGAGGCATTTGGATCCTGGAGAATGCTTTCCATTTTATTCAAATGTGAGTAACAGGATGGAGATTACCTTACTGGCGAGAAGGGCCGAAAATAAGACGAAAGACGGACTTCGGGGCCAGTGAAGGACCCGACAAGTCGGTGTCATATTCTCTGCAAACTACACGAAAAGGGGCCGCCCCACAAAATGGTTCAAGAGCACTGTGAGGGCCGTGAATGGCGTCGGGGCCTAGTTCGACGCCGAGTTTGCACTTTTTCACGCTGCAACTGGCCTAACACGGACATGTGTGGACCTGTTTTTGGCCGTTTTCCAGCTGCTCCACATCGGTGAACATGGCTTCATACCGATTACATGACTCCGGGTCCGATCCGGGAGCTTTTAACACTGTGAGTTTGTGCAAAACTCCAGAATCAATGACGAAGAAGCAGACAGCTATGGGACGGATCTGGAAGGAATTGCTGTATGACACACGGATGGTGGAACAGATCATGAAATGTGTCGATGAGAAATAATAAATAGGTTCAAGCTTACTTAGTTTGTTCATGTTCGTTTGGCTCATCATCCACCTCACTCTACTTATCTCTTCACAGCGCATAAGACCCATCATGAGCTCCTCATCTGCCTATCTTCGCCAGGTCGGCATTCACAGGAACCTCCCGACATTCAATGAGTCTATCACGGGACTCACTGCCATTATTACTGGAGCAAATGGCATTTCTGGCTTCAATACCATGCGCGCCCTTCTCGACAGCCCTCAGCGATGGCAGACAATATACGGTCTTTCGCGTAGACCTCCGCCCGAGTCTATGATGGCCTTGTTATCACATGAAGCCCGATCCCGTATTAAAATAGTCACCTGCGACTTCCTTGACGGCCCTGCTTTGATTGCAAAGAGCATGAAGCTGGCAGGCGTCCGCGCTGATTACGTCTTCTACTACTCTTACATCCACAAAGATTGGTCTGAAGCCGAAGCTCTCGTCAAGAGCAACGTTCTTCTACTGAAGAACTTTCTGGAGGCTCTCGAAGTTGCGGATATCAGGCCTGCCCGCTTCATTCTCCAGACTGGTGGCAAGAACTACGGGACGCAGATTGGTCGCGCGCGCACACCGCAACTCGAGTCAGACCCGCAGCCAAGGCACCTTGCTCCCAACTTCTACTATCCTCAAGAAGACCTTCTTAAGTCCTACTGCGAGAAGCAAGGCACATCGTGGAATGTTATCAGACCTGCTGCGGTCATCGGTGCGTCAACACATGCCGCGATGAACATGTTTTACCCATTCGCCGTTTACGCCGCGGTGCAAGCTCGTAAGGGCGAACCACTGTTCTTTGGAGGCGATTGGGAGCAGTGGCAGTATGAGTACCACCATTGCTCAGCGCGAATGACGGGTTACCTAACTGAGTGGGCGGCATTGGAGAAGCATTGCGGCAACGAGGCTTTCAACTCCAATGACGGAGGTCCTCTGACATACGAACGATTCTTTACCGAGCTGGCGTCCTGGTTTGGGGCCAAGGGCGTAGTCCCTCCACCGGATGACGATTCTAAGATGGAGACGATTGGGATGGGATGCGGAGGCAAGGAATCACCATTGGGCTACGGACCGCCTATGTTTGGCAAGTCGAGCTTTAGCTTCTTGGACTGGGCCAACGAGGAGGAGAATGCCGCGGCCTGGCGCGATATTATGATGGAGTCGGGAGGTAAAATCACACATGATCCCTTCGAAGATACTGAGTCCTTCTACATGTTGAAATGGGCCTATCACCGTTTCGGAAGCGTTTGCTTGAATAAGGCAAGGAGATACGGCTGGACCGGCTTTGTTGATACCATGGAAAGTATCTTTGAGATGTACAAGGAGATGAGCAAGCTTGGTACTCTCCCGCCTATGCAGGTGGAGTCTGCTCACCCATTGTGTTAAAAGCTTGGGTAGATGTAGAGCATGATATGGTTGTCTCGGACTGTAGACTAAACTCAAGGAAGATATAAATGTCGCAATGGTACTACCATGATTAGTAAACAGCATTGCTAAATCCTGGTTTCACAGTGCGGGTGTATGACATAACATGACCACACACAGAGTGTGTGTTCTTACTAATTGCGCCTCCGAAAAAAACAATGCAAGATGTTCATGTACGCTAAGAAATAATACATAGGTCGGACTGCTAACGTCAAGGGTCCGCACTTGGACTATCACTGATGATGAATTCCCAGTACCTTTGGTAATTTTGTTACTCATGCCATGTTCATATCTTGATGTCTGACTAAACTTGAAATTCAAGGCGGGATATAGCATGCCAGCCAACCAGACTTTTTTAAGTTGCATAATAAAGGCGTTGGTATTTTCCTAGGTTGAAATGTCACAACCTTCGTGGCCTGCAATTAGCATACCTACAAGCACGTTCCATCCCCACGAGAAAATCTGTTACAGCAAAATACACTTTTACAGAAACCAATCATCCAATCTATCATCCGCCAAAATGTCTTCCCGAATCATTGCTATTATCGGCGGTACTGGTGCTCAAGGCATGCCGGTCGTTCGCGATCTGGCCAAATCCGGCTCCTACAAGATCCGTGCTTTGACTCGCGACCGGAACAGTCCGCGATTCAGAGACTTGCAGACGTGCGGGCCGCCAGGAACTGTAGAACCTGTCATCGGCACCTTCGCTTCCGAATCGTCACTTCGCGAGCTATTTCGGGGTGTCTGGGGTGCCTTCATCAATATTGACGGCTTCAACTGCGGAGAGAAGACTGAGATGTACTGGTCTATCCGGGCATATGAGCTAGCCATCGAGGCAGGCGTTAAATTCTACGTCTACGGCAGCCTTGTTTACGGCTACAAGGTCTCTGGGTTCCGGTCAGAATATCGCGCAGGTCATATCGACGCTAAAGGCCGTATCGGCGAATGGATCCTGAAGCAAAACGACGAGATCCGGCAGAAGCATGGAATGAGCTCCGCGCTGTTCTCCACGGCTCCCTACATGGAGATGACGATCCACGCTGATATGCTTACGCCGCCTACCGTTGAGGATGGTGTCGTTACTTGGCGCGTGCCGCTTGGTAATGGTTCTGTACCTTTTGTTGCACTTGAGGACTGCGGATATTACGTTAAATGGTTGTTCGACAACTATGAGCGTGCTCATGGTATGAATCTCGACGTCGCCATTGACCATATTACCTACACAGAACTTGCGGCGGCATTCCAAAGGGTCACTGGAAAGCCAGCACGTTACATCGATGTCAGTTTCGATGATTACTTCGCAACGAACCTTGCCGCAGATGGACCGGTTGCCTACAATGCCGATCCAAACGATCCAGCCACCATGACACGTCGCGAAAATTTTACAGGCTTCTGGATGTTGTGGCGGGATTCGCCCGATAACAACGGTTTGGTCAAGAAGAACTATGCATTGCTCGATGAAGTTCATCCTGGTCGCATTAGGAGTGCTGAACAATGGTTTCGGAGAGAAGACCAACGTGGGAGAGAAAAGGGGTTTGGGAGCTTGTGGGAAAGGGTTCAGAAGGAAAGCCTTGTGACCGTCCTCAAGCTCTACGACGATGGGGGAAAGGGGCTACTGTAAGGCAAAGCTATGGAGAGTATATCTTGAAAGGTCAAGATTTTAGAGATTGGTGTGACGTAAAGGTTGCTGAGTAGTTCCCAAACAGTAGGAAGTTTCTCGGGGCACCCCGTGCAACATCAACACTGGTCACGCAAGGTTTATTTGAACTGCAAACGTCGATCTAACAGTCCTTGAAGGTGGTGAATGTTGTTACCGGGTTGCTCGACCAGAAAACAAGCTTCTTTCTGCTAGCTCGCCAATTTCTGAATCATAAATGCTCAACAGATTCTTCTTCGAACGTGTATCAATATTTTAAATCTTAACAATGGTCTTAACTAACCTAATGAGACAGCGAAGCCATTGTCATGAAAAGATACCAAAGAGCTTTCAACCGCTTTTGAGAAACCATATTGAGAGTAAGCAGGCCCTGTTGTGAAGCAGGTGGCCGAGTGTGCGAGATTGGTGATAAGGAGAGAAACGTTCACATGCAGGATGAGGCTTCCAAATGGTTCGAGTCCATCTGTGGATAACGGACTGAAATCACTCAGCCCGGGAAACCAACCGGATATATTCGTCACATGGGAGGTTTGCCCGCCGATACGAAGCTCAAGAGTATCCGGCCCTGATTCCTTTGCTCCGAGCCCCCGAAGCCGCTCTTGAATATCAACCGCTGTCAAGAACCCCGGTGGCAAATGCAGCGTTGTCTCGTGACCCAATGGCAGGTGCGATGTGATTGGAAGGCCTGCATCTTGGTTGTATGCCTCGTGTTGTTCGTGTTGGGAGGCATCATGAAGGGCGCTGAGTGTATCCGACTCCGGCATCCCTGCTGCAAGTTTCTTCTGATTGGCGTCCGACCGGAGTAACCAGCGCATGTAAGCTAACTGCTGCTCACGTGTTCGGAACCGCAACGTGGAACCGAAAATGCGCTGGACTTCTTCAGATGATATTGAGTCAAAACCGCGGTCGAGCAAGAGACATGCCTGAGACAAAGTGGTCTCCAGTAATTGAATGGAAAAAGAGTCTATGACTGTGGCAGATACCGGATTCTGCCCTTCCAATGGTGTGTGGCAGTAACTTGCCTTCTCGAACGCGTTAAAATTGATTCCTTGACCCAGTGTAGTTGTTGCATCGACAACCGGGACACAAGTTTGAACCTCACTGTTATTACCCAAAGCGCTTGTTGGAGCGATTATCGCTTGCTGATCTTCGAGAGCCTGCTGGCCAGCCGAGTATCGTCCAATGTCTTTATGGTCTCCTCGCAGACCCTCAAATTCGAGAGACCCCATTCTCGGATTTTCATCCCGAACTTCGGTATCAATAATGGGCTCTACTAGTGTTTTCAATCGATGTGCTGAGCTCTGAAACCTGGCGAGGAGCGCTGGATGACGCTTGACAATTTGCTTGTCATGAAGGACCTCGTCGAAAAGGTCAATGAAGAGAAGACTCATGTTCTCAATTACATTTTCGAGTCTTTGAGCTCGTTGCCGTAGGCTCGCTTCTGCCGCTTGTCGACGTTTCCGAAACATCTGCTGTGATGCGCGGTTCCGTTCTCGGCGAACCTAACCCACGTCAGTATTGCAACATGCCTTCTGATAACTCCTCCAAACAAATTCGCATCAAGCATCTCAATGATCTACTACAGAGAGTTCGCAATATACCTTCAATATCTCATCGCTGCTGGTGTTGTCGGAGATGGTTGGCTTCCTTCTACGCAATTTTGGAATGGGACGAGCATTCCGGTTTTCCATGGCTAAGAACGCTTCTAGGGCCGACACGATATGTCTCCAGCCTTTCACAGTGGTTTGAGTCTCTCGACTTCCAAGAAAATATTTCTGATCCAAAGCTGGAGTAGTCGTGCGGGGAAGCCTCTCCAAGGTACGGTGATCGAGAATTCGGGCACAATCAGATCTCACAGTTGCGCAAGAGCGATGGATGCGGAGAGGAGTTTTTACGTAGGTGAACTGCTGACTAAAATGCGGGACGGAGGTTTTACATAACGTCTCCGACATGAACGACGAAGGGCAAGGTTTGATTGGGTTGGCTGCCGAGGACATGAACGGCCGATTACTATTCAAAATTATTGGCCGTCCTTGACTATGTTTCACGTGCATTACTTTGCACCAGTTTGCAACGAAACCGGGGAAATAATTCCTTTAGCGACTATTTTGATTACTCATCCTAAGATTGTCGACACCGTGGGCTATGCAGTTAACCCCATCCGACAACTGGGAGCTGACACTGGGGAGCTGGGATACGCTTCAGATTTGGTCCGCATCGACCGCATTAAATAGTAAATGGACGCCTTCCTCAAATGTGTCTCCAGCTGACCTGAATAAAGATATTTAATAAAGCTGGAAACAAAAATGAAAAGATAAGAGCCCTCAAAACAAGATATTGCAGTTTGGCCAGAGCTATTGTCGACTATCAGAGTTCGTGATTGACAGATAAAGTCAGGCAGTTAAATGGCAACTTACAATCACAGGATCCTACCGATATGGAGATTAAAAACCTCAAGATGATGATCAGTCTCAGACATAATTGTAATTGTAATTGTAGTTGGAGACATCCCAATAATACCAATGATTGAGTTTGGCTACGGCCCGTGACGCGTCTAAAATCATACCGAAAGTTTGTTCTTGTGCCGATCATCTGTTCACATCGTGTTTTCTTAATAATGAAATATCAGCTGCCGCCGTGGAGTCTGGCATTCCCTTGTATGAACGGGGAAGCTCATATTTCCGCCTGGTGTACACTCTCTAAACGTCGATGGGTGGGTAACTCCGAGCGCCGACAGCGGCGATTAGAAAACATTGAGGTATTCGTTCAACGCCAAGTTGGTGTGTGTGGTGTAAGGTATCCTTTTCCGAAGCCACGCCGGCTGAGGCTGGCACTTAGCCGTGTTCCATTAAGCCCGTTGCCTTGTGACAGCTGTCATGGCAAAGACGGAAAGAAGTTTTGGTGTCTAGGAATCGTCTCGTTGGACCCGCTAAGGTTCGACTTTGGCTCACAGCTGGAAAGCAACTGAGCGGTCTGGAGGATTGGGGAAAGGCGAACAAGGCGCCACTTAAGATCTTGGCCCAGTGGAGATGTATGACCTTGTCCTTGCCAGTCAAGAGGCCAAAAGAGATGGAATTGCTTGGCGGGATCATCTCCCAAAAGCTGCGAATGAAATATCGCCCCTCCCATCGATTCAGACACCAGCAGTCTACACCACCATGGCATAACGCCTTATGAAAGATACCTTCCCCTACCTTGGCTACAGTAGGTGAGTGTCGATCTATGGCACCCTAGGGGAATTCTTGAACAGAAACAACCATTTTTCGGAGCCCTATGAGGTGCTGCTGGAAATTGCGGCGTCTGGGGAAGTATAACACCAGCTTTAGCAGGATCAACTGACAGTAGTTCTCAGTTTTTAGGATCCTTGTAGAGAGCACGCCATGCCACTTCGCAGCGTAAGCTTATCCATACAGAGATCGGTGAAGGGGCATATTTATGCTCCGTACGGACGGCATCGTCGCAGAGGCCAAAGCAACATTAAAGGAGAATTAGCGGGCGAAGGATGGGCCTTGTGGAAGATCCGGGGCCATATAAAGGAAGTCTCTAGGGATGCGGACATGAGGACTAACGATAAGAAGGGGGAGGGGGTCTATCGTAAAGCAGCGGGATTTGCCGCATTTCACCGTTGGGGGAGGTAAAGTAACACTTCCCCTAGATGAAAGTTAATGAGGAAGGGAGCTTGTGGGTCAGCTTCCGGCATACATATACTCAAATTTCGAGTCACTTCAAGAACAACTTGAGCTGCATGAAATATGATTGACACACATCGACGGGAATGTTGCAGCTAGTCTGTAATACGCATGGATGTCATTTCATTCGTCTTCCGTCGTCTCAGCTCCTAGATTGCGGGGGGTTTCCGATGGGCATCTAAGACTCACTCAAATAAGCTCATCTGCATGTCTAATCGCCATAGTTTATGGCCGAAATTGATATCCAGCAATTAAAACGGTCAAGATCAATCATGGAAAAAAATACATATCCGTGTGCATTTGCTCGTTTATCCGCCCTGCCCTTTTTCCGTGGTGACCTTGGCGCTGCCTGCACAAAAGCATGGGTGTGCGAAGGAAAACACTTGTCTGAACGCCAGCAACGCCAAGCCTCTTGGAAGTTGGGGTGGCAGTCCGCGACAACGAAGCACCAAAGAGAACGCCTCATTGTACCGTGCAACGAAGACTGCCAATCTCATTTTCATGGTAGTGTTTACCATGTTTATAAGGAGCAACAGAACAACAAGCTCTTGCTGCGATCAATCGGACAAGCCATGTGAGGAGAGCTGATTAGTAGAAACAGTCCAAGAACTGTTGTAACATATGCATAGAGAGATATATATTTGCTATGGCTCCGGTTGTATTGATTTATTTTTGCAAGTTGGTCTTGCGGAGGCCCTGAAGCATTTAGGATTTGGCCGAAGCACTGCACACAGCCTAGTACTCAACCGCCTAGCTTTACTAAAGTCGTCTTGGGCATCCTAAATAAACCTATAAGCTCTAGTTCAGAATTTAAACGACTCTTAAGGATCTTGGCCTGCCTCTCCTTTCTAGCTTCCCCGCACTCGGCATTCTCGCGGAAAAGCCGGCCTACCTCATCTACCCCATGGGGTAATGATGCTTCTCCACCAATTATGCTCATCAAACTCCGCTTCTGTTCGAACCGTCAACATGACTTCGTACGGCCGGCTCTATGTGCATGCGCTGGGGCTGGTATCAAATTTCGGTGGATATATATCTGGGGTCCCTCGGGCTAAATTTGACCTTGTCTCTTCAGTCTGCGAATTAAGTGGAAAGCAATTGTCAACTCTTCGCTTTGAAAGAAGTAGTTGCCCAGCTAAAATCTGTTCATCCTCCTTCCCAACTTTGTCCTTGTTCTGGACCTCCACCTAATAAACCTTTTGACTTCAAATTCACTGCTGTCTCTTGACGTCCGACGTACCAAGCGAATGGCGACGCAACCTCTCAACGACCGACCTTCGTCGCCTCAGGACAAGGTTGCGGTCAACCAAATGGAGCACGTCCTTACCACCGAAGACCCCGCCCTCATGAAGCAACCGGTCATTGAGAAGGTTGACGAGTTTGGGGCTCACACAAAGACGGACCCCAAAGAAATTGCGCTTGTCAAAAAGATCGACTGGTATATTCTAGTAAGTTACACGCGTATGATTAGCTACTCGATGAAGAGCTTGCGACTGATGGGAGTTTCAACAGCCCATTCTCTGGGTCATGTACTTCCTTAATTTCCTCGACAGAAACGCCATGATTAATGGAAAGCTGGATGGCCTTGACGAGGATCTTGGTTTAAAGGGCACTCAATACAACACTTGCGTCTCCATCCTCTTCGTCGGATACCTTTGTGGCCAAGTCCCCTCCAATATGATTCTTAACAGAGTCCGTCCCTCTTTGTACATGGCTGGTAACATGATTCCACGACTACATGGGAGAGGTTGAAATACTCACATCTTCAAAAGGTTTCATGATGGCGTGGTCGGTCGTCAGTCTTTTGACCTACAAATGTCACGATTACGCGACCATGCTTGCATGCCGTTTTCTCTTAGGAATCACCGAGGCTCCAGTAAGTCACAGTCACATAATCAAATTTCGTGTTTTCTGATATACCACACAAGTTTTACCCCGGTGCTTTGTACATGCTCAGCATGTTTTACACTCGCAAGGAAGTTTCAACCCGCATGGCCATTTTCTACACTGGGAACATGGCCGCTAGTGCGTTCTCCGGTCTCATCGCTGCCCCCATCTTCTCAGGCATGGGCGGTCTTCAAGGCCTCTCTGGATGGCAATGGTGAGTTGTATGCCAAACAAAAAGTGACTCTGAGTCACAAGAAAATCAATGAGCCAAGATATAACGATAACAATTGCTAACGAGCCATTTTCAGGCTCTTCATAATCCAAGGCGCTGTATCAATTCTTGTAGCCTTCTTCGCCTTCTTTCTGCTGCCCGACAGCCCTCTCAAGACCCGATGGCTTACCGAGGAGGAACGTCAGCTCGCCCACACTCGAATTTACAATGACACCACCGATCGTCGCGAGGCCACGAGCGTCTGGAAGGGTCTCCGTGAGGCGTGTTGTGACTGGCGCACTTGGGTCTTTTGTCTTATGGACAACCTTCACTTGTCCGCCAACGGGTTTAAAAACTTCCTCCCCACCGTCGTCAAGACCCTGAAGTTCAACACCACCATTACTCTCGTTCTCACCTGTCCGCCTTACCTTTTCTCCGCTATCTTCAGTGTTATTGTTCCCTGGTCCTCTGGCAAATACAACGAGCGCACTTGGCATATCACCATCAGCAAGCTTGTCGTCTGCCTCGGTTTTGTCATGTCCGTCTCCTCACTTAACATGGGCGTCCGTTATACTGGTAAGATGAACGACAGTGGGGATTGCACGCTTTTTCATAAATTTGCTGACCAAGCTGAAACAGGTATCATGATTTTTGTTGGTGCCACATACGGAGTGAACAACTTGATTCTCGGCTGGACCTCCTCTGTTCTCGCACAGACCGATGAGAAGAAAGCCGTCGCCATTGCAATGGCTAACACACTCGGCAACGCGGCTAGCATTTACACCCCGTACCTCTGGCCTGATTCTGATTCTCCTCGCTTCCTCACTGCCATGCTTGCTAGCATCGGGTTTTCCATCGGTGTCATCATCTGCGCCTGGGTGATGAAGTTCGCCCTGATGCGCACCAACCGCAAAAAGAGAGAGGCAGACCCCAACGCGACTAATTTTTACGTATACTAAGGAAATAACGTGTAAAGATAGTCTCTCTGGACATAATGATAGATTCAGGAACCGTGGTTACGAAAGCAGATTTGCAGTGGCAATTTCCAGTGTTGGCCATGATTAGGTGATGGAAGAACAGTCATACCATTACGTTATTGATACGAAGAAGTCTCTTTTACTTAAAACCTTGATCATCCTTCTTTGTAATGAAGATCTCGAAAAAGCCTCCTTGGGTGTTGTGTTTGTTAACCAACCTCTTTCAAGAGGGAACCGGCGTAGCCAGAGCTCCCAGTGTGACTGTTGAACAAGGAGCATTGTAGATCTCTGGCTTAACAAAACAAGGCTCGGGGTTATTATCAAGCGCCAGTAGGATCAGAGACTCCTCACTTGGGTCAAACTTCGGCCAACCGGCGACAGAGCCTAGTCCGTTAATTGGGTCGTTGGCGAATGCAGCCCACGCCCTTTGTATGAGTAAGGTGGTCTGTTTTTGAGACTCTGATGCCACGATCCCGCTCACATCCTCTGAAGCACCGAATACCATATGTAAATCGACACCATGGTAAGCACCGCTAGTAGGGAACAGGCGGGTATTATCCCAGTCACCAAAATAGCGGTACACCCAAACCGGAATACCTCGTTGACGACGCGCTTCCGCTTGATAGAAGTTTGGACAGGTGAAAGATTCAAGGAGGAACGACTCAACTTGATCTGAAGTTGGTACGACGCCATTACCGTAGGCAGGTATTCTGTAATACCCGTCCTCGTCATCATTGTTTCCAAGCAAAACAGGCTAGAAAGTCAATTTCAGTCATTTTGATTGTGGTTCAAATTGATTGGATGAAACACACCAATTGGGAGAAGGACCCGGACTTGGTCAAAGATACGTAATCTGGGAAAACAAGCTCGTTATCAACCGTGGGGTAAAATGGCGGAATGGCTCGGAGGACACTGCTGCTCGACGTCGGGCGAACGGTAGCCGCGGCAGCTTTGATATCCTCCCATTTCTGCGCGCGCATGCATTCCATTACGTCTGTGGCATTCGTACAATTGACTGTCGCCACAATCGAGTTCCAGTTCCGCTCCGGTACCCCCGGGCTGTTAAGTGGGAAGCTGAAGGCGTTGCCTGAGGGCGCGATGATACCGTTGACAATGGGGTCCTTTGTGTAGGCATAAGACCAGTAGTCAACGGCGACACCGCCCGAGGATTGGCCTGCAATAGTAATCTTGATCGGGTCACCACCGAACCCAGCAATGTTGTCACGTACCCATTCAACGGCTGCCCGTTGATCCCGCAGGCCGAGGTTCTGAGGATGCCCTGGAGCTCCGGGGAAGCCGAAAATGTTAAGGCGGTAGTTTACAGTAACTAGGACTATGTCCTGAGCTGCTGCAAAATATTTCCCGTTATAGAAAGGACTGTATGTGTTGCCGATTGCAAAGCCTGTAGATAATGGCTATCATGGTTATCATCTTTGAATGTTTGATGTAAGAATTCTACTCCCATTCTCATGAGACTTACGTCCACCGTAGAAGAAAACGATGACAGGTTTCCCGAAAGAGCGGACTTTGTTGGTCCGTCTTGTCCAAATATTCAGCGTCAAGCAGTCTTCGCTCTGTGGTGTCCCAGCAGCTGATGCGAAGTATTCGATGATCCGCTGTGCTTGGGGCGTCATGCCTGGATAGTCGATCTGAGGCGAAGGAGAGAGAGGGCAATCAAAGCCAAACTTAGACGCCTCATAAGAACGATTGCTGGTAAAACTTTCAGGCAGAGCAAAACGCAAGTTGCCGACAGGAGGCTTGACATATGGGATGCCAAGATACTCTAACACACTGGAGTTGTTCGAGGCGAGGTGGCCCTTAATCGGCCCATTGGAGGTCTCTACCGTGAGAAAGCTTGAGAAGTCGTAATTTCCGGTCAGTGATGCTATCGTCAGGCCTCCAAAGAGCGTCGAGTAGGCCAAACATGATGATACGACAGTGATGGATCGCATGGCGTTGCTCTATTGAAGTAATGTTCAAACAATACGGTAAGAGTTCCAACGGAAAAAGAAGATCACTGGCTTTCAATTATACTGCCGAGCGACAAATCGATTGTCCTCGCTTACTGAGCCACCCCGGTAATGATTCTTCATCTGGGTACGGAGCTGTTCGGACCTCCACTAGCTAGCGCAACGTCCCATACTCAACCTTTCGCGCCACTAAGTTTAGCAAGGGAAACAAAGCCGCCGCTAAATCTATTGGGCTATGGATTAATGTGCCCCTCGCACATGGGGCACCCTCCATTACGCTGAGTACAGCCTTTTGATCCCGGGCTGCCAAGAATTTCAGCTGACCTCTAATTTCAACAAGAGTGACACACGGTGTCAAGACAGTATAGGTAATTCAGAAGAGCATCGGCCGTAAATCTTCCGACCCATTATATAGCTCCTGGCTTGACGTTTTGGCTCTAAGCTTACTTTTCACTAAGAAAATAGAGCAAGGTTTTGACTTCCTCGAATTTATATTTGAATGTGGACAGATCGAGTTACTTGAATCCTTCCCACGAACACCGAGATTTTGTCGGTCTATAGCGACACCATGTTGAAGTGGTTTCTGGCCTCTTACGTACACAGTCTCTGACCTTAAAATTTGGTCCCGTAAAACCACTGACCTTCCAGTGGTTGAGACCAACACCTTCAATTTGCCTTCCCATAAGACACGGACAAGCTCAGCGAGACAGTGGTCGGTACTCCTATCATTGAGCCAATGTAGCCCATCGATGATGCAAACGACTGGGGCCGGCGTTATATCCGCAAGGTCGGTGAGTACAGAAAGGGCCGTGTGCCAATACTGGAGGGTGCCGTTGAGAGATCGGAATCTCTCAGGCGAGAAATCTGATGAGGCTTCAAAGACCTGTGGTAAGAGCTCAATCAACTGCCTAATGAGTGAGTATACTAAGGTGATAGCCGCTTGTGCTTCTCTGCTCTCATTCCCGACGCGTAGTTTCTGGCCTCTCCGAAGTTCACAGAAGTATGACACTACGGGTGTCTACAATTGTTCTGCTAGACCAATGATTTTCGCGGTCATCATCGTAAGTGGATTATTGAAATCATCGCATTTTATAGACTCCCCCTCGAGCCATAACAAGTTGGAAGGCGGAGCCTTGACCCACTCACTGATGCGCCTGAGAACTTCGGGACCAACCACGACGGGATTGAACGAACCACCAGGTATGCGAACCCTGTCTCTGCTGAAATGGTCCTCCAAATTACAAGAGTTCAAAGCTAATTCGTCAAATGCATATTGAGCTGAAAATGGAAAGAGCTAGCTCTCAGACCAGACAAGACTTTTATCTGACAGCTGATATACCTTTGGTACTCGGTTGTGCAAGTGAGAAGTTCGAGGTTGGCCTGGAATAGTTTTGCCTTGACAATTCCTGATGACCATGGGAATTTTCCAGCCATCCCAAGGCCTTATCCTCTAGTAAATCCACTATGCTGTCGGCAAGCTGTTGGCGTTTCTCAACGCTCCAACTGGTGGAGCGTCTTTCGTGATCTCGTCTTATACTTTCAGCATGGTATCTCATCTCAGCGTGGTGTCGTCTTTCACCCTCAAGACCGATGCGCGCGTCTCTTGCAAGCTGCTCCAAGATTAATCTTGTAACTCGCGCCTCAGCTCGTGAACTTTGCTTCGCTAGGTTGCGGACTCGCTTTGTAATCGTTTTTATCTTTTCCATGTCATCCTCGAAGACGTTTCCAACGTCTTCGTTGAACGAATCAATTAGTCGCCGGCGTCTTTTTTTCATTATCCAGTCCATTACGCTCGTCAAAAAGAGGAAGATATGAGAGTATAAGTCTGCGATGAGCTCTTGCATGACTTCTGTTCGAAAAAGCTCCTGGTCAGTTGCACAGTCGTTGACATACTCGCCGATTGTGCAAAGAGCGTCCGAAAGACCTTCCACAACTTTCTCATGATTGGCACTTGCCTATAATTGGGTTTTATATCAGTCTGGAATATAACATCGAGTCTTTAGTATCTAGCGAACTGCATTACTAGCTGCATATGATGCTGCGTGATTATCCCCTTCTTTCAGGCAGCCACGGTAGCATGATAACCGTGTCCTTTCCTCATTGGTAGCCATATGGCAACATTTGGGGCGATAGTGCATGTCATCTACAAACTCTTGAACTCATCCTAAAGTTCCTCAGTAGCCCTAACTCATACTTCCTATCGACAGCTAGGGCAGTTCAAGAGTGGGCGATACGACCCCTCAACTCACCAACGGTACTATCGAACACAAAATGGCTGCCGCAGGCTCCGAGTTTGGGACTTCTGACAGTTCTTCCCTTGAGGTCATTGATACTCACGAACATGACATGGAGCCGGAGATTCCTCGAGACACTACCGCTCATTACGTCCACCATAACGAGTCTAGTGATGCTAAAGTGGCCTGGATAGGGTATCGATTGGAGTATCGCAATCGTTGGACAGGCGACTTGATTTCCGAAAGGACGTACGAAAAGGCAATGAACCAAGAGATCAAGAGATCGATGGGCCCATATTTGAGTTGATCACGTCTTACCGAGTCTCGATGCACTCACTGGACCCTGACTCATCGGTACCAATCACCTCCCAAGCATTGCCGACTCGCCATATTCGTATTTACTCGATAGCCATCATCAACGCTTTATAGTCAGTCGTCCGATATTATCCTGGTCAGGATTTTTCGGGTGAGTCAATCACTGTCCCAAAGCCTTACCCGGTCTTGGTTCATTACTACGAAGAGCTGCAACAGTTTCGCCGAGATTGTATCGGGAGACCTCCACAGAAGCTTTGCGATCGAGAGAAAGATGCAGCAGAACATCTAGGAATTTTACTAAACTTCCTCGATGAAGAGGGTATGTCGGATGTGAGGCAAGAACAAGAGCGCAACAAAAGAGGGTTTGCGACATTTGAATGGCGGTGGGTTGCGTATCGACCGGGCATTACTGTTATGGACAGAACCAACACAGGCGAGTGGCAAGCGTCAGTGGTTCACTCCATATCAGGGGGTGTTTTTGAAAATCCCCCCAAAGACTGGGAAGTCAAGTTATGGTGCATGGACTACGATGGTGAGAGTATCGAACGGATTTGGTCAAGTCCTGTGACATGGTCCAAGTTTGATGGCGAACGGAGTGATTCCAAGGCTGGTCAAGAGACAAAATTCTTTGACCCTACCCTGGACGAAAGGTTTCTTGATGACGAGACTGCAGCTGAGCTCGTTAAGCACGGCAAAAGGTTTTGTGCTATGGTCCAAAAACAATGCTTCCATCATAGAGGAAAAGGAGCCTGCTTTCCTTTCAACGAAGTAGGTTTTTCTATACAGTATCACGAAATCTTAATACTGATAGAGGTACTTTACAGATTGAAGGTCTGGCGATGGTTGATCTCGATGGCTACTACACAATGTGTCCAGATGATACCCCGCCGTCAATGGGCACAGATGATTTGCGAAACTGGTCGACAGAACGTACTTGTGGGATTTGCCAAACTCAAAAACAGGGTCTTCACCGAAAGATTGCGCCCTTATTCAGCACATTTGGTCAAAAGGGCATAGAAACGGGATTGACCGACCACGAGTCTCTTTTATGTCCCTCGACGGTAGTGACTTACGTTTTCAGGACGCGGACATGGGGTATTAGATCAAACCCTAACTTAATGATCTTGGCGCTAATGTTTTGCTTAGAGTACGTTCACATCAAGAATCTCCATCCACCTCAATTCGACGAGAACATGATCAGCCACTTGGTGATGAGCGAGTACCGATTGAAAACACTCAAGGCGTTGTCGAAAAGTTATGCTAGAGTTAACAAGCACGGAGAAGGGATGGATAATTCCCAATGGAGTGCAGACTTTGTCCGTGGAAAGGGAAACGGCCTGATATTCCTACTGCATGGAAAGCCAGGAGTTGGCAAAACATGCACAGCTGGTGAGTACAACCGATGATTTCCAGCATATTGAACTAAAAAGTTCATCATCTTGATTAGAATGTATCGCCGAGTTCACTCGTCGCCCTCTGATGATATTAACAAGCAGCGACGTCGGAACAGATCCCAAGCAAGTGGAGCATAATCTTACCTCCAATTTCAAGAGAGCTATGAGCTGGGGCGCCGTACTGTTGATTGACGAAGCCGATGTCTTCATGGAGAGGCGAACTACATCAGATCTTACGCGTAACAGTCTAGTTGCTGGTATTAAAGAAGACCCTCTCATTTCATACTTTCGATCCCTAAAGAAAACCAAAAACCTGATTCACTCCATGTACTCAAGGATTTTTGCGAGCTCTTGAGTTCTATGACGGAATTCTATTCCTAACAACAAACCGAGTGGGATCGTTTGATGACGCTTTCATCTCTCGCATCCACGTTCAACCGTATTATCCTGACTTCACTGATGATGAGCGACAACAAGTGTGGAAAACATTCACTGATAAATTTGGTCGTGAGCGAGGAGATACCATGCGCATGACCATCGATGCCAAGGAATATATTGCCTCAACCAGAAAACAAGGAATTAAATGGAATGGTAGAGAGATCAGAAACGGTGGGTATTTTCCTCTAGTACCGTCAGTTTCGGGTTGAAACGCAATTCTATCACATTCGTACTGACCGCCCTGCAGCTTTCCAAACAGCCGTTGCACTTGCCGAATATGATGCGGAAAAAGATAGCGAAGGAAAGATCATGGTGACAGACATTCATATTCGAGCTGTGGTTGAGCTATCAAAGGATTTCAAAGGATACCTGAATGACCTTTACTGAAGGGACGAAGAAAAGAGGGCTGAGGATCGATATGAAAGATTAGCAACCTACGAAACAGATAATTAGTGACTCGGATGTTTGTCAACCGAAGGATTAAGCATCCTGAGCATGCTTGTGGCCCAGCTGCATAGGATCCCCCTTCAGCGGCACACCGTTCTCGAAGTATGATCTTTGAATTCGCTAGCTCCTTCAACAAATGCTGCTTTCAGCGAGTGAGGGCTAAAAAGAACAACTTCGACAAAACCAAGACCCCACGTCATAGGGGCTACCATTTGCTGTGTTCACAACACAGTTGACCTCGACCGCCATGCAATTTCCTGGTTCTACTTCACTCACTCCGATGCTTCTATCCTTTTAAGGGGCTATCTGTTTTTTCTTCCTGATAACCAAGGCTTGAGTAATTCCCTGTTGATCTATGCGGCCGCTCCAAAGTAAAATTGGCTGGTAGGATTCAGAAATTGTCAGCCCTCATACGCTGTCCTCGTGTGATTATCGTGCCAAGCGAAATCGTGTGATCCTTCAACAGCACCTTCCTGGATAAGACAAGATTTTGCATCACAACGAAATCCTACGTAAGCCGAACCCCAGTTAAGTGAGCAGTATAAAACTTTAAGGTTATCTGTATGTTCTGCTTCTTCTTCATTCAATAACCATCAATTATATTGTATACGAAATCGGTAGGTTGCACAACTGGCCCCTTTTGGGTAGCAAGTACTAATGGATTGGACCTCAGATCAGGGATCCACTATAATAACAAACGTATACACTATCTGGTACGATCTATCATACCAAATCATCCACGTAATTAAGATCTGTGCTGTTGTTCCGTTCCGATCTAACCTCAAAAGTTTCAGAATGGTCAAGATTAGTTTTATCTTCCTTGTTGCCGCGGCATCGACTGCCTTCGCTGCCCCTAAGGCCGTCAACCCTCGCCAGGCTGCCGGCTGCCAACCTCAAAATACAGTTTGCCGCGATGGCTGGGCTTGGTGTTGCATCGGACCTTCGTGCTATGAGTTCGCTCCCCCGACTGCTTGCTAGGTGGGATGACAGTATGGCATATGGGTTTTTGATCTCTGAGAATCATTTTCAAAAGTTCGGCAGACATCAATGATCAGAGACATTCAAAAGAAGAGTTACGACCTGCAGCCAATTTAAACAAATAACGGAGCGAGAATGACGAGAACACCAAGGTTTTCGGATCTGTGGAAACAGGCAGTCGATCAACTTTGAAATGTAGCGAAAGATTATGTGTCTTACTGGTGTTGACTATATCAGAAAATACAGTACTATTCATGATTTCATTAATCAGGTTGAACGTGCACGTAATTAGCCATGATTAACTATTTCTGTAGCTGAAATCCTGACCTCCATGGGGCTGTCGCCTTATGCTCATTTATGCTAGTGGTTTTTGAGCGTAGTAAATCTTAGCAGGGAAGTAACCACCTTGTTCATTCATCTCCTTCACATATCTATTCTCTAAGTCGGCGACAACCCTCGGATCAAGATCCGGGCACATTACTATCAGCCTTGTCAGTTATTCGACAGATCTTTGGTATGTCAGCCGACTCACAGTTTGCATTTCGCGCAACAAGAGGAATTGTATACATGAACGGCTCTATGGATAACTTGATAGCCGTCTCATCGCCAAGCACCTTACCAATGCCACACTCGACACTTTCGACCGTGACATTCTGGAGACCAGCCTTTGTCATCGAGCCTGGGATCTTTCTGGCGTAGTCGCGATCCATACCTTGCTTCTCAAACATATAACCAATGATATGAATCAGGTCTTGCAAGGCTTGAGGCTGTCGTGGCGGGTCAGGTGTGATATCCAACTCCATAACCTGTAGCCAACCACCTGGAGCCAGGGTATCTGCACCTGTTACACCGAGTCCACGCAAACGGTAAATTGTGGGGAGAACACGTACCTGAGAGATTCGCAACTGCTTGCTCGATTCCGGATCTGTGGCTGCTGTGAAGAACGTTCCGAACGTGGGTCAAATCAAACTGGGCCTTCAACTCTTCTGCGGGTGGATCGCACACGTCCTGGGTTACATAGCGGATGTTCCCCTGAGCTGAGGTCGGCAGAAAAACCGTTGAAATATCAGCGCCGATCATTTGGGCCGATGGTGGCACTTGTTTTTGCAAGTCTCGAAGAAGTGTTCCTATGTCCTGCATGTCAATCGTGTTTGCCGTGGAAGTCAGCGTCATGGTAGCTGAACATACCGTCAGCGCAACCTATATCAAGAACCTTTAGTCCATCCTTCGTGAGGTCAATCGGGGCGAAGGCGATTTTGTCCTTCGTACTCGTTTGGATCCAACGGTGTTGGACTTGGAGTCTCGTTAGTTCGGCTTTAACATCGCCAACCATAGCCAGATAACTGTTGTCGCGCTGGCTGTTGCCGGGTGCGGTTGCCATTTTGCCCATTCATGTTGGAGTTGTTTTCTTTTGAAGATGGTAGTAAGAGTAGCAAGCTAGTCTGTTACTCTGTCTAAGGCTTATCGGGTCTATCGTGTTTGATGGGAATTCGAAGTCCTTAAATACAGCTGCAACGTCTTTCTCTGACTGATCACAAGCTTGTGGAATAACCGCGGTATATACTTGGTCGGCAGAATCACCCAAGAAGAAGAACTTCAGCAAAGTGGAAGTTCAAGGGGCAAACACCATGATACGTAGGCAGAATATTACTGGATATGGACATGACAACGACAGGCGTTCCAGCCTGAGAGAAGCGAGCATGAACTGGCGGCTGCAACAGAGAAGTTGTTTCAGCATATTGGGAACTGAAGGAAGTCAACAAGCCTGAGGAAGCGAGATTCGAGTTGCGATAGCGATAGCGATAGCGAATATTGACGCTCAAGACAGCCGCTCGTTTTGTGTCGGCGACATCAGACGTTCTGAGATCTGATTTTTGAATCAAAATCCTTCGGTTGACAATGGAATCTGGTTGACAGTGGATGATGACTGCAATGTTTGTCAAATCAAACACCTTTAAGTGTGGGTGGGTGGGTGCGGAGTGGTGGGTACTTTACTTTTGTTTCTCCGGCTAGCACACACGACTAATTAAACATGCGTTTGCAGCTTAAGACATGTTATCTGCAACCAGTCGCAACTCGGCGGACTTGCCAAATTGCCGAAATTTGCTTTTCTGCTTGGGTGGGTTGCGATTGACTTTGAAGTAGGTATGTAATCATGCATGGCCCCGGTGTTCTCATCCGCCAAGTTTCCCCTCACGACGATCCGGAACAGCAAAATTCGACAAGACGGGCAGGCCAATGGACTATTGGGTCGATCCAAATAAAGTGAGTCTTCAGGGACTCGCATTTCGCATGGCAGTTCAAATGATGCTGTGATATCAAATGGAATGGATGGGTTACAACACTGTGTCACATCGGCCGAGCCGAGCGGCAGACCCATGCCCTGCAAAGGGGGTGGGAAAATAAACCTTCTGTCTGGCATTCGCCTTTCTATTTTCTGGGAGCAAGAACAGTACCAAATCAGGGTTAATTATATCAGAAATGAATGTATCTCAGTTACATTCACTGACATATGAAAGTCCCAAATCAATAAATAAATCCATGGTTCAGGATGGAAAATCGTGTAGTGATGCAGTTAGGTTGAGACCCCTATGGGAAAAGCGGCGGTTTATCTTTTCACGCGATGGCCTGCGACGTGTCTAGCTGTGTACATCTCAACATACTTGAAACAGTACCCTCCAATCTTGAGCTAAACAAGCAAAAAGTCACGTCACATCATCCCTGAGGCAGCATGGGAAGCTCGCTTGTCTTCCCTGCCAACACGCAGAGATACCAAGGGAACACTTCGCTGTAGGGCTGTTTGGTGGCAAATCTCCCATGCGCATGCGAGTGTCCTTAATCGAGTCAGTCTGGGTGATCCCGTCCCCACCTTATTGCAAGCCAGCAAGGACCGTCCGAAGATCCGAATCTCTTACGTTCATTGGCTCCACTTCAAGACAGTCAAGGTTTGATGATTGATTGAAAGCGTCCAATCTCACACAACCTGCTGCTGTGCCGCCGTGTCGCACTTTTAATAAGTCCTTGATACCCCTCAGCCCTTTGTTGTTGAGATGTTTGACCTCTCGCGTTCGCGACTTCAGTCTTCTGGTTCTGCCCCTCCGTCATCGCCGAGTTAACCTCAACCAAGGAACGTTCCTTATCGCAATCCTGAGACCGAGAAACATACAAAGACCAACTCTTCATACAAATAAGATGAAGACAACAATCGCTTACATCATCGCTGCGACCCTCTTCGGAGCTACGCAAGCAGCAATCACTCCGGTGAACAACATCATCCGCCACGAGTACAACATGAATGCGAGAGCAGGCGTACACGGCAATATCGAGCGAGAGGAGGCCAACTTCAACCCCGACGCCGATGTTTTGCAGCCTGTAGTTTGAAACACATCAACGTTAATCCCCGATATTCATCGACGACAGCCATGCGGATGCAATGGACCACTAGCGAGTAGACTCTCGATCCGACACCCTTGCGGTTCGAACCGTTACTCGAATGGAAGCATTTGATTACGACACTATTTTCCAACTTCGATTCTGGCATGATTTCAACCATGCGCCTTAGGGAACAGCGATGGGGAGTTTCAGGCGGAGATTGAGATGGTAACTCGGCGTTTTGGGATTTGTCCTCGAGAAGTTCGGCACTGGACCGCTCAACTGGGTTCAGTTGGCTCGAAAAACATCGGCGGGCAGGGAGGGCATGAATGAAGCACTCGGGTGACAAAAATCAACGCCGCTTTCTATACCTTTACCATACAAATCCCGGCGCGGATTTTTGTCACTCGAGAGTGAAGTAAGGTTCGATTAAGTCTGGGTAGATTATGGTGAACAAAGCAAACAAGCTAGCGACTGGACACATGAATGCACAGCCCTGAATGTTTCGAGATAATCGATATTGCTCGGCATTTTGCCTTGTGCATGCCCATCGAGAGATTCCATGTTCGGATAGAAGACTCGGGGCTCTGACTGCCGGTCATAACCCAACGGGCTACCTACTGTACTCCCACAAGTAGTTCCAGACCTTTTCCCCGTCAACAATGAGGTCGTATTCCAACTTTAATTGATCGGGCTCCGAAGTATCGAAAGAGACCTTTCCAAACTTTGAGTTACCCCACGGATGCGAATACACTGAGACATCTGTGTCCTCAATCTGCCTATGGAACCGATCGAACGGCTCAAAGAACTGATTCAAAGGCGACGTGGAAAATTCGATGACCGCCTTGCCACCCTTGTCGTTGGGTGGAAAGACTGTTGTCGCATGTTCATGACGGTCCTAAAAAGGAACATTAATAGCTGCCGATATAGCATCAGAGTTCGATCAAACAGAAACACTTACCCCGCTCAAAATGACCACTCCGTCCGTCTGTCTCATTGTGTCTAAAATCATGTCTCGTTCCCATAAGTATCCAGACCAACTATCGGCTGCATCTGGACCCCTCCAATTTCGTGTAAAGGGTACACTGCTCACGACGACCTTCCATGACTTTTCGGTTCTTAGCCAGTTCTGCAAGTCGGAAAGCTGGGCAATGCCAAGCATCGTTTTTTCCGGGCCGTCTTCCAAGTTCTCGGCAGATCGATAACGTCGCGTATCCAATACGAAAAACGAGAGGTCTCCTCGATGAAATGTGTAGTATGTCGCGCCGCTGCCATATTGCGAAGGAGGGTTGGCATGTCCATGATAAGCCCAGAATGGTCGCATTGCAGACTGGTACAGGCCTGTCTCATTTGCCGCCCAGTCATTGATGATTTCATGGTCGTCATATACGTGCAACCATGGCAAAGATTGCAACGCAGGCGACCAGCTCGGTGAGGCGTATACTTGACGGTATGCAGTTGTATAATGTTCCGGTGTCCAGCCAAGAGCAACGGGCAAGTCGATGTAGATGAAGTCGCCAAGGAATAGCATCATGTCAGCCGGGTTTGTTGTGAGGTACTGATCAAGATGTTCCAGACCCTTGATGCGCAGGCCATGGTCCAATGGGTTATATGGATAGAATGGCTTGATGCAGCTAGTTGAAATGAGACTCCAACGCTTTGGTGATGTTGCCGCGGTTTTGAAAGTGCCTGAATGGCTGGCGTTCGTGACGTAAGTGTACTGCGTGTCTGGCTTCAGGCCATCGAGGAGGAATGTTCCAACGTAGTCATCTGAAGCAACCAGGGGAATCGTTTGCGACCCCGCTTGTGCCTCGTCATTTCCAGACTGGCTCCATGTGATCTCAACGTAGGTAACTGGATGGCCGGCAGAACGTGTGACAATCCTTGCAGTGGTTTCGTCGACATATCCAATTCTGGAGAATGATAACTCGTTGCTCTGATGAACCAAATATCCTCTGTAGAGAAAGTCCCACACAGCGCTTAGAGACAGAACGTTCAAAAGAACTGTAGTGAAGCTTGCAACCGGTGAAGCTCGATCGATCCAACCGAGTGACAACAATAAGACTGGATGACGCCTCTTCAAAGGTCCAGTTGACTTTGATGTCAATATTAATCTGAAAAAGAGACTTGATATGTATAGCGCTATGCTTCCATAAATACGGCTCAAATACCGCTTTCCGAGAGGGTGCTACTCGAAAGTCAGGAAAAGATTGTGCCTTGGCTCGATTGTGACACTTACGAATCTTGTGAACAAGATGGCAGTGGCTCTCAAAGTCAGAGTTGCGACCGCCAAAACGGCATCAAAGATACCATTAACTGCCATGTCAGCAGACTTCGGGTTCTTGCAAAAATATCTTTTGCTACTATTGAGCTGTTATGGTCAATGAATTCCAAGTTCCGAGGCCTTGACGTGCCGAGATGTGCAGCGTTAGGAAAGACGACGGATTGGGCCTAGAACAATGCGGCGCCGATGACTTGTTCCGTCAATCGTCGCTTCGATAATCACCAAAACCGGTGGGATACTTCTATCTAGGCTGGGTGGAGTTGAGGCTCAAGGGCGGCAACTCAGCTCATTTGGCATGCCTCCAATGATTCTACCACGTGGAATAATCGGGGGGGGGGGGGGGGGGGGGTTAAGTTGTAGGTATTAACCTGAATTTTTTTCAGTTAATTCCCCACTAACATACAATGGGAGGATTCGCCGCTTCTTGGCCACTTCGGCTTCAGTACCGATGCTGATGAATACAATATAATCAAAAGCAACGTAGCCTCCACCCAAGGATTCGAGTCTTGAAGTTATCGAAAGTCCGTGGATGGATTGTGGGACGTAACAAGGACCCCCACCTCAATGGACGTCTGAAATGATCGTATTCCGCCACGTGGGCAGCCGGCTGATAACGGCCTGCCTCCGAAGGCGGAGATCCACCAGGAAACGGCGCGATATGTGACGAAGCCAAATTTCTAGCACCAAACAAAGATTATTTTCGCGGGGCTCCGTCGAGAAAAGTCAACGTATAAAATGGCAAACGACCCAAGGGTAATGAGTTCCTTCGGGAGTTTTATCCGGCGGCACCCGTAGCTCGGTCATGTTCCGTAAGCCATGGCCTGGACCATTAACCGTTATTGATGTCTCTACATCTCAGCACGTGTCCCAATTCCGCTAGCGAATGGCTGAGATACGTGTTGTATTTTCCATGGGCCGATTTGATATTTCGACAACCCATACGGAAGAAGAAAAGATTTTTTGCAGAACCTGTGGAGAGCTGCAACGGGGTGACCACAGCTACCGAACTGATGCGTCCCAAAGGCTTGGTAAGACCAAGGACCCCACGTGTTGGTTTGCGATGGCTGCCGGTGTCTGTCACTCCCCTTACATATATCTACTACATCTGCAAAGGGGAAAAGACCTTCATCCTGTAACTCGTTCAAAAGAGTCTGGTTTTCTGCTGTAATCTTTGCCTTTTCGTATTCCAAAGCGCTAGAATGGAGTCCGTCCCTCGGGCTGAAGCAGCCTTCGATACTGCCGACGTTGCGGTGACGAAGGACATCAAGGTTTTCACCTCTTCTGAGCCCGAAGATGTCTCGCTTCAGGAGCCAGCCTCCCCGGCTAGAACGGCGGGGAAACTGGATGTCCTCATTCAGGGCGTTGCTTTGTTCTCAGATGGATATAACATCCAGATCATCGGATACATGAACACCGTCCTAGCGAAGCTGTAAGCTTGGAACAATTATTTGAGTTAAGTACGTGGAGAAGCAGGGACTGACAGCCTCGGACAGCTACCCGAAGCAGATGACGACAGAAGTCAAGACCAGGCTCTCCAACTCGATCCTGGTTGGTGACATCTTTGGTATGCTGATCTTCGGACTCTGCATCGATAAATTTGGCCGGAAAGTGGGCATTATCTTGACCACTTTCTTCCTCGTCTTGGTGAGCACTGGAAACTTGGCCTATCAGCGATTTTCATGATTGTTAATGAGAAACCAGGGTATCGTCATTGCGACTGCAGCTCATGGAAATACCGTTGAAGGCATGTTCTGGATGATGGTCATTGGTCGCGGTGTTGCAGGTGTTGGTGCCGGTAAGTGGACGCAAGAAACTTGATCTCAAATGAGAAATTTCCTAAACTAACGGCTCGCAAGGTGGTGAATACACCGTTTGCACTTCCCAAGCTCTGGAATGCGCCGACAGCACTGAAGCTATGAGAAAGCGACGCGGCATGCTAGTAGCCGTCTCCACCAATGCCGCCATCATTTCTGGTTTCGTTGGATCCAGCATCATCTCCTTGATTGTCATTGCGGCATACAACGGCGAGGCAAGTGACGGAATCTGGCGTATCTGCTTTGGCATTGGCATCTTCGTAAGCTCCACCCCCAAACCAAGTATCCCTTACTTTCAAATAAGCACTAACGCCCGAACAGCTACCTTTGGTCATTTTCTTCTTCCGTATGAGACTGGTTGACTCGCAGCAATACCAGAAACACGCCATCCAGAAGAACATCCCCTACTGGCTAGCCATCAAGTTCTACTGGAAAGCACTCCTTGGCTGCTGTAGCGCGTGGTTCTTATACGATGCTGTCGTCTACCCCTTCAATTTGCTTGCACCGACGCTCGTTTCTGGCTTCTCTTCTCAGCAAACCATGATTGAGTCCATCGGTTGGTCGGCTCTGATCAACGCTTTTGCTCTCCCAGGTGCTTTTATCGGTGCTCTCCTGATGGACCGTATCGGACGCCGTCAGACTTACGCACTTGGATGGTCCATTGTCTGCATCTTCGGTTTCGCTATCGGTGGCAGCATGATCCAGCTCAACAACGTCTTCCCGCTGTTCGTCACCCTGTACGGCCTGTTCCAAACGTTCCTGTCGGTCGGCCCTGGAGATTGCAACTTCCTCGTTTCGAGCGAGTCTTTTCCCACGCCGCTCAGAGGACACTTTCTCGGCTTTGCGGCAGCCATTGGCAAGGTCGGTGCTGCGATCGGCACAACGGCGCTCAGCGCAGCGCTGGCGAGTTACGATGACCGATTAAAGGGACAACAGGCCATCTTCCTTATCGGCAGTGGCATCTCCGTCATTGGAACTCTTTGTGTTTGGTTCCTCATTCCTGATGTAAGTTCACCTAGATTAATTCAGTAAAGGTTTCTAACCAAATCATTTAGGCCCCAAACACTTGGAGGACGAGGACGTGCGATTCAAGAAGTATCTTGAAGCAAATGGCTACGACACCAGCCAGATGGGATTGAAAGCGTAAGGCTCGTCTTTACATCGAATGAACTGTCGTAGGACCTGGATCATAGTTCACCGTGTTACCGGAGGATCCCGAATCTCGTGATTCGCTAACGACCTTACTATATAACAACTCTTGCGATAAGATAGAAAACTTACTCAGTTTCGAAACACCTCCTTCTCCGATTCTCTTCCTATTTGTCTCGCCCACAAGTCCTTGTACATTTCGCCTCTCGCGAGTAACTCGTTGTGTGTGCCGCTCTCCGCCACTCTTCCTCCGTGGATCACCATTATTTTGTCTGCTTTGACAACTGTCGATAGTCTATGTGCAATGACAAACGTTGTCCGTCCATTTCTCAAAGCATCTAAAGCATGTTGAATGCTCGCTTCTGTTTTCGTATCAGCAGCACTCGTGGCCTCGTCCAATATGAGAATTGGTGGGTTCTTCAAAAACACCCGCGCGATGGCTAGCCGCTGGATCTCTCCGCCAGACAGCTTGACTCCCTGCTCACCAACCTTGCTCTCATAGCCATCGGCAAACATGAGAATTCTTTCATGAATCGCTGCAGCCCGGCAGGCGTCGAAAATGTCCTCGTCTCTTGCCGAAGGTCGCGCGTAACGCAAGTTCTCCAAGACGGTCGCATTAAAGAGCAGCGGGTCTTGGGGGACAACCCCAAGGGCCTCTCGAAGAGAACTCAGGGTGACGTCGCGGATATCGTAGCCGTCGATTGTGATCCGCCCCGATGTGACGTCGTAGAAGCGCAAGAGGAGTGTCACGATCGAAGATTTTCCTGCGCCAGTCTCTCCGACCAAGGCAAACGTCTGTCCTGGTCCAGCAGTAATATTCAGGTTCTGTATTGTTGGCCGCCTGGGGTCGTACGAAAAACTAACATTCTCAAATGCAACATGGCCCTTTACTATGCCTAGTTTGGCGGCGCTCGCTTTCTCAACAATGGTTGACTTTGTTTGTAGCAAGCTGAGAAGCCGTTCAGCATCGACTAGATCCTTCATTAGGTACCGATAATTGTTGGACAGATACTTGAGAGGCCAAATCAGAAACTCCCAGTATGACACAAGCAAAACAAAGTCGCCAGCTGAGGCTCGTCCATGGGAGATTTCATGGAGAACCAGGCTGGCTAGAGTGAAAAAGGTAAGTGGGACCGTCAGATCAAGAAGTGCTTGAATGAAAGCGTCTCCAACTCTGTACTTGCGGCTCGCAGCGAGTTGCCTATTCACAGCCTGGCCGAATCGTAGTTTCTCAAAGCCAAGCATGTTGAAATATGAGACAGTCTGCCATCCCTGGACAGCTTGGTGCATGATTCGTGCCTCATCTCTCTCGGCTTTGCTTGATGCGCGGCGGTTCGCAATGTTCAAGTTTGAAGTGAAGACCTCCAATGTGATGAATCCCACGGATGCCACAAGCATCGTCAAAGAGACGTAAGCATTAAACTTCCAGTAGAGGAACCACAGTGCTATGACAATATCAAAGATTGTAGGGAGAATGTCGATGACCAAAGTCTCTAGCAAATTACTGAGAGACTCCCCCTGCTCAATGGCCTTCATGACCTCGGCTGAATTCCTCTCGGAGTGGAATTCCATGTGGAGGCTCATGACATGGTTGAAAGCCGCATTGGTAATTTCCCGGTATGAAAACTGCTTTATGGGAATTTTGGCAAGAGCTTCAACCAGACCCAAGCCAGATTCGTCGTTTATCAAGCTCAGTAGGAGCCATGTTGCCAGAGCTCCATAAGGGGATTGTTCTTCCAAGACCAAGTCGGTAATAATGCCAAGCTGGCGAGGTATCAAAATATTCATCGCTCGTTTGCCAACGATGCAAAAAAGGCAAAGGAGGATGGAGACCTGAACTTTGCGGTCTTTCTTGGGAACAATGGAGGGAATGAATATGGCAAAATCTTTGAAATACTCCCACCAACCTCCCTTTTCTTGAAGTATTTTATTTCGACGACGCTTGATACTAGCGTCATCATCCGAGTCGCTGTCATCCTCGTCGTCTTCTGAGTTTCGGTTGGCAAAATTCCTAAAGGATTCATCATGAAGCTGCTGGGTTCCGTAATCGGTATGACCAACGTCGTTCTGATAAGGTGCTGAAAGGAATGGCTGACTCTCTTCAGAGTTTTGATTGTTTCGCCTGGCCAATGCCCAACGAGCGAGGTTCAGCAGGAGAAGCATGATAACTATAATCCTGAGAAATTGACAAAAAGCTAAAATGATTCCTGACGTCGTGTTGAATCCCTCCAGAGCCCCCAAGGCGAGTAATGGTATCTCAAAGAATAAGGTAGTACCGCAAGCAACCCAGAGTAGTCGTTGAACTAGGGTTCGACTGAATAGAACTGCACACCACACAAGGGCAGATAGCAGAAGATGAACCAGATGAGCTTGTTCAACGAAGAAAGCACACGGTCGAATGGCGGCGATGACAGCCTCCCCTAAGTATGCGCAGACAAGAAGGACGTACGCGAACTGAACTGACGTCGTGCGGCGTATGGCGAGTTTTGCTGCCTTCTCCTTTGCCTGACCTAAGTGAATGATTGTCTTAATACAGAGGCCGAGAAAAACAGTCAGGGCGCCGCCATAGTGCAGGACTCTGCTAATTTCAGAGTATGTTGCCATGGCGAAAGCAGCGTTGATATCCGAAGAAAATCGTCTGAGGAGAAAACACTGCTGACACATATTTAAGCTTTCGGGAGATCGGCGTGCCGTACGAAATGTCTAATTGCAAGAGAAAGATTTGTGCCACGAATGGGGTTCAGTCATCGGATTAGTGCTGATGTATTTGGCACTCACATTTATGAGCTGTCCCACATTGACTCAATTCTGTCGGCTGTCTGACTCATGCCGATAACCATAGCTCATTGACTCTGCCACTGCCAGTGCGCTTAATATGTGCATGGCGGACCCCGCGCGCTGCGACATTGTATGTTGTGTGTATCTTCAGCGACTTAACGAGAACATTTAGACTACAATTATTGCGCCTTATCAGCGAGACTGGACCAATTTAACTCCCATATCTCAATTTACTTCTGAAGATATTAACTACGTGGCGAAAAGAAAAAGCACTGCAGCTCAATTTCCATACTTTGTCCTTGACTGCCAAGATTTATTCAGTGTCCTGATATCACTCTGGGCGTCGCCCGATGAGTCACAAATTCCATTAACAGAACCTTCACGGGACGTTGGCAAGAAGTAATTGGATAGATGAAACCATCGGAGCTGTCCGAAAGAAGATCATTGGCAGAAATGACTCCTGATTGACGTTTCATGGATACCGACCGATATGAGGCTGGTATATGATTGAACCCAAGAATTCAAGAGCAGGACACATCTGCATGCCTTTATTGATCACTCGGGCTATCTAGCATGGCCACTTGCATATTCTGTTTTGGTCATTTACCACCCAAGCTGAGAGAGGTCATCTTTTGCGTGGGAACAGAGATCAGAGCCACGTCTTTAGGTTCCACGTCTTTAGGTTCCACTGGCTTGGTCAGCTCTTTGACCTTGGTTTGCCTTTCCATCCAATCCATCGCTCCATTGTAGATGCAGTTGTAGTCCATGAACTCAGCCGGGTTCCTGTTTAAAAACATTCAGCATAAATTTTAACCCAATCCAACGGTGTACCGACATCGTGATCTTATTGGTTGTCTTGTCCGTTGCAGGCTTTCCGGCTTGTCTACTGTACCCTTGAATGAGTGTGGCTCTCTCGAATCTGCACTGAAACACAGTCTAAAAGTCGTCAACCACCAAGTCAGTACATGCCAAATGGATTTCACGCACCTCCAATAGACCTTCGATATCTGATTTTGATGGCTTGACTTTGATATCTTTAAAGATTGCTCCGAGAGCCTCAGCGTCTTCGATGGCCTGGCTCGCACCTTGTCCCTGGGTAGGGAGCATTGGATGGGCAGCATCTCCGATGATGATGGTGCGGCCGCGATGCCATGTTTCTAGCGGGTCCTTGAAAACTACTGTTAGCAGGTTGAAGTCCAAGTCTCCGACGCGAGGAAATGAGTTTTGGGTCTCACCATATCACGCAGTTGCCAAAGGCCAACTTCGGTACAGTTCTTGAATACTGCTTTTGCCCAGGTAGGGAACACCTCAAACGTGTCCTTTAGCTTTTTGGGATCTCCTTTCGTTGTCCAAGACTTTCCTTCGGCGCTCTCTTGCATCATTTCTAGGTGTGTTAGGTGCAGCCCTCATGAGTTGAGCAAACTCTTCTGACTCACCATCAGGAACCAATGCAACAACACTGTAGATGGAACCATCTCGAGCAGGCCCCATAATGATGCGCCGATCGTGTCCCATAATCATAGATGTAAACGGCTCTCGAGGGTCTATGACAGACACGAAGTCTTTGTTCTGCTCCAGTTCCGAGCTATCAAGGACCAGTCGATACGCTGTTTGCCTAGGTCAGACGAATTCGTGTTACAAAGCATTGGCGACTTACCAGACAACCCGGTCGGTATTGCAGCAACTTCTTTCCCAACGACAGCTTTACGGAGTACACTTTTACTATGAGGCAGTTAGAAAGGTTCTGTATGCGCCTATGGGAGTGAGTGTCACTAGCATTCCATCAGCTCCGACAATTAGATCGCCAGTAAGAATCTCTCCTGACTCAAGAGTAACAGTTCCAGTCTCCGAGTCACAATCTCGTACTACACATCCAGTCCGAATGATGACGGGTTCAGCATCTGCGATCTCTTTCGTAGCCGCACCTCTTAGAGCATCATGAAGATCAACCCTTGTTGGTCAGCGCGGCAAGCAGAACATCGTTGATCTCGATCAAACCTCACCTGTGGTACATCATGCGTTCCTATAGAATGTGCGTCAGGTTTTAGGTACCTAATTCTATCAACCCAAGTAAACTCACTTACTGCACCGTAGCTTTTCTTCAAGTGAAATGGAATCTCCGCATGAAGCTCTCCCTTTGTGGTGTAGATGCGGAACTGTGAATTCATACTCAGTCGCTGCGTGTAGTTGATCCCGGATAAAAGCTTACTCCTTTGTCTGCCATGGAGCCCTTCATTGAGAGAGTTTCCTTGAGACCCCATTGCTTCTCCACGATTCTTCGCGCGTCAGTATATATAAGCTATTCTGTCACCATCTTGTGATGTTTTACTAACTTAGAAGCATTGGGCTGAAGTCTGGGCACTTCAAATTAGTCAAGTTCCAATGTCCGCACCCAGGGCATGAACCATTATTCTTACGATATTGTCACACCGATTTCTCTGTTAAGCTGGCTCTGTTCGAAAACGGTGATGCGACGGTTGGGTCCTCTCAAAGCAATAGCCTTGTATTGTCAGCAAGATAACCAGAAGGTCCATTGGACCAGACACTTACTGCCGAAATTCCAGCGATACCGCCACCGACAATGGTAATGTTGAACATTTGGTTTCCGTCCGATAGAAACATCATGACAAAGGTATGTGGGAATAATACGTTGAGTCAAGGGCCGCTTGTTCAATCCGTTTATGTTCCAAGATCAAATGATACGGAGTGGGTATGTCTGATCAACAATGTGGATCCCAACGCCAGGCCCCTCTCCGGGGGAGAGACGACTGACTCTAGCACGACAACTCTTGTTCAGGTTCACAAGCATGTTTCTCTATTCGAGCCGTTCCACTTCCCGGCTCCCTTCCGAGGGTTTGTTGTGGGCGAGGGAAAAGGTGGGGTAGCTCTTGAGATCCTATGCAAACTTCTTGGTGAGGCCGATGAGTTTGTGTTGCTTTGACAGCCGAACCGAACCGAGGAGTAAGCACCAGCCGCCGAGGGGATGGTCCGAACTGGAGATCAGACCAGGAAGACACACTGGATCCCGAATTATGTAGAGAACTAATTGCAGAATACGTCCTATGCGACAAAACATGCTGGATCAACAAATTCAAATACAACCACAAACTACCGGTTGAAGTCCACTCAAGCCAATTTCATTGTTAATTTGCCTCAATTCTAGTGCAAATCCTCTTGAAACCACTTATCTCAACGATGGCTACCACAACCACCACCGTGACTGAGCAGACAAGTGCTCCTATCAAAGCTGTCAATGATGGCCGTATGAGAATGGATGGAAACGATCCCGCTTATGGCGACTGGAGGGATGAGCTTCTCCAAGACGGTTACGCCATCATTAAGGGTGCCATTCCAAGAGAGCGCGCAGACGGCTACGCCGACAAGATGTACGCCCTGCTTGAATCATTGTAAGCACCGCATGCACCTCTGGGTTCACTTTTCCCGATCATATGCTGACAGCATCGCAGTGGCCTTGGCTATGACCGCAACGACCCTTCGACTGTTCATCCGGACAATTTGCCCGTGATCAACGAGAAGGGCATGCTGATGGCATACGGTGCATGCCACGAAGATTTTGTCTGGGATATTCGCAGTGAACCTGGCGTCGTCGGAGCCTTTGAGAAGATCTATAACACGGAAGATCTGATTGTCTCCTTCGATGTCATTAACTATGGCTTCGCCAACCGCACCCACCTCCCTGAGAACAAGCCCTGGCCTCACCAAGACCAAGATCCCGAAAAGCCTGGCTTCCGCTGCCTCCAAGGCCTTGTTAATCTTCATCCTTGCGGCCCTGATGATGGTGGCTTGATTGTATGCAAGGGATCTCACAACTTGAGCGCCCAATTCCACGAAGCGCTCAAAGATGAGCCTCGCATCCCTGCTTGGACTAAAGAGTGGTATGGCTTCACGGACCGCGGCATGGAGTGGCTCAAAGAGCATGGTGGAGAGTGGCACAAGGTCTGCGCCGACCCAGGCGATCTCATTGTATGGGATTCGCGTACTGCCCACTACAATGTTCCGGTTAAGAGCAACATCGATCGCATGGCGGTGTACACTTGCTTCATGCCGGCGACAGACGCCACTCAGGAGGATTTCCTACGCAAAAAGTCTGCATACGAGTGTAAGTTTTTCATTAAGACTACAAGCTGATCAACCCTGACTTCTGACGATTTCTTTTTGTAGCCCGCCTAGGTACTACCCACTGGCCTAACGCCCGACACACGGGTTCTAACACTGCAACCCGCAATGGAAAGCCGGATCTTGTTGTTCGGGAAAGACCTCTCAATGACAGGGTCCTCAGTGAGAGAGCCTTCAAGCTGACTGGAATCCCATACATCGAGGCATGATCAGTAGCATGAGTCGACGAAAAGGGATTTAGAGGAGAGCGGTTGCTGCACGCCACGAATTTTGCGAGTGTTTTCACTGGTATAACAATGATTACTATAGTGTAGAATAGAAAAAACGTCTACCACTTGAGTTTATTATGTTTCTCCTTGGTGCCTTTCGACTACGACAGTGCTACACCTCAGACACCGCATCCATATGCATGTTAAGTCTCGGCCCAAGAGACCTCGGTGGAGAAGAAAGGGGTCATTTGTTTTGTAATTTTACTACATGAATGGCAAGCGGCAAAACACAGAAGCAACGCGGAGTTTAGTGTGAGGCGTGCGCAATCATTCCCTCGGATTTCAACTCTGAAAGGACTATGATGCGGAGTCTGATGTCCGCGCCATAGAATGTGGACTTCGAGCTGATCATCTGATAGAGGCCGTTTGTTGAGGCTCCCCTCATTCCTGAAATTACCTTGTAGCGTAGTCTTCGGTCTATCGGCCGAACCGAGCCTGCTTAGATACTTTCTCGGATTGGGACCAAAGCTGTTAATGTTGTGTCACCACGATGTGGGGGAGAATACTTCAAGAGTGAATCGGAATATATGGTGCAGTAAGATAAGAAAGAACGCCGCTTGGTTCTTTTCCGAGCCGAAGCACGGAGGAAGTCAAAACAATACGGAACGGCTATCAGACCGAAGGTCCAGTTTCCGGACAAATGTGAGGGGTTGCGACCAGGTTTATGTCTAGATCGTCCTCGCTTGCGTAGTCTTCCCCGCATTCAAGTGTGCAAGAATAACATGCCGAACTGCACTACTGAACAGCCAAGTCGGGGCCCCATTTCTGCACCCCAGACTCTTAGCGCCCCAAGCCGAATCTGGGGTTGCGTATGGGGTCAAGGTTGCAGAAACAGATACGACAGGTGTGAGGGAGTTGATTTGAGCCGAACTTGGCGAATCAAAACTTGAACATTTGTCAGAGTTGTTGTTTCGCAGAAATAGGCCCTGTCTCCCTGGGCATCGTCTCATTGAGCCTTGACGGTAACGCCAGACCAATCTTTCGATCATCCCATCGTCCTGGGAAGAAAGGCGATATTTTGTATCATAGAATCTTTTAACCACATTTTTACGTCAAGTTATACAGCCAAATACTTCGACATCTAACATGGGCGAGACAGACAACAAGGTTATGGAAGAAAGAGTCGAGTCGGCATCAGACCTTCCTCAAAAGCCACAACTCGGGGAAACCGACTTCAGGACCAATGTCCAACTCGCTGACGGCAATGTCACATACCTCATCCCGACTCCAAGTTCTGATCCACATGGTAGGATACAGCTCCAATTTCATCTCATCTTCCGTCCACGTATATAGTCAGCGCCAGGCTAACAAGTTTGTTGGCACTTAGATCCTCTTAACTTGAGTACTCTGAGAAAATGGGTAAGCATCTTACATCCTAAAAGTTCTCTTTTGGAGCAGAATCTAACATTTCTTATGTACACAGATCATAACTATGACCTGCGCCACCTTCGCCTCAGTCGGCCTCGTCCAAGTCTCCGGCCTGGGAGCGCTCCTCGGCGACTTTATCCCGGAATACGCAGCTGAGGGACGAGGATATGAAGATATCTCAAACTTAATGACGTATCCATCACTTTTTATGGGCCTTGGCAACCTTATTGGAATGCCTTTGGCCCTTGCCATCGGACGTCGCCCAGTTTTCCTCGGTTCTTGCGCACTTGCAGTTTTGGCGTCAATCCTCTGCGGCTTCCAGAAAGGCTATACGTCCCATCTTGTTGCACGAATGATCCTTGGTCTTGCGGCCGGCCAAAGTGAGGCCCTTTGCCCCTTGATGGTACAGGAAACTCATTTTCTCCATGAGCGCGCACGCTGTTTGATGTGGTTTACCCTCTGGCAGTCGACTCTCAGTGCTGTCTATTCACTGTTGACTTCCTACATTGCCGCCGGCATTGGTCCATCTGGATGGTACTTTCTCGGGGCAGGTCTTTCCGCCGTTACTTTTGTCTTTGCTGTTTTCATGGTACCAGAGACCAAATACGCCAGACCTCTAGCCGCCTACCAGGGATACACTGCCGAAGTATCCCACTTCGTCAGCAGTGGCGGTACCGGAAGTGACGACATCGCTGGTGTTTACACCGAAATGCTTACACGCAAGACTACCACGGAGCCCCGTCAGCTGGACTTTGTCAATTTCAAACCCAGGACTCTCGCCTCAGACCTACGCCTTCTTACTCAGAAGCCCGACTGGAAGGAGGGGTGGCAATGTTGCACAGGCATGGCTATTGTAACGTTCTTCCCCGACATGATGTGGGCCCTTCTCCTAAATGGGTTGACAATGTAAGGAGCCGCCCTGGCTGCAGCTGACCTTCCTACACAAAGCATCAGTATACTGTCACTAACGTCTTTGCTTGAACAGTGGCGTGAACATTGCCCTTGGTACTACTTACGGTCAAGTCTTACAAAGTCCCCCTTACAACTGGAGTTCGTCCGTTGTCAGCTTTGCATTGACAGGTCAAATTGTAGTAGCATTTGTGGCTCTTCCGCTACTTGGCCGAGGATCAGACTGGGTAATCAAGTTCTTCGCGCGCCGCAACGGTGGCTTCCATAAGCCTGAGTATCGTCTCATCCTTCTGATCATCCCCGTCATCGTCGGCACGCTGGCTTCAGTTATTTATGGACAGGCAGCCGAGCATCCGGACAGATACCACTGGTTCTCTATTGTGTTCGCTCTCAATGCCTACTACTTTGGCTTTGTCGGTGCAAACCAAGTCGGTATTACATACGCACTCGATGCATACCCAACACGCTCTGGCCCGGTGCTGGTCATCATCTGTGCCATGCGTGGTGTCATATCGTTCGGAACAAGCTACGGCGTGACACCTTTCATCAATTCAGTTGGGTACGACGGCGCTTTCGGAATTTATGGTGCTCTTACCGCTGGCATTGGTGCCATTGGAATCCTTGTCTTTATTTGGGGAACCCAGATTAGAGCGTTGGTTGCGAAGTGGGCTGTTGCGAACACGACCACCACGCCTTCTTACAACCACTAATGCAGAGGGTGACCAATTTGATTTTTTTCTATGAGTGAAAAGTATTCGATTGCGATAACCTTTTTACGGTCCCCAATCGGAACATGGCGAAAGGGTTTTGGAGAGTGATATAAGGGTTTCGTTAGGATTAAGCATGTATGGATAGAGAGAAATTGATCGATCAGGTTTACTTGATGATCTTGTACCAGTAGAAGTGTCAGAAGGTGATTCCCGGAAAGCTTGATGTTTCTTCTCCTAGAGTAATCCCGTTGAGATTTTGAATTATATGTTTTGGATTTGGTCGACAGAGACCTCTGGAACGTTTGCAATGTGACTGAACGCAACCCTTCACATTCTCATCATGAACATTGCAGTTCGAACCAATACCAAGCAGATACAATGTAAGACTGCTTGAGATACGAATCAACTTTGTATTAGTCAATTTAATATTTTTCCTGGATAAGTTTGCACAAAAGGTTAGCAATGCTCAGACTATCGGTAAACACGGCGATGTTGAGTGCACCAAAAGATTTTGCTTTAGCAAAATTGGAAATTCTATCGACGATCATCGTCTACCTCCATCAACATATATCCTAGATCCATGGATACCGCTATTAAACTATTGGATGAACGGCAGAATGATACGACTCTGATACTCGGGTCCGCAGTGAATGAAATGCTCTCCCTTGTTCCTCTCGTGCTCAGGCCGCTCAGTCGAAAAGGCCTTGTATTCAGCGATTGAAGGGAACTGGCCACCAATTTGCACCTGAACCGATTCACCGGTTTCGTAGTCAACTCCCATAGCCCATATGCCGACCTCCAACTCCACCACTGTACCAGGTGGAACCTTGTTCTCCTCATCATGGGGATGAAAGGGAAACTGCGGGTGCATCGAACGAGAAGGGTCGATCTTCCTATGGGAAGCCCGCAGCTGGCCAACCGAACCGAGATGAAGGTTGGTACTACTTTGCTCCTTTTCTGGGATATCGTGGATGGAATTGACTGGTGCAGCCGAAAAAGGGAAACAGAGGTGTTTCATAGGATTGCCTTCTTTATCTAGCTTTCTGATATTGATGAATACGTTCATGTCATCATGGGAAGGGCAAGACATGTAGACGACTGCCTTGGGGATGCCGATCAGTCGCGATGGCTTATCGAAGGTGTAAGTGAACTTCGCAAGTGATTTCCCGTCTTCAGAGTTGTATGAAGCTTTGGAGGAGCTCTCAGGAATCGTCTCAGTCAAAGCTTTGGAGTTTAGGTAGAATGTCTTGTAGTCGGTATTGGGAGGAGGGAAATCTTCGAATTCAATATCGCTCTCGGCTTCTCTGTCTCCAAATTTGAGGGAGGTCCACCTCACTTTGGGCGTCTTTTCCCAGTCGTTTTCGATGCCTTTGAGATATCTGTCAAAGAATTTCTTCAAGATATGTCAGCGAGTCTACTCAGGGTTGGTAAAGGATGAAAGAAACGCATACGGCCAAATCCTCGTTGGTTTCCGGTACACTGTACAAGTCAAACCACTCTTGCCAAGCGCTCCAGCGAATCCATTTTTGAGAGCATCCCAGCTCAATGAAGCCTCTGATGCTGCCCATAGTGTGGATGGAGCTGAAGTCCGATCCAGAGATGTAGGCGGGAATATTGATGGCCTTCATGTTTGCGCGCTTGTCTTCCCACCAGATGTTGGACAGTGGGCTACGACGGTACATCTCTGCGAAGTCTTCCACGCCTGAATTGCCTTTGATGATGAGGTTGGTGATCAAGTCGAAGTTGCTCATAGAGAAGATGCCGCCTCTGACGAATTGCTCGCGGAACAGATCTCCACTCGCCTCCCACGGCGCAATAGCTTTCAACGATGGAGGGTTTAAGGCTGCAACGTGCCATTGGGCAATTGCGAGGGCAGAGTTCCCAGCCATGCCAACGCTGCCATTGCACCAATCCAACTTCGCAATGGCTTCAATGACATCATAGGCATCCTCGGCATCCTGCAGCCCCATGATTGGGGCCTGTCCGTCGCTGTTTCCGGTGCCTCTGCTGTCGACACTGATGATGGCGTAGCCCTTGGGACACCATCTCTGGGGATCCAGGCCCTCGAACTTTTCTAGCCCGCTCAAGTCACTCCTCTTGACACAGCAAGACCACGGTGTCATGGGAAGCATAGTGAGCGCGCTGTACTTCTTGCCGTAGGGTGACCATCCCACTATGGCGGGGATCTTCTCTTTGCTGTCCGCCGGCCGGTAGACGTCGATGTATAGTCTGCAGCCATCTCGGACTTTGATCTCAACATCATGGTCGATACGAATGTCGCTCTCGAGAGGTTTTGCATTGTAGCCGTTCCAGCCCTCTGGCAGGACTTCTGTGCGACCAGGGGTGAAGCCCTGATAATTGTTGACGCCGATTTCGGGCTTGCCAATCGGCTTGTGCGCAATTTGGATTGGAAGAGGCATGATTCAGAGAGTAGCTTATAGGTTTGCGAACGTATGAAGGTCTGGGATAGTCTGGGGAAATGAAAGGTCGCATAGGTGCACCAGAGACCTATGAAGTATGCAAGCGAACTGCTTTTTATCGAACGCGTTTTTAGATTCTAGCGAGCCCAAGCAGAGGTATCAACCCGTCGCCAGCACGCGAATCGTCGCGATCGTGTCGCGAGAACCTCGGTCTAATGGTGCCCGGAGCGGGCAGTGCATCGGTTGTGCCTCAGCCAAGTTGGAATACTTGGGGTTTGACGGCGGGGCAGCTCCCGGCGCAAATCGAGGTGACATTCGCGACCACCGGCCCCGCCTCTCTCCAAGAAAGCGGAGGAGAGTGAGGAGAACGGGGCATGTCCGAACCGAACCGAACCGAACCGAACCGAAGACCCGACCTCTTGAGCAGCGCCAGAACGAAGCAATCTGGAATCGGACGACCGAACCGGGCCTAGGGAGAAAACCGAGGAACCCCGTGACTGGACTCGCGTATGCAATATGGCGATGGAACATGCGGGGAATCTTAGATCCCTCGTTTTAGCCTCCCGGTGAGGGCTTCAAAATGTGATGAGCTGGTTGGCTGTGTGGTTGATAAGCAAAAAGTAGGCCATATAACGCCTGAAACTTCTGCAGTCCCCCTACTTTAATTTTTGCGCTCAACTGAAAGTGAAGCCAGCAAACTTCCAGAAGTCACGAATCCTTGCCAGCTTTTCACATTTGCGTACGTTATCACTGCCAAGATGGCCAAGGATCTCCTCACACCCAAGACAAACCACGGCGACTGGCGCGACTTCTTCTTCGAGCATGGCTACGCCATCCTTAAGAAATCTATTACTTCTGAGCGGGCTGAGTACTACAAATCAAAGCAGATCGATTGGCTCAAGTCCTTCAACCGCGGGTTCGACCCTGAGAACGAAGACACGTGGACCTCTGAGCACCTCCCTGTATCCTTCAAGGGTGGCATGTATGGGTCTTACTGTGCCCCGCATGAGCGATTTGTATGGGAAGCGCGAATGTAAGTGGTCACTTTATCTCTTACTTTTAGCCGGGCTGGACTTACGGAAAACAGGGAGCCAGGAGTTATGAACCCATTCATCCATATTTGGGAGACGGAGGAGCTGCTAGTCAGCTTCGATATGTTCAACATCACGCTTCCGCGTCAAAGGGATTTGAAATGGTCGCCATGGCCTCATTGCGGTCAGACCCTATTGTCGAATCGACTTTGAATAATTTTACTAATAGCAATGCGTACAGACCAAGATCCTAAACGCAAAGGACTGCAGTGTGTCCAAGGGCTACTCAACTTTGCGCCGAATGGAGACAAGGACGGCGGGCTGATTCTGATGGATGGCTCAGCCAAGCTTTTTGACCAGTTTTTCCAAGAGACTAGAGTCATGGCGAACCATGAAGATGCCCCGCCGCCAGAGGAGAACTACCGTGACCTCTTCATCTTCAAAGAGGAAGATGTAGAGTGGTTTGAAAAGCGCGGATGCAAGCTTATCAAGCCAAACTTAGAGCCTGGCGACTTGGTTCTATGGGACTCTCGGTATGCACACCTCTTTCTCTGGCTACGTTCTGAAAGGCTAACACGTTAAAGAACTATGCACTACGCTAAGCACCCTGAGGGCAGCCAGATTCGTCATGCTCAATATGTGTGCTTCACTCCGGCCAAATTCGCCGACTCCCAGAGCTTGAAGGAGAAGGCGGACATCTTCCGGTCTTGGGGGGCACGACGCACTGGCCTCACACCAACATTCACCCTCAAGGGAAAGCAAAAAGGGATGGTGTCATTGATCCGCAGGAGAGGGAGGAGCCTTTGGAGAAGCCAGTGGTCACAGACAGATTGTTGCAGTTGGCGGCTCACAAGGCATATTAAGAGATGGATTTGTTTTTTGCATATTAGAGATCGCTTTTGTCTTGTATACTTTGTGCAAACGAGAAGCAAGTTATAAACTCAATCTCGTCCGTTGAGAAACCTCAAGCCGTATGGAATGTGACACCTAAAGAGAATGGACGGGTGTTAACTGGATTTGGTGAATCCCTTCGTGTTCCGGTGTAGACTAGTCTATTGTCGAACTTGTAGAGCTGCAAAGAGATCCAGCTCAGGAACCTCTAAGAGCATTCTCATGAAACTGGTCTTCATCATCTATTACGGATTGCTAAACTGACTGGTCTCAATTCCCGAGGCACATTGCCGTACACCCCACCCCCGGATTCTTGAGCCCTGGAGCGGGGTTTCCATGGACCCTAGCCGACATGGGGGATGTCCCTTAACCCCACGCCTGGACCAAGCACTGCCTGGGGAAATGCAGGATAAACTATCCGCTCTTCACACCCGATCTGTCGTCCTAACGGATGCACCCCAACATCGTTCGGCAGGACCCTGGGTGAGGGGTTTCTGTTATATACCCTACCCACTGAAGACATCCGAGCTCGACCGAAGAGCGCCGCATATGCTCACTTGAGCTCCGAATCGCTTCTCCGAGCCATTGTACGACTATGAACAGCCCGTCCTCCGGCCTCATGGCCGACTCCGTCTTCCGCTCGGGAGACCAGCCATCCAACTCTCAAAACCATTCACAACCAAAGCGCATCCGCCTCTCGTTGGCCTGTAACCAGTGCCGGAAGCGCAAGGTGAGATGCGACGCCCAAACGCCTAAATGTCACAACTGCATCCTCCGGGGTGACAACTGCGAGACGACAAATCCCAGAAACCCAAACCAGCATGCAGTCCGCAGATGGGCTGCTAAGAATAGTACAACACAGAGCGAAGGCAGCAGCATACATGAGGCGTCTGAGACGCCGCGGGCTCATCCGCACCTTCGAACTGCCTCGCCCAGAGCGCGACAGTACCTCTCTCCTGCGTACGACGACGGCTCCGAAGGTGGAGATGTCGCGTCTCGAAAGATGTCGTGGGTGGCTCAAGCCTACCGCGCCAACGCCCGCGATAACCAAAGCCCGCATGAGCACTCGGAGCTCAATCCTGACATGGCCCTGAACACCGACGAGAGTCCACATCGGCTAAAGTTCATGGGCGGCAGCAGCGTTCAGTCTTTGACAATGTTTGCCGACCTATTTTTCCGCAAACGCGGTCTGAAGCCGCTGTCGCCCTACTTCCGGTTTGGTATGCATCACGTTGAAGAATATCAAGTCCCCCTGTCGTTCCAGCTGCCGTCGCTCCCTCCACTTCCAACACTGGACGCATATCTAGATGTGTACATGAAGCGGATCTTCCCACTGTTTCCTGTGTTTAATGAGCCCACGCTTCGCTCCGAGTTGGGTCGGCTCTCAACACTCCAAGACTCGGACTCCTCTGTCGGATTGCAGAACCTCATCGAACCGTCCCAGGTTCCCCTCTTAGTGTGTATCTACAGTATAATCTGCATCGGAGCTGATGAAGAGATTTGTTCGCTCACTGAGGTGGGCACCCATTACTTGACAGCAGCTTACAGTCTGTTGGCGCACGTCATCTCCACCCCATACTTGGCCTCAGTGCAAGCCCTCGTTCTATTGACCATTGCACTGCGCGGTCGGAGTAAGGAAGGTCAAGGCTGGCAGACTCTTGGCCAAGCCATACGCATCGCCCACTCCATCGGCCTCCACCGACATGCGTCGACAAAACACCGTGGCAACCCAACCGAACCCGGGACCTCGGTGCCGTCGCTCGGGTACCAAGCAGACCGAAAACTTCACAGTCGAGTATGGTGGACCTGCTACAATCTCGAGAAGCTAATGGAGCTGGAAACCGGTCGTCCAAGTGCGATACATGACTCGGACTGTGACCACAGGCTACCAGATTCTGTACCTATCCCCAGTGCTGGAATAGTATCATTATCAGCCTCGGAAGCCCAGAATAGCCATCAGACTATCGACTACTTCCAGCCCTGGGCTTCATTGAGTCGCATAATTAGCAGCATCAGCGCTCATATCTACCGCAGGTCAGGACAATCTCAGACCTCTCGAATTTTGCTAGGCGATACTGTCCGCCTGGACTTGGCGCTTACCGAGTGGGCCCAGTCACTGCCGCCTGAGATCCGCCCTCCAGGCCTGAATAGCGGAAACGTGATTTTGTGTGAGAAGGGTCACAAACATCTTGCAATCTTCTTGGCTATTCAGTATCACCATGCTCTTATATCTCTCCATAGGGCGGCTCTGGTGTTTCCCGAGTCCATGTATCGAACACATATCAACTCGCAAGCGGACTCCGGTACATTGACAGCTGTAGAGCTCACGCGCCTCAGGCGCGGGGCTGAGATATGCATCGGCTCAGCAAGAGCGATTGTGAGACTTGTTGGGGAAATAGCCGATGACTCTTCGCCGACGCCTCGGGCAAGAGGCAGAATGTTCGGCGAGGTTCCCCATACCAAATCAGAATCGATGATCTTTACCATCACGCAACCACTCATCTCAGCTGTGGCTCTAGCACTGCATATCCTCAAGCAACCTAGCTCCAGGCTTGCACGCTCTGACCTGGAGCTCTTAGGTATAGCGGCACAGTATGCAGAAGAGCAATACACCAACGTCTCGCAGAACCCCCGCTTCATCCAGGCGTGTTCGGTCCTCCAATCAAACATGTCTGAAATTGTATCCTTTCACCGGCAAAATCGCGGCTCAACAAGCTACATCGCCATGGAATCTACACGAAGCGAACGTACGCCGGTAGAGGATCCAAATGCTGGAATTATCGCTGCGGATATAGACATCATGGACTTTGAACTTCCAGACTTGACCGGATTGTTCACTGAGATCAGTAACACTGATCTCTTTGGAGGTGTCTGACTCGAGCATCTTTGGGGGATGTTGGGCGCAAATGGGCAGTTTGCGGAAGGCTCTGGGTCTTGGCCGCAGTGACGAAATCATAGTGTATTTTTAATGTGCGAATTGTTTGTTCGTATGTTTGAATCGAACACAATCTCTAGCTATGGTGTGTAAGCGTGTGGTTGGTTCGTCTTTACGGGCAAATGTTGGTCGACACTGGCTCTAAGTCTGAACTTTTAGCGCGTGGAAGACACGGTTGTCGTAAGTTGAAAGGAGACCGGCGGGTCTCCATGACAAGCGGAGATTCTGCGGAGGACGGCGGAGCTACCTGGAAGCCACGAGGCCCGGGTGCTGGCTGCTACTGATAGAGTTCAAAGTGGAGGTATGATCGCCGCGGGTGAAGAGGCTATGTATGCATTTTTTTGAGTACTCAACGATCCACGGACGTCATCAAGCCTTGAGGGGAATTGAAATGAGGTTGTGAACTGTCAATTGAGGTTAGAACTCCGCCCGGTACCGCGCGGTTTGGTGCCCTTACTTCATACTTCCGCAATGAAGCTTATTTGTGTTTTCGAGCACTCCGCTAGTGTTGGTCGTAAGTATAAGGCTAGGGGTCCTGTATTATAAGGGCTATATCCCCCAGGCGTTTGATAGAGGACGAATGCGTAAATAAATACTCGCTTCCACGCAGAATTTGACGCATCCGTAACAGCCAAGCAAGATAACGAAGCATTGGCAACCATGGCCCCTTTTTCAGTACCTGCACCCTCCGAGATTGCTCATCTTGGATTCCGTACTTCGAACCCTCAACGGCTGGTTGACTTCTATCTGAAGTTCTTGGGGGCAAGGGTTGTACTCATCAACGACTTTATTTCCGTTCTCACCTGGGATCAAGAACATCACCGCTTGGCTATCATCAACGATGCCATAGCGATTCCCAAAAAAGAGAACACCTGCGGACTAGATCACGTTGCACTAAAGTTCGCCTCGGTTGGCGAACTTGTCAAGGTGTATCAGTCTGGCAGGGAAGCGGGGATTAAACCTTTTCTTTGTCTCAACCATGGGGTGTCCACCAGCTTGTACTATAGAGACCCCGACGGCAATCGTATCGAGGCATTGATCGAAGCCTATAACAACCCGGAGGACGTCCAGAAACACATGGCTACCTTGGATCCTTTAAATATCAAGGCTGCCAGATTCGATCCGGAAGACCTGATGCGCAGAGTCAACGCGGGCGAGGATGACGAGGCGTTAAGAAGAGCAGGTTTCATTGGTCCATCTCATGTAGCACCGCAGCAGCTGGGATCATAAGCTTGGACTGGGGAATCACCTAGTATGGAACCACTTGAGCTCGCTTTGGGTTTCTCCTGTTTAGGATAGCAATGGTATCATGAGTGCATGAATACCGAAGATAGGCCAGAAAATTGTTGTTCAGTGATTTTTATCGAGAGTTATGCTTCAGGATTCCCTACATTTTGAAGGGGGTGGGCCATGGGTGTAACGATATCGGCCTACGTATATCTTAGTCTGTCATTAATTGAGGATGTCCTTAAGACTCAAATATGAGAACTCTAAAGCAACAAGATAGGTACTGATATCACAAGCAGGCTTAACTAGACTGTGGTGTTACCAGTCTGTCAGGTTTGGGACTTGACTACAATTTGGTATAAGAGATACCTCTGAGTACATCATTATTCCAAAGCGACTTGTCCTCGGTGAGCGAGCGGCATCCGAAACTGAACAGTCAAAAGTGACATGCCGGGGGTATGTAGCGTGATGTTGTGTCAATTTCATGAACACATGCCCTAGTCCCAGCTTTAAATGTATTCGAACATTCATTTTCTCGAACAATTGACGGGCCGTTGTCAGCACTCGATATCCAAAGACACATTGGCCTCAAATAGTTGTATAATAACTCAGTTACTGAACTCTTTGCGATCAAGAACCCCCAACATATACACCGGCGCAGCAACCCGCATCGGATGCCGAGCCGCCGCGTTCCGGTCCATGCCTGCCGCCGGCCGGCCGGCAGCCTATGCCCCACTCACGCGTCCATTTACGGTGTCGAGCGTCCCCATCGGCGACCTCCAAGCTCAAGGTCATACTACAGGATGACCAGGCTTATGGCTTCATCCGTTACAACCGCCGCGACCTCAAGCCCCGATTCAAGTCCCTCACAGAGATCCGCGAGCCATACTACTCGGTAATGAGATAGCGGTACCTGGAAGATGCGCAGGACACGTCAGTGAGAGACTGGCTCGCGTTTGTCGACGATGCCATATAGCACTAACTCTTACAGCATGGGCCATTACGTGGACGGTCTGAAGTTCGCAGGCGGGTCTTTCTGACTCTTCCCCGAGGACAAGCTGAAGGAGCTCATTAACCTAGCCTACCAACACGACGTATACATCTCAACTGTAAAGCCCGGCTGCCCCAGGAGATTCCCTTCGGAGACACTAGACATCACAGGGCGTTTGGATCAAACACTTCCTCACCCAGTCCAACCCCGAAGCCGTTGTCGATCGCTACCTCGAAACTTGCAAACGCCTAGGTTTCGACGTTGTCGAGTTCTCCATCGGCTTCCTCTTGCTGCCGCCCGACAACTAGCTCCGCCTCGTTGATCGCGTCCAGGTAGCCAGCGTTATGCCGAAGCCCGAGACCGGTAGCTAGTCGGATCCGTCCATGGTCCTCGACCTCGGCAAGAATTTCGTCGCTGCGGACGTCGAGCGCATCATGATTGAGAGCAAGGATATCACAATTAACGTTGAGATGTGGCGGACAGATATGAATCAGAAGATCATGAGGGATCTGCCCTTGAATAAGGCCATGCTTGACACCCGGGACCCGGTGGTGTTCAATTGGTATCTGAGGAAGTTTGGGATTGACGTCAACCTGTTTGTCGATCACTTTAAGATCGTACAGCTGAGCGGCCTCAGGGCGGGTGTTTGGGGCATGGCGGATACGTTTGGCAAGATCACGACTTTCCGATAAGCTAAGATCGGACTTTGCGCCCCAACGTTGCGGATGAGGCAAAGGCAAACTCTCTTCTTGTCGTTATCTCCTCATACGCGATGGTGCCTCGAAACGGTAGATGCTGAGTGCCCAACGATAATGAATCTTCTCAATCGTCATTGAAGCCCAAACGTTCTGCCAGCGGGGTCACAACTGGATATCAAAAGCTGCGCGGTTGCTTAAGAGCTGACGACGCCAGCACAGGGTGTACCATATCCGACGTTGACGAGGTTCATGCGAAACCTCGCATTAATGTGGTCAACGTTGGCTTGGTGCGTCCAAGTGCACCGTGTCTCCCTTCTGGCGCAGCCTAAGCAGTCTGATTTGACCGTGGAACGGTGCCGTTCGCGGAATAGCTCGACCTTCATCCGATGTCCCCAAGCTCCAAGCCTCCCCGTGCCGGACTCCCGGAGGCATACGCGTCCGCAAGTCAGGGCCCCTCCGTTCCATCCGGCATGCAGTGAGACCACCCCAGACTCCGCACACTGGCACGCGGGCTCCGCACAGCCGTTTTCCTCCTCGGAATGAAGTCTAGACTCCTGTAACGGCGTCCTGTCTTGCGGGGTGTCTCCAAACCCCCAACCACACCCACATCGGCATTCCCAAACTGCAAAACGAAGAATGCACTCGTCTGCTAGCACCCTAGATTGGTTCAAGTACTTTGCCTCACAGTCTCCTGACACCATAGCGGGTTACCGTTACACCCGAATCCTGTACTTGGCTATCTGTTCTCAAGATCTCAGGGGCCGCGGACCCAAGCTTTTCGGTCCGTCAATGACGGCGGCGCACCACTTCACTTTACCTGGCACCTGGCCAATCATTATGGGCATCGCGACACCCTGCCGGTCGCTAGAAGTGAGGCCCTTGATTATGCTCCATATCGGTATGTGGCATGAAGCCTTAACTTGCCTGAAGTCGGTGCGTGAAACATGCAATCTACATGTAGACGGAGTGCATCAAAGCTCCAGTCCTCTGTCTAGTCGCCAAAGATCCCACCAATGAGATTCCGTTTCAGCGATTGCTCGCTCACTGACATCCAACCTACAAACGGGCTCCTCCGCAACAATATATCCCAAACGACTTCGGATGTGCTGCCGACGACTAGTCAAAGGATCTCCATCGTAGAGGTCCCAATGCGACACTGCAATATCCCGGTATACCTCCGATCGGTCGCGGAAGGAATCAGTAATCTGTAAATTCTTGAAAGGTTTGATTTAGGGCCTTGGCGTGACAAGAATTTGCGCGGCGTCGCGTTTACGAGTCATAAGTCGATTCAGAGGTGCGGGGCATCCCTCGATAGATCATTCACTGGTCATTGTGACCTCAAAACTTCCTGTCCACCTCCCGAAGTCATAACCACAACTGCATTCTCTCCGCTGCAGTTGTATCTCCTAGACGCCGGACGTGCAACTGAGGCGGAAAGACAGTTGTTCTGGATAGAGTTAGACTGCGAGACGACAGTAAGCGAGCGGCGACCCCAGTGACGACAAGAAAGCCGTCTCCACCGAACGACTTCAGGTAAATTAAGCGCTCGCCACGGCAGTGGTTCCACTCCGATCAGCAAACAGCAATTACCGTCTGGCCCGTTTGATTTGCCTCGGACGGTCCACCGAGCCTCGACAAGCCTAGGGTGGACGCGCAATCACATCAAGGCAAGCCAAAGTGGACAGCTCCTTGTGAAAGTGTGGTCGGCGGAAGAGGTGCCGAGTCGGGACCGGTCTTTGAAGGTAAGCTGCTGTCTTAGGGTTTGCGGCTCAACTTGGCAAACACAATGGCCCGTGATGGACTCCCACGGATGTCAATAGAGGAGACTCAATACTCCATCAACAAGGTAGCAGCGATTGTATGTGTTGTGAATGCAATCCAATGAATGTTTCTGAACGCTTGAAATTGGGTATGTTTATCCAAGTATCAGCGAAAGCTTCCACTTGTTGCCTCTGGGGCAGGTTGAGAAGTAAATAATTAGCTAGTTGGCTTTGAACCCAAACGGCCTACAGCTTTGTGTAATGAATAGCGAAAAAAGTCCCGAGGATCGAAAAGGTGATCCCAAGACAAGAAAGAATGCGCCGCCCATTGCCCTTGTCCTCCGGAACGCCTTACTGTGCAGCTGAAGTTTTCTCGTCTAATGTACGTTTGGCCGTCGTCAATGCCTAAAGAAATGCAAAGCGTCATGTAGTCTCGCTCATCCACCGCCCTCCAAACACACCATGCTGCTCGGTAGGCAGATTCTTAGATGACCAGACCCTTGCCGATGCCTTGTACTTGGAAACCGAGCTTCTCAAGTTCGGGTACAGACACGACGTTACGCCCATCCAGCACGAGTCGGGGGCGCTTCATGACAGAGGCCGCCCACTCCCAATCGACAGGATCGCCAAGATCCTCGTTCGCCGCGTCGAAATTGCAACCCTTGCAGCCTTCTGGGCACTCGGCTTCAGGCTTCATTCGCTTCAAGGGGTCGGTCGGCGTGTGGGTGCTGGTACGGGATACGAACTTCTCGAGTTCAACAATGTCCATCTCGGACAACGACTCCTTGATGAAAGCGTTGGCCTCTTCCCGGGAAGCCTCAGGGCTACTCCAGACGGATGAGCGGCGGGCAGTGGTCTGAGCCTGCTTAGGGTAGCGGAAGTGGTACCAAGGAGTAAGGATGCAAATGGCGCTCGATTCCTGGACAGCCTCGCGCCAGTTCGTGTGAACCTTGACGCGCTCGACAACACGCTCGTCGGAGATGGACTGGCGGACCTCGTTCATCACCTCCAACGGGTCACAGCCAGGGTCGAAGATGGCAATCTCACTGGGCATCTCGTGGGCCAGCTCGGTGATGATGTGCACAGCAATACTGTTGCGGGTGTCGTTGGTGTTCTCCTTGAAGGCGAAGCCGAGAATGGCCACCTTCTTGCGGCGCAGGTTGCCGTTCAGAGCACGGTGAACCTTCTGAGCGAAGCGCTCGCGTTGGTACTTGTTGATGTCGAGAACACCCATCCAGTAGTCGGCAACAGTGTCCAGGTGGAGAGTGCGTGCCATGTAGGCAAGGTTGAGGATATCCTTCTCGAAGCAAGAACCGCCAAAACCAACACCCGCGTGAAGGAACTTCTTACCCAGGCGGGAATCGGCACCGATGCCCTGGCTGATCTCCTGAACATCTGCACCGAGCTCCTCGCAAAGAGCACTGATGCTGTTAATGCTGCTGATGCGCTGGGCAAGCATGGCGTTGGCGACCAGCTTGGTGAGCTCGCTGGACCAAGTGTTGACGGTCAAGATCTTGGGCTCCGGGACCCAGGCAGCATAGATGCTCTTGAGAGCGTTTGCGGCACGGATACCGGCGGGGGTGGTAGAGCTGCCGATCAGAATACGGTCAGGGTGCATGAGGTCGCGAACAGCGGTTCCCTCGGCAAGAAACTCGGGGTTGGAGACAATTTCGAACTCGGCGTCGGGCTGATATTGCGCCATCTGCCAAGGTGTTAGCATCTGCCATGACCAAACTCATATGCCGCCGCGCAGGAGTGCATGGTTTTGAATGGAATCGAGCTTACAATCTCACGAATCATGCGGGCAGTTCCCGTTGGGACAGTGCTCTTCTCGACAATGACAGCACCGCTTTTGGCGAACTTGGCCACAGTCTCGGAAGCACCCTCAAGGGCACTCAGATCGGCAGTGTACCCAGCGCCGAGACCGTATGTCTTGGTGGGAGTGTTGACGCAGATGAGGACGATGTCGGCCTCGCCGATGCAGCCCTGGACGTCGGTGGTGAAGGCAAGGTTAGGCTTGCGAGGGGTAATCTTTACCGACTTGCCAGCCGAAGGGAGGAAGGCAGTCGTCTCGTTGGTGCCATCACGGGCGATGCGCACAATCTTGGGGAGACCAGCTTCGTGGATGGGCAGATGGGGAGAGTTCCACGCGGCGATGCGCTCGGCGTTGAGGTCAACAACGTTGACAGTGAGGTCAGGGTTGTGCAATGCGATCAGAGCCGCAGTTGGGCCACCTACAAGACATGGTTAGCTAGCTCATCCTCGTTATTTCAAGACCATTCGTATAGTCTCGGGTTTTTTGACATTGCACGGAGAGTAAGGTTTCCAGCGGAGGGCCACATACCAACAAAACCAGCACCAACGAAGCAGACATTCTTGACCTGCATCGGCTCGAGGGGCTCGAGATCTGAGGCGTTTGAAGCTGTGTCATGCTTGAACTCGGGGCTGCGAGGCCTCGACGCAGGAGGGGACGAGTTCGGGGTCCCGCTGCCCGAGCCGGCTTCTGAGTGCCCCGCGCTGAGGGCAGGCGATTGAGAGACCATGCTACCGACAGTGGAGGTTGTGTCTGTTGTGGCAAAGGATGTGCGCACGAAGTTTGCAGCCATCGATGAAATGCTCTGTTGGCTAACAGAGCTACCTACGATGTATGAATCACAAACGGGGTGATGACGTCCCGATTGGTAGAAATAGCGACCGGTGCGCGGCTATATTGACGGTCGGCGACAAAGTTCGAAGATCCCCAAATCAAAGGAAATCGATGAAACTGTGCGGCGAATTGCGAGTCTTGTACTGGAGTCGTAGACCCGGGTACTGGAGAGAAAGGGGGAGAAGCTCCGATCTAAATATATAGAGTGGATTGAATGGTTGGTGGCGTTGCTTGTCAAAGTCGATGCAACGCGACAAAAGCTGACGGCACCTAGAAACCGAGAGGAGGTCCAGAGAAAGAGAAGCCAGGAGTTCAACAAGCGGCTGATGAGCTTGGATAGGTTTCTCCCAAAGTCAAAAGCTGAATTCCCTTGCGTTGCTTGGCGAACCCAGTCTCTGCTTCCTTTTTTCTGTTCTGTGGCGGTCGACACTCGTTGCGTGAAGGATTCACAAGACAAGGTCGAGTCGAGGGCGTACAGAGTAGTTTTGGGGGGGATCAGAAAGCACGGATAGCGGATCGGAAAGGTGGGCGCGGGTGACGGCGTCGACGTAAATGTAGGACGGCGTACGTGGGAACCAAGGTGGGATTGGACGGTGGCACTAACGCTCCAACCGGATTCAAATGGGATTGGCGCCCGTTTTGTAAGAGGCTGTCGACTGAGGTGCGGCGAGGTGTCCCGGAAAGGCAAACAGGGACTGGGCGAGGACGGGAGAGCCGTGAGGAGGCAACGAGCTTGGAGCTGGATTGACGATCTGGGGGCCTCGGTACGACGTGATGTGAAGAGCGCAAATGGCAGCTATGCGGCGAAGATGTGGAACGAGCGGCAGGTTATCCAAACCTGGAGGTTCATCAATCTCCGACGTAGGATGAGGGAAAGAAATAGTACGGTTACAACAGCAGCGATGATGACGGACCAGATAGACGACTTCAAGTGGGAGAGGCAACGGACAGAGCACCAGGGGGGGCTCTTTCTTGATATATCCTCCAGGGTCTTGGCTCTTTGTTCCTTGTTGCTCCCCTCCTCCTCTTGTGCGTCGACGGTGCCATCCGACAGTCGTTGACGGTGGGCTGTACGAAGGTAGATTGTGGGTTGTGGGTTGTGGACCAGACCACAGAATTGGACAGTGTGATAGGGGACGGACGGATGATGGGATGGTTGGATGGGATGGAGAAGGAGATGGGCATGCGGGACTGTATGTGGGTTGGATGGGCGCATGGCATGGAGAGAGAAGGGAATAGGCATGACATGGGCATCATATCCCTGCTCCGGGAAGAACTAGGAGGGAGGAGCAATTCGCATCCCAGATGCCACGAATACTTGATACTTGCCGCTCAGTGAGGTACTCGACCATGCGCGGCACCCGCACTAGAGGGCGAGAGAAGGAGAGAGAGAGAGAGAAAGAGAGAGAGACAGAGCCGGCATGGCAGGGACCAGGAGCCCGAAGGTGTACTCGACAGCAGATCCCAGGAGTCAGGAGCGAAACCGGGACCAGAACCTGGTCACTGTCTTCCTCGATAGTGGAGTGAAGGTGATGGAACGGTTCGAGGAGGCATTGACGAACGGTACGTATCGAGCTTGGAAGCTCGGTATTCGTGCCTGATCTCGTCCTCGCTCGGAGGAGAGAACCTGAAGACGAGTTGAGCTGCCATCTCGGTACTCAAAGATGCATACAGAGGACAGCTTTCCCTGGCAAAGAAAACAAGTGCACATGCCGATGCCACTGCAACTGGAATTGTAACTGCAGCCAGCGGAGAGCGTACGGCGCAGCATACCATCAACGGAGAGGGAGGGAGGGAGCTGTCCTCCGCCCGGCGGATGCCCCCAATCTTGTGCCGTTTTCGCACTCCAGGAGACTTCTTGGCCTTATCGCACGGCAACGTTTCCACCGCTCCAAGCTTGGCATTCGGTATGGCAGCCGTGTCCAACGCCAGAACCCATTTGCCTTGCAGCACCACTGCGGGAGCAAATAGACGGAACGTTTGCATGTTAGGATGGGAATAGGGGACACGCTTGGCTTGGCGCCATCCACGCAGTCACCATCTCCGTACTTGCTGTTTATCCGCCGGACAACAGGTTTTTTTTTTTTTTTTGTGCGCAAAGAGGTGCGCGAAAACACCGTACATGTTCGAGCGGCTGGGTGGCCACGGCTGTTGGGGCAGAGGCGGCGGGGTGCCCCGGACAGCTGCAGCGTTACGACTCAACGATGATCGGATGGCGTGGAGGGGTGCGTATACTCCGTTTGAGATGGATGTCGAGGGCCGGAGTGTAGGACAGGCGACGGCAAGGTCTTGGTCCGGTCCCTGAACCTCTCATTCTTCGATGCCAGACGGAACCCTTGTTTGGGCCCCTCTGATCCTTTCCCCGTGGGCGCTGCCCTTGGGCGATGGTGATGGACAGGAGTCTCACTTAAAGCGGACGCTTCCAAGCCATTTTTTGGATTTGCATTGCCAGCCACTATTGATGCTAGTGCAGATGCTGCAGGCTCGTCAGAGAGAGTGGTTTCGCGATGTCAGACCAATGTGGTCTGGCGCCAGTGATGCTCGACGGTTGACTAATGACAAGCCCATCATTACACGGTCCCGTCACCGCCAGACGTGTAGCGAGAGAGCCAATTCAAGCTGAAATGACAGACCGGCGGGAGGTACATGACGCTGGAGAGGGGCTCCAGTTCCCCAAGGTCACGGCGGCCCCAATGGCCCATTTTCCGACATGAGCTTCGTTCGACCCAAGTCATGGCCTGCGATGTACTTGGGTTCTCGCTGCCGCCTCGCAGTGGACAGAAGTACCTCGGCGACTGGGTATCATCGGGACCTTTCGGCGAGCCGACTACACTGGAAATTGGGGTTTGGGGACGGGATGGGTACGTACACGGCGACCAGCATAGTGACTTCAAACCAAAACCATCTTCAGAGAAAAGGTGAAATTTAGCGGCAGTTACGGATACATGCTGAGGGGCCCCCCTCGTAGTTTACGTGCTTGGCATGCGAAGGCTCTGCACGTTATTTTGGATTATGTCCCTGACCTCTCGGACAGAGTGTCCGTTTTCTTCCCACGCCGTCCATTCTTACCGTTCGTTACTTTGGACTTTGGACTAACGCTGGCTGCCCAGTCACCCCCTGCCAGAAGGACAGGAGCGGAAACTCACTACCGGTTCCTAACTACTGCACTAGCACGGCACCGCATGGCAGGCTGGCGGGCAGAAAAGCAGCAAGGGGCCTGTATCTGTCTTAGCCTCACCTGGAGTCAGTGACATCATCTCGAACGGCGCGCCAGTCTAGACCTTTGAACTGACTGCAATGTCTTTTTGCAGCTAGGCACAGTGTAGCATGGAAATCCAAGCAAGTAAGCAAGCAGAGACAGGGTCGGGGAAATCAACGGCCACTTTTGTGTTCGTCCCGGGTTGCGCTCCTTCAAAGCTCGAAACGCCTCCAACGAACCCACCCTGCCTGGTGCTGCTCGTTGCATTGTCTGCTCTGCCCGCTGCCTCCGGGATGGATGGCGTGCGAGAAAATGCGGCGCTTCCGCTGAACTTGGTTTGGCTAAATGCTTAGCAGCAGCAGCTTATCAAAACGTCCTGCTCTGTCTGGAAGTGCCATTGCCCATCACTCCACCTCTTCATACGACAGTACCCTGCTGGTTCATGAACTTTTTTTCTTCCTTCGCTCTCCCCGTCCCCTTCTGGTTCTGCGAGTCCGCAAGTCTAGTGTAATGAGCAGACTCCACCCCGCCATCTCCAGGGCCAGCTGGAAGCGGTTGTCTTGTTGGCTGCGACCGAGATCCATCCAAAGCTTGCTTGCATTGTCTCTCCAGCTTGTGTAGCTGGCCTCTCTCCCTCACGAGGCGGTCCATTGGGCTTCGGCAGGACGAATCTAAGCTGAAATTCTCTGCACGGGACACGAGGAGACCCTCCCACGCAGGACCCTCAGATATATTGGAAATCGTCTTCGTCATCGGCCAGCATCTTTCATCTGGCCACGGGCCACTTGTGGGTCGCATTGAGCGAGTCCAACCCGTACCTCCTCCTGGGTTGGCTGTTAGATATTGCGGCACATCCACCCTGCTTCACGATAGGCAGGGGCACGCGATATAAGATACCCGGCGGTGGCCCCATGCCGCACTGAATATGAGGTTCTTCATCGCCTCAGGATTAAGGTTGTGGGCTGGGATCGGGTTGACACTCTCGCTGATCGCCATCATCCGTTCGCTTTGTCGTTTTACCCATACGAGTTACTTAGGGGTCGCCCCGACCCTGTCCGGTATGCCCCCCTCGCATCGAGACGGCGCTGAGCCTCCAAGTCTCGGGCATAGCACGTTATCCGCCGCCATTGTGATCTCACCCTTGATCGTTGACGAACGAGCACCAGTCAATGAACGTTTTGTGCGTACACAACCGTCGGGCCGGAACTGACAGATCGGCAAAAGCCCGAAGAACGGTTCAGAGAGCCCGTCAAGCTTGGCCGCTTTCGCACCAGCCCCCACACCCCTCTCCCGCCTTCCACTCCTCCAACGGGGTGGCGGAAACTAGGAGATGAGGACGGGGGTTCGCGGAGGGGACCCTCGGTGCCTCATTACGGATGCAATCACAGAAATTACATAGTACATTGGCCGCAGGGTACCGCCGAGGGTGAGGCTGGTTTTTAGTGGCTGCTCAAAGCAGATCGCCTCGCGTCGTCCACCCATCAGCTGTGCCCAAAGACATATTTGGGGGTCTGCAATCAACTGGGAGCGCACGCCATCATCCAATAGCCGTGAGGAGCCAGACGTGTCGAGGGGGCAAAATCAACATGACACCCGTTAAGCGCAGGCGTCTCACACTGATTTGGGTCAAGCAGAAAGCCCGGCAATAGTGCGATGGCAAATTCTGCTCCCCTACCCTGTCAACGCATGCACAATGCAGGACTGGGAGAAAAAGACAAAGGTCGTGATCTTCAGGCACAGACAGCCAGACGACCAAACTAGTTGCTGACCACTGTCTAATTAGAGCACATGTGCCGTTGGTTGATGGCCGCGCGCGGGGGGTCGCCACGAATCACACCACGCCTGTGTGCTGTTGGCTCTGCCTTTTGGTGGTGTCGTCCTACACGAAGACGCCGCAAGGGACGAACGGCAGCGTGAGCGAGAGTCAGTGTCCGAACCGCAAAGACACAACGGCGAGACACTCTAGGGCAACCAGCCAGATTGGGGGTAGGAGGGTTAGTGGCTGGGGGACGTAGGGCCGAGTGTCATCGACACAGAGAGCGAGAGAGAACGGAGGAACCGCTGCCACAACAGGGTGAAACCAGTTCCTCAGTCCGACGGGTTCGAGTGCACGTCCAATCGGGGGCGCAAGGGCGGTGGGTACTCCCAGGTAAAGAGCATCCCTCCAGGTTCCTCGGTCCAGACGAGGCCGTTGTGTCAAGGTGACCCCCGTCAGATCGATAAGGCATGCAGGCGGGATCCGGTACGGCTGTGCTGCTGCACAGAGCGAACCTTGGCGCCGGTACGCGTCTGGCGTTGTACACTATAGCAAGGTTTGTCGTTTGCTGCGGGGAACAGTTCGAGCTGTCCGCCGTCCGCCGTCGCTCGGTTGGGGTCTGTTTGCTCGCTTGTATACTACCTATGTAGCTGACGGCTCCAAGTGGGACGATTCGCGATACAGCCATAAGTCTTGCCAAGAGACGATAGAGACACACAAGAAGCAAGCTCACCTCGAAGGCTGGCAGACTAGCAGCAAGGTCCGTCAAACCCAGACAAGTGTGTGAGGTGCAACATGATTACGTGGTGGGAGGGAGGGCTACCTGTACACACCGTCCCGTCCCAGCTGTGATGTACTCTGGTACATACATACTATGGTATCAGGCCAAAGTTTTTATCCCTGTCAGGTATCTTGTGGCTTGCAAGCAGGCAGATCTAAGCACTGGTACTTCGCACACTTAGGTGACTGTTCAGCCAGTTGGGCTGTGAATCCTCGCTGGCTGTGGGGTCAAAGCCAAGAACTACCTGTTGTGGGTAAAAGACTTACCCATCACACCATAGTATACCTACCGGTAGTGTATGAGCGGACCGCTGGGGACTTGTGCGCGGTATTCCTTGCTCAATGGTGGTGCAGCGGACCGCCAAGTTGGCACGCAGAGCGGAGAGAGATGCAGGCTCCCCCCACCCGGCCCAGCGCCATCCCCTGTCACTGCTGACGACGCCTCGTTGATTACAGGCTCGGCAAGGTGGATCGTGGAACGGGACAAAGCCTGGGATTCGAGAAGGCGAGGGAGAAGCGATGGAGCATCCTGTCTCGTCTCGGTTAATTCTGGCGTGGCGTGGCAGTCTGGCGTCGCACTGGGGTCAGGAGAGCGTGTCTCGTTGCCTCGCTGTTCGACCCTCGATCAGGCAGTGTTGTCGCGTCCGGTCGATCAATCGAGGTGGTTGTTCTCCCTTATCGCGCCCAGTAACGACTTTTCTTTTTCTCTCTCCTCCTCTCATTCTCGTTCCCTTTATTAGCCGTCCGGTAGGTCGCTGGTTGGAGCATCCAATCTCGTTCAGTCACATCCGCCGCGGGTTGTAAAATATCCCCCGGGTTGGCTGCACCCTCCCAAGAGCCAAGCGAAGTCTCCGGCGTGAACATGGACGGATGCGGCGGCACTGTGCCCAGAGATTCCCCCCTTTTTCTCGTCGCTAGGTCGCCAATTGCCAACTTGGAATCCTGCAAATCTATGAGCTGCAGTTGTAGGCTTCGAAAAGTCTTGGTATGCTCTTCGTGCGGTGCTGCACTCCTTGGACTGAAGGTTCGGACGAGGCGGAAATAAGGGGGCCCTCCCGCCACCACTTTTTGCTGGGTCGATATCATCCAGGATAGGTAATAACGGCGTCGAGTCGTCTGATGCGACTGGGCAGCGGCCCCGGGTCGTCGTCGTGCTGGCTGTGGTAGTGGGAAGAATCGGTTCGAGGCTCAGATTCCTCCACACCACGATGGGGGGGGGGGGGGGGGGGGGGGGGGGGGGGGGGGGGGGGGGGGGGGGGGGGGGGGGGGGTTCACGAGCCTTTCTCCATGTCGCCTACGAGAAGTCGTGTTCGAGAAGATGAACGGCTGCAGAAGAAGCAGACACGGGGGGCGAGGCAGCGATTATGTACTGCTGAGGCGAGAAATACGAGATTCGGAGAGATACGGCTTTTTTCTCCCACAATTTACAGCACTTACTAAACTATGTACACAGTGCTCCCCGCGTCAGGGCCCTCACCCGTCCCATCACCATGCTGTTTTGGGCATGTTAAGGGCTTGCAGGCTCACCACGGCGGCCGAGGGACGCGAGGAGGTCGCAGCAGCCTTGGGCGGCATGTCTGTGTTCTCTCTGTGGGTGAGGGATGATTCGGGTGGTCGTGGCCTGACTCGGACGAGGACGCACACCACGCTACGATGATGGCTGATTAACGGTAGGTCCGAGACCTCGCAGGGCTGGCCTTGGGGTTGCCATGGGCCGGTTTATGGTTAACCTTAACTTGCTGCGGCTCTGAGGAGATGAGTGCCGGGAGAAATAGTGCGCGGCGAGAGGGTTGAGGCCGGGGGTGATGGTGTGAGTGAGGGTAAGGTGAGGTGACGGGGGAGCGAGCTCCAACTCGTTTTGGCTTCGGTTTGGGCGCGGCCAAAGATATCTGGATGGCTCATTTGCAAACGTGACTCAAGCCATGCCATTAGGACGAGAGGCATCTGCTCTGTGATGGCCTAAGGCTGTGGAGTATAATCACTCATCTCTAGCCACAGGGCACAATGGGGTGATGAGCCGATGGGCTCCTCTCACCCAGGATTTGGCTGGGTGTCATTTCCAAGCGGAATTGACATGAAAAGTGCTGACAAGTCTTGACAAAACGATTACAGTTCCAAGAGCTCATGTATTTCATAAGACGGCGCCAATGTTTTGGACCAACGTAATGAATGCCAAACCAGTCAACGATGCGTCATGCAGGCCAGATGAGAAGAGAGAATACGTTCTTCGCACCGGATACGCCTACTTTTGCTTCGTTCCAGCCAACTTCCATCCTCACTTTGAGGCCCAAACATGCTCAGACCCATGGGCCATCGCCGCTCACCCGCCAAGCCGTGATGCCCGAGGCACTAGTCTTGGTGTTTTCCGCCCAGGCCTCATCAGCGCTGCCAACCCCCTTGGGATTCCACAAAACATTTGCTGCCAAACGTGTACGCGCAATGGAGCGCCTCTCGTTTCTTATTTTTTCCTGGCCTTCTCGCCGGCAGTCCTTGGCAAGATTCCTCTCAGCCCGAATCTTGCATAGGCTTGGTGGGTTGGTGAGTGTTCCAAGGACCGAGCCGAGCTGGGTTTGTTTGGCGTGCATACGGCCTTCTTTCGTCATTGGCCCGGGGGGGTCGTCGCCAGCGCAGCAACATGGGATATACACAATCCGATGGTTCAGCAGCGCCGTTTCCTCTCTTCCTGTTGGCTGCCTCACTGGCCGATTCGCTTACCTGCTTTTTAGGCCTAATTTTAAAGTAAGAATGCGCTAGGTAGGTTTTCGGTTCCTTGGTGGAAGACCGTTGCAGTACAGCCGCCGGCGCTCTCCCGCCGAGGCTTGGAGAAAACCGGCTCAACGCCTCGTCCGCCATGGCATAGCGGCGCATCTTGCATATGTCTAGGTAGCCCACTTTGCTCACTCTCATACTATTGTAGGAAGGCCAAGGTGAAGGAGGCCCTCCCTCGTATGTGAAGTGACATAATGCGAGGCAACCTTGTAATCCTCTCCTGCCAACACCAACAAGCGAGTACGCAGCCGAATCACCGATCCCCGGGCTCAGCTTCTCCTGCCCAGCCTTTTTTGCTGCTGCTGCTGCTGCTGCTGCTGCTGCTGCCGTCATGCAACGCGAGATAAGCAGGCAGGGCCATTGTTTTGTTCATTTCCCCTTCTGGCCGCTCTTCCGGTTTTTCTCTCCGTCGCTTGATGGCATGTCGAGACAGAAAGTGAAGGTCTAGACTCGCTCATCGTCACTTCTTCTTCTCTCATTTTTGCCCTTCCCCACAGACCCTGCTTCTTCTGCCCGACCTCCGTTCACCGGGTCCCGTTCCCAATCTTCATCACCAACGTCATCGTCATCGTTTGCGCATTCGCCGTTTATTTTCCGCTCGCCTGGTCTCTTTTTACCCACAGACTGCGAGCCCCCCCGTCCGTGTTGTCACGGCTCTCTGTTTGTCTGGCTGCGCACGCGACACCGCTTCTACATTGGACCAACTCCATCTCACACAACCGGCGCAGACATGAGGAACACACTTCTTCTGGCTGCTGGCTTGGCCGCCGTCCGTCACGCGTCCGCTGCCTACGACGCGACGATATGCGGCAAGGAGAACAAGTTCACCAGCGAAGATACCCAGTTCATTTGTACGTGCTGCCCATTCGTGTGTTGCATTGCCTGTCAGCGATGCGATGGTCAGGATATCGGACCCCGCCCTCTCACAAGTTGTTGGTGCCAAAGCTGATTCGACAAACATGCAGTCCAGTCCAACGCCTGGAACCCCGTGGGTGATGGCTCATCGTGTGTCTCGGTAAGTGATGTGACGTGATGCGCTGTCGCATACGAAGCTGCACCTGATCCAAACCCTCTCTCAGTCTCCATGCCCCTCCTTCACTTTCATAACCCCTCCGGGCGATGGCCTGCCATCACCCCGCTATTCACCGTCCTCTGCCGATCTTGTACTCTCTCCCGGTCCCGCGCGCGGCCCCGGCGGACAATGCACATCTTTCCCTCTTGAGAGGCCACCGTGCCCGTCGTCGCCGGACCACCCCGCTGATTGCATGTTGTTTGCCCGTCTACAGGTCGACCAGTCGACGCCGGCCTTCGACGCCAACTGGAACTGGGAGGAGGACAAGAACAACGTCCACTCGTTCCCGCATGTGCGCTTCAACTCGACTAAGCTGCCGACCCAGCTGAGCGCCATCAAGACGATGCGCCTCGCCGTCGAGTGGACTATGCGCAAGGGGAACCCCGAGAGCGACCCGCCCCGCGACTTCTCGGCGAGCACGTGGTCGGAGAACAAGCAGGAGCTTGACGGCGTTGTGTCCAACGCCGCCTGGGATTTCTTCGTCGACAAGAACAAGACAAGGACCTACAACCCCATCGACTCCGAGGCGGAGATCATGATCTGGCTGGGCAAGGTCGGGAACCCGTACCCGTTGATGGGCGATTCCATCCTGACCAACATCACCCTGGGCTCTACCGAGTTGTACGTACTCTGACCACCTCCTGCATCGGGATAGCCTCGACACGGGGGCCGAGCCCGTGTTGCGATCCTCCTCGTATTTGATAGATATCCGGTACTGACGCCCCACAGTTCCCTCTGGTACGACACCAACCAACGCCAGCAAAAGGTCTTTACCTGGGTCACGCGCGACGGTTCGGATGTCACCCAGTTCGACGAGGACATCAGCCCGCTCCTCAAGTACGTCCTGGACTCTGGCGAGATCGACGAGGACTCGTGGCTCGGCCTGGTCGAGTTCGGCTCCGAGGCGTGGCACTCTCCCGAGAACATCACGTTCAGCGCCGCCCACTTCAGCATGGACCTGGACAACGGCGACAGCGGCTCCGGCAGCGGCTCCAGCGGCGGCGATGACGAGAACGCGGCTGGAAAGTATGGCCTTTCGTGGCTGGCTGTGTCACTGGTACTCATGAACATCTCCATGTTCCTTCTGTAGCGCAACCCCCTGTTGTACCAGTCATTCATGAGACGGGGTGGTTGCGCGAGCGCGCAGCCGAGTATGATAGCATTAATGAGGTTTAGATAAGTGGGCGAGGGTAAGGCGCCTTCGGCGCCCGCTGTAATTAATAGACAAACAATGGGGATTCCCGGGCTGCCATTATCGCTATATTCGTGCACTCGTGTTCAGGTTGTCCTCGTATTCTAGGTGCTAAATAGATACCAGGAAAGCATGGAGGGTATCGGAGATGGTCGCAATGAGACAATGATAGGGTGAACAAGCGTGCCTTGCCTGGGCAATACCCTCTCGAATGCGAGATGGGTGATCGCGGCGCTACTGGTCGTTGGCATGCACATGTTCGCCGTGATGCACCCCGGTACCCGCAGACGGGCTGCCTCACAGGTGGAAGACACACATCTGCGCGGCCGTTGGTATGCCTCTTTTGCAAGAGTGATGTGAGATTCACCTCCAGGTGGCATACGCGTCTGTGTAAGACGTCGGCGTCCGCCATCGACGTCTGGGTGATGCAAAGTGCGCGATCTACAGATACTACGAATGCCACCACCCCAGCCTTGTGAGATTCTAGACAGCAAGAGGGGAAGCGTGTTTCAGCCACCTCGAAGATGACCTGAACATGGCGACAGCGGGTGGTGATTCGGCATCACGGGAGGCTGGGCTGTCCGATACGGGCATGGCTAGGTTAAACGGTAAGCACATAAGCCTGGCCTTGGCAGACATGATCGCTGCGACGTCTGCCAGGTTATGATCCCGCAGCCTGTCGATTCCAGGTCGGCATACAGCCCAAAGGGCCAAGTCCGAGAGAGACGCTTCGCTTTCCCGTACTGAGACTGCAGGCTACCAATGGATGGCCTGCCAACCACATCTGACAGGATCGGTTTTCAGTAGGAGTGGTGGTTGGCAACGCACAGTGCACAATCTCGCGAAGGATCAGTTCTCGAGAAGCGTGGACGTAGAGTTGAATGGCACGGGTGGGGAGACGTGGGATGGTGTGCACGGTCTTGGCGGAAATGCGTGATGGGTGGACGGGAAAGGGGGTTGGAACGGCGGGTTGGGCGGAGCGGGATGGGAGAACCGAGGCCAACCATGAGCCAGGCTAGCGGTCCAGTGTCTCCCACTGCCGCCGGAAGAAAGGAAAAAGGAGAAAAAAAAGACCAGACGAAAGGAAATCTCGGTCAAGACGTTGTTTCGTCATCGAGACCCGCCAGGCGGAGGGAATGTCTCAATACAGGGCCTGGGCAATAGTTCAATGGTCACCCAGGCTGCTATGGATCATGCGTGAGGCGCTAGAACAATGGTCTTGAGTCCTTGACATCCACAGCGGCAGAAAAGTACTACACTACGTAGAGGGCCGGCCTGGGGCATGTCGAAAACAACGAGGTGCCTTATCTTGGTCGTGGTTGGCGCCTTGGCGCGCGTGCCGCCATGCCGAGGGAGTTGCCAAGATGGGCGGGCGGCTTTGCAACGGCCATCAGTCCACAACCAGGGAGCCAAGTCAAGGGCGGGAGAAAGGGAAGCCCAGAACGGTGGGAGGGAGGCTGATGAAGTCTGCAATGCTCGGACTGAGGAGCGGAACCGAGATGAAGTCGTCGTTTTACAATTTGCGCGGTTTTGGGACTCCTTTATTTTTATCGCCTCTGTCCAGACTTGGCTCTTGGCCTCTTGGTGTTTCTTGCGAAGTGTCACAATTCTCCATGTCGTGCTCTCAGGTCTGGTCAGGCAACGTGCATCCGAGAATCCTCCAGTTGTGGATTGCGGTCGTTGGTCGCGCCATTGAACCGGACATTGGCCGCGGGGGTAAAGTGGAATGCGGTTTCGATATCCCATCACGGTGTAAGTCGACGAGGTGAGGTTGCGATGGCGGGGATGGGCAGACGAACACGAGGCAGAGGGTGGCCCGCCCGTCCCCTCTGCAGCGTGCTGGATCTTTTGCGCTTGGGTTGTCTCAGCATTGGAGAAGACGATCGGCGAGGCGAGTGGGAATCGCTTTCGCATGTCGACTCTGCTGTTGGCGGGCGTCGACGGCGAGACTCTGCGCGCGTGACATGGTGGGGGGAGCGTGTGGACATGGGATGTCTGGAATTCGCTGAGCTGGGATACGGATTGGGAGCTAAGCCGGGGTGCGGAGGAATGAGAGCGGGACGAGAGAGAGAGAGGGAAAATTCGATATCGTCCAAGATTGGTGAGGATTGTCAGGAACGTATTCCCAAGAGCCCAGGGTCCGAGCAAATGCGGAAACGTCCAGACACGCAAGGGTCGTTGTTCGTCTGTTGAAGTGCTGGATGCACTGTCCAAGAGATCAATACGTTGGTCTTGGGATACATGGTTGCCACTGTTCCAACTGGAGTTGTTGCCAACTATTATCGGCGCCAACGACCAAGAACTCTACTCTGTGTCCGAGAACCGACGTATCGAACAGCGTCACTGTGGCTGAGGCCAAGCAACACACCACAAACGGTCGAAAGACATCGGTTCGTCAGCATTGGCGGGGGCGGGAACAGCAGCGGTAACGACAAACAGCAGCGTTGGATGTGACCAGGGATGGCGAGCGCGAGAGAAGACCAACGGAACCCGGGAGCCAAAAAGCAAGAAACAGCCCGTCCGGCCAGACGGAAAGACAGACGGGGGGAGAACGCACGCACGCGCCAGCGAATGGGGATGTCGAAATAGCCTATCTGGTGGAGGCTGTCAACATTGCGCTTATTGCCATGTTAGTTTGCGGGCTAACGAGGGAACGGCTGCGGGACGGGGACCAATCGTGTGTGGTGTGGCCAGGAGCCGTCCACCGCCTTTGGGTTGGGTTGGGTTGGGTGTGTGGCATTGGGACTGACGGTCTTCAAGCCACCCCGGCATTTGTTTGGTTTGGTTTTGCTGCTGTCTAGGTAACTAGTGCTGCTTAGGGTGAGACAGCACGCATCGTAAACGTTTGTCTTGCGTGGGTTGCGTGGCACTGCTGTTAACAACGTTGTCCGTGAGTCAGTCAGTGCCTCCAACATCCGTCCGTCGTGGCAGACGCCGGCTTCCAGAAGCCCCAGCCGTCCGCCACAGACTTGTCAGACAGTGCACGCCGCCAGCGAGATACAAGATGGGGAGGGGGCCGGGATGCGCCGAATCTTGTTCCTCTAGCAGTCTCCCGGGGGGTCCTTTGGCTGCTTGGCGCTCTCGTTAGTCCGGCTGATACCTAGACCGATAGAAACGGCTGCCGTCTCGGGCTAGCTGCAAATCCTAATCACGGGTCGCTGGTGATTGCTGGGGGGAGGGTTTCCTCGATGGCGTGGTCCGAGGCTCAGGCAGGTATCAGAGATTTCAACCGACATGGAAGATGTCAAGGCGGCAGCGCGCGGTTGGCAAGCATGTAAGACAAGGCAAGGCAAGGCAAGGAAAAATTAAAACAAGATAAGACAAGACAATGTACTCGGTGGTGTACTACTACGTAAGGTGAGGAGACGCAGAGAGAGCATCTCCCCTCTCACCAATACAAGACCAACAAGACGCAAGAACCCCCCCCAAGTCATGACTGGCAAATGACGGCCCGGTTTGGAGATTCTGACCACGCTGGCCCGACTCTGCCATCCCTGCTCTCATCACTGGGCCTTGGTCTTTTGGCTTTGGTACGTACACCACTACCTACCCTACGTAGTGGAGGTACGTACACAACCCAATAGGTAGGCACTCAGGCGCACCCGTGTACGCGAGTACCTACCGGTACATAGTAGACAGCTCTTGCCCCGATCGTAAGCACTTTGTATAAGGTACCTGTCTAGGTACAGATATACGACAGATGACGCGATGCGATGCGTATCGAGTCTGGCAGGAAGAAGTAGGGGGTCCAATGTACTTTGTATATATTATATGTCGTAGGTCAGCCGGTTGGGGGCAGGTAAGGCGCGGCCGCGGCTGCAGTTCGTGCGCGTGCGTCCCGTCCCAAAGTAAAGTAAGTCGCATGTCTACTTTCCCTCCGAGGCCCCGGCCGCCGTGATGTGGCTGCCGCTAGTATGTAAAAAGACAAGAGCGAATAACCCCTGCTCCCTGTCCGTAGTGTACCTACCGGCAGTACATAGTATGTAGTGTGCGTGGGGTTTTCTCTCCTGCCGCTGCGCTTGCGAGTCGCCGATAGACGTCTTGGCGGCTCTTTCGCAGTTTTGTTCCACTCTTTGCAGTTGCAGTCTCTTGTTCCATGGATCCATATCATCCTAGGTACCCTTTCCCTTTCCCTCTGTGGCTGCTGCGCATGCATTCAATCCTCCGAAGCGACTTTGTTAAAGCAGGAGATTGGGACTGGAATTCCCATCCCCCCGCCCCCCCCCCCCCCCCCCCCCCCGCCTACCGTCCCTGACTGATGATGGAAGTGGCTTTGGCTTTGGTCTATTTTTTGTTTTTGTTTTTTTGCGTTTCCCCTTCCCTCCCGCTCGCGTGTTGCCATATGTGCCCGTGTGTGTTGGTTATCTGGCTCTCGACAGTTATCTCGTTTCCCACACAACCAACCCTGGCTTATCGCCTTTGGACGTGTCTCTGCCAATGTGCCATTGTGCCTCTCTCTGTATTAGCTTCCTCGAAAGAGCATTGCAATGTGCGAGGCGGATGTTTCCTTCACGAGACCCACCTCAATCTGGCTTTTCCCATCCATCCATCCATCCAATATCTCATCATCTTCTTCTTCCCTCTCATGGTGGGATCTTACTCCCCTGTCCTGTCTTACACCATTTTGCCTGCAATGTGCCTTTTCCTCGTCTTCCACCTGCCATCCCCTGTCCCGCCATTCGCTTCCTACATGGTAGGTCTTCCGCTATCTGCTGGCCCACGTCTGACTCTCGGACCCGAGCTTTCACCTGCCTAATAATGAATGTCGACGACCAGCCTACCTCTCCTCCTCCTCCTCCTCCCATCTGTGGAGTTCGGCCGTGGTCTCTGGGCCACTCGGAGCTGCGCAGAAAGCGGAAACGAAGGCGCGCATGCCGCAGTCCGACCGTCCTTGGCGGTGATGTCACCAATCCTCTTGCATCGGACCACTGCCACGGCGTGCATACGACTTGGGACTAACATCTGAAGGTGGAAGTGAAAGACTTGGACAGGAACACGCTAGCCTGGCGGCGGCAGCAGACGCACCTTACATCGACCACATCCATGTAAACCACCCATGCATACATACCTAGTCCAATGGTCCAATCGGTCAGTAGCCGCATTTCTTTGTTGATCCGTTTTCACTTACCCATACCTTGGCTCAGGTGGACTGAGATATCCATGGCAAGGGCCAAAAAATATTCGTCTCTAGCTGCGGTTCGGGGGTCGACTAACGAATGACCATGGAGAACGGGACATCCAGACAGAAAACCAAGGCTACCAGCCCGCCCAGCTCAGCAATACGCATCCGTACCGGGCTCCGTACTACCGTATTCATCCTTGCAGGAGGAGGCCAGACGGTGGACGGCAGCCTGTCTGCTACTGCTGCTGCTGCCGTTCTTGCTCTTGCTCTTGCTTGGCCTTGGCTACTCTCTGAATCTCTTGTTTCTGTCTACATGCATGTGCAAGTGGTGTTTGATCTGGCTGTGGCTTCCTTCCCGCGCCTATCTGATGCTGCATTCACCACCACCCCCAACCCACCTCACCTCACCTCACCTCACCTCGCCTTCACCATCGACGCACTCGTTCCTATCTTTCTTCTCCTTCCCCCTCTCCCGCTCTCCCCTCCTCCCAACCCGCCGCGTGTGGCTTGCCTCTGACCACCACTTCCTTCCTTCTGTCTGCTCACTACTCGCGGAGGCTGGTAGTTGGTCACTGGTTCCTTGCTGTCATCACCGCGCTACCCTCGCCGCCTCACCACTCGCTAGTTTATGCTACGAGGCTGGTCAACTCCAAGTCTCAATCACTCGCTTTGACGACGCTCGCTGTTCTTCTTCTTTGCTTCAGTCTCTCGCTCTGTCCTCCCGCGCCATCGCTACTGAGACGCCCCCGTCTACATCGAGACTGTCACGGGAGTGTATCGACATTTGAAGCTATTTTCCTTTGCCCAAGTCCCCTCCGGCACATTCCTCACTGCGGCAGTAGAAGTCGTCTCTTGATCTCATCAATCACCGACATCTTGTGAGAAGAAGCTTTCTACTGCTTCTTAAGGCATCGCCGCTACTAACATAATGTCGCCTCCTTACACACCACGCGGGACATCTCCTGACTCGGACCTGACACCCCCAAATAATCCGTTCGGTACAAATCCGTTCGACACTGATAATGATTCGAGCGCGGCTCCTTCGCTCGCAAGCGACTCGACCTTCACTGTGGTATGCCCGCGCATTGCTCCAACACCGCGGGCGATCTGAAATTGGACGAAGCGGAAACTGACTTTTGACAGAATGCCATCGGACAGTCGTCGCCACGCGACGCCCACTCAGCAGATAGGTCGGGCCAGAGATCGAGCTGGGCCGACTCTTCCAACCATCGCCTGAGCAGGCCTGAAATCGTAAGATCTTGCGTGCCCGATAGACGCCAGTCGTTGGCTCGAGCCGAACTAACCAAAATCCAGGAGCCTTCACCTTTGGCCAGAGAAGTCCCGATATACAACGAAAAGGTTCAGCAGAACGAGTCGTCCGATGCGGATATTGAGGCCAGCCATGTTCCGCCCGTTGTGTCTGATCCCGAAAAGGCAAACGAGACGCACACGACGGCTCTCCCGCCTTCATCGGGTGCGTCGTTTCCCAAGCGAGTGTATAACCGCTTTCGCGCAACCTACTGCCCCAAGGAGGAACCACCTCTCGTCCTACCCGTCTGCCCAAATGACACGGAAAAGCTCAACTACATTCACACCAACCGGATTCTCCTTTACATATTTGGCGTTTTCTCGTTTCTTTCGCTCGGCGCTGGTATGTGGCTGTTCGCGCTCTCCGCTCCGGCATTCTACTGGTATGGCGTGTTTGCGGGTGCGATGTGTATCTACCTTCTGGTTTCGTACGCCGTTGGCATCATTGGAAGGGACTGGGACTACAAGGCTCATCTGGAGCTGGTTGAGCGTTTTCCCATCACCGAGGAGAATGCCCCGACCGTCGACATCTTTCTCCCTTGCTGCTCCGAGCCGGTCGAGATTCTTGAGAACACCTACAAGCACATTGTCAACATCGACTGGCCTGTTTCCAAGCTTCAGGTCCATGTCATGGATGACGGTGCCTCCGAGCCCGTCCGCTTGCTCGCCGAGAAGTACGGCTTCAACTACTCTGTTCGCGACGACCGCCCTCGCCTCCGAAAGGCAGGCAACCTGAGATGGACGTTCGCCAAGACCAACGGAGACTTCTTTGCTATTTTCGACGCGGATTTCTGCCCCCGCCCCGACTTCCTCAAGGAGTTGATGGTGGAACACTTGGGTGACGATAAGACGGCCCTTGTTCAGAGCCCCCAGTACTTCCGTGTCACGGACGACCAGACGTGGGTTGAGCAGGGGGCGGGTGCCACACAGGAACTGTTTTACCGTGTCGTCCAGGTCAACCGCAACCGATGGGGAGCGTCTATCTGTGTTGGAAGTAACGCGCTTTACCGCCGCGAATCTCTCGTCGACGTCGGTGGAACGGCCGAGATTGGTTTCTCGGAAGATGTCCATACTGGGTACGTCAGGATTTCTCGATGACTTCGGATCTACTCGCTAACACTATTGACAGTTTCGGCGCCGTTGACCGTGGCTGGAAAGTCAAGTACATCCCTCTCTGCCTTGCCACCGGTGTCTGTCCGAATTCCCCTCGCGCCTTTTTCTCTCAGCAGATGCGCTGGGCTCGCGGTTCCACGACTCTCCTCACCAACGGCCACTTTTGGGTTTCCAACCTGACTTTGATGCAGAAAATCTGTTACCTTTCAGGTTGGTTAAAACATCATCTTGTGATAAATCTGTAAGCTGACTAGGTACAGGTTTCATGTACTACATGGCTGTTTCGCTCAACATCTTCCTCGCACCTATCGCCGGTACTCTCCTGCTCGCCGTCCGCCCTCAGTGGTTCAAGTTCTGGAATCTGGCATTCGCCATCCCCTCCATTCTCTACGGTATCATTTTGATGCGTTGCTGGGCCAAGGCAAAGTATGGCTTCAACGTGCAGCACTCCATGACGATTATGAGCTACGCCTACCTCACCGCCATCAAGGACCGTCTTTTCAACATTGAACTTCTCTGGGCCGCGTCCGGTGACTCCAAGGCCCATAAGAGCAACAAGTACCGAAACATGCGCCTTCTCTGCATTTTCTGGAACCTCACCGTCACTGGTGCCATGATCGGTGTCGTTACATGGCGCATCGTCACTGGTTTCACCTGGTACCATCCGATACCGCTCATCATCATCAACCTTTACAACCTCTTCATCAACCACTACTTTATGCTCTGCGACTGGTAGCGATATGTGCGGACCCCTTGGTCTATGCATGTACGAAGGAAAAGCGGGATCGAGGTGGTGTTTGAAATTAGACCACGTATTATGCACAGGCAAATGGAGTTGTTGGGACACCTGATTTTGGAGATGGCATGGCGGCGCAGCATTGAAGCCTCCACCGCACGGAAACGGCCTTTGACATTCGACATAGACTTGCGTGCTAACACGCGCTTGCACACAGCTTCTACAGCATACATACAGCTTAGTACTCTTGTATACCATGGTGGATAGTGTAACCGCGGAGGTATAAAGGAGAGCCGCGGCCCCCAATAATAATAATAGTTTATAGTGCTGTTGGTTTGAGCTGTGAATACATGCTCCGGTTGTCGAAGGATGTTCTGTTTAGCCAAGACCATGGGTTGCAGTATCTTACTCGTTCGTCTACGCTTCCAATCACGTTGACAAGGACGGAGATTCCTCTCTGGGTCACTCATTCTTCCCCATAGCGCCAGTCGTATCTCTGCGGACAGCTCTTTTGTTATATATTGCACATGGCCGGCCAGCTTTTGTGAAGGCCAGTGAAGCTAGATGGGGCGAGGTCTTGTTAGGAATCTCTGAAATTAGTTCAAGGGTGGGACTGGTTCCTATTTTTATTCTTCGCACATTTGGGTATTTTCTTGAGATCTAATTTTGTCACCAAAATTTCAGATCTAGCCGCTTCCTACAAGTCATACAACACTCACATACATGGCACATGTTTCAGGGAATAAGTTTCTCTCGCCGCTCATCCAGACCATTAGTGAACGCTTTCGGAATGAGACATCGCCTCTGCCTCTAACCGCAGGAGCTGTTTGATGCGATGTCATAGACCATACACACGGAGGTGTCCAAGAGAACAATCAAATTAGTCAATACAAACCACCCGGTGCAAACAAGGCAAAGAGAAAGTTGCCAAGTCTACATTCTGGATTTGGGGGCTTGAAGGATACTCAAAGACCGTTCTCACTGCTGCCCCAACTTTGCCAGGAAGTGACTCAAGAGCTACAGCGTCCACTCGGACGCCCAGCGCGGCTTCAGCCAAGGCCTAGTGAGCGTAAATGCAACGACGACGAGGCGGATTGGATACTGAGACTGGGGATTGGAATCACCGAACCAGCATTCTGCCAGCCTTGTCACCTCGTACCACATGCACCATGCTGTCGGTCATACAGAGCCCCTTTGTGCCTTCACTCTAGCTGTGAGTGTAATCCACAATCGATAATTTGTCTCAGCTAGTGGGAATATTGGTGAGAATAATTGACATAAATACGACAGCAAGGTGTTACGTTGCTGCTGTTAACGCCCTTCGCAGGGGCAACGTCGAGAAAAACAAACATTCTTAGCATTCCAGAGCCAGCCTTTCCTTTTTCATGGTAGTTGATGAACCGTAGCGGACCCTGGGATAATCAGTGCGGATCGAGGATAGGGAGATGCACCTGATTACACAGATTGCAGCCCTTTCCAACAACTCCCATAGAAACACATGCGCAATTGAGTGCGTGCGGCTGAACGCCGAAACTCCCACCATCGCCATGTTGCCAAGGTAGTAAGTAACACGTACTATAACGCATCGTTAAGGTTATCCCTGCTGTTCTGGCATGGAATTTTAGGGCACCGTTGGCTTAACTAGGGAGTCCCTTGAGATGTTTGCCTCGCAAGAATATGTCCATCAGCTTCTACTCTGTCCCGCTTCGTCCCTTGCTGCTGAAAGCTCAAATGTCTCACTACCCACGAGACATATCAAGCCAGCCTGGTTGTCAGCTGTGCACGACCGAATGAGCATGTGCTCGGTGGAAAAGACGGCAAGATCGATGTGAAGACTATAAGAGCAGATTGTCATGCTGACCTTGTTGCTTATGCTCATCATCACCGCTTACTACACTTTTCCTCTCGTATCTATCTAGCATCATGAAGACTTACACTATCGTCGGCGTTGCTCTGGGAGTTTCCTCCCTCGCCTCGGCTGCCATCTGCAACAATAATTGCGGCCGCGCAGTTGCTGGCACTGCTAGACAGAACCCGCCTTTTGCTGCGCGTCGGTCCCAATGTGAGGCTCTCGTCTCCGCCACTGTCACAGTCTTGCCCGGGTCAGTTTAACTCCGTCATCATTCCATCCCATGCCACCAAACTTAGACGTCATCCAGGGCCGGCCCCGTAGTTCCAAGGAACGTCCACAGGCCTCGCCAGGCCGGATCGGCACCCGTGATTACCGGTACCGTGCCGGCCTACGCGAGCTCTTGTCCGGACGTTACGGCATACTGGTCCGCTTGCCAGTGTTTCTCGGGAGTCGTGGCTACTACTCGCACCGTAACATTGAATGCCACTAGCTCAGGTAACTTGAGCAGCTCGGCCGTCATCACCACACACCCACCCTCCACTGCTGCGTCATCGGAAACAATGTCGACAGAATCTTCTTCATTCCCAGCCGCCACCATCACCATCACCACTACCGCTACCAACACAACATCAAACTCATTCGCAATCACCACCACCACAAACACGACATCAAGCTCATTCACAATCACCACCGCCACCAACACAACATCAAGCGTCAGCCTGGAAAGTAGCTGTACACCGACGCCGATCCTGCCCAACCCTACGTCGCTATTCCCCTCCGGAGGCGACGATCTATATACAAGTGTTACTCTGCCCTTCCCCATTGGCGTTTTCGGCTCCTTTGACAGGACTGTTTATGTCAGCATCAACGGTCGGGTGTCTCTCAACTACCAAAATAGCAATTATGGCAATCCCGAGCTGCCTGATGCGTCGTTACCTCCCATCTCCGTGCTGGCGTATTACGACGACCTCGTCATTGATCCAGGCACGGACCAGAGGGTCGCCTACCAAGTCTTTGGCTCCGCCTCCGCGAACCGCACCGTCATCTTTGAATGGCTTGCGCCTCCCTTGATACATCCAGATTATTTTTGCCATTTCACGGCCACCTTTGAGGAGGCCTTGCCTGGAATAGTCACCTTCCGATACTACACCACGACGGACAAGGGCAGCAGCGCCACTATCGGTGCTCAGAACCTTGAGCGTAACCAATCTTTCGTGCAGTACTCATTCAACTCGCCGGGAGCTGTTCCGGATAAGAGTTTCGTGCGACTGGACACAACCGGGGCTGGCACATTCACCACCGGCAGCTTTAACACGTCTCAATGTTAGAGAAAGCGTCGGCAGCTTGGTAAATTGTACACATGAATGCTGCCATTCGAGCAGAACAAGATCTACCCCGGTTTGCAGTTAGGAAAGCAAAAACAGCTATTAGGACGCAACCAGATGGTCTCTTGTTATATGAAAGCTCCTAGCCTCTCTCAGGGGAGCGCAACACAATACATATGAGTCTGACGATTACAGATGCAACGAGTCCAAGACGGCACGTGTGAGCCGGTGCAGTGCAGGTTGTTCGAGTCGTGTTGATGTCGACAAGTATAGACTACTGATCATTAAATGTTACCTCATTTCTCCAGGATGTAGCCGTTGACGACGAAGACTACGACCGAGTGTGCGTGGCTTTGCTCGGTGAACAACGGATGGCTTTGGTACCCAGAATAGATAGACCGGATCTTGCCCTGCTCTGTGAACAAGAGTCGGCTAGGCCTGGCTTCATTCCGACAGTAGAGGGGCTTGCGAGGGGATTCGGCGGTGCTAAAATCAGTTGACAGATTGACAGAGAAATAGACTCCCAAAGGCAACAACAAGCAGCATTTTGAGCCAGAACGTGCTTGAATAGGCACAGGATACTGATAGGATGGCTGCCAAAAGGTGGACAGGCGATGATGGGTCTTCCAAGGCAGCAAATATGCCGGACCAAGTTGCATTGAGTGCAACGCGAATCGAACCAGTTGACATACACACAAAGGCACGACATCAAAAACCCGGCACAAGAATCAGACCCCAATGTGGTTCATTTGCCTTGTGAATCAAGTAAATACTGCGGGAAGGGTCAAGCATGCCTAATAGCCGACTGCTTGCTGTTGCACCCGCCTGTAGTAGCCACGAGAGATAACCGCGAGGTACGTTTGACATGATAGGTAGGGGTAAGTGCGTATGAATGAACACAGATGTGACAGACCCATGTGACGATACTAAGCCCGTGCCACAGGGAGATCCCGCGTTTGAGCGCCCAGTAGAACTCGCTGGTAAGTAGGTTCTGGCATACGATAACCTAGCAGCTACTAGGGTTCTCACAGACACCAACTTCTTCCAACGCCATGTATCTTGCCCAGAGGGCTTCCATTACTTCTGGCTCATAAATATGTTAGACGAATCAGCCATCTTCTTTATCTGCGCATCTGGTGTCAGCTATCAAGGGTGGGAGGAGGCCATGTTTGTGGATATAGTACCGGAATCGAGCTTAGATGATCAAAGAGAAGCGCGTTCTGGTCTGTGGGAGGTGCTCGGAAGTTGTGGAAGATCGATGGCGGGGAAAGCAGGCACAGTAGAAGAGGGAACCAGCCCGCCTCTAGAGCTTGAAGAAAGACACTACGAGAGAGTCAGCTGGCGCCTTACGGAGCATTGACACCCACATCCCTATGCCAAAGATTGGAAGGGGCTAATGGGCCGGAGATTCTCGGCGATTAACATTTAACTAGCGAGTCATTTATTTGTCTTTCCCTGTATACCAATGCTCCTTGAACTAACCAAGTGGTTCCCACACTGTCGTCATGTAAAAGAGGACTAGTGTGTTTTGAACTACGTCTAACGGGTCCTCATCTGAAAATAGACTGTTTATTCACCCTCCCATAGAGACATATCCTAGCGAGTCATTTCTTTGACGCTTACCACATGAACGGAATGGGATCCTTAGTTTCATACCGTGGCATAAAGCTGGCAGCACTGAGTACTTGTTTTTCATAGCCCGGTTAGCGGTTGTTTCTGTCGACTCTGTCGCAGGTGACGATTGGCTTCTATCCAAATAAGTAGAAAAAATGAAATTGGCATTTCACGTAGCCTCACAGCTAGCCTTCAAGACAGATGTTCTGCCTGCATGGGAAATCTAGATTTATTGCATGTCCGAGCCGTACACTCAGTACAATGTCCGGGTCCAAGGAGAAAAGATCATCGTCCCTGCATTCACGTATTATTATCTCACTTTCGCGAGCATTGATTCTCACCCTCTGTAAATTAGTTTCATCTGTGGTCTTACAAGTCCGCATGGTCCATACCAAAACGGCTGGCGTGAGACAAGTATATTGATTACAGCTACCGCTGCTATAGATGTAGGGAATGTAGAAATCAAACAATATTGCAAGAAGTCCGAAGTACATACAGCTAGGCGTCTGAAACTCCTTCTCATAAAGTGATTTTATAGCAGTCATGATCAACTTAACTGGCGCAATTGCTTTGTCGAGTGAACTTCGTTCTGTGCCATAGAAATTAAACGCGAAATACAGAACCTGAATTTTGGACTAGTGCGAACACTCTTGAGGACCATTTAGAATAATGCACACACACTATTCCACCGAGCAGGAAGCGACAAGCAAGTTTCTGACAAACGATTACGTTTTAGTGTACTCGCCAGTCGGTTAGTGAAAGGTCTGCTTGTCTAGTATTAGCCTCGTCCTCTTTGCGTTGCGTCCTGGGAGCTTTCGGTCCACCGTACCCATCTGTTCGAGTCCAACTTTCAGTGCATCGTTCGGACGTCTTCCTGCATCTTGGCCTATAAACTGCTTGGTATCAATCTTCCGTTCTTCTTTTGCAGGTACCAGACCAGGCGACACTGCTTATTCCACTCGAAGCCTGTTGGTGTGCTTTCATAGCGAAGACAGATATACTTTACAGATCAGTGACATCCACTTCTACCCAGGCCTTCCCCACTGTGGCTATTTCTGTCGTTACTGTACATGATTGAAGCCCATCCGAACGACCTTACGTATCGCCTTTTGGGTACTGATGCCATCGATAGGATACGAAGATGGACTGTAGACTCCTTCAAGAGTGAATGATAAACAATCTACCCCTCAATGCCATAGCCATTCATACCGAGTCTACTCCTGTCTCATATTGGAGACCCCCACCAGACATGGAGACACAGGCCTGCGGAATGGCGAATCAATTTTCCATCATCATTTAAGACATGTCGAAACCTTGCTCAGTGGTAATCTACCTTCCCTTTTCAGACTCTCGGCAACTGCGGTTTGTGGGCTACCGATCTTAATGATTTGCAATCATAACGCATTGATCAAACCTTATGTTGCACTCGTTTTCGCGTTCGGGGAAAATGGACTAGTTGGTTAGACGGCTCATGATACGTTATGTAAGCGAAGAGGGCACGGTGCGAGTCGGAATTGGAAACAAGCTCGCTGTCTCGTTGTGACCCACTTCAACAGCGGCGTACAGCTTGGAAAAGAGAAATTACAGCTCAGTGTTGAAGATCTGAATGAGTATGTAAATGTAGTTATAGCCTTTACTGAAATCGAAACCCATGCTATACCATTGAAGGTAATATTCCAAATTTCAGGTAGCACGAGAAGAGAACCCGAGCCCTAACGAGTACACTTGGGCCTGTGCTCTTATGAACTGTTGCAGGCTGTGGGTTTGTGAGTCAAGAGGGTTTGTACTGCCTAATTACTAGATCGGTCCTGACCTGGTCCTATTTTTGGTTTCTTCTCATAGTTCAAGCAGCAACTCCCGATGAGCTTGCCACGGTTAAAGGCCCATGAGAACGAGAACTCAACTCAATGGAGGCCCCAGAGGTTTCTTGAGGAGCAGCAGTGCGGCGACGGACGCCTCGAAGGCAGAGAGAACCAATGATGTTATTGAAGACTGGACGTCGAAATTCGCTCTGTATGTTCTCGAGTGAACGGCCGCGGGTCTCGGGCATGAAAAACGTGAGAACGATGACTGTGAAGACAGTCAAGGCACCGAATAAGAAGTAGGCGCCGTACGCTGACGCCGATAGCAAGATGGGCGTAATGAGTGCGACCAGCCAGTTCGTAAACTTTGAACAGTCAACAGAAGGTCCGCAGATAACAACGATGGTACTCACGAAGCAGGATGCCATTCCGATGGAGTTTCCTGCAGCTCTTGTGTTCCCTGGGAGGATCTCACTGGCGTAGATCTTCCCCACAACTCCCCACGTAGCGCAATATGCCATGCCGAAGGCGAAGACCGAGACTACTACGACCCAGCGTGCTGCGCCTGTAGGACCGACCGAACCAGCCGCATAAAGGCTTCCAATCAAAACCATGAGTCCTGATAAGAATACGCCGCCACTAATTGCTGAGGTACGCCGTCCCCATTTGTCGGCTAACATGAAGGCAGGGACGGAGATGACGAGCATGGTAATAGAGGAGACTCCTGAAGCTACGAGCGAAGAGTTGGAATGGGATATCCCTGCTTGGTCGAAAAGTGCAGGGGCGTACTATTCTATGTTTAGTGATTCAATTTTCAACTGAAAGGTCGGGGAAGGCAGCAACCCACGTAGGTAATGGCATCGATCCCTGACAGCTGAGCCATCGACAAAATGAAGAGGGCCAGAAGCGTCCTGGACCGATACGGGCCTCTAAATGGCAACAGGAAATTTTGTCGAGCTGAGAGACTTGGCTGCTCTTGCGGGGTGTTGAGAAAGTCGCGGCGGGCCTCATCCATGTCAAAGTCGAGCAACTCAAGCGCAGCCATCGCGTCAGAAGTTCTCCCCCAAAGTAGCAGCCAACGCGGCGACTCGGGCAATGCGCGGCAAACAAGGGCCAGCATTATAGAGACCGCAACCATAACGATGTACGGAAGTCGCCACGCCATGCTATCTTTGAGGGAACTCGTCGTGTAGCAGGAGAAATACCCGAGGCATATCCCAAGCGTCGCCATGAATTGCGGTAGCGCCGCCAGCCGACCGCGTCGATGCGACGGTGCAATCTCAGTAAGGTAGACCCCAATGTTAGCAAGGAAAGCTCCCTGGCCGACGCCGCTGACGGCCCGGCCGAAGATGAATTGCCCCAGGCTGAAAGACGTCGCTTGTAGCAGGGCACCTAGACCGAAAAGTGCAGCGCCGGGTAGGATGACACGGAGCCGACCGTGTTTGTCGGCGAGCTGGCCAGCAAACAGAGAGGGAAAGATGCCCGTTAAGAGGATCATGGACACAGTAATGCCTCGAACAGTGGCAGAGAGGTTTCCCAGAGTAGCCGAAAATTGTTCCATGTGAATTATCGCACCGATGCAACCTGTATCGTAGCCGTTCAGGAACCCTCCGAACGATAGGGCAATGGATGCCGTCACATAGTTAGGCATAAGCGTCGAAAGATGAGGCATGATTGCGGTGGATTCGAATTGCACCGTGCTGAGATACCCGTCGATGTGTTGCGAGGCAAAGAAAATATCGACTTCATGGGCTTGAACCGACGCTGACATCGATCCCCGCAGTTGGTAATACTTGTGCGGTCATCGCGTCCGCCGATCGTTTTTGCGCCCGTTTGTTTTGGAGGTGGCATCACGTGCAAAGTCAACGGCAGCTGATAAAGACAAAAGAACTTTGGTCGTTCACAGCAGCACTAACATTAGTTGAACGAACCACCCAGGTTGCTTGATGTGTGGAGGCAGTAATTTGCATTATTTTGGAATATGTGGTTATAGTTTGATCGGACAAACCTTGGATGGGTTGTTACCTCTCAAACATCACCAAGTTGCCGCCCGTTGACCAGCGGACCATTTTGGGATACATTGGAACAGCAACATTAACTAATTATAGAATGTTTCTTTTTATTCACTCTTTGTCTAAGTCTTAGAATTGCAAAATTGGAGATACGCAATTGATTTGAATATAATTGCGAGAAGTTGACGGTTGAGTGCCATAAAATAGGGATGCATCGTCTTTATGTCCCCGTAACATTAATTATCGGGCATTTTCACACAACGCCAAAACTCCTCCCCGCGTCGAAATACTGAAGATGATTCGCATTGGTGTTGCGAGACTCGAACAATTCACCCAATCCGATCTACGCAGAGTCGAAACTTTGACTGACTTGGTGTCTAGTCGTTTTCATAGCTCTCGCGACATTCCATCGTGGCCGGTGCTACGCTGACATGCAGTGGGGCCGAAGTCGAAGATCCGGCGGACAGCCGATCGTGTTTCTTGGCCCGGGCAACCCGCCGATAATCAGATTCTGTGACCGGATGGGGACCGGGAGAAACCCTTTGTGTGTCCGCCGATCACTTGCCGTGTTGGTGGCCATACACGTGTGAAGATTTGACTTCAGTTTCGTGTGGAATATCTCCCGTAGTAAGGATCCTACCTTCATTAACTGTATAATTTTTCCGTGAGCTTATCCATCATTGGTATTGTAGCATTGGGCTTGGAGTGGCCCATGCCCATATGAGTGGAGAAAAACTGACTCGGCTTCGCAACGATCGGCTTTGTTAATCCAACCTCGCTCTTGGAATTGTGTGGTTTGGGGCATTTTCACGTTGATGTGAAACTCACGCCGTGGTGTTTTGTCGACTTATGAGTGTTATGGTTGTGTCCAAGCACGCAATATCGCATCACGAAATTTCCATTGGGATGGTATCCCTGATGGAGTCGGACTTGATGCTGCAAAGGGAATGGCGGTGAGTAGTGCCAGTGGGTCCGCCGGCCCCATAGCCCCCCTATCTTGGATTCTTAAACGGGTTTGAGCCCGATGAAAGGCCAATATTTATGACATAATGAGCCCGTCTCGATGCCTCAGTACCATGGGGGCAGGTTATAGCACGGTTGTAGCACATACCTTGCCGAGTGTGGAATTGGCACCTTCCCAAACGATCTTCGATGGCCTTGAAATGAAGTCCACAGGCACTGCGTTGGGTTGTTCAGGGGTTACTGTGTTGGTTCGACGGCCCCCCTCAAATCTCTCCACGACTCTCACGGGTCTCGGCTGGGGTAAATGACTAGACTTCATTCAGATAAGATGGAGACCCTATGGTAGTTATGATCTATGATGCAAAATCTTGACTTGATTCAACTTACTTTTCCCCCGAATACTGTTAAGAATAGGACCAGCGGTTGCTGCAACCTTCTTCAAACCCGCCAGGCGGGGAACATGAGACGCTAGAAGATCAAAGTGTACATGTCTTCGCGGGTTGCATTGTAGTATGAGTACGCAGGGATCGGCGTGTTGTATCTGGTTTGCTGGATTTTAAGCCCTTGTTTCGCGAAAAGGTTACTGTACATAGTCACCAGTAATTATGAAAGCACACTGGTCATGTGTTCAGTTCTCATGAATAAAAAGACACCTGAGGTGTATTTGAGTCGCTTTCGCACAAGTCTATCCAGGTTCTCCCCCAATTCTATGTACAAAAGCATGCATAACTCGCGTAAAACAAGTGTTGAAGTGGTATAACAGGACAATAGGTTTTTTTTGGGGCATTATATCGTGCGTGTCCCAGGTGTCTAGGAGAAGACCGTCAAAACTATTCATCCCATGTCCCTGGGGTTTGATGGCTTTCACGAAAAGCTGGCAGATGGCTCTCGCCAGACTCCGGTACCAAGAGGCATTCGGTTCTAGTGACCTCGAGGCGAGACGCTTATCGATGCTCACCGTTGCCAATGCAGTAGGGGACGGGGTAGGTGGTGCTGTTGCAAAGACGGATGACACCCTTGACCCAGGCAAGGTTGCCGTAGGACTGGCTGGTGTAGGTGTCAGAGGTGAATTCGGTCTTGCTGGGGCTGTCGGTGCAGCCAGACAGGACGTTGCCAGTCACCCGGTGGACGCTGGGCTGAGAGACAACGAGACCGTACTGGCCGTCAGGAACGGTGAAACCAATGGTCTGGGTCTCGGTAGTGGTCCATGTCTCGGAATAGCTGACGGAGAGTGACAGGCCAAGGACTTTCTCAACAGTGGCTGTCATACCAGCTGTGACAGAAACAGAGTTGGCAATGGAGTAACCGTTGGCAACAGAGACGGTGGCAGAGCCGCCGTTGGAGCTCAGGACAGGAGAGATGGCGACGTCCCAGTTGAGAAACTCGTCGTCAGTAAGGACCTGAATCTCAGTGGACTCCTCGCAGCCACGGCGTGAGACGCCCTCAGGGGACTTGATGGCGGGAGCGGGGACAAGGGCGGCGCGAGCCTGAAGAGCGTCGTACTCGGCAGACTTCATAATCTGGTGGGTGCCATCCTCACCGACAACGATGACATCGTCGAAGTTGAGGGCAACGGGAGCAGGGGCCGGGGCGGCGGCGGCAGCGCCGATGAGGCCAGCAGCGGTAAGAACGGAGAAGCGCATCTTGAAGAGTTGGTTGTCTGAAAAGAGTGAAACGGGGTGGTCTTTTACAAAAAGAGCGGTTGGCAGAAGTAAAGACTGAAGGTAGTTTGGGTGATAAGAAAAGAGTGTGGGGAACGAAGACGAATGGAGAATGGACTGGCCGTTCAAGTGGTGAAGTTCAGAGTCACTGGGTGGGAATCGTCTATTCTTATAACTCATGGAGCTAAAACGCCCTGTCAAGCGGCTATGGTGGACAAGTTCTGCAGTTCCGCCTTGGAGTTGCGCTCTCGGGTGACCGCAGAACGGCTATTGCGTCTGTCAATCCAACGCCCATGTTCATGGAGGGATGAACAAGCGCACTTCCGCGCACTCCTCAAAGACCGAAGGGGTGTTCGGATCATCGCCAAGAATCCCTACGGGGCTGCCGGCATGACCACTTTGACGACCTGGCACCCAACCGGGCCAGCCGTTCAGGGCTGTGCAATATTGAATTCCCATTTACGAGGACTGATACTCATCACAAGGATACTATGGCTGAAGCAGATCCAACTCTAGTACGACGATACGCTGACTCGAAGGCGGGATACCGTTGATCGATGTGCTTCCCGAGGTGGGGGAACTATCGGACGGATGGACATTCGATGGAAGCAAATCTTCAAATGGGACGAACACGAACAAGGCAAACACTGGGGGTTCCCAGTTTCAGATTGAGACTACTGCGTATAGACGCCGGATCTGGGCGCGGATGCCGTTGTGCGCGTGGAGTGTCGCGGCTCGCGAGCAGTATATGGCCCACTTGGCCTTCGGGAGCGGCTGCGAGTCATGTACAACCCAAGGCGGTGGTCCCTCTCCCCGGCCGCCTCACCGTTTCATGCAACATCCCAAGACCCCCCCGTCTTAACCTGATTCGGAAAGCGCAAAGATGTTATTTGCTAATGCACGTCTTCACCTGCCTTAAGTCGGAAATGCCCCATCTTTTGCCCCCCTATGGCCAAGGACCCCGTGTAAGACACAAATGGTCACAATCAGCCCAGCTAGCAAGGTGTCAAAGGCATTCAAGCTCCAAAGGGCTGAAAATAAGACCAGACTATTCCTTATTGAGGCAGACGTAAAGTTTGATGACGGATGGTCGCAGAAAGAGCCCTGCCAGATTCCTGCACCGCCTAGAGGGGCGCCCAGAGGTCACATTCATCCCCACGTTGAGTCCGCACTCAATGATGATCAAACTCCTATTGCGGGCCACGGACTCATCCGGGATTCGGTGGTAGACAACGAGAAGAAGGACTTGTGAGCGTTGGTGGAACCCGGGAAATGGGATGATGACCGGTGCCGCTTCTTGGGCGCAGCATAGACTCGACCGATAGTAATAGATTGTCACTTGCAGAAGACAGAAGATGGTAGAGAGACATCCGTGACTCGTTGTAAGTGACCGTGGATATAAACCTCGACAGGTTCCGCCCTATCATCGAGATATCTACTCCAGCCCCATCACGCCCATCACATTCTTTTCTTCGGTCCAGATCTAGTAATCGGTACCAATTCCGTTCATTCTTTTCACCACCAAAGCTGTTACAGTCACTACCTTTTACCCATCTCCCTCAATCAAATTTTTCCCCACCGCCAAAATGCAGCTTTCTATCGCCAAGGTCGCCTCCATCTTTTTCTTCCTCTCCGTCGCGTAAGTAGTCAGCAGTTTCTCCATCTTGGGGATAGTACCTAACAGAACTCAGTTCTGCCGACTTGCACGACAGCTGCACTTGCCACAACGGTGACAGCTATAACTGGCGCATCACCACCAAGGCTTGCGAGCTTTACTCCTCCAAGAACTACAAGTGGGGCAAAGGCACCTACGACACCCCCTCCGGACGCGTAAGTAGAGTCTCGCCAGCGTAATAATACGTTCATATAACTAACACCCCCGCAGTGCGTCAAGAGCACCGACACTGACCAGATTGCTGGCAATGAGTGGGAGGCCGCCTGCCGCGAGATTGCCACCACCGGCTTCGCGTGCGCCGACGGCCAGGGCCTGCGCTGCAACGCTCCCTCTGATGAAGTCAAGGGCAGCTGCTAAGCACCTCGCCTGAAAGGGTGCTGGAGTTACTCCAGAGAACCGGGGGCTTTTGATGTCTCTTTTTTTCTCGCTACCGAGCACCCCGCCTCGCCTTACCCATAAGGCTGGTGCGGGTAGCCCATCATGACTCCACCTCCACCATTCTTAGCCAGCTCTCTGGATTGTGGGCGACTCACAGAAGAGGAGAGCATCATTGAACCCAAGAGTGGCTTTTGACAGATTGGTATCGGATGTTTGGTCCGTTTAGCTTTTACGAGTACTGGGCGTTTGTTGGTTTTCGTATCAATACCTATAGAAGTGTGGCATCGTGTATTGTAAATATGTTCGTGTCTCTCAAGCATTGTCCATAAGCACTCTATTTCATGCGTGATGTTTACGTGCGCAAGTTCGTGATCACACAAGTCGCCATTAAATCCGATGGCGATGACGTACAATCGCCACACAAAACCATCTTATCAGCGAGGCAAAACTGTGTGCGTCAGAACGTCGAGTGCACCATGACGCAGCATGCGTTCACCCAGCGAGTCTTAACCCGCCCCAGTCTTTCACTCATCACGTACTCTACTACGTATTCGATTCGGTTCAGTTTGATTCTTTGTCATCCATGGCAAGGCTGCATTCCGCCGTCCGAAGCAGCGCTAGGATGTGCTTATTCTTGATATTTCTACTGTAAACCCCCGTCCGAACAGCTCGCGTCTTGACCGCACTGACGAAAGCTGTCTTGCTACTCTAGGGAGCCTTGTCTTTTGGCACGGATGGGGGATTCCTGACGGAATCCCACACCAGTTTCCCGGCCAAGGTCCGAACTCAACCCTATAACACTGAGGCACAATATAGGTAGGGTCGATTGCTTCCGATTTTGTACACGGAAGAGCTAATAGGATATCGACATACACCAACTAGTGTGATTGTAGAACAAAATGTCGTGATGAAGGTAGGTCAACTCACAGGGAGGTCCTAGCTTGTCTTCGGCGAAACTCTAATTAAAGGGGGTAACGGCATTGGCGGCTGCATCCGGGCCAGGTGTCACCATGGGGGCGTGCGCGACGGTGCAAGGATCTGGCCTGACATGGGTCTCAATGCCTGCAGAAATCCTGCAAGCTCCTACAAGGCCATTGTTACAGATTTACTTGCTACCTGAATGTCCTCGCCCCTTAGGCTTTGAATAATGAAAATAATGAACAAATGCCCCCGCAATTACTGATCATAGTGATTATTTTCTCTTCTTAGCCAGAAAGCACGGAACGAATCTCAGCAGGTCTCCGCATACCCGTCTATCAGGGTTGCAGTAGGCTCCTCTTGCCCACTAGATATCAGGGTAGTCGGCATTCGTAAGTCCGATACGGGTCTTATCAGTCGTGTTAAGATAGCCGTTTTTACCCAACACGTGCGCGTTGGTCTAGGCCATCATCCTTTTGTCTGCCCATCACGCGTCAATGCCTTGGGTCTTATCCATATTAGAAGTGGTCTTTGCTGTGCTTGAAACTGGACGTGGACAGTGCGCCCGGAAGAAAAGGATGAAAACATGTTTTTCTAGAAATCACATTACTCGTAATACGGGAAATATCCATCCAGAATCCTCGTTGGGTTCCGCAGGGGCGGGGCATTTCCGATAGGCAAGGCCGCCCATGAGTCGGCCGAGCGGTGCTTCCCAGTCGCCGAGCAACATGCACTGGGCAGAAAGACTGGCTTGGTGGATGGCGGGATAATCGGTTGTGTACACCCTCGGAAGTCCATGGTCGGAATTTGTTGTCGCCAGGGCCGCGGGCAGTGAATGGATGTCCAGATATAGCGTAGTGGAGGAAGGTTTCGACAATTGCCATTTTGGAGAGGATCATCATCCGGACGAAAAGAACGACGAGTCTCATCCTGCGAGCTGAGCCTGGGGAGGCACACGCTGCCAGTTCCCAATGAGTTAGCTCTGGATCCTCTTTTGTGCACCCGTGCTAACTGGGATTTCAAATGGAAACGACTTGCTAATGTTCAAGGCGTGTTTGACAGGTCATGCTTTGGTGTGTGATAACATGTGTGTCATGGAATCAAAATACTGGGGTGCCATGCAGACACAACGGTAACTATATGGTCTCAAGGGCAAGTCAAATGCCCCCTGGTTGGTTACTGACCCACATACACGCCCAATGGATGACATGAACACAGATACATCTTCTAGTGGTGGTGAGTATTGGGGGTGGGAAAGTGTACCTGGTAGGGGGCATTTTATTTCGGCCTGCAACCATAGTATTTGCGCTGACTTGATACTTGAGTCTCTCAAGCTTACACCCGTCTTAGAGTAGGGGTCTTTTCCAACTCTGGTCATTCCAAAGAACACCAGACTTGGATTCTCATACTTAAATGATGAGAGTTCCCTCTTACCAAGAGAGCCAATGAAATTGCAAATGCGGATTTCACCGAACGTTGCACTTTCCCCTCATGGGCAGAAATCACTGCGTCTTTCATTCATTTGGTCCGCCAACTAGAAGGTAACCAGTCTCTTCCTGCACAGACAGTATCGACGCAAATATCTTGTCCAGCACCGTGTTTCAATTCAGGTAAACAAAATCGGCAACGTTAAATTACGTCCAACCGCACCACAGCCCCACCGGACCACCCAAAAATGCCTCAACGCCATGACTGCCCATCAACATCCAACGGACACAACTCTTCTATCATAAGAGGTTCGTGATATTGTGGCTGGCGGGCTTAGCTTCGCCATGAGCCATGTCACGTGATGGCTCATCAGGCTACAGGGGGAGGTTGTGGTTGTCCACCGCACTGCACCGCTCTTTATGGACCTGATCACCCTGCACGCTTCCACTATCTAGGCAGAATCGACTCACACCACGAGGATATCGTGACAATTCTTCTCAAGTGTCTTTTTGTGGGCTTAATAGGCGCGGATAAGAAGCATAAGGCCCAACAGGCACTGCAGGACATCAGCAATGGGAAGAATCCGCGGCCCTAGAAAAGGTCGTGCTTGTGACCATACTTCAACGCCGCATCCAATACATTCCACCTAATAAGGCTGTCTTTTCCCATTCTCAGTGGTCTTCTGTTAGTCAGGAAAGCAGACTGGCCAAGTGAGTACACATCCAGGCTTCCTTGGGGCTGGCGCCAACCCATTATCAAGTGAAGAAGCTCGATGGCCGCATCGTGCGTGTTAAGGGTGACATCAAACTCCCAAGGGAAGAACCGGGTGTAGACCTTGAAAGAATTGAAAGAAGGAATCTGTCTATCAACGTGCAAAGGGGGCGAGCAATTGAGGTCAACGCTTAGGAAGACTGCTGATCCGCTGGATCTGCTGAAGGTAACTATCCGGAAAGCTTGCTAACAATGTTAACCATAGCAACACCCGGCTTCAGGTGTTCAGTTGTTCAGAAAGGTCAAGAAGGGCCGTGAAGAGCTAGCCTATCAGCTGGCCGCTGCCCAGTAGCGAAATTGCAGGCGCAAGTCAACAATGCAAAACAAAGAAAGCGCGAGGCAATCGAGAGGGACTCTAATTCGAAATTCCCCAACATCGCAGACATCCGACGGGCTCAAATCAAGGCTAGCGAAGCTGAGGGTAGCCTGGAGGAATCCAGCGAGTCTGACTCCCCTAGTGAAGCGGTGGACTGACTGTCTTTTGGTATTATTTCTTTACACTAAGGTACTCTTTGTTGCTTTGTTGTTTTGATAAAAAGTATTGAGTGGACTCTGCTAAATATACACCCAATTGGTTCTGCCAATGCAATGGTCTTGTGGTTTGATTCGTAATTGTCTCCTTTTCTAAATTAGGTGTGCGGATTATTCTGACTATGTATTATTCGTACGTGGTCAGGGTTCTGTACCTGAGGTTGCCGAGCGTCAAGTTAGTCCCGAACGCTTAACGCTGATGCGTTATGCTTGTCCCGCTGCGTACGGTCATGCCAAAGTGTTGTTCCAATGGTCGTTCAAATGTGGGGCTGGTTCCAATCCTGGATGGCTGAGTTAGACGATGTAATTAATGGCTGTATCGCGATGACCCTTGTGTGGAGGTAAGCGGTTGTACGCGACTGATGTTATCACCAAATACACGATTCACGTTGAAGACAAGTTCAGGAATCCAAGGAATGAGGTCCAGAGTGGTGTACTGTAAGAACTTCAAGACTCCGGCCAAATGATTCGTGACTTTGTAGTCAAGTTTCGCACAATTGTAGCGATAACAAGAATGTGGCGGTAAGAAGAAATGGGCTTTTGATGACCTGGAGAGAACGTCCATGTGGTTGATGGCTCAGAGGCTGCTGCACGAAGTGTCCGTTTTAGTCACTGATTCAGGGGTGCAAGCCAAGGGGTTGAAGTGGTTGACTGAGGAGACATTGAATTAAACAATGATGGAAATTCTGCGATTAGCCCATGCACAATCGGCGACAAAGTGCTACGTGAATGAATGCTGCAGAAATTCAAGGTATGGTAGGTACGCATTAAGTGAAGGATCTAGGTACATAAGGCAGGAAGAGCACATTCTAATTGGTAGATCATGTTTGAACTTCACTGACTCTGTCGCAAACCATACTATCCGTTCTTATCTCGAAGCAATATTGTGTCGTCGCAGGCGAACAAGTCGAGATCACAGCTTTTAGTCTTGAACAAACGATATCTATAGACCATATGGAATCATCTTTTCGGATCTTATTGCACACTTCTGAAACCAAGTGATTTTCAGAGGAATGTGTTTAATTCTGGGAGCGTTAGCATTCCTTCCCATGATAAGACGATAAGCCAGCCTTCTCCCGAGGTCCTCGCAGGTGATGTGATGGGCTGTTCGCAAAGTGTGGAGTCCGCGATGCCGAATATCCGGCAGAAGTGCTGCGGCAACGTCGCTTATTGGCATCCCGTCATTTAGATCCCGTATCGCGGAGAAAACGCGCCTTTCTCAATCCGTGTTGCAGTCCGAGATTTGGATCAATGATAGCTTTCCCATTGCGCAAAACCTCGGCCTTGCCACGTCGCAATCATCTGCAAACCCTTGTCTTGGCGCGTAGTGCCAAGTTCCCAGCCAACAGTCCAATCATCGGGGAGCCATTCGTCTTATCCGTCAACGGGGTGCCCATTGCCCCAAAGTCTACCGGCACTTAAATATGCAAAGAGACGGCGCCGTACCTTAAGATGACTCCAAAGAGGCAAGTGGTATGCTGATGCGGACCCTCCATGCAACACTCCTCAATAGCAGACTTCACGATGCTTCCTAATTAGGGAGGAGCTCAATCGACAACGAGTAAATAGTTGGCGTGACGACCCATCTTCCTTTCAGTCGACTGGGGCTGTCTCAAAAATCAAAAGGTCCCACCGGAAAGACGGCATTGTGATATCTACTGACCTGCGATATGAAGTATAGCGGCTTTAATCGCAATGCGAGGGAGACAAGAGACAATCGCCGATGAGCCGGCACTTCGAACGCATCTGGAATGACTATAAAGATGTCTGAAGATCAGCGCCAAGAGGTGCAGATCCTACCCAGCATCGCCAGCATCAATCCCAAGAGCCCAGCCGTTTAGCCCTCAACTCCCAATCATTTGTCAGCCCCGGTAGTCAATATGAAGTTCGCCGCTTTCGTCCTCGCCGCCGCTGGCATTGTTGCTGCCGCTCCTGGCACCAAGCTCGTCCAGCGCAACTACTCCCCCGTTGTTCCTCGTTCTACCCGCGCCCGATACAGCTCTTCTCCTAACCAGAAAGTGTCTGTCGGAGCTCTCGAGTCTCTGGAGTCCACTAGCGACAAGAACGATGAGTACTCCAGCAACTGGGCGGGCGCCGTCAAGATCGGATCCGGTTACAACCACGTCACCGGCACCATTACGGTTCCCGAGGTGAGCGGCGTCGAAGGAGCTGCCGCCTCCGCCTGGGTTGGCATCGACGGCGATACCTGCCAGACCGCTATCCTCCAGACCGGTATCTCGTTCTACTCTGACGGCACCTTCGACGCCTGGTACGAGTGGATTCCGGACTACGCCTACAACTTCAACAACTTCGACGTCAGCGTCGGCGACCAGATCAGGATGACTGTTGATGCGTCCTCAAAGACCAAGGGCGTCGCTACCCTCGAGAACTTGACCACCGGAAAGAAGGTCACTCACACCTTCACCAGCACGCCCTCCTCCCTCTGCGAGACCAATGCTGAGTGGATCGTCGAAGCTTTCCAGGAGGGCGGCAGCCAGGTCACTCTCGCTGACTTTGGCACCGTCACATTCACGGGTGCTGCCGCTTCTGGCTCCGGTGGCTCGATTACTCCCGCCGGATCGACTATCATTGACATCTCGCCCAACGGCGGAAAGACTGTCCTCACTAAGGGCTCTGTTAGTGGAAACACTGTCACTGTCAAGTATCTTGGTTGAGTCGTCAATCACGTGAAAGTGACATTTCACGACTTTGGAGCCTACAGTAGTCAAATGCAAGAGATTCGGGGGTTCTTGGGTTATCGCGTGTGATGGTTGGATGAGCGGGTACGGTGATATTTATGTTCTGTTGAGGTGAAAACCTCAAGTCTTCTTGCCTATATTATTCCAACTGAATATGACCATATCAACATTATCTCGTAATCTACATGTCTGTTCGTGTTGTTGCCAATGGGTCGTGCGAAGCTCGCAGATCTACTGGTGATCTCTCTGCCAGAGGGGCTCTGTGTGAGCATCGAGTCCCTGGCTTGAATGCCTCTCGATTAATGTTCTTTCCAAGTAAGGAAAAGCAACATAACCTCCCATAAATTCAAGGACAGCATCCTGTAAGACTCCCTGCTCTATGTCTCCTTAAAGACTCTACATTTCCCCTTTTGTGCCACTTTGCCTAAACGCACTGGATGCGCTTAGTTATAAATCAGAGCACAGCTTGGCTTTCGTACCACACCGGCTGAACATTATATTGGAATAGTTTTAAATAATATTCTACTATTTGTGGAACTAGTGCATGTGATTACTTTGGGGCTCTATTGTATATAGAAAACTAAGTCGATACCCAGAGGGGACCATGTCATTTAATCTAGTAACCTCACATGCGCCTTTCCTTTTCGGATTGAAATTCCTCTGGGGAGGAGTCCTCAACATGCATATTCGTGACCTTCAAGGTGTCCTCGGCTGTGACAATGCCGACGCTCGCGCGATCGCCATCGAAAAGCCAGGCGATGTTTTCAAGAGTGCGGCCGCGAGTTTCGGGGTACGTGAACCAAACCGAGAACAGCATCGCGACCAAGATAGCAACGAAGACAAAGTAGTATTTCCACTGAATGGCGTCGAGCGCAATGGGGTTGATGAAGGTGTTGAAAAAGATGGCGGCAAGCGAAACCATCTGACTGGTAGCAAGCCCACGGGCTCTTAGCTGGTAGGGCCAAATTTCTACAGGGTACGAAATGACGAGTGGTGTAAGGGCAAGGTCGTAGCCGAGGAAGTAGCTTGAGAATGCTGTGTTAGTTTCTTGATGGAGGTTAGGGTCGACTCGAAGCTCAGTGAGACGTACATGAACAAGAATGGAACGACAGCGAGTCCAGTCGGACCATGCTTGGTGGCGTCGAAGCTGCCTGATAGACCGGTGACGATGATGTAGGAGACCAGCATAATGACACCACTAGTCATGAAGAGAGCTCTGCGCCCAACCTTGTCGACACAGACAGATGCAGCAATAGACCAAATAAGATTCCATATCTGGAGGCAGGCTGAGATGAGCGTCTGATTCGTGACAGAAGTAATGCCGACAGAGTCAAGGATAATCGCCAGGTAGTAACTGACAACACCATTGCCTTGAGAAGAACATGTCAGTATAGGGAAAATACGTTTACGAGCAAGAGTCTCTTACCTGACCACTGCGCAAAAATGCCGAGGGAGACGCAGATCCAGAGACGGTGGCGATTCCCGGGTGTGGACCATAAATCAGCCCAAGAAGTCTTTGCGTTGGCTTCCATTTCAGCCTTCAGAGTCTCTTCAATCTCAGCCATCTCAAAGGCGACAAGAGGATCATTCATGTTTCCACCGCAGTGAGTTCGGGCGAGGTTGGCTCGTGCCTCGTCGGCTCGATCCTTTGAGACAAGCCAACGAGGAGATTCGTCCATCATGAAGAGCGAAGGAACTGTCATAAGGGGCAGTAATGCCATCAATCCAGAGGGGATTTGCCAAGAAACGTTGCCTTGCATGTTTCTCGTACCGAAAGTCTGTCAAAATGGAATTAGTATCGCAGTCAACAGTGTCATCCTGGAGGAAAGATCTTACTGCCCAAGCGGCAACAATGGCTCCGATGTACCACCCGCAATTGTAAATACTGGAGGCGATACCACGGTGCGTGGGGAAGGCATTTTCAGCGATTAGGAGAGGCGCCCCGACAGAAAGACCTTGCGAGATGCCCATGAAGAAACGAGCGACGATGAAGGAAGCCACATTGGGCGCGGCTGTCTGTAAAGCGGTACCGCCCAAAGCGAATCCGACACTTAGCCAGAGACCTAATTTACGGCCCCAGCGGTTGCAAAGCATAGCGCAGAGAGGGTAGCCAACAACGGCTCCAAGGGAGTACATGGCATTGATGAGGCCGAGCCAAGCGCCAGTGGGATTGCCCATGAACTCGCGCCATTGAGGCAGAGCCAGGAAACCGTTCATGATGGAGCCATCGAAACCGTTGGAGCTGGTGAAGAGCATGAACGAGACGATGCAGAAGTTAAGTTTGAGGAGGTGCTTCTTTTTCCACCAAGGGATGCCGTCATTGGGGAGAACGCTGGCCAGCTCTTGGCCAACAGCTTTCGCCTCATTGGCGGTCGGTTGTTTGGCTGAGATACTCATGAATGCGTCATTCCTCGAAAGGCGAAGGGCATAGGGTTCGATGTCAACGGTTGTTAGAGAGGAAAGAGGGGTGCAGGCGATGAAGAAGAACTCCAAACAACGGCGAGACTCTTCAAACTTATGGCCCGCAGCCGCTTCCGTAGTGGGATGCCGATAAGAAAACAACCCGGGAAAACCGCACCACTGTTGGACCTCATGTCGTCAGAGTTGATCCAGAAGCGGGTTCCTGAAGAACGTGGTGAACCCCATACCCCCCGGGGAACCCGTTCAACCCCAGAGGTTCCACAGTTTTCATGATGTATGTAGCAAGGTGTAGGCAATAAAATGGTTGTCAGTGCCTTGGGTCCTGGGCGAGGAGGCCGGCAGGCAAATTCGGTAGGTCAACATGCCAATTGAACCAGGTCAGGTTGTGGAGTCCTTATGCTGCAGACAAGGGTTGACGCTGTGTCCGTTGGACTTGGCGTAAACGTTGGTGGAAGTTGGAAGCGCCTGTCCAGGAAACATCTGAACCTTGAGTGTAACCAACTTGTGAAGGATGCATCGCCACGATTGGAGAATGTGCTGAATGCTTATTCTCGGAGGTAGTTCATGGGGTATTACGGCGGGTAAGCCAAATTTATCCTGAGAGACTGTTCATGGTAATTAAGGTGAGACGGTCGGCTGCACTGACTGTTATCCATCGTCCATGATTTGGTACGGAGAAAGCGACAAAAGGTTGTCCAAGCGGAGCGTAAATGCGACGGCTTCAAGCCGCCAAAGGCCAATACGTCAAAACTATGAGACCACTCAAGTGAGGCTGAATATCCCCCCACATATGCTGAACCTGGTGACGAACTTCACGGCGCCGAAGTGTCTGCAAGTGGCCATAAAGAGAAGTTTTGCTCCACTATACGATCAATACCAAGCTGTCTATACGCAGTACGAGGTCAAAGTTCCTTATCGATGGTTTCACGATATCCTAGTGACTCGTGAGACGCGCTGGTTACCACTATGCACGAATCGAATCAGTTGTCACGTGGGCGACACCCTCTGCAAGTTTCTCCAAGTTTGGGGTGTTTTCATCGGCATTATCTCGGTTGCCAAGCATTGGCGATCCTTCTGAGAGTTGACGGTGAGAGCTACATCCAGCACGCGCAAGGATCGCAACCATTTACAGTACTCAAGCGGCAGAAGGAGGTGGCTGGGCACACGATCGGATCAAAAAGAGATGCTGGGCGTGGCTGATAAAATGTTACAAACAAGCAAAGGCTGGCGCAAATAGGCTTGCGCCGCAGGCTTTTGGAAGCCGTTCAATCTCCAACTTGGCAACTGCGTCACGGCTAAACGCCGGAAACTATCCATGGCGATAACCCGGGAAGAAGTCCGGGACCCAATTTTGGCGGAACACAGGGCCGGCTCCCGATGGAAATACCACCCCCAACCAATGGTAGGGAAAGCTGAAGTCCTGTTAAAACACTTCCTGGCACATCTGAGACGTTAGATGGGAGAACCTCGGGTGAGACTCGATCCTTCAGGTTGTTCAATTGGCTTACGTGGCCCCCGGTCTTGCGAAGGTCCTTGCTCAGGCCCCAAAGTGCACTTGGAGTGAAAGTCTTCCCTGACTCACATTGCCCTTTGACACTCATATTCTCGAAAGCCTCGTCAGTTCCAAAGGCCCAAGGTGTTGGCCAAGTAAACTTCACGCAATTCCCCAGTAATAGATCAAGTCTGCAAACAGTTTCAGGCCAGGTGACAGCTCTTCTGGTAGTCGTTCCAAGCTTGATGAGGATATGCTTTGCAACGGTAGTGGGTTGATAGCACGGCTTGAAAGAAAGTAAATCTCTTTGTGAATGAGGGTTTCCATGAGGCAATAACTTTACATTGAAACAACATCCGTAGCACTCAAATGTCTGCAGCTCAGACTCCAGGCGTAATAAACGAACAAGCTTTACAGTTTTAGTGACGCAATCAAAAATAGGCCAGTCTTTTAGCCACAGCACTTGAGTCGAGAGGGTAATTTACAGATTCGATGTTCTTATCATGAGTATGGGTGTCAATTCAAACTAGAATATCCAGCACCTGGTCTTGGAGTCGCTCGTTATATTTAAGCTAGTCATTTATAAATAGCACTCCTTTAGTTTATTCTACTTATCCAGTACGAGTGGGTGTCAGTGGAAAAATGTTATAGGGAACCCGCTCCCTTCCCCTCCACTTGAGTTGAATTTCCTACAGAGGTTTGTCCCAGAATGATTTGTGTCGTCTCACCTCTATTGTTGTTGATTCGCAAAAAATTGGCACCCACTCGTAATTGTTGGCATAACAAGGTCTCTAGAAAAAAGAAGTTAACCTATCTGCTCCGGCATTTTGATTGCGCAAAATATGGTGCATCAAAATTCTCTTGCAGAACGGTACGTTTTAACGATAGATCCTGGGGGTAGACATTATTCTCGGCTCAGGCTCGCTGCAAGTTCATCGAAGCAGCATTTCTGGGGTTAGGTCTCTCAAGAGCAGAGGATGTTAGTGCAGTTTCTTGGTTATTTTTTGTTTCGGTTTTAATCGACTCGGTGTACAACTCCAACTCGGTGCAATTGCATCGGAAATATCAAGGTCGGTTGCTACGCCTCTTTTAAGCTTGCATAGAAAGCGGGTTCCAAACCGCCGATTCGTCACGAGCGTGAACTGACGCCCGCCAAGTTACCACAATAATCTGTGGTTGTAGTCTTACATCGCCTCGGTCCATTCTACCTGAATCTTGAGTTTCTTGAGAATGCCTAGGAAGCCTCAAATGGTTCTTGAAACGGATTGCAGGTTAGACAATGACTTCAAAAGTGTAGTTGAGGCTATAGAACCATACTCCCCAGACCAAAATGAACGTCTGTGGAGATTCTTGGAAGAACACGGGGTGAGTAGCGGTGGGTTGAGCTTTGCGTTGTATAGTGGTTTATTGGCAAGCTATGTGTAGCCGAATGGTCCCATTATGGTCGACAGGTATCAGAAAGAGGATCGAGGCAAGTCTCACGCAATCGCAACCTTCGTACCATACCTCGGACCGACCCTGGGCCCTATTGTCGGCGGAGTAACAATGCAGAAGTTGAATTAGCCTTGGTTGTTTTGGATGCTCGGTATCTTTGACGCCATCGTTTGGGCCATCGGTGTCAATTTTGTGAGGGAAAGCTACACACCTGATTTATTGTTCCGCAAACGCAAGACAGCTGTCTATTCCTCACGTAACCTTGTACTGGACCAAGAATCTTTGCAAGCAGCGTCTTTCAGGATTGCTACTAACTTACGCCGGCCGTTATTGTTACTACAGCAACGACCAATCATTCAGATTGTTGCCGTAGTTATGGCATTGAACTTCGACATCTATAGCCTTCTTCTTTCGACTTTTGCCCCGCTTTGGATCACTCGTCACGGACAGTTAGAAGTTTACCAGTACTCCTCACTACATTACCATCTCTATAGCCACCACGATTGCCACTCAAACGAGAGGCAGATATATGGACTGTGTCTTTGCAAAACAGATGGCTCAGTCTCTACGTGGCGCTACAACCCCCGAGTCCTGCGTGCTATGTCTCGTTCAGGGCATCATCTTGGTCCCGGTTGGTCTCTCCTGGTACAGGTGGGCGGCTGAGACGGGTATGCACTGAGCCATGTTAGACGTCGGCGTGGGATGTCTTGTGGGCGGCAATTTCATCTTCGACCATCTCGTATCCCAGGGGTGGTGCCGGCCACGCTCTTGTATGCGACGCTGCACTGCTAGCCTACTTACTCGACGGGTTTACCCACGCCGCGTCGGCCAATGAGGCGGGTCGCGTGCTGTCCAACATGCTTGACTTCGTTTTTTCGATCTTTGCGCCACATATGTTCGGCCATCTGGGGTATGGATGGGGCAACGGTCTGCTCGACTTTCTATTCATTGGCTTGGGGTGTCCAGTACCGCTGATACTGTGGTTTTGGGGCGCCAAGTTGAGGGCGTGGGGGCGGTAATGATGCATGTCCCCTACTGGGCTGTTCATCCATCGCAACGGCTCCGAGATTGATGAATACGAGAACCATCAGCGAAACAATAGAGTACTTGCCAAAGACTTTGAATACATTTGGATCGCCTGTTTGAGTTGACAATGCATATTGTCTGAGATGAACGTGCATCGCGAAAGGTTGGAAGCGTCTTTGGCCCAATAACGCGCCATGTAATACTACAGAGACGTGCTATGTGATGGACGTAGCATTGAGGAGTAGGCAGTTCTATCGATATTACACATGGAATCCCTTCAGACCTTGGATGCCAGCCATCTTTGTCGATGGTTGAGGGGAATGTGGAGAAAGCCCAGAATCGACAATGACAATGTCCCTCAGAGGTAAGGTGTACGCCTCGGTGATAAATTATTTTAATCCCTTTTCATTATTCATTGCTACACAAAAACGATTGTGTATGTGTGTAGTGGGTTGCTGGGGTATTAAGAATAGGGGCCTGAAAGATGAAGTTTCCAGTAAACCCATGGTGTTGACTCGTTTCTTGTAGCTAGATGAGACGAATGACGGCTTGTGGAGCAATGATTACAAGCCACACGACGAGGAGTTGACCGATTGCTTTACTACCAAAGATGTCATTCACGAGATTACGATTGATGGGTGGCTGGAGTAGGCAGCTGCACACATTTGTGGCTGTGCTAAACTTTCACAATCACCCGCTCGCTTTCCGGCGGTTGATACAAATGACCTAGCTTATCCGCTTTGAGATGACATGACCTGGTTTTTCTGGTGAGACAGAATGATGAGCATCTCACACAAAGTATTTAGTCCCATGTATCTGTAGATCAGGCCAAATTAGCGTGAGACTTTTCCCATTCCATTCTTTGGAGGTGCCAAGGGCAAAGAAGGGGTCCGATCCCCCCGCATTCAAGCTCACCCCCTTTGGCTCCGAAGGAGGGTGTCAAGGGGACACAGCTTCATCCTTTGACGTCACTACGAGCCTAAACTGACCTCGAGCTCTCAGCGCCCAGTCCCTCTTGTCTCCTTGGTTGTGGTGCCTCCTTCCTCGTCAAGCTGAAGCCAGTGACTTTTGGTCGGACATGTGGCGCTGAACATAGCCTCCCAATTTACTCAGCCGCATACGTTAGACAGGCAGAGTTTCGGCATTCGAGCTGATTTGACAGGCGCAAACTCTCAAGTCTCTCACATGTGTGTGCAGCTCATTTAAAACGGCCGAAATCCCCATCATCGTCAGACCCCCTGCCCGACATCTTTCTTCCCAAGACTCTACTGCAGCGGTACATCCACAGTAACCCCATCTCAGCAGAGAAAAATTCACGATAGAAACCAGACAGACCTCCAAAAACTCACAGCCTCACACACACACAGCATCACGATGGCTACGCCGGCAGTGCACCACCTCCCCCAGGCCGGGAATTCCGTCGGCATCTTCCCGCAATTGACGGCACGCCAGAACGAGACCCTTGTCCTGAAGGAGAAGATGCTGTCTCTTACTGGTGACAGCTTCGACATCAAGCTCACAAATGGCCAGCCTATCCTTCGTGTGCAGGGCAAAGCATTGTCTATTTCGGGACGCAAGTCTGTTTATGATATGTCGGGAAACCACCTCTTCGATATCGTCAAGGAGCATCTCCATCTCCACACTACCTTTGCGGCACAAGACCCGAAGGGTAACAAGATTATGGAAGTGAAGAATAGCTTTGCGCGTGAGTTTTGTTCATTCGAGCCCCATCCTGAGGCAATGTACCTAACAGCATCTAGTCATCGGATCAAAGGCGACAGCGACCTTTGTATCCCCGCACACCGGCAAAAGCGAATCTCTTGAGATGAAGGGCAATTGGCTATCGACCCAAGCCGACATTGTTGACACAAGCACCGGCCAAGTGCTTGGTAGGATTGATAGAAACATGATGCGGGCGCGCGACTTCCTCGGAGGCAAGCAAACGTACGCTCTCACTGTCGCACCGGGCGTTGATATGGCCCTCATGTGTGCCCTTTGCATCTGCTTGGATGAGAAGAAGAACGACCAGAGTGGTTAGAGCTTAGCTAGCTGCTACGAAGAAGCGTCCATCGGAACGATGCGTGTTAATACTTATTGATGATACCTAATGCGCAATACGAGATTCCCGTACTTCTTTTTTCCCCCATTTGGGTGCAAATCTATTACTCAGCGGAGAGATCAGCCACAAATACAAACAACTGCCTATCCCGCATCAGGCTGGACGTTCAGCGCAGGGCAATGAAGGCTCCCTGGAGAGGAAGATGTTGATGCTCGAAGCAGCTAAGACGTATTTGTGAAGTTAGTCGGTGTCCATCCTTCGATCCTGTCGGTTCGGCTCGGGAAGTATGGACGCTAATTGACGGTCGTTTCACCGCTTCCAAGTGCCGTTACTGCGACTCATGCACGAGGGTTATGACCAGACTCCTCTCCCAAAGTCTACCCCGCGTCTTCCCCACAAACAGTCACCTACAGACCACATGCAGCTTGGGGAAAGACCCTCCGGCCCTTCGATCGAGATGCCCACTTGTGTCACGATGCGGGGTCTGCAAGAGATCCGATCAGATTGAATCAATTAACGTTAAAACGCACAAGAGACGAACTCGGCTGGCTCAAGCTCGGTGACCGATACCCCGAATATTCCTGCTCAAGAGACACGCAAGAGGTGGGACGTAACCTATTGGATGTGGACCGTGTCTACATTGTCAACTACAAAACTACGCCAACAACCCGATAGAATTGGGTCCAATAAAACATCAAATTCTTGCTAGAGGTGTTGAAGGTTGGGCAACTCTTCAACTCTTCGTTCCTTATGTTCAGCGTATCATTTCAACTCTTTGCAGGCCTATTATCTGTGCCAAATAAGCCGGCAATGAGGGCTCTGTTGGTGTTACTCGCGGTTACGACCAGAATTGCGACAGCTGCACCAGCGAGCAATCCGACCACTGCCAAGTATTACACTTGTTCGTTTTAATGCGCTGGATCAGTTTCAAATACTGATATTCTGTTCGCGCAGATTATTCATCGCAAGAGGTGTGGCCACTGGCAATGTAGCGCAGTTGCAGACTCGGTCTTTCGCGCCTTTCACTCTTAGCCCGGGAATTCCGGTGGCCACTCTTGACTATGGAGCCGAGAAGGCGGGTTTTCCGATTTTCGACGTCTCCGCTCTTAGCGGTCCAGTACAAGTTGAGGTCAAGTATACCGAGCACTTTGACGGGCTAAACCATCCCTTCAGTGACGGGCCGTATACCTTTACCAACCAGCTGAGCAACAGCTTCCGCGTCGAGACCTTCAACATCACAGCCGCCGGCCGGGTTACATCTCCACTGATTCAGGGAGGCCAGAAATGGCAATCCATCAGGCTTTTAACCAATGGCACGGTAGAATTCTCGAGTGTAGGCTTTACGGCGACCATTGATACGGCCGAGCCGGACACTCTCCCTGGAAGCTTTGACAGTGATGATGAGGCCTTAAACAAGATATGGAAGCTAGGCGCTAGAGCAGCGACAGCAGCATGCTTCGACAAGGGCACGCAGAAAACAATCTGGGAAATGAGCGAGGAAGATGGGGTTTTAGCCCGGAGCACGCGACCGGCTGTGACTTATAAGGGCACGTCTTGGAGCAATTACACACTAGAGTTTGACACCAAGATTCAAAGAGGCGGAAGCTGGTTTGTGACAGTAAGACTCGGGTCAACCACCGACGTACCTACAAGACCATCTTACTAACGTTCAACTTTAGGGTGGAGTTGTGGCTGGCAACGGGTACACTATGCTGCTTACTGGCGAGCTGCCTGAGACAACCCGTTTTGCCAATGTCAACACGACTTTGACGCCGGCTAATACGATCTCGCTGGCTTATGGACCAGACTTTGTGAATCAAACGACACTGACCACTTTCCTGCTAGATGTCTTTGAGGTTCCTTTCAGAGTCCAGGAGAACGCATGGTACCGCGTCAAGGCAATCATGGCTCCCACAGGACATCTTGTCGTGTCTATCAATGATACCCAAGTGTTCAACATCTCGCGCTCCAATTACCCGTGGGCTCTCGCCTCGGGCACCTTGTCGTACACAGGCTCTCCCGATTTCACCGGCTCTATCGGCTTCGGCGCATACCAAGACCAGGCCGCATACTTCAAAAACGTGCACGTCTACGACACCGTCAACGGCTCAACACTCTACACCAACAACCTCACAACCCCGGACGTCTTTGCTGAATACGGAACGCAGGCAAATTACGAAAGCGCGTGTCTCGATGGGCCCAAGCGCGACAGACTTATCTGGCTCGGCGACTTCTACCACACTGCCCGCATCATCGCTACCAGCACGTCACGAACGGACCTGTCCCGTGGAACGCTGCAGCTTCTGATCGACTCACAGATCGCCAACGGGCAGATGAACATCTCACCCAACCTCGGCTACAACCTCGTTTCCATCGCGGACGCGCTGGCCCCGAGTGGCGTTTTCGGCTTGCAGGATTACCAGCTCATGGGTCTGATGGCGTTCAGCGACCATGTGCGGCTCAATAATGACCTCGAGTGGGCGAAGACGACATGGCCAAAGTGGCAAAAGGTGGTTGAATGGTTGCTACCGCAGATCAACTCGACAACGGGGTTGTTGACGTTCCAGGATGGGTACGCCTTCACTGGACCGGCGGATGGCGGCTCTGCCATTGGATGTGAGGCCGTCCAGAGCCTCAACGGCGCTGCAGATGTGGCCGTTGCACTCAACGACACATCGTCTGCTACGCGATATCGCGAGGCCGCGGTCGCTTTGACAAAAGCCATCAACAACAAGCTCTGGAATGATGAGATCGGCGCCTACGGTCTCTCGCTCGCAGACTTGAGCGGCATCTCTGTAGCCTCAACCGCGTTCTGCATTACCTCCGGCGTAGCAGATGCAAATCGCACTGCCCGTTCCATCTCCGCGTTGTCCAGCTTGAAGCTCGGCCCGGGTTACAAGGACAGCTCAGCTGTCTCCTCCAACGACACCAGCGTCAATATTTCTCCCAACACCAATGGATTTCTCCTTTCGGCGCTCTTCATGGGCAATGCGACGCAGACAGCCAAGGAGCTCATAGTGAATCTCTGGGGCGCGATGTTGCCAGGCACCACCGAGGCGCAGAACAAGAGCGCTGTCGGCACGAGTTGGGAGTACGTCAACGCCGCGACGTTGCAGCCTGGATTGGATCTATTCACGAGCCTGAGTCACCCCTGGGGCGGCGCCGCGACATACGTCTTAACGGAATGGGCGGCGGGCTTGCGAGCTGCTGAGGGGATCGACGGGTTTGGGTACAAGAACTGGGTTGTTTCACCGGCGGCTGGGGTGGAATTGGGGCTGAGGAGGGCGAGTGCGAGGGTTGTCACTGCGTTTGATGGAGATTTGAGCGTCGAGTGGAGAGCAAACGGTGATGAGATTGGTGTTACGATTCGGGCTCCTATCGGCACAGAGGGCGGTTTGTGTATGGGAATGAGAGCATTGCGTTGCATGGGCGGACTGAGTATCAGTTTACCGTGGACGCGTCGCTGCAGAACGGCATTATTTAGGTTCTGAGAAACTAGAATGCAGAATTATCTTCAATACAACTGTCACATATTTGACTCGTTTATACGCATCAGCAGCTTGAAGCATAGAGTCGTAGGGCAGCCTGTACGGTTGGTCGCTCTCTCCCCTACCGACGCGTGTGCGTGTCTAAAAGAGCCGAGGCCAACCCGCACAACCGTTAGTGTTAATGTGGATTCATCAAACGCTGGGACATCGCGTGCCTCCACTCTGGGAGCACACACCCGGTTGTGTAGTGTAGTGGTAATCACTGTAGGTTTCCAAGAAGCGCTTCTGCATCCATTATGTACTGACTCCCTTCGAGCCGGATTTTGACCATCATCCAACACCTTCCGGCAACCCCGGTTCGAACCCGGGCACGACCTCAATTTTTGACTTTCCTGGTAGCCCTCCTAGCCATTGAAGGTGAACAATGCAATAACCTTCACCTTATGCCCAGGACCGTTTCCCTTCTCTACGGATGGACTGTGCAGTTCACACATTCTTTTGGTAATACGAGTCTCGAGAGTTCTGAGAGGAAGTCCTGGTTTGTCGAAGTCCGGGCAAAAAGTCCCGCCGGCTACTCTCGGCAACACATTCCGGCATCGGAGATGCTCGATCAAGTTCCGTGTTTCGCCTCTACCCCCTCCGATGTCGTGCCGCGCGCCCTTCCCTACCGCTCCCTGCGCGACCGAGCTACCACCTCCGCGCACATACGATCCAGTCACATGACGCCGTAATCATTACTCTGAGAAGTAATCAAGACCTCCGCGATCCCCTCGCTCAAATCCACAATGTCCATCCCCACACACGTCTTGAGGAACAGCTTCATCCCCGCAGCCAAGAACCTACCCCGCGTCACTAGCAAGACCTCGCCGTTCAGCGTTAGATACCGCACAATGGCCACCAGTGCTAAGGAGTTTCTTTGCATCCTCCCGGACAAGCCGGATGCACTTGCCCGGCGATTGGAGGTCAGATCGTGAGTAGCTTCTTGTGGTTATTGACATGACGAAAGGTTCAATCCATTTGAGAGGGCTGTGGTGGCTAACGAGCTGAAGTGCGCATCTGGCCGATGCTCAGGCTCATGCGGGCAAAGGGAAGGTGGCTGTTGGTGGTACGTGCTCTTAATCCCCTCTCAAACAGCTGACAGTCTGATGAGAATGGTAATTACAGGCGCCATGTTCGAGGAACACCCTACCGAGGGAAAAACGCCTAGCTTTAAGGGCAGCGTAATTATCTACACGGTCAAGGATGCCGAGGAGGCTTGGGAGCTGATTAGGAACGACATCTATGCCAAGAGCGATGTGTGGGATCTCGAGAAGGCGCAAGTCATTCCGGTAGGTCCATCATCCGCATCCTAGCTGAGACAAGCTTTCTTCTAAGTGAGACGCTGATATCGATGCACAATACAGTTCAAGTCTGCCGTGCGAGAGTCTTTGTAGATGTCTCCATGCGGGCTCGCTTCATCAAAACCCAATTCAAGCCCCCTTGGTCAAATAAACAAAGCCAGCAGTGCTTGTCTTATATGATGTTCATGATCATTCAACTTTTAATTACCATAGCTCATTACCTTCTGTGATCCTCATCGGCATCAACGGACTGTATCAGATCCTCCACGTCCAAGCGTTCCGCCAAATCCAATAACGCCTGCGGCGAAAGACCGCCCATGCCGCTCGTATCAAAAATGTCCCACCCCGCCTCCTCCATCTGATCCAAAAATGACCCATGCTCGTGGCCATGGTGATGCTGCGGATGTGCCGTACTCAACGGCGGCGTCGGCGGCTCCTCCCCCACTGGCGTCAGGGCCGACATGGTGTGCTCGAGTTGGCTGAGCTCTAGCTTCCGCAGCGGCGCGACCAAGCTGCCTTTGGAGATCATCTTGTCCAGAACGCACATGATATTCTCGCACCACGAGTCGTCATGCAGTAGGGATGGGCTGATGGCACGGATGAGGTAGAGTAGGAAGGCCGAGGAGAAGGCGTCCTCAAGCTGAAAAGGTAGGAAGGCTTCGAGGAGATCTTCGTCACCGAGGACGCGGAGGGTTCGGAGGACGGTCTGCGCTGAGTCGACGCATGATTGGAGGAGAGAGGCGACGGGAGGTGTCAGGGAGACTGTTTGGGAATGACGCATGTCAGAGTGTTCGATGTGCATGTGCAGAGCGCACATGACCAGAGGTCGCGTTGTTAGTACCACGCACTACGGATGTCAATGAGCTGTTTTTGATAGTCAGTGAGCGGATGTAGACTTACGTGGTGGTAAGACAGGATAAGTCGCAATGCCATCCTCGATGCCCTGCTAACAGACCCTTGGAAGTGAGTGTCTAGTAATGCCGTCAGGTCTCGCGATAGACGTGCAAGGTCTCTAAGGATAGACTGGGTATTTGGGACAAGTGAGCCATCAAACTCCTTGCCGACACCGTACACAGCTGGGACAAAGGGTTAGCAAAGACAACATAAAAAGGAGGCATTCCCTTCAGGAAGAGAACCCACTCGTAAGAATGTGCGCCATCAAGCGCGAGAGTCGGACATGCAGAGTCATATTCAGTGCGTCGAGGGAATTGTCAACCTTCGAAGGCAGCTTGACCGTGATATCCTCATCCCGGATCGATGTCGGTGCGCCCATGAGGGCGGCGAATTCTCTGTCCAAGGTGTACACCACCCAGAACACGATGTTGCAGCGCCTCGAATATTCGGCGCCCACTACTTCTTCGGGCATATGCCTGTAAATGCCCTCGACTATGCCAATGCGCAGTGCCTGTCCGATCTGTGGGTGTGTTAGTCCACCTCCCCGAGTATCTGCGTGGAAATTTGGGACATCCTCACATGTTGATATGCTGCCAGTCTCATATCCAAACATTGGAAGTACAAGGCTGCTAGAGCAAGAGCTTGGATGGCAAGGATAGAGTCGGGATTAAGCCCCGATAAATCAGGGAGCAATGCCATGGCCCGCGCCGCGTACTGTACTCCGGGAGGGGCTGTATGTGGACTGCTGCTTACGACAAAGGCCTTGCCAAATGCTAGGATGAGCAAGTACTGGGCGTACCATAATCTCGAAGCGCTGGCTTTCGCTACCGGGTCTTCGTACAGCTCTTGCATATTCTTCAAGAACAACGGTTCATCGATGACATAAAACACAGCGCCTAGGTAGAATTTTGCCGTGTTGAACAAGAACATGGCATAGTCTAGTGGCGGGAGGTTGGACACGTCGGGAGTCTCAGTGGCACCCAAGGGCGTCCATTGCATTCTGAAAGCGCCCTCGTGTGGTAGGTGCCATGGATCTGGAGCAGCTTCCGGCATGCGTTTTCCAAGTAGGGCCAAGACTCTGCGGCAAAAGGACCACGAAGAGGTCGGGCCCATGTACCCTGCCGAACCATGTCAGCGTGTAACTTTGAATTCAGGATTAGCGACAACTTACAATATCTATCGCCTACTTTTGCGAACGTGTAGTCATTGTCTACAAGAGGGTTCTGTCGAAACCCCGGGCCGAAATCGCCTTGATCTTCGTGGTTTGAAGGGGCAACTTCAACCTCGGTATCAGGCTCAGACGGCACAGGACGACCTAAATTTGGACTATCTGCAAATAGTTGTAAGCCAAGATATTTTCGTTGGATGCAAATCTAATAATGCCGGTAGTTGTTACCATTACTGGGAGTTTCCAACTGCTCCGCGGCGTGCTCGCTCCGACCCAAGGACGTGGGATGCGGTGTTGCATATGCCTCTGTAAAACGGCTCTGCACGTCGTCTACATCATGTCCCCGACTCAGAGCCCTCGTCGAGCGGTTCGAACCCTGCTCGCTGTTCCGGTTCTGAAGTTCACGTAGGTAACTGCAGAGTGGAGTCAGCTTAACACCGCGCCGAAAGCAACTTGTTGTAGTCCCGACAACTGAACTCACCTCTCCGGGACCGACACCCTCTTGTCCTCAGCGGCAAAGATGCATCGGTGCTTTTTTCTATCGCAACGGGCACAAGGCTGGGAGCCGGAGCACTTGACCTTCATCACCCGACATCTTTCGCACCTTTGCTCGAAAAGTTAGTTACGAGACTCTCGCATTCTCCGGTTTTCGGAATGGACGGGGATCCCCGCACGCACGCTTTCTGGCATTTTTTGGTCACTTTGTATTGGCCTTGGCTTAGTTGTGGCATGGCGGTCGGTTCTCGTGCGGCCGAGCCGACGACTTCACGTCGTTTCCTCGGTGAGGGATGCAGATATCGCAATGATTTGGGTTTGATATGTCGGAGCAGCGTCCCGACAATGTTTATGTGTGCGCGCCCAGTGATCTTTATTGGAATGGCAAATTTGGGGGAAAGGCCTTTGCGCAAAGCATTAGCGTTATAGGCCAGCTTATCGGCCATGGTCTGGGGTAGAATGACTCGCCGCAGATAGCCGATATACAGTAATTCTGCTCCAGCCGTTATCTTTGGGGGACGAATGCTTGTTTACCCCACAGACTTTCAGTCTCCCTAGAGTCCTAGCTCCGGAATTGGTAAGAAGAGTGTCGCATTCGACAAAAGGTACACATCATCACGGGGAAGATCGACAGTCGTACAGACTGTAAAGACACGGGGCATCTCGAAAATCCTGGGGTTGAGCAAACACGAGACCACTTGGTTTCCGGGAGCAAGCTTGTAGCAAATTAGTGATAGATTGAGTTGTAAACAGCCAAGTCGTTTGTAGCATAGGCTACATGATCTCTGTCGCTCATCTCAATTTGCCTTCCATGATGCTCCGGCAAATCCGATGCTGATGTTCGAAGATTCATAAAAAGCCGCGTGCCGAATGAAGACAATACAAATGTCCAAAGTTAGAGGTAGAGAGGACGAATGGCGAGTGTTTGCTCTATCAACGGATTACACCGATGAGCTGATTCCGGAGTCCGTGGGACCAAGCCCGATGGATTGAGATACCACTGCCGTAGAATCTCGATTCTTGTTGCGTAAGAATTTGCCAAGAAAGAGACCAGGTTGTGTTTGAGAAGAGACTAGAAAGTCTCCGACTCTAACAACGTGGGATGACCGAGTGGTTGCGCAATGTCCATGTCGGGTGGTGCCTCCGACACTCCCAAGCGTCCGACAACGCCCCCAAAGTGGGTATCGGACTCACATCCCGATGCTACCCTAACCAATCACGTCGACGGTTCTTATCGAAGGCGAAAAGAGTTGGTGCTAGACCGGGGAAGTCGCCAACCCCGAAGTTTAGTTTACAGAGCTGACAATGACCCAGTGACAGTAATGGCAGGCAAGTCAATTGTCGCCACAAGTGACCATTATGGTGACCCATCTTAGAGTACTAGGGCATTCGCGATACCAAGGTGGGTCGGAAGATCGTGGCAAGAGTTAGTCGACCTTTTGCGCAGAAACTGGCAGGTTCAAATCTAAGTTGTCAGTCGTAAGCAGTCTTTTAGTTAAAAGATAACTCGGTATGTAAACCAAGAGCGGCCCATGTGCTTTTCGTATTCAACCGCAGTGATTGTCGAGAGCGTAACATCTTCAATAAAACCCAGTCCAAATACCCTAAGTTTGGTCACTTAAGCACATGGTTGAGGTCACGGGTTCATAAGTACATTTCCTCAGGATGGGAAGTAAGATTTTGCGCCCCTCAACTATCTTTGCAAGTCATTGATCCCGACCCACCCATGTCTATAGTGTGAATTTTGTGAAAGGCTGGTCTCGTAAAAGATATGTACCGTAATTTAAGAAAACCGGCAAATGTGTCGTCAACACCGTGCACAAAGATACAGTTGAAGCCCAACTTCCATCAACGCCCTGCATGATATCTCCAAGTGGGACGTCCAGGGAAGATGTCGCAGACTCGGACCGGACACGTAATCAGTTAGGTTTACTGCCACCTGTTCTCTCGCTTGCTGGTAGGTCCTATGGTCGCATCACATATACGCCTGGGCCTGGATGTCGAAGAATCATCACAATGATGGAGAACCCCGCTCGTTTACCAGTTGCTTCCATCTTGGACTTTGTACACTTCATAGGGCATTTACGCAAATGTGATGGTTTAGATGGTTTCTCAGTGTTTTTGAGTATCATTATTGGATATCTATAAATCATTCATAATGCATCGCTTGTAAAAAACAAAACTTTATAGAGTTCTCATCCAAACACCCGACGGCGAAGCTCGCTCTTCAAAGATCCAAGCATATGTGAACTCTGCTCGATAGCCCCCTTATTCTCCACCGCCCGACGGTGGAGGTACCCCATGCACTCCGAAACAGAACCCCACGGCAGATACTTGAACGGCTTGGGAATCGCATCCCTCTTCAGCCCCGAGTCCGTTAAGCACGAATCATAGTTATCTAGTAATTCGCAACTCAACTCGTCCGCCATACCGAGAAGCTGACCGCACTCGAGCTCGGTCGTAGCCTGGCCGTCCAGTAGCCTCCGACGGTGGTTGGTGATCGCTGTGGCGGAGCTGACAGCGTTATGGGTTGCAAGGAAGAGGGCGCTGGAGGGAAACTGGCAGTTCTTGGCCTGCTCGGGAAGTCTTTGACTGATGAGCATGTCTGTGATATCATCGAAGTTGCGGTCGGTGTCTTCTTTTGTGTCGTGAATCAGAGAGCGGACTTCATTTTCGATGTAGGCTCCTCGGACCAACTTGACTCCCAAGCTCCAGCCCTCTTGGGCAGCGAGCGCGACGTGACGTTCGGCGTTGGCCTTGGAGGCCTTGAGGTATGATTGAATAGTGTTGTAAACCAAAGGTCTGCTCTCGCGATTGTGATGTCTCATCAGGTCGATAGTCCACTCATCCAACTGGGGCTGCAGAGCTTGTTGTTCAGCGTCGATCCAGAGACGAGAACCTTGCTTCTTGGCCTCATCGCACATTTCGTCCAAAGCCTTGCGAATAATTTCCGGAATAGGGGCGTGGGCTCTCATCGCGTCCACAGCAATAGGACCAGCACCAGTTATTCTGAGAAAAGGAGTTAGTCCAAGTAAATTTGTAGAAAGTGTAATGCAAGAAACTTACTTAACGGCTAGAAAGTCACCGGGAGCCAGCATACGAAGCGTTTCGATGTTGCCCTTCTTCCACAACTCAACCATCTCGTAAAATGGTGCCGCATAGTCACCAGCATGTGCGTCGGCGTTGACTTCCTTTGTGTCCAAAACGATTTCCTTTGCGTAGTTGAGAATGACACCCTGATATCCCATTCGCTTGACATCAGAGACGGTCTTTGTGACTTCTTGCAGGTTCTCGCCAGCGCAGAAGTGGTCATAGATAGTCCATCGTAGTAATCGGTTCAAAATTGGGTTTTTGTCGGGGTTGAATAGTGCCATCTTGGATTTGGCGATAAAGTGTAGTACGGGCAAAGCGGGCTTCATGAGTAGCGGCAATGACATGAATTGTGTGAGAGCAAGTGACCGGACAAGGTTGAGGGTGGGTAGTCTGGATAGAGGTGATTTCTTGGTGGAAGCTAGTGCCTGAGCCTTGGCCACCGGAGTGGTGGCCGCGGAGCTGACATATCTCGCCGTTTCCTGCAGTCGGAGAGACCTGCAAAAAGGTACCGGCGCCGGGCTACACACGACGAGTCGGGCAGGCATCGTGAACGACTTGGAGACTTGATATGGTGAAGCTCAGCAGATGGGTGGGAGGGTGTCTGGGCACATGTATTTATCATTCTTGGACGGCTATGGGCGGCATAACTCTGAGTCGTGGCCGAGCTAGACTATCGTGGAAAGATGTCTCCGAGCTAGGGACCCCACCGTCGGCGTTCCGATGATGTCTTTGCGCTCTAGGGTAGAGAATGTTACGTTTGAGATTGCGGCTCTACTCTATCCCGGATTACTGCGGCCCATTTGCCATGGAAATCATTACTTCAAAGGTGGGTAAGACAAAGCCGCCTTCAAGGGAGAATCGAGATGTCATTGGGTCTCTGATGAGATCGGAATCTCACAGAGGCCCGTTATCGGGTCCTTTGAGTTTTGATTCATGAGATAACAATGACCAAGTGATCATAGTTGGGTCTTTGACAGGGAGGGGCACACCCCGAAACGGCAGGTGTCGGTGCGCCCGCTCCGACATGTCGGATCGGATGCGCTTATCATGTCGGAAGACCATCCCGACAAAGCCAAGGCAGCTCCAGCCAGGTTGCTTGAGACTGCAACGCCGTATCTCGGTCTCTAACAACAGATCGCATCTATACACAGTCGTGTTTGATGGGTCGGTTCTTTACTTATTGACACTTCTATATCTGAACAGATCCAGAGTGCTTACCCCATTGGCACTCAACCCTATGACAGTAGCGGTTTTAGGCTTTGTGGAAACTACGGGGGCCACAACTGAACGAAATAGTCGTGGCCAACCACAGGCTGACGATAATACCTAGACAAGCTGGCATTACTTGAACCCCAGTGAAATTCGGAAGCTCCCTTTTGTGCATGCCTCAACCACAATGAGCCTCACATATGGGCCCAGAAGCTTGAAGACATTTTGATCACGGCAATTACCCGCCAGACCCTGCGATAGCGAGGTGGTGGTGTCTTTGCTTCTCCTTGGACAGAACACCCCACGCCCCCCAACCATCCTTCCCATAATATAAAGCGAGAACGGCTTGAAAAGGAATTAATCGAACGTCGCCATCTTCAAGTTTCCTTCACTGGCCACATTTACAAAGCACACAGCAAAGAAAGGGGAAAATATTGAATCTGATTACTAAGTAGTCCAGGTTGTATCTGCAACTCCTTAAAGGCTACAAACTTCCTCCCTCGGTTGCCACCTTTCATTGCTTCGGCAGCTCCTTAGCCTAAGGGGCAGCAGCCGGATGGGGGAAAAATATCAGCAACCTTACATTTACTAGGTCATCCAACATATGATGCCCAAGTGCGGAGTCACGCTAAGTCTTGTTTCTTCGCCCGTGATCTATGCTATTGTCCCAGAATGGTTTTCCAAGTATCAAAGAGGGCCTAGAATTCTCCACCACGTAGCATTGCAAGGTTATCGCCGGTCGGAAGCCAATTTTTACTTCCCTGCGCTCCCACACCAGCTCCACTTTACCTTTAGTCATTACCGATTTGCCATTTCCCAATTCGATCCAGGCCACCTCATCGTCAGTTTGAGGTATGACCGTTAGTCCTAGCTTCTTCGCCTCGATAATAGAAATTATATTCCCTTCAAGGCTCTTTACAATCGGGGCTGTCACGTATCTCGTGTAGCCATCATCAGACGTCACATATCCGCTGGTTGCGTCTGTTGCTTCGTCGGGATCTACTCTTAAAGTTTTCATGTGGACAGAACCCCAGTCCGAGTGGTCGTTGTCCTGTGAGCAATCATCGTTCGTTTGAGGCAGTGAGGCTTGAGACGTTCCTGGATGTGACTGGGACTTGCGATAAAGCAGCAGACATTCAGTAAATTGGACAAACCGACATCGATTGGTTACCTACTTCTATGGTCTCTAGAGACGAATCCGATGATGATGGGAACACGTCGGGGGTCTTGGGAACTGTTTCAGTTTCCACCATGCTTACTCCTAGTTGAGTTAGGGCCTCGAATCCTACGTTTGTCGATGCTGTATAGAATGTCGGCCGCACTCTAGGATGTTGGGATCGATGCGTCCGGTCGACTTGAGTCTCTAGTCTTTGTATAGTTCTCAAGTGACCCCTGATAACTTTCCTCAGGGATTGACTATTAAGGTTTCTGTCAGCGCATTGAAACCGATCGGGGGATTGGATTTTGTATTCTCTTACGTCTCTTTTTGAAGTCTTTTGTTCTCTTCTTGTGCGTCTGACAACAGATTGTTTCTCGCCAGACAGCATGCTTCCAACTGAGCCGTGGCCATTATCAACTGCAAGCAGGTCTGAATAAGGTCCATCTCCGGAAATGGCACCAGAATCGAGTCTCTATACTGACGCCATTTGAGAAACCTAATAATTGTGACTCTGCTTTTTGACAAACTTCCTAAGCGCTTGATGGCATCAGATAAGTGGCGCTTGATGAATGTTGCCTCCATTTCCATGCTTTCAAAAACACGTTTCTCCGCCACATATCTAAGGACAGGGGAGTCGCGGTGCTGATGGCAGTAGCTCTCAAGGCCTATCTCGGCTGTGCCAATCGAACTAGAGAACATAACAGCCTGGTTTGCACACCGTTGCAACTGTAATGCTGGGGAGCCGGCACTTTTGGAAAACTGGTACAATTCCTTAGCAAACTTTTGTCCGTAGCCAACCAGTTGCCCAAGTGCGACACAGCTTGCAATTACACCGAGAATTTCAGCCATTTCGGCGGCAGAAGTAGAATGAAAAGAAACTGGAGGAGCTCAAAGTCGATTGAGGATGCTGGGCCAGCATCTTCTTCTTCTATGATATGCTCCAGGACACCATGCATGGTCAAGTGGCTTAGCCCACTTTAAGTCATTAGAAAAATGGTGCATATCTTTGCTGAATGCGTCGTATTGAGGCAGGCTATGGTATACTGAACCTATCAGGTTGGAAATCCAATGCAGGCAGGGCTTTCATCATGCAGTGTAGCTGCAAGCATCGTACTGCGAATCTCTGTGGTATTACAGGCAGACTGGTGGGCGAACACGATAGGTTGAATCGTTCAGTGGACGACACCAATTGAGAAGCTAAGCGACCAAGCCTTATGCACGCAACGCATTCCGTGACACTGTTCACATTACATGCCTAGCAGCTTGAGCGGGCCTCTCCCATCTGGGCATACTGGGCTAACACCGAGTATTCCCAGCCACACATGGTCTTGGGTGGTTTACCATTCAAGTTTCTGCACATTCATATTGCTGGGACCCTGTTTGAGTCCCATTTATAGGGACAAATGCGAGGTTTCGGCGACCATGTAAGTAGACAATGCAACCTTGCTAAATCATGACTTTTTCGCTCCATAATTCAATCACTTCTCAAGTCAGGCGAGAAAGTCATACTGCAAACCATAATCGTCCCATGAGAGCCTGTCTTGCGTGTTTTCTATGCCAGTTGGCCAGTCTATCGAGATATAATATCTTCTTCGTTCCTCAGATTGCACACCTCCAAGGCTGCCTGGCGCGACGAAAGAACAATAAAAGCCGTCTATCTGAAATTAGAGTGGTAGCCCTGCAACGCCGATTACTCATTTTCTTTAAGGCCTCCGTTGTTATTTGATCGAAATGTCAGCTTCAGCGGGTATATTCAATCCGAGGCCAATCTCGTTTGACCCTACGTCCCGGCGCGCTTGTAGGACGGAATACAATTGCCAGAATGTGTTCTCTATCCCATTTGTATTAGAGAACAACTGGTCGCGTCGCCGTTTTTTTCTCATAGACCAGCGCGGAGTTAGGCGGAGCAATGCTCAGTCGAAATATACCATGATACCTTGCCATGAAGACTATCACGACACGAAGGGGTTGATCATGGTGATGCAAGGTTAATCTTCGGAAAAGAATCTCTTTCGCTTGGTGACGGAATTCATTTTCCACGGGCGAATCATCCTCACCCTTCTAATGGCGCCACACTGTTCGGTTTCCAACTAACTATGATTGTCAACGATCATCTCCCGTCATTTGACCCTTGAGCGACGCTACCATCCAGTTGGATCTATCTCGGCTAACATTTACTAAGCCTCATCTAATGAGACAGCATCTTACGGCGTTAGGGTTAGCTGCATTTTGACGTCACATGCAATGACACGTCCCCCTCAGACTGGGAATCCGGATTAGAAATTCGCGCCCGGTGAAGACTCACCCCTCGTGGGGATCTTTTTCTCCCTCTTCTGGTAGATATTACGGATTGTTGCGATACCCTCACTCTGATACTTGTGCATTCGCCAAGCAAGCAAAAGCTATCATTTCCACACCCAGGATATTAATCACATATCACCCACTGCTCTCTTGTTGATATCAGCTACGTTGAGTGATAGCCTTATCGTCGCATCATTGATTCCAGATACGTCTATTCCAGATAAACAGGCGTCGCATCCAGCCAAACCGATCTCGAACCCCCCTCCCCCTCCCGACATTCATATTTCTGGTCTTTCCACGTTATCGAGCGGTATTCTTACCCAACTCAGATAAATGATGACTTCAGGTCTCACGTCTATGTCAACTGCTTCCAACATGGCCGCACTTCCCGCATTTGGAAACTATCACCTTGTTGAACTGGCGGAGGCTCTCGATTCTGCGCTTGATCAAAGACTGGGACGTCACCTAACGCCTACCCCTGCTCATCTTTCCCGCGTTGTCTACATTCCGAACCATAAGGATATAACCACCCATCTTCCGCTGTACGACATCACAGAAAATTACGTGAAAGCTGTGAAGACGGAGTTCATCGGGAGTAGTAAGTATAAACTAAACTTAGCCATGATGAAGAAACCGAACGGAGACGGCATCGACGCAGAAGTCCGCTATCTTGTCGATTTTGCAAGCGATTTTGCCGAGACCGTCGTGACCATTGAGCGAAGGGTCCCAGGTCATGATGGAGAGATGGTCAGCATGTAAGTTTTGGCAAGGCGATGATGATAAGTCAAGGTGAACATGTAAACTAAGGCGTTACAGGCATTTACCTCTCGAAGCAAACGGCGGTTTTCGGGTCGCCTCGCTCGATCCAATGCAAGTCATGCAGCTCGTCGTTGCCAACTCGTTTCCCGTCCCAGACACGAAGATGCACGCAGGTGCAACCCCAGTGCGACACCCATGGTTCCAAATCTCGCATTCATCACGAGATGGGGCTGCCTCAGTACCCTCGAATCTCGAATGGCAAATTCGTCCGACAGAGCTTGGCCCTTTGCGATACACACTCGTGGACACCGCTGTGAACACTGAGAACGGCGAACCGATGATCCATGCCATTTATCACCACATTGGAATAGGGTTTGGTTTGCCAAATGACTACAGCGAGGGGGTTCTGTTGCTCTCGGAGAATCTCAACGGCGAAGCCGAGACATTGGCCGTAGCAACTCTTCTGGGACTGCTTCGACAGGTTCGGTCCGTTAATCAGCCTCCTCCAAAATCAAGGAAGAAGTCACTGGTCAAGCGAGTTCTGGGAAAGATATGATACAAGACAACATCCATTCGGATCGAATGGGTGGTTTGTTTGTGGATTATTTCGATATTGTTGCGAAAACACACAATCGATTGTGGGATGATTGTTCAGATTGGAAGGCGACACAAGGCCACTGATACCCATGCTTTCCGTATATTTGCCACCAGCGTAGTCTCTTGATACTAATTTGCGTTACCCTTTCCAGTATTTGTCCTTGACTGACACATGTTGGAGATCTGGTTGTGTGTGTAACCCAAATACGGAGCATTCAAGGGGCTGTAGATCGCCAGGCGGAGTATCCACGAGGCTTAGACAAGTCAAGAAAGTTGGGCTTTTGTCTCGTTTGGGAAGAAGCACCAGCATAGCAGTCAATCGAGCGGCGACTAACTGGTAATGTCCCCAAAACCCGCCAATGGCGTCTAGACAAGGAAGCATCACCGACAGCCACAAATGTCGCTGTCGGCTGACCAGTCTGCCACGGCTGGTTTGGGGCTTCGTGCTGCGTTTCTCTACAGCAATATATTACTTAAGCCAACATCCTGCCTGGGTACCATAGCAGCCCTCTTTTCAACATTAACTGCTATCTTGAAACTATCAGTGCACTGTACACTAGGGCAGTTATCGGCTCTGCGGTATGAACAAATGAATGCAGGATGCCTGTTCGTACCATGACTCTGAACATTCGATACGCCGTCAAAAAGGCCCTTTCTCCGAATGAGCAACCATAGGGATTGAGATGCCCGAAAATAGCATCTCAACGGAGACTTTACACTACTGGGCAGCAAAATACCTTCACCTGCCTGCAGGAAGCTCAACACCGACAGCTGCTCGATTTACAAGCCGCGCTAGAAACACCATGGGCTCGGATAGGCCTTGGACGTGCAGATAGAGCAAACGACAGGGAGATCTCTCAATCTCCAATATTTTATCGGACGGATCAATGGGTAGTCGAGCGGTCCAGGACGTTTTGGCTTAGCCTTACCCCGAGACTCCCTCCAATGCCTGGGGTGCTGCCATCAGTCGCATCGTCACTGTGGGGCTCCTCAAGCACAGGGACTCAGACACAAGGGTTGTCATAATGAGCACCCATCGGGATTACAAAAGTAACAAAGACAAGACGGAAGAGCGCCAAACTGCTCTCACAAATTGTCCAAGAATGGAAGGAGAACTATACCGAATCACATGGACATGACATCTTGAGCGGCGACTTTAATAGCGGACCAGAAGACGAGCCGCATCGACTGCTTGCAGTCCATCATGGTGCTATGGGGAATATGTCGGACCCTGTTCTCGCAAAGCGGCATTATGGAAACAATTCACTCACATCACTTTTGGCGATGCGGAGCCCACGATCATCGACTACCTCTTTGTGCTGAATCCGAAGAACATCAACTTTTGCAACTTCACTGTTCTCAAAAACCGGGTTGATGATGGAGTGTGTTATTATGATCATCGACCTGTCCTTGCAGATGTGGAGGTCTCTGTCTTTACATCAGTATCAACTATAGTTCAGAGGTAATCAGTTTTAATTACGAAAATAAAACATCAAAAACCACATCGACCGACCACAACGGGCCTTCACCAAAGGATGCGTAACGAATGAGAAGCCCTCTTGACTAATCATCTTACTTCGCCTCTGCATTGATAACGTCTACAAGGTATTAAGTTGAATAAATCAGGAGATACAAAATAACCAGCTATGTTAGCTCAATAATGAGCTCGGCGCTCAGTGCAGTATTGACTTCAGCCAAGTCCGGGAGCTTTTCTCGGGCACTTCTGTGTGTACCGCTTTGTGTGACCCCTCAATGACCTCTGTTTCAAGTGGAAGGACCCCCATCTTCCTGGCTTCGCTGTCGGTGAAAGTCCCATAGTAGTCTACTTCATCAATCATACCAGCCTCGGGAGGTGGCCAGATCTTGTTGATACCCAGATGAAGTAGGAAAGAAATGGTAAAACCGAGGGGAAAGGCAAGATAGTACAAATTAACCAATGCTGAGCCAACCTTGACGCTGTCAGGAGTGACGCTGGCTGCAAAACCTGGAAGCTGTGTTGCAAAGCCACAGACCCAAGCAACAAAAGTGCGTGGGTTGACCCCTTTCCAGTAGTAGAAAGAGCCGTCAGAGCGGGGGTGGTACAGGTCTGAGAGCTTAATTCTCCTCCGACGGATAATGAAGTAGTCGCAAATCTGGATGCCAATTATCGGTCCTAGAAAGACGCTATAGGCAGACAGAACACTAATGAAGACTGCTGCTGATGACAGAAGCTCCCATGGGCAGAGCGCAATGCTCAGCACTAGACCAATGTAAGCGCCGCGTCGGATGTTCACATACTGGCTGAACAATCCTGCAAGATCCATCCCAGCAGAGAAGGCGTTGTCGACTGAGTTGATACTGAGCTGGACGCAGAGGAGACCAAGTCCAGCAAAGAAGGCGCCGGCGCGGCTCTTGGCGTTGTAGTCCGTATCGAGCCATGCTTGCACGATCAACGGTGGGTTCCAGATCGGTGCTCCGTAGATAACACCAGTTGCCGAAGCGGCAAGACATCCAAAAGTAGGAAAGATAGCTCCAAAAAAGATGATGCTGAACCATTGTCCAAATATCTGATCTCCTGGTTTGCGAGCAAAACGGCAGTAGTCGGGCTGGTTTGTCAAGCCCACTGCGATGCTGCCAATGACAGTAGTGATTCCGTGGACAATCTGCCAGCCGAGCTCGCTTGAGGACATCGACTTTGACCCTTGCCTGACAAGTGATCCTGGCTCGCCGGCAGTTGCCAAAGCCCAAATCATGATGGATACCAGGGTGATTGATGATATGATGTTGAAAACGAGAAGTAATTTCTGGATGCGTTCTGGTCGAATGTAGAGAATCGGAATGAGAAGAACATTGAAGATGATCCAGCCAATGAAGTCCTTCGTTGTCAAATGCGAAGATTCGGGGAAACCGTTGCCTAGTGATTCGAAAGAAGGGAAGATTGCAGACAAACTAAACGGCAGAACGGCAGGTTAGCATCAAGTAGTGTTGCAAATATCTAGTAAAGTCCAGTCCTAATACACTTACCAGTTGACAACTGTTAGACCGCCAGTCCATGACTGCACAGCGAACCAGACCAGACTGAGGATGATCCTTTGGATCAAGATAAGGTATTGTCCGTAAACGCCCCAAATGTAGCGGGATACTACCGGAAAGCCAATGTGCCATTCAGCACCAACCATGCCATTGGCTATAGCAACGACGGCGATGATGATCTTTCCGATGATGATAGCAATCACACTCTGCCAAACTGAGAGGCCTGTTGCAACGAGAGATGCTCCCAGTTGCCAATTAGAGACTGTTGGCGCATTAGTTTACGCATTTTCAACGGAATAGAACCTGGGATACTCACTGGCCACTTGGTTAGTCAACCAGAAGGAAATGAAAGTCCACATTGTCCATCGTCGGCGACTCGGCGGCATGGGCCGAATGTCGTCATTGATCCAGACGTTGGACTCGGCTACATCACTGTCGGGCAGCTTCAGCCTTCTGACGATACCGCTGAGACTCATATTGACGGTTGATGCTCTAGAGTTGCAAAACTGCATGATTCGGGACCGAGGACATGACCCTGGTTTAATGGATGCAGCTCGCAGAGAAAGCAAGCTACGTTCGGAGGTAGATCGGGCGACAATCTTTCATCTCAGGATTGCTCTAGATACGTTGCATCGACCGCCCCCTGGTCAGACTACCGCATCCTCTACGACCTCCATTGATAGGCCCGCGGGTCTTCCAGTGCACGCACTAATAGGTCTTATCGTTGGAGTTTAAACTCCAACCCGTTCGATAGGTAGGTGGTGCGAAATGCTTATCATAGTTTGACCGGACTGTGGAGAAGATTGTGATAAGAACGATTCTGAGCAAGATTTCAACGTTGCCAACCTGGGGGATCCAAGGATACCCCGCAACCTCGCTCTCGGCATCTGGGGATAATGCCATCTAGCCACATAGCATTTGGAGAACCTTGGCGCCTGTACCTGCCCATTTAGCCTTGGTTATCTATCCCTCCCTTGGACTCCAACGCCAACGATAGAACGGACTCTAACAGTTGACACCACAGCCGTGGAGCTGGGAGCTCATTCAACCGCTTTAACCGCTCATTCGGTGCACTGGCGATGGGATGATCTCTGACAACAAGAGCATCTGTAAACAACTTACGTAATTTTGACTCGGGATCTATTACCGCGAGTCTGTTGGGTCAAAGTCGACGGCTTTATATGATACCCTGGCATTCTAGCTGTCGTACCTTGTTTGAGAGAGCGAATTGAGCTTGAGAAGTCAGCAGACCGCGGTGCAGTGTCACGTTATTTATCAACATGGGAGAAATGCCGCCATTACGAAGAACCGTGCGTATTGGGGTTGATGTTGGAGGTAAGTGAGACTATTATCGCCGCTTGGTAACCAGCGCACGATCTGGAAAGTCAGCTAACAGCCTGACTCCAAGGAACAAATACCGATGCAGTCGCTATCGACTTGAGCCTTCAACATACCGCCAACCGCGGAGTTTTGGCGCACTTCAAGACCCCAACCACTCCAGACGCAAGCGCCGGCATCGAGACCGCCGTCAGCACCGTCCTTGCCGCAGCTGGGTTGACCCAATCTCCGGAACGCATCGCCAGCGTCACCATCGGCACGACGCATTTCATCAACGCCGTCATTGAGCGTGACGTGCGTCGGTTGCAGCGCGTGGGCGTCCTTAGACTGAGCAAGTCATTCCTCCGAGAGGTCCCCGCATTCGCCGAGTTCCCCCCCGACTTGGCAGCCGTGATTCAGTCTTATATCGGCATTGTCGACGGCGGTCTGCATATTGACGGCTCGCAGGAGGCGCCAGTCGTCGAAGCCCAGGTCGTCGCCGAATGTTCCAAGATCCGGGAAAGTGGCGTCGGTGCCGTCGTAGTGTCCGGCGTGTACTCGCCCATCGATGAGGTTTTTGGGCAGGAGGAGAAAGTCCGCGACATTATCCTTCGCGAAGTGCCTGGTGTGGATGTTGTCTGCAGCAAAGAAGCCAGCGCAAGCATTGGGTTCATCGAGCGAGAAAATGCAGCTATCTTGAACGGTGCCATTCTGCGCTATGCGCGGAAGACTGTTAGCAGGTTTAGGCTTGCCATGAAAAGGCTCAATCTCGCCTGCCCCCTGTTTCTGACGCAAAATGATGGCACTATCCTTGACGCTGCCTCGGCAGCCAAGATTCCAATCCGAACATTCTCGAGCGGGCCAACAAACTCGATGAGAGGTGCTGCATATCTCGCTGGCCTGGACTCTGGTGCCGATAGCTCTGCAATCGTAGTTGATATCGGCGGCACAACGTCTGATGTCGGCGTTTTGCTTCCCTCGGGCATGCCACGTCAAGCATCGGCATATGTCACCGTTGCCGGAGTCCGGGTCAACTACTCTATGCCGCATCTTCATTCCATTGGACTTGGCGGAGGTTCCATTGTGAGAACTGTAGACGGCAAAGTCAAAGTTGGACCCGAGTCTGTCGGCCTTGAGCTGGTTACGCGTGGTCTCGTTTTTGGTGGTGATGTTTGTACAACAACGGACATTGCGGTCGCAGCTGGCATGGCAATTGTCGGTGCTACGGAGAAGGCTAAGAGTTTAGACCCGCGCTTCGTCGAGGAGGCAGTGATGCGGATACAGGTGCTGTTGGAGGGCGCCGTTGATGTGATCAAGACTTCACCTGATCCTGTTCCTGTCTTACTCGTCGGAGGAGGTGCCATTCTTTCTCCCGAAAGCTTGAAGGGAGCTTCCAAGCTCATTCGACCACCCTTCCACGACGTTGCGAACGCAGTCGGTGCAGCCATTGCTCGCGTGTGCGGTGCTGTGGACATCGTACAAGGCACCACTCATCAGACCGAAAGTCAGGCTATTGAAAACGCCAAAAAGATGGCCATCGAGCGTGCTGTTGCCGCTGGCGCCATTCCAGGAAGCATCAAGATCGCCGAGATCGAGACCATGCCTCTACAGTACGTCGCTAATCAAATCAGGACTCTCGTCAAGGCAGTTGGCGACATTGATCTCCATGCGAAGCTTAACGATGTGGTTGAAGAAGACAAAGAGAAGGAAGATGAGGACCAGGTCGAGGCGACCAAAGACTTAACCCGGGCAACCCAAGAAGAGGAGAAGGTCGATCCAGTGTCGTACAAACCCACAGTCATTCGAAATGCTGGTGGTGTTGCAGAATGGCATATAACCGAAACAGACTTGGAATATCTAGCCGACGGCTGCTATGTCCTCGGTTGCGCCGGAGGCGGAAGCCCTGCTGCCTCCAAGATCCAACTGCGAAATATGCTTCGAGCAGGACACAAGATGCGCGTCATTGACGCATCCTCACTCAAGGAAACGGATGTGATATACTGGGGTGGTAGGCCTTTAACTTTACGATCCATCACTTTTCAGATATTTACTAACATTACACAGGTCACATGGGTTCTCCCGCTGTGTCTATCGAGCGTTTGCAGTCCATCGAGACGGTGGATGCTTTCAAGGCTTTAATGGAGTACCTCCGCCATGACACTTTTGATGCAGTGATGGGTCTTGAAATCGGCGGTGCCAACGGCCTTGAGCCTTTTCTCGTCGGGTCATCCCGTTTCTTTGATAGTCCAATCATCGACGGCGACTGGATGGGAAGGGCCTACCCGACATACTGGCAGACCACACTTGCAGTGCATGCTCCGTTGGAGTTGGTTCCCTGCGCAATTGATTCTGGAGATGGCAAGACTATCGTCATGACGAGAGCTCCCAACGACGAGATCGTTGACCGTGCCCTTCGTGCTTCGTGCTCCGAAATGGGGTCGCGGGTGGGTATGGCGGCTAAGCCGACGACCAGCGACAAAGTCAAAAAGTTTGGCGTCCTCAATACAGTTTCGCTTGCGTGGCGTATCGGGCGATGCATCGCAATTTGCCAGGCAACCAATACCATGAGCACCGTAGCCGAGTCCATCATCAATGAGGCAGGCGGTCCCGAGGCAGCCAAGGTGCTGTTCAGGGGCAAGATTATGAAGGTGGAGAGGCGTCTGTTCAAGGGTCACTCTTACGGCGAAGTGCACATCGCCGCTTTCGAAAGTGGTGACGAAGATGAGGCTGCCAACAATAGTAACAGAGCAGCCGCGGTGGCGCTTGGGGGGACGTTGAAGATCCCATTCAAGAACGAGAATATCCTTGCTGAGCACACTGATGAGAGTGGCAAGACGAAGATCCTAACTGCCGTGCCTGATTTGATTTCGATCTTAGACAACGAGTCTGGCAGAGCTCTCGGCGTGCCCGAGTTCAAGTACGGATATCGGGTTACAGTGATCGGCATTACTTGCTCGCCACGATGGACAGAGACGCAAGCCGGTATAGACATTGGCGGACCGAGAGCATTTGGATATGATCTTGAGTATGAGCCTTTGGGCAAGTACGTGGAGCCACGCAGTGTTTTAGATGAGTATTTGCAATAGACTGAAATGTAACACTGTGAATCTTTCCAATTCATGTACTTATTGGACAAGGAGTGTCCGGATCCCATCTCGGCAGTTCGTTACATTCAACTATTCAGCTCGTGCATTCAGGTCATACATCGTTCTGTTCGAAACTGGAACTCATTGTGGAGCCTTAGCATACACTTTAAGCGGCGTCGTTGCGAAGCCCAGAGCTTTGTACAAACTCTGAATTATGAACCAACTTAGTGGTGGGGACATCGAAGCAATTTAGAATGCAAAGCACGCCTCGTACTTTTCCGTGCGTGGCGCCCAAAAATAGTTATGCAACGTGGATGGAAGGATATCATGACAGAAAACTATTTCAGCTGCGAATAGTTATCAAGAGGCTGGAAGAAAATGAAACCTCTTTTCGCTACGCCTGCATCTGACCTCGTTTCGCGTTATCAAAAGAGACCTCCTGTGTGACCACGGTTGTAGTCCTGATGTGGCCTTTGACGATTTCGTCTTCGTTCCTACTTTCCCTCTGGCTTTTCATTCGAGACATCTTTTCTGAGACCCCCGGTGATCCTGTGCTGACACTGACAGTGTACTCGCCTAACCTTTCCGTTTCAGGTCCAGAAAGTTCGATCTCGTCCCTATTCTGGTGGTTCAGCCTCTCTGTGCTGCTCAATGGCTGATGTCGCCCCAGCCCGTGCCTACTTCCCACTACTTTGCTGCTCTCGGTCGCAAGGCCGTAGGGATTGATGTATCGCGAAGGCCGACCTTTGCTCCTTACTTGGAATGTCGATCCGTTGAAGAGACGGGGTAGGAGTGTGACGAATATCGGTCGAAGGGTCGGCAGGCATGCTGCGAGGATACCGATGGTAACCTCGAGGAATGACCATGTGGCTGCGTCCACGTTATCCCAGTACGGATCTTCTGTTTGGGCTGCTACGCGGAGGGTCTTTATCCGAAAGGCTGAGATGATGCAAGTGCTATTAAGGTCAAGTCAGTATATCGTTTTGCGTTCCAAAGCGACAAAGTGACACTTACACGAACCCGAGACCGAACACGAAAAGTAACATCCTCTTCTGTCGTTGAGGTAGTTGAAGCGAGTTAATGACGGGAATCGGCAGACTAAACATTACGAAGTCGGCCACTATATTGACAGCCGCCATTGTATACCAGCTGGCGAGGAGGTCTATGCAACGACCTTTGACCGCCTTGTCCCAAAACGCTTCCACGGGCACACACATCATTGGAAGCAGGAAGCAGAGCATGACTGTCCAGGCGGACATGAAGGCCAGGCCCCACGTCGTCAGCTTCTGCATCAAGTCGTTGGCGAAGATCCGGCGGTACTGTAGGAGTATGGAGAGTTTGACGATGGTCGTTGCGATGTTGTACAGGACGATCGAGACATAGAAAGACTGAGTAAAAGTCAGCCAAAGTTCGGAGACTGTCCAAGACGCGTAATAATACCTTCATGTAGGGAACATAGTCCTCCGGTGGCTGGACCCACGAGTGTTTACCAAGTCCCCACTTCGTTTCTTTGGGCCGTCAGTAAAAGTGTTTCTGGTTTCGCAGTGTAGAAGACCCTACCGAGACCGATGGCCACCGCGGCTCCAATCACGAGAACCTGGCCAAGCGGCATGGTGAGCAAGTCTTAAAAAAAGTGATGGAGCCAAGCCACTTACCTGTGCAAATACCATGATGACATCGTCGAGGCCGAACGTACGAAGCATCTTGATCCTCGTAAAAGCCCTTAGGGCCACGGCTGTGGTTGATAAAACCGAGCCCACGACAAGTATGGCAAGTATTTCTGAGAAGCGGGACTCGCCATCCCGAGAATGGTCGACGACACTGGCGGCAGCTTGCCGCTGCACTTCCTGAATTGCCGCGAGTTCCCTTCGATAGACGCTTGCCGTCATGATTTCTCTGGTTCCCAAAACATGGGATGGTGACTGTAGATTTCAGGGCTGGAAAGTCCGAGAGCGGAAAACTAGCTTCAGGAGACAGAAGTCTATGCGCGAGCCTTCATCATATTTATCCCTCGTGCTTCCTCCTTCGTGCACCGGCCCTTGCGAAGTCGAAACTCATGCAGCTGCAAAAACCACGGTTCCGGCCCCCGCCGGGCGGGGACGTGGGAATGTCGGCTCCTCTCTGACTGCATGGATGCGCCTGAACGTCGTAATAAAGGCTGAGGGCACTAGCTGTTTAATCCGTGGTTCATGATCTTCCGTGGGGTGACATTGGCGCCCCGAGGGCTACTCTGGCAGGGATCGGCCAACGCGAAGCCTCGAAAGGCCAATCCGGGGGAGGGGGAAAGTGGTCCGCCAAGCAGGCCGGTGAGTGAGAGCCGACCACGCCATGTCGATAGCGTACCGTAGCACATCGAAACAGGGGGACACCCATGTCTCTGTGTGCTCAGCAGCAGTTTACTCTCGCGGCCGAAATGACCGCAAAGGGTGTAACAGTTCGCGAGAGCGTCGTGAACCAATTGCAACTACAGTCTCACCCAGGTTACAGATCAAGAGGCGCAAGTGGGGAGCATCCTGCACCACATACGGCCGAAGAATTCCCCCTGAATCAACAAGAAAAACCGATCATCTAGTACGACTCAAATTTGCCATTTGTCAATCGCCACCATGTTGTTACGAGTTCTGCGGAAGACTGAACCTCCGGATTCGATTGGGCACGACTCTGGCCGGAGAAATGAGACGAGCGACTTTGGCCTGTTGAAAATTTTCAATCCAAGACAAAAGGCCAACCCGAAACATCCGCCCGCTTTTGGTGATCTCCGGCCATCCTCTGATAGGACTGGATTGCTGGAGAAAAGGTAGATGACAGAAGCCACCCAGCGCAGGCACACGTGTCGACGATCGCGGGCGTGGGTGTCATCGATCTGCAACACCAACCACACGCGTCATTCGAACATCTTGCTTCGGGTTCTCTCATTCTGGAACCCTTCATTTGGGCCCTAGGAAACCTTGACACCTTCGCTGGCACGCTTTGCGTTGCGCCGTTGCCTGGTTCAGCCGTTCCCATGTCTTGAGTTTTAGTGACACCTTAGCGTCAACGTTCGCTCGCTCTAGAAGCGTGTGCCTGCGCACGCCCCTGGATGCTACCACGCGTCGACGATGGCCTACACATGAAGCCAACAGTTTCCGAGTGTAAAACACACCACGCAACGAACCGCTTGTGATAAGTGACGGTGTGGCGTGACGACCTTTTGCAGTCATGAAACAATCCTATTTGAAGAAGAGGGTTAAAACTTGGCAAAGTTCAATAGTGAGAAACATCCTTTGGGACCGCAATCAAATTGCAGATCTGTTTCTTTGCCGGGTCGGCCCAGACAAACAGTAAACGGGACTCGATTGGTCCGAAACCGGAAGCCTCGGCTTTTGCGGGGTCGGGAGAAAGAGAGGGGAGATGCTCAAATTCGAAGCTGGCGGGGATATTACGTAGCGAAAAGGTAGCAAAAGACCAGTGAGAGGGGGTTCGCCAGGTGAGCTAGCAGGCCTGAAGGTCGGGCAAAATCAAAATTTCCCGGGGTTTTCGACAGGCCGTTTGATGAGGTTGATTAGGTTTACATGCATGGCACGTCAAGACACCTTGCTGAGGACTACCGGTAAAGCTTCTTCGTCTTGAGATTGAGAGACGAGCAAGGTTGGCAAGGGGACCAATTGAGAGGCCACCAAGAGACGGGGCCAGATCAACAGACGAACATGAAGCTAGTGCTTGAGAGGGTCCCAAATAGGACGGCAATGATCTTGCAAGGACTATTTCGTACCCTTGTCGTCCATGGCTGTTCAAGGCTGGCACTCACGTGCTGTCCGGTGATCCTAATTGATCCGTCATGTTGGAGATCACTGCTAGTTTTGACTGGTCATCATTTTGTAACTAAGAGAACCCAGCGTATGCGATGTGTCATTCGGTCAAAACTCACGTCGGATTCCACAATCGGGCACTTTTGGGGGCCGGGAGCGCAGCTGAATGTTTAGATATGGGGATTCCATCCACACGTTTAAACCCGATTGAACCCGCCAGGGACGATCGCCTCCGCTTTTCGATGTTGTAAAGGCCTAGGGAGCCCCAACGAAGGAATAGCTCAATGGGCGGATGCCGCTCAGGCCTACCTGACGGAGACTCTCCATCCCCAGTGATCCCCAGTAAAACTGTAGGAGTTGCATCAGCAGAAGCCCTGGAGCTGCAACGTCGTTGACAGTGGAATTTGTAGGGCGAACAGCGCGGGTGTTGTTTGCGCAGACCCATCGGTCCAGCTCCAAGAGCACGAGCGTGCCAACCGACCCGGGCGCATGGCGCTGTTGCTTCCATTTCGCGGCTGGAGTGAAAACATTGCAGGTTTGAAACAACATAGCAAATGATCAATCCTGGGGGTACACGATCAAACCACGCGATGTGCTTGCAAGTCTCCCAGCTCCGCCGACTTGGGCTACAGAGTCCTCAGCCTTTACCGTAAACTCATGAGATCGACGCACCCGTGGCTGGTGTGGAACGACACCGAAAAATAAGATCGCGCGGAAATCAGCATGCCAAAGTACGCCATGTTACAGTGAAATGACTACAACGACACTATCAAAGCTTAGGTATGCCGCCCACCAATCCCAAACCCTTGGTCTGGCTCTGCCCCTGGTCGATTCCCTCTTCCCTCGCTTTGATCTGCAACGCCAAAATCTTGGAAAAGTAGCGACACAACGCGAGATTTCCTCCCATGAACCAGAAGCCAGGGTGGCCCGAGTTGCGCCACATGGTCCTGAACTCGCCCTCCTCGTCCCAGCCCCAGACGTCGCCGATCCGATCAGCGACCGCATCGCCAAAGATGTTGCGCGCCTCCGTCCGCATGTTTTGGTAACCCGTGGCGAAGATGATCTCGTCGCCTTTCAGCTCCGACCCATCCGCGAATCGGAGACCATGGGGGAGCACCTCGGTGATCTCTTGGCCGCCCTTGATCTTGATCTCTCCGTCGATGATAAGTTGGCTGCAGCCGACGTCAATGTAGTAGCCCCCGCCGCGCTGGAAGTACTTGACAAAGAACCCACCGTGGCTGGGGCCCATGTCCAGCTGGAAGCCAGCCTTTTGAAGACCGCTGAGCAGCTCGGCGTCGTTGGCATTTTGCAGCTCCGTTACGCCGACCTGTAACGCCTTGAACAGCTCTGCGGGCAAGCTCCACAGCCAGAGGTCTGCGTCGTCGACAGGTGGTGAGTCCTCGTCATACAGGCCCTTGAGGCCGATGTCTGTGATGGAGCTGGAGGAGACGACGGAAGTGGAGCTTCGCTGGACCATGGTCACGTCGTACCCGTTCTCGTAAAAATCTTGCGCGATATCATGTCCCGAGTTACAGGATCCGACGACGATAGCTTTCTTCCCCTTTGAATTGGGTTTTGCGCCCGGGAACTCGGAGCTGTGGCAGAGTCGATCACCCTTGAATTTGTCCATGCCCCTAATGTTGGGAAAGAACATCTTGCCAGAGTGGCCTGTAGCTTGGATGATGTGGCGAGGATGCAGTGTCCTCGTCTCCTTGGTTCCGTCAGTTTTCTGCCTGTCGAGTGTGACTGTCCACTGCTTCTTTGATTCGTCCCAGGACGACTTGGTGAGCGTCGTTGACATCCACACGTTGAGCTCGAGTAGATTGGCGTAGGCCTCGAAGAACTCGGCCATCTTATCCTTTGGCGTGAAGACGGGCCAGTGCTCTGGGAAACCGATGTATGGCAGATGGTCATACCACACGGGGTCATGCAGCACAAGCTGGTAGTATCGTTTGCGCCAACTGTCACCTACTCGGCCGTTCTTGTCGACTATGAGCGCGTTGATTTTGAGCATTTTTAACCGCGCGGCGACTGTAAGACCAGCTTGACCAGCACCTGCATAGCTGTAAGTATTAGTTCAACCTGGGGCTTTCTGGTGACCGCACTTACCAACAATCACAACGGTAGGCTCGCTGTCCACATAGTTGACACTGTCTTCCCGCTTGTCCTTCCAATTTTTGCTCTCACGCTGCCGCACATGTTCGACTCCCTTATCTCTTCTGTGGCGCACTGGCTCTTCATAGCCCATCAGTTCGCGAAGGACAGTGAAGAAGGTAAAAATCTCCCATTTCTCTCCGGAATCGACCAATCGCACCACACCCTCAGCAGGTCCAACTTCGGTGTTTGCCTTGATGAAGAATTGGAGGCACTGCACCTTTCCATGGGCATCAACTGGAGCAAAGTGAGGTGCTCGGTATGCTGTGGATGTGTCGATGAGAACTTCCTTCAATCGGCAAGCCTGGCTGAGGAAGCTTTGGATCTTGTCCCTCCCTTTCAAGGTACGTAGATCCCACGAGAGGGCCAGGTGGTCCCTCCAATAGCCGTCAGAAACAAACAGTTGCGCAAGCTCCTTGTAGTTCTTGGTTCTCAGTGCGGCGTTGAAGGCGTCGATGACATCTGCCGCAGCCTTCCCCGCATCAACGGACGTCGAGCGAACCGATGGGGGATACGCGCGGGGTGGAAGGTTGACTGAGCCGGGTTCGACCCGTTCGCTGTTCGCATAGGTTCCAGCCATGTTTTCTGTCGTGTCGCAGACTGGATGAGGGTATGGGCGGTCGACAAAGAACTGTCAGTAAGTAATATGGGAATAGCATCAGGAGAGACATTGAAGAAGAATTTATGCAAGACCAAGTCTCTTAACACAAAGACCTTCCGTTCCTCAGTTCCGGAGGCTGAGTCGTGACATCACCTGACAGGTCCAACGCGACAACTCATCGTGAGGGGCTCCTCCGGGGATAGATCGGGGGCAGTAGCACGAAACTCTGGTCGTATGGGCAAATACGTACTCGACACACACGTCTGGCGGGTGCGGTGCCGCTCAGTTCTCAACAGTTTCGACGGATATGTGGAGTTCGTTGGATGATGCAGCCGTCAAGGGCCGCACACTTGTCTCCAAGCTGCAGCCGATAGTGCGCAACCGGCTGCCTTGGATGCGGGGGAGGAATAGGCAAGCCGAGCCTCCGGTCAAATCACAGAGCTTGAGATGCTGTCGCCAAGAATAGGTGTGATATGCTTGGACGGATGGCTTGGTCTTTGCCTTGCTAAAGGACCCGCTGGCGGCTCGAATTACCCCAGATTGGGGGGCGTTGACGCAGGCCGGTGACATAGCTTCTCCGCACTCAAAATCGCGGGGTCAGAAAGGTAGCTTCGGATGCTTGAGGGTTGTGAAGTGGCTTCAAGGTTTCGCTCCAGGACCGAAGTTACAGTGCCTTGCCTATTCGACGAACCTGAACGGGTCAACAGGCAGATATTCAATGCCATATTTCTACATGCCCAAAGACTCCACCGCACAAAAACACGATCGAACCAAGCTATCAGAAATGCCCAATAACTAACCCAATGTCCTTCGGGTCAATACTGGTGGGGACGGAGTGCGGGGAAGAGCGGGAACATACATGGATTCCGGGGCAAAGGAAGCGAAGTCCGATGGCCCATTTCCGCGTTGCGGCGGTTCCGCCTACTCGCCCCTTGCGGCTCCGCGTCCTTTTTCGTTCTCATGAGCGCTAAGTTGAATGGCGCTTTGCCCGGTTGGCTTAGTAGAAGAACGGATCTAATTTAGCTTCCCTAGAGACTGCACCCAGCAGGGTCTCTATTTCTAATAGGGTATGAGCTGTAAATATCATTTTCTTTTTACCTGTCGTCACTTAGCAGGTGTGTGTGCTTCTGAGTTAGTCACTCGGATAGTTTATGCCGGCACTGAAAAACTTGAAGCCTATTGCAGTAAAAGTGTTCTAGGGACGCCTGAGTTTGCTCAATGGTCATATGGTTACACAATTCCATTTCAAGCCTGGACATATTCATAGACGCTGGGTCGACAAACACCTTAGGGATTCATGCTGCTCCTGTTGAGAGGCATACAGGCTTTGAATGAAACCTGGAGTTGCATGTTTTACACATTATCGTTGTACAGTGAGGACCCATGGGTCTCAGATCATTCCAACTTGAACTACGCGAGTACCCCATTTGATACTTCTATCGGAGAATAAAGGAGTAACTGTCCTCACTTGTATACATCACAACTTGCTTATGAAAACGGTTTACATATCTACCTGTTTTCATTAAACAAGGACAGCGATACTGCTGGTAGCTTTGTTAGCAGCAGGAAGCAAGCTTGTTCGTGACAAAGATGTGGTCCCACGCCCTACGCTACTGAAGCACGTGGTATGCGATGATCGTGGGATAGATTAGCACTTCAAGCCAGAAGAAAGGCCTGTAACCTGCCGTGCCCAGCGACGACGACGAGGACAACGACGGGTCCAGCAACGAGGCCAATCATGAGGCCATCGAGGAGCTCATTGCCGAGATGCAAAGGCCTCAACGACCAAGGCGACTCGGAATGTTCAGTCGGTGCAGCAGACTATTCCTATCGACCTGACCCGCGATAGACCAACCAGGCGGGCAACAAGTAGCCCATCGATTTGGCCGTCGCCATCGTTGGTACGTTTCAGACGTACGACGCAGCCAACGATCGGACCATTACCAGTGATGAGTTCCATAAAGGCATGGCCAACTGGAAGGCCGACGTGTACGAGCATGCCAAAGCAATGGTCAAGAGCGAGACCGCGAAGAAGGTCAAGCCGACTGCCTCGCCTGCTTACCTCGACCCCGTCACTTAGAGAACTCGCTGATTGCGAAGGGCAACACCAAGCTCAAGCCAAAGGACATCGTCACTCGCAACTTGTTCAACCGCGATGACCAATACATGCACAATCTACTGGACTCGGCCGATGTCTCAGCTGCCAATACTCCGACCACGAGAACTTTCGAGATATGATACCTGAGCCAGGATTGAAGACACTGTATGAAACTTCTCTGGCCATAATCACACTTCCGTATTGAAGGCTTTGCTTTCCTGTCATCGCTGAGTGTGATGAGGGATTTCAAGAGACCGCAATGCAAGCCCTAGTAACTACACAAGACCATTGATCACTTTGCATCTCCATGGGTCGATAGAAAGGTATAGGAAGAGACGGCTAGGCTAAAAACCACATGCTGAATGGAGATAAACTTGCAAATATGAGCCAGTAGTCTGAATTGAGCCGAATACTTCCCACAGTAATGGTACATCGTTTGATAAGGCAATGGCCGTCATGAGACGGTGGAAATACATTACGGTTCGCCAACGACTGCATGGTATTTAAGTCAGAGATCAACACAATTGGCGGACGTATGATAGTTGAACGTTGATTCCTTCTACTGGTGGCCACGAAACCCATTCGGTTTGCATGGAAAACAACGCGGCGGACATATCGAATAGTGATAGCTATTTGAAATGACATGAGGAGTTAATTCCCTTGCTGATTGACGTCGAAAAGAAAGTTTCCATAGAATCACATCGCATCGTTAGGATACTAGAGTACTAAGGAGTCTACAGGAAGGCAGCTGGGTATAATTGCCGTTGCTCTCAACGCTAGAGTTAGAACCATGATGATTAAATTTTCATAAAAATATCAAGGTGGAAATTGCACACCAGTCATTTGAAGACCTACGTTCTAAACTTCTCAAACAGGTTGAACGGTTTAAAAAGCAATGGCGATATGCCACATAGTTGGCATGATTCTTATGAACGAGGCCAATTGACTGAGCTTGTCAAATGTACGAATAGAATCTTGGAGACAAACTGACAAGGCAATCACTGCTGTTTGACTAACTGATCAAGAAGGAACGAGCTCGCTATAGTCAGAGCGAATTCAAAAAAAGGCCATTTGTGACTTGAGTAGCAGCCAAAGCACTGCTAGAAAGTTCCATCCGGAAATGATGCGCCGCGGAAGCTTCTAACAGACTAAAGAAATGTTAGTGGTTGGGCATTGATGAGCTTAACTCACGGCACAGCATGGCTTCTTTTGGCTGCAACAGGTCGATACGAGAAAAATGAGACTAACTGTTACCAGCGAAGGTTCTAGTCAAAGCTTAACATATCTCTGCCGATGGGTCCTGCGAAAGCGACCCGTCACTCACCGAAGAGGCCTGTGACGCTGCGCCGTTGATCGTCACTGTCAATGAAGCTGAGACACATGTGACAAGTCAGCTCCAAGCCCTCGGAGAGCTGAAAGTAGGATCGTCAGTCCAACCCATCGCCCAGGCTGGGCAGGTGCACGGGATAAGTTGCGGGAAGCGCGCAAGGGCCTTCGCGATGACAAAGTAGGCGAGTCGAGTTCCTGCGGTGAGCCGAGCATCATTGCCGTCTTTGTCGTAAGAGCCACGAGTAACAGGGAACAATCAAGCAGCTAGGATCGGTGGGTGCTGCAAGACTCTTTGAGAAAGAAAAGACGAAGAAGAAAAAGTCGGGGCGCACTCATCAGCCGCGATGATGGATGGTCCGCTGTCCTTGCCGACGGAACAGAAACCAAATGATTGGGCGTGCTAGCAGTTTCGGCTCAAGTATCCCGCCGGGACAACCATGGGGCCTGTCATTAAACGTAATCGAGGATGGGGCAGACTTTGCTTTTCTCTGACGGGCCACCGGTGCCTCCCTTTCTGCTCCCTGATGGTGTGGGCAAAGGAGACGCAGTCCTGGGCATGATTGTGGATTGAGGTGGCCTGTGTCTGACTAAGGAGCATGGCGGCTAGAGGAGGCCAGTGTGGCAGACACTCCGTCTGTACAGCGTGGGGTCAAATACCGCTCGTTCGGGTAAACTAAACTCTTAGTAAAAGCTGGTATAATAATTCGGTAGACGGGTACTTAAGACTGAGACTTTATTTCCAACTAAGTTGGTGAAGCACTGGATTGCATTGACAGGCGTCAGTCACTGTGTCGATGTCGAGACCCATCATGGTCGATGCTGGTCTCGATCTTGGCCATCACACCGCAGCAAGGTGGAGAGAAGAACGAGATGCAGTTGGGCCTCGATGCCACCAAGACTCTCGGCTGCGTGTGCCGAGCGATAGGCCACTGGCTTGTGCCTGGAGAGCTCTGAAAAGGTATGCATTCAAGCGCCGTGATGCGTGTGGACTCCTTCCTCTATCTGGGTGGACATGTCGTCCCGTATAAAGTGATCTCCAACAGGGGTTCGGCACCAACGGTTTTTCCCCCTGCCTGATGTGCCCTGACCCATGTTTCAGGTGAATTCCACCACGGGCGCGTCGATCAGGAACCAGAACAGAGTTCACAATAGCATAACCTCGATCACAAGATCCCTCATAGAGACGAAAACTAGACTGAAGGACTCTGGGCTCACTATTGTCTTGACCAGATCGATTATTGAAGTTGGTCTTTGGGTGAGCGGGACCAATACATGCGGATCCGAGCATCGAAGCAATCAATATTCATCAAAATTCTTTCTGCCACCGGTGACTATCACAGGCGACCGGTGATTGACAAGAAAACGGGCATATCGCCCGAAATTGACAGCAGCAACGGTCAGACACGACAAGCCTTTTCCTACTATTTACGTGCATGCAGGAACAGGAACCCGTCAGCGCCTAGATCGGATGAGGCGAATTTGGTGGGGTTCGAGCAATCTATAAGCGACCGATTCGGAGGGGTTGCTCTATTAGCTCAGGCCCAGTTTCCTCCTGCAGGGTGCGCCGCTGCAGGCGAGGTGGGATGTTTAGATGAACAGGATCACATAGACATCGGCGCATGGGCTCAGCTTGGCGACCGTATTTCGACGAGAACCGACCCTCAACCCCCAACTTGGGCGGCTCCCGTGTTCTTCTAGGAGTCGATGTCGTCAACACACTCTAGTTGTGACCCCGTCGTCCCCGGTCGGCCCATACAAGGGGAGGCAATCCCCGGCGGCGAGGGCCATGCAATAGATTCAGCGCGCTTGCGCTGCTCCAATGTTTCAAACGAACGTTGGCCAAAATCGTCACCTGCAGTCTCTTCGCTGGCTGTTGTGTCGTGGCCATCCCGGTTAGGCGAGGCCGGCTTTTCAGTCGCGGCCCATGTTCACAACCACCACTCGTGCCCCTTTTCGCGCCCGCGATGCCTAGAACAAGGCCAGCTGCAGCGATGTGGGGTTGAGAAATCTCGTCAGGAACGTGGGATGACGGCTGATGGCTAACGGCTCCCCTGCCTCCAGGTATCCAGGTATCCAGGTGTCCAGGTGTCCATGGGTGGTGATACGAATTGGGATATAAGACAACCTTCTCTTCTCGATTCTTGACCTGATTCCTTCCTCACTCTTCGTTCTCAACCATCGCTGTGTCTTTTGTCATTGTACAAACCACTTTCATTCTTTTTTTGAAAACTTCACTTTCATTCATTCCCTGGTGGAAAATCAACGCTTCATTCTCTTCCCGTCCAATCTTTCATACAAAACACCGGTCTTCACCAACCAAACAACCCCACACAAATCAAGATGCGCTCCTTCGCCTTCCTCGCCGCCGCGGCCATCGTGCCCCAGGCCATGGCTCACTACGTCTTCCCTACTCTCATCGTCAACGGAGAGGAGACCGAGCGTTACCAGTTCGTCCGCGAGGCCAAGAACTCCAACTCCCCCGTCACCGACGTCACCTCCGAGGGCATCGTCTGCAACATTGGCGGCAACGACGACGACGTCTTGGCCAAGACTGAGACCAAGGCCGTCAAGGCCGGTGACGAGCTTGGCTTCGTCGTTGAGAACGACATGGGCCACCCCGGTCCCCTCGCCGTCTACCTTTCCAAGGCCCCCTCCGGCGTCGCCTCCTACAAGGGTGACGGTGACTGGTTCAAGATCTACGAGCTGACCACCTCCGACATCACCGACGCCGGCCTCCAGTGGGCGACGTACATCAACAACGCCGGCATCCACAACTTCACCTTCACCCTCCCCAAGGAGGTCCCTACCGGCGAGTACCTGCTCCGTGCCGAGCACGTCGGTCTCCACGGTGCCGGCACCAAGGGCGGTGCCCAGTTCTATATTGCGTGCGCTCAGATCTCCGTCACCGGTGCTGCCTCCGGCACCCCTGCGCCTACCGTCAAGTTCCCCGGTGTCTACACCGGCGAGGAGCCCGGTCTGTTGATCAACATCTACTACCCCGCCCCCAAGAACTACACCGCTCCTGGCCCCGTCACCTGGCCCAACTCCTGCGAGGACCACACTGCCAACCTCCTCGGCCAGACCACCGACGGTGACTGCACTGGCAGCGACGGCGCCACCACCCCCACCACTCCCACCACCCCCGTCACCAGCCCTGCCCCCTCCGCTGGCATCCCCGACTACAACGGCGGCAACAGCACCACCCCCGTCTCTGAGTCCGGCGCCGAGCCCACCAACGCTGCCGATGACGACTGCGAGAAGTCTGCTGCCCGCCGCCGTGCCCGCTCCATGCACCGCCGTGCTCTTCGCGCTGCCCTCTAAGCGTTTCGCTTGAACTCAGGGATGCGAAAAGGTGGAAGTGGATAAAGATTGAGAAGCAGTTTTGTTGAACCCGAGTTAGCGGACACCACTTGATGTCTACATGCTCAACCCTATTCTTGTACATATGACTTAAGACACTGGATGTAAATGCGATTAGATATCGGACGATCCTTTGTGCCAAGGCGTCCTCATGTTTGAAATATGAGAATCATTCCATATCAATACGTATGCATGTCTAGACGTGATTTCTGAGTTCGTGACTTGTCCGCCATAATTATTAGTCTCAATCAACAGGCAGACAGAACTTGCTTGAGAACCTCAAGTGGAGGTACCGTGGACTTCCACAAGATAGCGTATCTCTCATTGCACGCTGTCTAGGATGGACATTGCTGGTATGGTAGCGAACGAATGCACAGCATCCTCGCGTTCACAATCACCAGCAATATGTTAAAACAGCACAGCTTTTAGCGGTACAATATCTACGAGCTTTTTTCTATGCCTTTCCAGTGCTTGATTGCCTGTTATGCGTGGTCATGGCCCTCATGGTCTTCATCATCATCTGCCCAGTCGGGGAAACCGTCATCGAACAAATCCTGCAGCTTGTCTCTCTTCTTCTCATCGTCCCACTTCTTGTTCCGCATCACCTTTTGCCACTTCTTCCACTCCTCTTCGTTAAGAAGACACTCGTCCAGGGCGGCCTCCAGGCCCTTAATGTCCAGGCTTTCGCCGATAAAGACCAACTCCTGCCGACGGTCACCCCACTCGCCGCCCTTCTTGACGTCGTGCGCGACGAGCGCATCGACCTCTGGGTCGCCGGTGAGGTAGTCTTCGGGCGGCAGCGTGCAGAACCACGGCCGGCCGCCGGTCATGGTTAACATGGCGCCGGCTTGGGACCAGTCGCCTGCTCGGTGTGGCCGCGTCGCGAGGAAGAACTCGCCCTTGGAGCGGAAGAGACGGTTGAAAAGGGGGTGGGCGGTCTTGTTGGCGAGGATCACGTCGTTTGCTGGCGGCTCAAGGGGGTCCTCCATGTCGTCGTCCTCGTCCTCGTCTTCCTCCTCTTCGTCATCTTCCCACTCTTCGGCTTCCTCGTCGGACCTTTCGGCGTCGCCCATGTCGGCGTCGTTCTTGTCTTCATCCATGGCATCCTCGTCATCTTCAGGGGCCTCCATCTGGAGAATGAACTTGTCGTAGAGAAGCGACCATAACCTTCGGGGGTGGAACGGCTTTGTTCTTGTGTAGATGAAGTTGCGAACGTTGTACTCCTCGGTCTCGGGTTTGGGTGTGATGGCCTTGCGACCGTTGACCTGCAGGACGATTTGTTATTCAACTTTATCGTGCGAGGACCACCAGCTGAACAGACATACCTCGCGTACTGTCATGGCGTGCAAGTCCTGGAGCCATCCAACGCCGGACTGAGCGACCTTGAGGTCAAACGTGTTGGTATTGACGATCTCCTTCACGTCAATCCTACTGTAAGTGGCCTCGAGGATCTTGGCTCGTGGGTTAAGCTTCTTGATCAAGTCAAGAACACGGGCGCGATCGGTTTTAGAAACCTACTCTCAGTCAGCATGTCCGCCGCAAGCAAGTTTCTTCTCGTTACCCACCATGTCGATCTTGTTGAGAACAATGACATCCGCGAACTCAATCTGGTCGACCATGAGATCCGACACTGTCCGTTCATCTTCCGGTACGACATCGTCTCGCCGCGAGGACAAAAGATCGCTTGTGTGGAAATCATTGAAAATTGTAAAAGCGTCGATGACAGTGACTGTGGTATCGAGGCGAGCAAACTTATCGACACCACCAGCGTCGGCTCTAGCAGAACACAAACATCAGCAAACCCGTCAGCAAATCCCTCCAGAGTATTCTGGACTTACAGTCTTTTGAGCAACTTCATGGTGTCCTCGTCAAGACCTTCAGGACCCTCGCCCAAGGTGGCCATCTGTTCGGCCAATCGGGCGTCAAAGGTTTCTGCGACTTGCTCGGGCTCGCTGATACCACTGCTCTCTATGATGACGTAGTCGAACTCGTGGAGCTCAGAGAGGTTGACCAGCTCTTCCAGCAAGTCGCCGCGGAGTGTGCAGCAGATGCAGCCATTCTGCAGAGCTATAACCTTCTCTTCCGTCTTTGTGAGCCGATGGCTCTTCTTGATAAGGGATGCGTCGACGTTGACACTACAAAGGGCACAAGGAGTGAGTTTTCAACATGTGAACAAGGTATCCAGGAATGTTCTTACGCTCCAATGTCATTGACGATAACCGCTATTCTAAGACCGTGGTCACTCTTGAGGATGTGTTGCAGCAAAGTCGTCTTTCCACTTCCCTACATCCAAGTGTCAGTCTTATGATTGTTTCTCTCAATTTTACCATACATATTCCACATACCAGGAACCCGGAAAGGAGAGTCACGGGAAGTGGCTTGGTTTGGCCAGGCTTCGTGACGTCGACGCCAGAGTCGTTACGAGCGAGTTTGGGAACTTCATCGTGGAGTTTGGGTTTTGTGGTCGCTGGGACCACAACGCTACCCGACTTAGACTTCGCAGCAGAACCTGTCAGTTTCTTGCCCATCTTGTTAAGCCTAATGCAATTGCTTCCAGATTGCAGATTGAAGATACAAAGACAAGATTTCTATCCTCCGATTCCCTGAGATTGGCTATTTATACGGTGTCTGTATTAGGTTACGCTCCTATCTAACAGAATGCCATCAAGGTGTTCAAGGCCATCGGCAATCACCCCAGCTTTGGGATCATCTCATGGCGGTGATGTCGCACGACGGACCATCCGGGTTCTGATGAAGCCCCCAGCGGTACAACACGGGATTGGCTGGCTGGATACCGGGGCTGTCATCATCATCGGCCACCATCTGATTGGCCGAAATGACCTCAAAACGGCCCGGCCACCATGGATCGCCTCGCCAGATCAGGAAAAAAGGTTCATCAAGACATGGAATAAGGGTTTAACGTCGGCAAGACCCTTGAGGACCCTGAGGGCCGCCATATCCTGATTAGGAAATGACTCTTGACGATTCGCTACTGGTCGTCGAGGAAGACTGTCAGTCTCGATGAGATACAAGCAGTTGTAATCGAAAGATCGGTCGATCCCGCCGATTTGTCACTTAGGTCTACCCCATCTGGAGATGTCACAATGGTAAATTGGCAATGCTAATGGAGGGCGGGGTGCGCACAACTTGTCAGGAGCGGGTCTACCTGTATTTGCCTTCACCGCCTAGCAACTAAGACGAGCGCAGTGTCTCCTTTGCTTCCACATTTCTGTAGTTGGGTCAAAAGCAGTCCTAGCCAGAAAAATCAATTGGGAGAGTGCACACTTGTTCTCCACTATCACAGGAGGGTATTGTTCTGCCACTGACCTTTTACCTTCCGACCACGTCCTAGATGATGCTAGGTAAGAGCTGATGGGTTGGGTGATAGCTTGCGGACGTCCGACTAGTACAAGCCTCATGTCCGCGCACTCCACCATCTAGTTGACGACACCGGCCTCTAAATCTTCTATAGTTAGCTTAGTTAACATGTCGTTCGAAAACTGGGACGTATATGGTTGATAGTTGGTCAAAGCCAGTGGAAAAGACACTATCCGCATCACAGCAATTTCGGCCGCACGCGTGTCCTGTGTTGTGCTAGGTTGCTATTGTGTAAATACCAACTATTAATGCGGAGACCACAAACCCAATCTTTGGCTCCATATGGATTCAGAGGTTGAGTGGAGGCAAAAGAAGACAATGGCCGCCTCCTACACATGATGATATAAAGCAAAGTTGAATCATGAAACAGGTGGTAGAGATACGGAAGTGAAGCAGATCCATCAGAGACCCATTGCGCACTCAGACTTAGTAGTGACAATCAGATTAGAGATCACATGGATAAACTTTTTTGAAAGAGCAGCCTTCGAGTGCCTCTCCAACAATTTTCGAATCTTTGGTCCTGTGATGGATATTGCGTCTCTCTTCCAGAATACCATCTCTTTTGGGCTACATCAATAGATACTGCAAGACGATGTGAGGAAATAGAGTGGCGCTGGATACAACAATGAGCGGCAACTTGCATGGTCCTCATCAAGAACAGCCTGGTCACTGTTTTTTAGCCTCTTGTACTATGGGCATGATCAGTTGAAAATACCGTTCTGGTACGCGAGACATGGCACCTCAATAAGTATTACATCGCCTGCTACTTACATAGACAGCAGGGTTCAATAAATCAGGAAGAAGGAAAATGGTTTGCGACTGGTTTGTGCCCTCTGGAACTCTTTGAGACGGAAACGAGATATAGCAATAAGCTTGGCCCACGATTCATATAGGGAGCAGCCATTGATCGATTACAAACGTCTGGGACAAGATCAATATCGCAGGCTCCCACACAAGAACCGGATGCACGTTCATACACTGGAATGCCAATCGTCGCCAGTGTGTTGCGCAAGGATAACCGGCGTAGATTTCATCCAGTACTCCTTGTTAGCCGGGGAAGCGGCCACAGGTGAAGTTGATGACCATGACACTGACTGACACCAAAACGCCCAGAGAAGCATAACACAGACGTTCGGAGGACGTTGCAGCCGGGAGTTGAGTCGAACCGGCGCTGCATAGATCGCGCGTCAGGCACGTCGCGTTGAGGCAGAAGAAAGAAAGGCATCGATCGTATTAATAGACTTTATTAATATTTATTTCCTCCCCTAAGTCCACCAAGACGGACTGGCGAAAACGTCATTGTCAGGTGAGGAACCGCGAAAGTTGCGTGCAACGTGCCCATGCGCTTTTGGTTTCATCGTCAACCCCGTGGTGGGCAGTGATGAACCACAGCTACCCCAGATACGACCACCCAGCAACACGAGAGCCAAGGGACTGGGCTTGATTGGCGGCCTAGCTTCTCAAGACGACCGGGAGTGTTGTGGTTCCTTCCGACTTGGACTGTTCTGTCGGCAAAAGTTGATGTGATCGTTCAAGGCAAGTCGAACCAATTGTTCCCTGGGATGATCATGACTTGACCAAGGCCGAGTCACTTTGGCAAGTGGTCCCAGGCTCGGCCATACCATCAATCATGCTCTCGGCTGCTTTAATGCGCATTCGGATCGTCTTGATGCGTAGCAGGTCCTGCAACTGAAGCAAATTCACAGTGCTGCTAAGCGACTCGAGAGACGACATTGCGGTGCGCCAGGCGAGATTTGGTGATGCAACATCGGTCGGCGCCTCAATCAAGTAAGAACAAAAAATGTTTCTCTTCTATAACAAGGGGCTCTGAAAACTCCCACGCTAGGTTTGCCGCATCCACCCTCCGTTTCTGATTATTTCCGACCTCGAAGCGCCGGTGTGGAGTTTTCTGGAGACAGCATGCCTGGAGCGAGTGCTCTCTTGTGCCTATTCACGGCCTTCCGCGGACAATGGGGGGGAGGCCTTTCGAGTAAGCGCGAGTCGCATTTTTGCAGGTTTCAGAGCTTGGAGGAGGCGCCTCCGGGCCAAGTCGCCAAGAAACGCGTCAAACACGGCCGAGGGTCTTGGTGCGGCAATGCGGGTTGATCAGAGTGTCAGCGGCCGGGGTCCGTTTGAACCCTTCCGAACGTGCAACGGGGTTCAGCCCCCTTTGCCCACTAGTCGATGTCCGGCTGCCATTCTGCCCCTCCATACGTAGTTTACGACTCTCCGGCCCCTTGGAATGAGCGAACGGCCCCTGGAGAACACCGCTGATGGCTCTGGCGCTACATGTCATTGTGTAATGTCATTGGGTGCAACGAACCACATGATCCCGGAGTGTTCCTCGCGTGCACTTGTCGCACCAAAGAGGCCGTTCCCCAGTTTACTGGATTTGCGAGCTATCCGCAAGTTTGCAGCAAAGACACATCGGACGCCCCTTTGCTTGTGTTATCTTGGGAGATGTTTGATTTGGGAAGCGCCGTGAACATGGGTTTGGTTCCCAATCTGTCCATGCGTTGGGCGGGGTGATCGACACGATGTGATTGATAACTTGGGGCGATTTCCACCCACGCAGAGTTGCTGCTACTTTCTGTTTCCGATCCGCTTCCAGTCGAGGATTCAGTGGGTTCCTGTTTCTTTCTTCCTTCCTTGAGGCGCTTGCGTCCTTCTTTCAATTCAGTTGTTTTCTTCTTGACACACAGCTGTGCTGTTTATTTCCATTCGCTGGTCGACTTTTTCCCTTTCAGTTCGTTATTTATTCCAGAGTAATCTGCGGCGGATGTCGAGTAGTAGGGTCACGATGGAGGGCACCGCAACCTGGTCAACTCTAAGGTATATGCCCATCTTAGCGGCTCTCAGGCGCGGATCAAGTGTGCTGACATCTGCAATAGGCAACGAAGGAGAAGAGCAGGACCCAAATTCCCAGGTAGACCTCGTCATAATCTGGTTCGCAGACAAGGTCCGGCACAACTCGTAGCGCCGCGTGGGAAAGATGAGGACGGCGAGGAAGCAGACGGCGAGCAGGAGGCTGATGGCAAGCAAGAACAGGAAGACGAGGAAGAGGAAGACAAGGAGGAGAAACGTGCCGACAGCCAAGAAGCCGAAAGCGACTCAGATGCCGAAGGCCAGGCTGACGTATCTTCTGAAAGCGAGTCCGACGCAGCGCAGCCCGGACAACAAGCAGACTCGAGCGATTCAGAACAAGAGCAACCCCCTTCCACAATCACCAAGCCACCTCCGGCGGCAACACCAGCACCTCCGGCCGCCTCGTCTCTACCACCCGCAGCTCAAGAATCCCCCCTACCGGAAGCACCGGCCATCCTGAACCCATCACGCCCTTCAAGCCTCCTGGAGAGCCTTCCACCTGCAAGAGGCTTCATCACACTCGTACCGGGAGCCCCTCCACCTTCAGTCCCCCGGCCATCTTCCCCCAAGAGACGTCGGCGAGACAGTCTCAACCACCGCCTGCTGCAGCGACGTCGAGCCGCCCCCCCGTCGCCGAACCTCAAAACCCTCCCCCGCCAGCCAGACTTCCGCACCTCCGCCGCCTTCTTTAGTGCAATCATCGACACCGCTAGCCGCCGAGACTCCTTCAACAAATCTACCTCCTCCCGCCGTGGGTAATGCCGCCTCCGGCACTCCTCGACTCGATCTTCTCCCGCCCAGCTCACAGCTTGCGCCGACTAACACGGCGATCTCGGCAACGCCGGCTCCAGCTGAGGGGACAGACCGTGGTTTCGCTATTGGGATCTCCTTCGCCGTCGTTGGTGAGTCTTCATTACCTCCCTTCCCCAGAATCCACCCATCTTACTAACTTCCCGCAGCTATAATCGCGCTCCTCATCGGAGCAGTAATATTCGGCGTCAAACGCTACAAGAGGAAGAAGAAGGTCACTGCTGTGGCAACGAACATGAACCAGAACACCGGTGGCGGCAACGCCTTCTTCCCACGAGAGTCGGCCATCCTCAGGCAACCCAAGCGCAGTACGCGCGAAGTGGAGCAGGCCATCGTCGCTACATACAGGCAAACCAAGATTGCGAACCGCACGACGAGGGAGATGGAGGAGCAGATGGTGGCCCAGTTCAGGACGGACAGGAACACGATGCGCTCACTGCCCAACCCGCCTCCCGCTGCGACGAGAATGCCAACACCGCCTCCCGTTGCGACCAGGACGCCGAAGCCGCCTGTCCCGGCTTACAATGAAGGCAACTTCAACACGCGAAACATGCAAGCAGAGAGCTTTTACTACGAAAAGTCCATCAACGAGCCTGATATGCCTGAGCCAGATTACCCTGAGCCAGCTATGCCAGCACCATTAAGACCCAACAACTCACAACGTCGGCCGGAGCCAACGGCGCTGCCATATCCCGTCTCAACGTACGATATGTACCAAGAAGTCGGACAGGGGCCTTATCGAGAGTCCATCAACATCGGATACCAGCCTTACAGTCCGGATATCTACTATCAGTCGCCGCCGGGCGGATTACCAAGAGCGGAGAGGGGCCCAGACGGACGTTTCTCCCCGGATGTGGGATATCCTAGATGAACGTAAGGTATCCGCCCAGATTTCATAATCGGCAATCAGAACGTGGGGCTATATATAAGACACGGTCATTATTGAGAAGACACGGCGACATTTTGTTTGAGCTGGGATCAATCCTCGATGTACCTTACAGAGGATCGGATGATGGACCGTCCGAGTCCCAACCCTGGGTACAGCCGAACCGAACAAGGGACGACGGATAACGCCTATCACTCGTCCGACCTACTAGAAAACTTTCCTTTTTGTTGGATTCCCAGCGAACAGGTTGTCGTTGGGGAAAAGATGTACTATATACACACAAACTCAATAATATAATGACACGTGATGATCGACCGAGACGGGTGGTCAATGACCGTGTTGCACAATGAAGCCGCCAGCCTGTGATTACAGTTGCCGAGCACAAAAGGGGGAAAGAGAAAAACAGAATAAGAGATAAAAGCAACTACTGATGCCTTCGCTGCCCAATTCTCGTCCGCCAAGAAGAATTCGTGGAGGGTGCAGCCACAGGTGGCCTGAAACGTGCATCGTGCCAGACCCCCTGTCAATCGCCAAAAATAAATTCGTCAAAAGTTGCCAAAGTAGTGGATTCTTGGTGTATGGACAAACAAATGGAAGCGCCTGGCGAGTCTCTCGGAAACTCACTGGAGAGTCGCCGCGGGTCTTGGCTGCGTCTTTCGAGACGAGCTTCCGCTGTCTCTGGAGTGTCATCGACTGTGATCATCGGTGATGGTTCTGGCAAGCCAGAGGGCTGACGTAGTTGTCATATCAGACGTAGCGAGCGACCTCCAACCCCATGGAACCACCTCCACCAGCGACTACGACTGTCAGCACGGCTGTGTCCCAGGTAGCTTATCAAGTCGTACTTAAAACAGTTCTCTCCTCAAGCCTGAATAAGTCACCGATGGAATTATCTGGGTTGCCAATCGAAGGCTTGGTTTCCTTTTTGCTAGATGACATTGCTCGGTTTGGAGAATCGACTAGTAGTATACATTAGAACCAGTTTGGCAGCCTACCATGATAGAAATGTAGTACATGTCCTGAGGTATGACGTGGAAGTGAGGGGTCATTGAAGTTTTGACCTCCAATGCAAGTTGGAGACAAGACATGTGACGACGCTGGTGCTGCTAGATGTGGGAGACACATCTGGCAGCTACATGCACATTGCATTGGGCACCAGTGTATTGTCGATGCGATTGATTACACGATCAGGTGGCATTACATTACTTTGTCCGCTCGTCGGCTTTCCTAACCTATTCTTTGCTTCCTCCTTACCCATACTTCTTTGTCTATGCTTTCCGTCACCGCTTTGGGTTCTTCCAAAGGGATTGACATCACCGTCTCTGCAATATCACGCAATTGGACTTCCCAAACACCCAGTTTGTACCTCGCTCGGTCTGCCATTCCAGAGAAGAGATCAAATGACCATCCATGCTTCGGGCATGTCAATCCCGCACTCAAGACGATGCCGAAATCCTCAATGTCAAAAGGAGTGCCATGCGACAACGGATATGAGGAGTGAGGGCATTTCTTACAAGCATTGAGTTAGTTCCTAAGAATGCTTCAATGTGAGGAATTTAGTCCGAATCTTGAACTTACATGATCGACAGCATGAAATTTGCCTTTGTATCTAAAGACAAGGACTTGCTCCTTCAGGTCCCCTTCGATTTCGGCGTAGTTCAGGACATCGGGCGCCATTAACACTTCGGTGCTACTTGAACTGTCTGACTTGGGAACGTGAAATACTTTGCATCCTGGTTTCAGGTCGGTATCGCAGAAGCGGAGCTCTGAGAGGTTGCCCTCGTCAGTTCCGAGATCGGGAAATGATGAGCTGAGGCCAGCGAGAAACCATCCTGCTTCAGACCGGGATCGCGTCCGGAATGAGCTCATTACCAAAAGATGCGATACTAAAGCGGGAAAAAGTCGGGCAGGACGGGCAATTGTAGGAACGACGATGATGGCATCGCGATTCGAGCCATTCCAAGGGTTTGCCGCGACAGAAATGAGGACCTTTCATGCTTTTCAATGCACGTGACTTGTCACGTGCAGGACATCGCGTATTGCAATTAGCAGTTACAGCTCGTAAGTGTATTGTTTCTGGCTCACTTATGAACCGTATGAGGAGGGATTCTTAGACGAACCTGGGCTACTTGTTTTATTGTTTTACTCGGGCTTGTCGTTCCATGTCGCTAAACCTTTTACATCAAATCCCCAAGGGATCGAGTGATCTTACACAAATGTGGCTTTACCCGGCTCCAAAAGATACGGCCACTAGACCCAGAGCTTGTATTGAAAGAAAATCCTCTGTTACCTTGACATATAGACTAGCTACTAAGCTTAGTTTGTCTATGATAGTTGTATCTAGAACTGCGCCCATTTGACCGTAGTGCGCCTGTGAACTTCCCGAACAATGGCCATAAACTACTTAGCATAGCCGCCAGTTACATCTTTTCATTGAGAGAAGCCCAAGTTTCAGTTGAAAGAGACTTGCAATTCTTGCATTAACTGTGTATCTGAGTTTCTGATGCCCTGTTGGGTTGTTATGTGTTACCACCTGGATTGGAAGTTAAGATGAATCCGGACGAAGACGCAGAATTATGGTCGCAACTCACGTATGCCGACGATTTGAGGAAAGAACATGTGAAAATCTTGTTGGTAGACAAAACCTCGTACTAAATAGTAGGCCAAGCCTTGCCTTTTTGCGGCAAAGATATCTTGGCTGCCAAGCTGCGTATTACTTTACGGTGAAGAGCGAGACATGTCTCTTGGCCACAAAATACCTACAAATTCATTGGCGTAAAGCCCTCGGCATCGATACCGAGACCCCCAATGGTCGATCTCAAAGATTATTGGTCGAATGATGTGTGTTCCAGAAGAGTGCCATAAACGTCCAGCCCTTCTTCGCGAGGAGTCCCCACGGGGCATGGCATACAATACGACGTGGCTTCCATGTGGAACTCAAGATATCGGACAATTTGGCGCGGATATAAGCGAGTGTTATGACAGAAAGAATCTCTTTGTGTGAAGGGTGTTTTGAGCCTTCACAGGCGGGACTCGCCGCTTCGCTTAACGCGAACTTCATCGAATTCTAGCAGTTGATTCGTTACTTTGCGAAGTCATAAGTCCAACCTTAGCTACATTCGAGGCGATTAAATTAGGTCCCAAACTGTCGGGTCGGTAGATCGGTCGAGCTTTTCAGCCACACTTGCTAGACACCATCAGAATCACATGGCATGGCGGACACTTGTTCGCTGGCGAGACCTTCCACGCCGAACGCAGATTAGTCTACGGCCGCGAAAGGACTCACCGATGACTGGATCCGCGTCATTGGGCTCAGGATATGTGCCAAGGATTGAATCGTGTTACAGTATTTTTCCTCTATCGCAGTTCAAAGTGTGAGACTAGGTAACGTCCATATTCGCGAGGGGCGATCGAGACCGTTTTCTGCCATTCGGTTGCTCATTTTGTCTCAGTCTAGAAACCTTTATAAACTGGTTTAAGGTATCAAGGGCCTTTCTCTTTCATTTACGGCCGACGATCACTTGGCAGGTTGATTGAAGCCGCATGCGGACTACATCCCCTCAACCGTTCACAGAACGCTTCCTATATAACAGCTTCACGGGCCCCGGATTTCAACGTTTTTATCCAACATTGACAACCTGTCTCATCTAGGTTTATCTGCTTCTTTCAAACCCCGTCTCTCCAAAAGACCCCCTACAACATGTCGGCGACCCAACTACCAAACGGATACAAATCTTTTGGGCCGAAGGCCAACTGCACTCTCGAGGTATGCCCATTGGAGGCTAGCCTTCTGCGTTATCAACCATCAGTCCCAGTCAACGGAACATTTATTGCCCTTTTCGCTTTAGCAATGATCATTCATACCTTGCAAGGATTGCGATCAAAGACCTGGGGCTTCATGGCTAGCATGATTGGCGGTTGCTTATTAGAAATCATCGGCTACGTTGGAAGACTTATCCTGCACGACAACCCTTTCTCGTTTGGTGGTTTTCTGTTACAAATCAGTAAGTGATCCAAGCTTGTGGATCGTGTACCCTGTCTGATCACATTCTTAGTCTGCATTACTGTCGCTCCAGTCTTTTTCTGTGCGGCTATATATGTCATGTTGTCTAAAGTGTGAGTCTTGTCCCGACCGACACTCTCGGTTAGTGGCAAGAGCTAATAGTTATGGGCTTCGAGGATCATCAACGTCGACTCCTCGATCTCCCGATTCAACCCGAGATTATTTTACTACATCTTCATTCCCTGCGACATCATCTCCCTCGTCCTACAAGCGACAGGTGGAGCGTTATCTACCGTCGGGAACAACAAACAGCAGGTGCAGAAAGGCGTCAACGTCTCATTAGCTGGTCTCATCTTCCAGGTCGTATGCCTGGTAGCCTTTTGTCTCCTCTTTGCGGATTACCTTATCACTTGCATGCGGAACAACACTCGGCAGCGGATGACGAGGCGCATGCAAATTTTCGTTGCATTCCTGTTCATTTCGTCGCCTCTTATTCTCGTCCGCTGCTCGTACCGCATTGAGGAATTGAAGGAGGGTTACTTCAGTGAAATGTTCCGGAACGAACCGTTGTTCATTGGCCTTGAGTCGTCGTAAGTAGCTTCTCGTAATGGCTTATGCTTCGAGATTCAATACTGACATCAAACACAGGGTTATGGCGGTTGCGGTATTCTGTCTTGTCATTGGAAATCCTGCAGTAGGCTTCAGCGGGAATGCGGAGGATAAAACATCGGGCATATCAGCAAGATTTGCATATCCTCCATCTCGAAATAACGACACGCCGACAGAAACAGTTGGCAGAAAGGAGTCGATGACGGGGCGGTTGATTGTATGAGCCATTTGTAAGATGGAAGAGCTCCGTGATTGTTTCATTTGTCAAGATACCAATATTCTTTGTCATTATCGAATAGCGCTACATGCTCGAGTTACTCTAGTCACAAAACTTGCATATATGCCTATGATGACGGGAGACTTTTGTGAATAAAACTGGTGTCCAGGCAACATAAGATTCGATATCCTCGATCTTGACATTCTGCCTTTAGTGACTCTGTATCGATGGTGCCACAAAAATGATGTATTCATATTTAAGCTCAAACACGATTTATTAATGGCCAATACTGATGGATGCTGACTGCAACCGTTCAAACGACGATACACAGAGGCCCTTCTACCTGCTGGTCAAGAACCCAGATCTCCAACGTTAGAGAGTGATGCCGGAGGGAGCTTGGGCCGGGACATTCCAAAGCCCGATTGCCACGGTAAATGACTAGTTCGTCGGCTGGATTTGGGTCAATTTACAACTTGTTGGTTGGATGAAGTGAGGGCATTGAGAAAATTGACTAGTTGCATTGGGACGTTGATAGGTTGACTTGTTTCTGCGGCAGAACTACTGGTATCCTGGTCAGAATCTTGCTCTGGGTAAGGAGGGCATGCGGCGGAGTAGGTTTGGTCTGCCTCTTCGTCTCGAGGCTTTGCTGCACTGCAAAGCCTGGCGCATTTCATCATACCCCAAACGATGCACCCCAGCATCGCTAAACAGCCAAAGCCGAGTACAAAGCCGAGACCAACTACTAAAGCAGTGTCTTGTTTGCAGCTCATGTCGATGCAATCTTGCGGTTTATGTTGAGTCGACCGTGACTAGAAGAAATTATGAATCGTATGTAGACTGTTGTTGTGACAAAGGCGATCAATGAAATCGGGATGGGAGTGGTGTTAATTAGGGATTATTGGCGTCGGCATGGGGTGAGGTTTAAACGTATCAAGATTTATTAAGTACAATCTCCAGTCTAAGTATTCTTCAAGTATGATTTTGGAGATATGCAAGAGTTCAGTAATGTACAGGAGATGTCCATGGCTGTCGTATGTTTTGGGTTGTATGCTTGACTAGAAAACAGTGCTTAAAACCCTCGTTGTGGACGGAGATAGCTATCCCCCCAACTCGTACCTGGGACTTGTCTAAATTTGAGAAAATAGAGCCACCAAAGACTCCTTCACCATCTCCTTTGACAGCTAAAATAGAAGTGGTTTTCTACACTTGCAGTAACAAGCTCAATACCATCCGACGTAAGACAATGTCAGCAGGATATGTCCACTTCTTGTCAGGAAGTGAAGCCAGTTGAGGATAGTGGCTCTTGGACCCATGCAAATGGTCCCCAAGCTGCTCAAAGACATTCTTGCACAAGGATCCAGTGTGATTGTCCCCATGGACCAATCTTTCATCCAGCTTGTTTCCAACGCAAGCGGCTTCTGAGAGTGCTACAACTTCGCAGACCATCGGCCTCATGCGATGAACATCATAATTGCCGGTTAACTTATTACCATTCTCCCAGTGACTCATGTTCAGACCTGCGTTCTCGAAGCTTTCAAGTCTAGCCCGAAAAACGAGACAAAAGCTGTGATAGCCACAGTCCAATTTCTCTCATCACTGGAGTCACGGCGTAATGAGCAACAGCGGCGACCAGAAGCCACATGGCGAGGACCAGAGTGTAGGCCAGAATACCCGCCACGACTTTGAGCCCGACATGGAGGAGTGTTGATGCCGATACAACCAGCATTACGGTGCTTGGGGATGTCTTGTTTTACTGGTCAGCTAGAGTAGTTCTGGCCGTGGTAGGAGACCTTGGTGCTCTATATCGATTGGATAAATGTGAGGCGAGAATGTTATTTGACAGTGAACTGAAGTATGTGATGAATGGTTCCGATGCTGGGGATATTTGCTAGAAAATTCATCACAGAATATCTGAATGCAAATGAGGGAGCCTTGAGAGGTGCTCGCTTTGAGCACAAAGTTCATTTTCATGGCGGCGTCGTCCAACTAAAATTCTCAAATCCGTAGTTCACGTAAACTGACACCAAAAATAGCGTGTGGTGCGGGAGCATAATTGGGTGATTGTCCGAGATTTCCAGGCTATCAGCAAGGCATCTATCCATTAATGATGCTAAAGTGCGACATCGAGGTTAGGTAGAAGGGTTTTGCTGGGAGAGACCGCCTCAAATGTTATCAACGATGACAATCGCCGGGTTTTCATGTCATTAGCTATCATGAAAGTCCATTTTCTTCGCGATAATCGGCGGCTAGGACCATTTATCCCGGGTATCAAATTCGGCCATGGCGCGGTCTAGGTCCGACCAAGCCTTTGCATTATGGGACAGTCTCGAGGCCAAGAGTCTGTCACTTACGACTAAGCGTACTGAAGTCTAACGTTAACACCATCCCTCGGCGCCATGGTGAAATGAATGTCTTTTCTCGGCTTCCCCTGTGGCCCCTGCCACTCCATGCCCTTGAATCTCTGCAACAGCCTCACGAGGAGATATCCGGCCTCGGTGAGCGCGAATTGTTCTGCACAAGTCAGTCAACAACCCTCATCACTATGTCGACACCCCAGACAGGAAGACACTTACGTCCAAGACAGATCCGCGGCCCGCCGCTGAACGGAACGTAGTTCCAGTCCAGCCTCACCCCTTCCCACCGCTCGGGCTTGAACTCCATGGCCGCCCCCCAGACGTCCTCCCGGCGGTGCAGCAGGTACGGCGAGAAGTTGACCGTCTGGCCCTTGCGCACCACGATGGGCAGGAGTCCGTTGGCGCCGCCGCCTCGGGGGAGCACCGTGTCCCGGGCCGCGACGCGGAGGTTGAGCGGCACAACATTATACACCCGCAGAGTCTCCCGGAGGACGAACTGCAGGTACTTGGACGACTTGAGCGTGCTGAAGTCAATGTTGGAAGGGCTTTCGGTGTACTCCCCAAAGTCCCGGACGACTTCCGCGCGGAGCCTCTCGAACACTGCCGGGTGCTGCGCCAGGAGCAACAGCACCCAGGACAGCAACGTGGCCGTCGTGTCTCGTCCCGCGATCAACAGCCCCAGGATCTGATCCCTCAACTCGTTCTCGTCCCGCGTCTGCTCCGCGAGCGTGTCCAGCAGACTATACCCCTCTTCCTTGGCTTGGGGCTTCGCCGAGCTGAGCGCCATGCGGACATAGTGGTCAGTATACTTCCTCAGATAATCCGACGCCTTCTTCCCCGTTCCATTGGGCGTGAGCCAGTACAGGCCCTGCAGCCGCACACGCATGGTGATCCACGACTGCGCCTCGTGGAACGCCTCGGCAAAAGTCATGTCGTTGCCGCTCTGATCGGCCGCCATCGCCGTCGCGGCGCTCGTCGTCGATGATATCCCCGTGGCGGCGGCCATCTGCGACTCGACACTCTCGCCAAAGAGGAAACCGGTGGCCGTGTCAAGGGTGAAGCGGAAGAGCATGGGCATGATGTCCACCGTCACCGCGCCAGCGCTCTCGGTGCCAACCAACGGCAGCGCCTTGAACAGCGCCTGGACTGCGACCTCTGTCTTTTCGAGGTCGTTGATCTGGTCCCGCGAGAACTGCGGCCGGAATAGCGCGCGCGAGTGTTCCCAAAACGCACCATCCGCAGTGAAGATGCTGTTCCCCAACAGCGGCTTGAACTGCTTGATCCTCCTCTCGCCGAGGTCGAAGTCCTTGAACTTGTTCGCTAGCACGGCCTGGATGTTGGCCGGGTCGATGGTGTACACTTCGGTGGGGCCGAAGAAGCCTGGCATCGAGAACGTGATGCCATTGGCCGCGTAGTTGGGGCCGATGACATCGTCAAGGATGTCGCCGCCATTGCGAGTAATGGAGAGAGCGCGCCAGACGAAATCCACCCCGAATGGCAGCTTTGTCGGGACATACTTGGGAAACGTCGCGTCATTGGCTCTGGCGAATCGCTGGAGGCGGCGGTGAGCAAGGTAGGACGAGGCAATGTAGTAGATCACCAGCGCCGAAAGGGCATAGAGGAGCCCTGTTGGGGAGAGCAGCGCCATTGTGGGTTTGTTGCCTTTTCTCTCAAGTGTAGGACGATCGGAGAGGGTTTCACGCATACAACTACTGTGGAGGGAGTTGAGGTCTTATATCCCCCATAATATTGGAATGCCTGCCAAAATGTGGGTGTCCACGTCCCTAGCCACTAGGTCCAGGGTGTGATTTATCACCATCGACCGTGACGGACGATGTCTCACCAGCATCCACTCATCGGGACTCCATTTTCATATACTTTCCGACGAATGGCGACCACGATAAATAGAGCGAGCAGATCACTCCAAATCAGGTTAGTGTAACTACCGCCTTCCGCTCATACTTAGTTCAATCTGGGTGTTTAGGTGCCTCGGTAACAAGACCAAGCAGCTCCGGTCCCTGCTTAAGCATAAACAGGGTATTCACAATGCGAGACTTATAAGAGATATATTTTATAAACTTGATGTTAAATCTATAGGCTTTACGATCATGTAAACTTGTACACTGAACGTGAATTCGTACTGGATATTGAGCCTAGCATGTGATTTCTCTCTTGTTGATATTAGACCAAGGCGGGGAAAACTCAATATTTGCCTATGGGCTCGTAGCCAGCATAGTCCAACCTCTGCCAGCAACAACCGGCTTGTCGCGCTCCCACACACGGTAATCTCCATCCCATACTACGAGGTGCATACCACCAATGCTTTGAGGTGCGATGTTCTGTAGTTCTCACACTTGCAGTTGGAGCCACAGTTCCATAAAGCATGACGTCCACATCTTGAACCATCCGAAATAAGGCTGAGGCGTGCGGCTTCGCCTATCATCTACTGTCTTCTTAGAGGGAGGAACGTAGTCGGCCTGAACACTCTTGATCCAGAAGTCTCCAATGGCAATGTCGGCCAGCACTTACTGATCGGCCACAAAGAATATGATGCTCAGGGCCCAATCCTCATTCGGGAGAGCCTTTCCGGTGCGGGTGTTATCCGCATGGAACTGGTGCAGACGATCCAAGCTCGCGTCCCTAAGTTCGGGATTGTGGGGGTCGGAATGTGGGCTGAGACGGAACAGTGATATCAGCTTCTTTGCGGACTCAACCTCGAGCTTATTTTCATATCGCTTTTCGATCTGAAGGCGTGTTTGGGTGCGGACGTTGTCGACAAGGGCCTACCAGGCTTTGTCAGACTCGGGACCGCCATATGGGGTGCGGTAAATGGTGAAGCCCCATTTCCTCGTGTAGTAGGGGCTTAGGTTTTCATCAGGGGTGTATGGGAGATCTTCCGGAAGGCCCAGCAGGGTGGCGAGGAGCTCCGGCATCTTAGGGTCCTCATCCATGGTTCCAGTGATGCTGAACTGATGGGCGGAAGCGGGAGTGTATGGCCAAGTTGCCAAAGTTCTGAAATTGCGGAAAGAAATTAGGGTCCCCCCAACCAATGGTTGCACATGGGACTATCAGCAACTCACTCCCCGCTACCCAGTACGGAAACGCAGAAACGCACTTGTCCGTCTCCATGATGTTCTTGTATTAGAGTTGCGTCGTGTCGTCGGTTTCGCTCCCGTCGGTGGCTCGACGAATCGAAGTCCCATCCGAGAATCCCCTGTCCTATGTAGAATTAGAACCTTTGTCCATCGTAGGCCAGCATACACTGAATTAGGTATCTGACCACACACCCACAATCTGCTGCGGCGCGAGTGATAGCATAGCCAAGGCCTTGGCATTCAGGATTAGCTGCCATGCGCGCTGAGTATCTAGTGTATGAACCAGGGGTGCGCAGTGACCAGTGGGGGATTACATGGTAAAAGCTTCCCGGTTAGCCTTTGACATGGGAGTGGGGTCCAGATGTGCAGGGTTGATTCATCATGCTCCACGTAAACACATGCCATGACTCGAGTGCCAGTTCATCTCTTCATACACTACCGGTACATTAACGGCCGTGATGATGGCGCCATTTAGCCCATAACGAATGCCGGTATTCGCAGACACGGCAGCCAGAAAGTGTACGGACCGGCGCATGATTTTAGAAATACCCGGAAAGGCTGAAATTGCCCATGTCATATATGCTAGGAGACCCGCAACCGGCTCGCTGAGACGGATATCATCACGGAAGCCGATATCGACCTTGGAAGTTGATGACAAAAACCCAATGACTGGATGAATGCATTCCATTCTCTGCGCTTTGGTGGATTGTGCTCTCGCAAAACCAAATACTTATTCCTTCGTGACCGCTTCTATGCCTCGCAATGCGGCTCCTTCGGGCCACCCGAGTGAAGCTATGCAGTGTCATCTGCCGAGGTTGTTCACCACGCTCCCGACCATGACGGCAACCTCTCGCTCCCAATTCCCTTCTCCTCTGCTCTTCCCCTTGAGGGCGCTCGGCATCTGACATCCCTTTACAACACACTCCCTCACAGCCTCGCCGACGCTCGCCTTGTTCGACCGCAGCGTGCGCGCCGCCACGCCGCCCCGGTTGACAATCTCCTGCACCCGCGTCCCCAGGTTCCCCGCCATCGTCCGCCAAAAGTAGCTCGGCAGGCTCCCCGTCTCGAGATACGCCAGCAGCGGCTGCAGCATGTTGGTCTGCTTCTGCGGCGCCGAAACGAGCGGGTGCGTCGGCAGCTTCGTCGACTCGAGGACCAGCTCCAGCGCAACAATGTTCTGGCACCGTGCCGAGATCTCCGCGAGGGTGCGCTCGAGCGTCGGCAGCTGGCCGAGGGACCGCGATAGCGACGCGATGGACGACTGCAGCGCCGAGCGGAAGTAGGTCTCGAGCGCCTGCAGCAGCAGCAGCGGCGTCCACCGCTCCGTCTTCTGGGTGGGCGCGGGGGAGAGCAGGAACAGCGTGATCATGGCCGACACGGTGCGCGCTTTCGTCTCCTCGCCCTGCGCAAAGGTGGCCGAGTTCGGGATCGCAAAGTCGCGAATAATCTTCTCGGCCGTCTCTCTCACCGACCGCTCAATGGGGGCGACGATGGACTCGCGCAGGGTGCGGATAGCATCGACTCTGCCGAGCCCGTACCCCTCTTCCCCGGGCGCTGTGCTCTCCAGTATCTCCCGCAGCGAAAGGATGGTGTGCGAGCACCGCACCAGCGCGCGGTGGTCCTCCTTCTTCCCCGCGGCGGCGGCTGCCGCGCTGACGCTCGTCCCGGCGATCTCGGCGTGCTGGACCTCGAGCTGCCTCCCCAGCTGCAGGCAGCGTCCTACGGAGCGGCCCAGCTTCAGCGTCTCCCACAGGCGCGTGGCAACCTGGCGCACCTCCTCGGCCTCGGCATGCTTGTCAGTGACCTCCTTCTCGAGCTGCTTGTAGCTGTCGTTGAGGCTCTTGATCTGGGCGTCGAGCTCCGAGATGATGCGCTTGCTCGAGGTGGTCTGCTCATCCGTGTACTTCAGCAGCGGAGCAGCCGACTTTGTCGTGAGGAGGTCGATGTGGGAGTCGATCTCCTGGGTATCGAATAGCACGCGGGACAGCGGGGTCGAGAGGTCGAGGGGCGCGTCGTTGGGGTTGTTGGTAGCGAGGACGAGAGTGTTCGCGAAGGACGAGGGGCTGAAGTCCGGGTCGAGGAAGGCCTCGTAGTCGATGTAGGAGGGGTCCTCTTCTTCGCGGGTCGTCATGATGGGCGGTGGTGATCCATTGACTGTGGATGGCACGTCAATGGGTGTTGTTGTGTTGGCGGTGGTGAGCTTAGGGTTGGAGCTTTATGAGAGCTCAGTCGATTGCGACAGTCAAGCTCCAGCTGTCCTGTCTCGGCCACGAAGTGGGAGAAACAGTACGTACCTTTGGTAGAAAGTGCCTTACGTAAGGGACAACGGTCGGGGTCTGAGTGTCAGCGGAGCCTAGACAAAGTGTGGCTCTCCACGATGGATGTGGCTTGAAATCCCCGCAATTTGTTTCGTCTAGCCACACGCTTAAACCGCGCTTACCTTATTCTGATGACGCCATGCGGTGGTACCGTGGTGCCCCGGGCGGCCTATGCACCGAATTAGGAACGCAATGCTTACTCGTTCAGTGTTGTTTTTTCCCTCTTTGGCTGCGCGATAAGAACAAAATCCAATAATCATTCTACTGGGGTTTCCCGCCTTCGTCAGCCCCATCGAAGCGGCCGCCCTGTTGGCTTTCTCTCAGTTCAACAATCTCGTGGTTTTTCTTCCTCTTGTTTTCATTCCTAATCGTCCCGGAGGTTCGGCTTCTCCACTCTGACAAACAATAAACACAACCAAAGCGGCCCCCCCGAACCACTCTCATTCAATTACACCCGACCATTCCGTCTGGATCCCGTCCTCTGTCATCAAATGATCTGCGCGTAGCGTCGAATTACTACCGGGTGCGCTGACTACTCGCGCGACCAACGGAGGAAAAAACAAGTCCCCCTCTACCATTCCGAGCGTTCCATGACCGTATCGTCATAATCATAACTTCGCCATCCTTCCCGCCGTCGATCTTCCATACTTTTTCCTCCCTTCTTATTCCCTACTTACCTTCCCCTTGCCGTCTCCTCATCCTTCTCCCAAAACCCCCCTCCCGCCAGCAATGTCCTAGGTTCGCACGCATCTGCCCGTCTACCTCTCCTTGAGAGCCAATTCAATTGAAAGACATTGGACGAACGACCGGAAACAAAACAAACCCGCCAGCCCCCGCGCCGTGCGATCCGGCCGACCCGAGACGAACCGCAACCTCGACCACGAAACCGCCAAGATGGTCCTCCACGTCCGCGCCCTCCTCGACTTCCCTCCCGGCGCAAACACCTCCGACACGGTCCTCGGCGGCGTCCACTTCAACCGTACCGTCCTCAACTTCTGGAACTACACCCTCTACACGAACGGCACCGTCTCCAATGGCTCCAACTGCTACGTCACCGAGCAACCCCACACCCCCGTCTACCTCTTCCCGAACGGCTCCTTCGTCAACTCGACATGGTGCTACGACCCCATCAACCCCATCGGCACCCGCGCCGGCGTCGGCGTCGGCTTCGGCGTCGTCTACGCCATGGCCCTCGTCTTCGTCCTTGCCAACCTCAAGAAGCATGGCAAGAGCTACCTGCCCACCTCGAAACGCTTCTACCCCATCGGCCGCCGCTGGCAGTGGTACTACGCCATCCTGATCTGCGTCGCCGCCTTCATCAGCCTCTTCGTAAACATTGACGTCGACCGCTTCTACGTTGTTGGGCTACCCATCGTCATCAACAGCTTCTTTTGGTACCTGCTGCAGCAGTTCACCATGGCCCTCGTCTGGGAGGCCGTCCGCCATTGGGGCAGCTGGAGCGAGAGGCAGGCCATCGACCCGGACCCGTTCGCCTTGCGGGAGGGCGATCGCCGGAGCAAGATTGAGTTTTGGATGCCGTTGTGGTTCTACTTCTGGCTCTGGCTGGTACGGTCCCCTTCACTCTCTAGTACGTTGACGTGACATGGCAAGGACGAGGCTGACAAGACAAAACTCGCGCAGAACTTTTTCCTCATCATCCCCCGCAACTGGGGCGAAATCGAGAAGCAGCGCTCCCCCGACCAGACCGCCGCGCGCGCCGCCCCAAATGCGACCGACGCCCGCTTCAAGGCCGCCACCTTCTGCCTCGTCGTCTGCTGGCTGACCATCGTCGTCTCCCTCCGTCACTCTATAAAGCACTACTACCCGCGCAACCGCGGCCTCCTCAACAAGGCCGCCGGCTTTCTCCGCTTCACCCCGTGGCGGTTCATCTTCATCCTCCCGCTCGCCGCCTGCCTCATCGCCTACCAGGGCCTCGTCTCCTGGAACTTTGCCTACTCCGTCCTCAACGCAAAGGCCTCGCTCGCCGCCGTCTACGCCGGGGGCTACGGCCCGCGCTGCTGATCCTCTACATCCAGATCGCCTACGGCTTCCTGTCGCCCAACGAGGACAAGGAGCTCATCCGCCAGCGCCGCGAGCGCGGAACCCAGATCGATCGCGAGATGGGATACGTGCCGAAGCCCGCCTGGTGGAGGCGCGTCAAGAACAACGACCACCTCGTCGGCCGCATGACCATGCGCGAGCGCATCGCCATGAACGTGCGCGAGCTCGGCGGCGGAAACGCCACGAACCGCGGCGTGCACCAGAACATCGAGGTCATGGCCAACGAGCGCGAGCAGGCGGACCGCGAGATCGAAATGGCCAACATGGGCCGCGGCAACAGCATTACAGCCGAGTCCGCCCCCGTTCCTGTGCGGCCGGGCTTCGACGCCGCAAAGGGGTCAACCTTCACCTCGTATAGCGGCAAGTCGGATCGCCGCCGGAACGAGCGGGCTCTCAATGCCGCAGCAGAGCTGCTCTTCCCCGTTGCCGGCGCGAGTCGGCCGGACCACACCTCCGAGCTGATGCAGGACGGCCCGCCGCCATCGTACACCGACGCCCCCGGTGCCGAACGCGCCGGGAGACCCGACAACCTGAACACACCCCACGATTCCAGTCTGCGTAGTAACAGCACCAGTACGGCTGTCTCGATCACTGGCCAGCAACCCCAGCAGGTCAAGAGCATGCTGGACATCTGATCTTATGTATATGTGAGCCCCATAGCGGGGATATCAAATCTGTAAAGCTTATGAGGCATGACCACCAAAGGCTACGTATTGTCTATCATTCAAGGCGTTTTGGGAGGCTTGCGTCTGGGACGGATATCGTATAACCAGGACAGGGCGATATGATTTCGCAAGCATAATAGTAAACTTAGTACGCATCCAAATCTGGGCGTTTGCACATGACTCTCGACCCCGTGTTCAGTGAGTCCGTAACCAGAGACGAATGAGAACTATACCATGAGAACAAGCCAACAGCGACCTCTTTTCGTGGCTGCTCCGTATGCAGACCTGGTCAACGTGCAGGCTATTGGCCGTTCAATATCCATAAGCATCCTTGAAGATGCATGGGACGGATCACTATCATGCTACTGCCGTTCAATCTTGTCTCAACCTACGTATGTTTGACCATTGGGCGACCTGAGTCTGGACCCTTTCAGTCAACCAGAGCTTGTATCTCACCCGGTGCTGGCCATTGAACACGCACATCGTGGTGTTACTCAACACACGGAAGCAACGATATGTTGTGTACGTCGAAACCCGGCACCCTGTCCAATATGCATCTCTGGAGCACGCTTATTCAGATGGGACTTCTACAAGAGACATGGACCCAAGACCACCCTGGGCGCATTGCGGAGTGTTGAGAAAGATGCCTAGTCAAATACTCTAGGCCGGCTGTCGTTGCCTTGAGCTGGACACAGCACGTCGTGTTTGTTCAACAGCAGTGTCGACCGTAGACAGCGCCCAAACTTGACACGACTATCCCAGGTCCCTCGTCGCCACTAGCGATACCTCAGCAGTACGGCCCTCAAACGAAAGCCGGCATGTGAAGGAACTAAAGCAGCTACCGCATGTGAATCTCGAGCCCATGACTCATCAGCCGCCATCCCATCAACTGTCCAGCTTTAGACCTGTCACCTGGCAGAAGGTCCAAGCAACAGGAGATCCCGTTCGTCCAATAACGACAGGCAGATAAACCAGGCACAGATATGGGTCGATGCGGAGACAACGACGAGTCACAGAGTCTGCAGAGAAGGAGATACAGCCAGGCACCGCAAAGTGCCTGGCGCCGGCGGCGTGCCTCCAAGCGGGAACAAGGAAGAAGTTTGTGTATCGAGGCGGTCCGAGGCCGGATGCTGGCGATGAAGGTTGTTGCGTGCCCGAGGAGGCGGCTAACAAGACGTCGGCCGTTTCTCGCATGAATAGACAGGATGTAAGTCAGCCCGCCAGTCCCGACCTGGGCCGCGACCTTGACCGGGCGATGAGGACACCAAGACTAGGGCTGCCGGAAGTTTATGACTAGCAATGGATCAGTGTGTCGGCGAGAGGAGGATGACTGCATGTCGCATTAGCAGGAGGGGGAGGGAGGCCCGCCCAGTCACAGCAGATGGTCGCCAGTCTCGGTGGCATCATTAGCATGTGTGTTGGAAACGAAACACTGAGGGCCGCCGCCCCAATGCGCTGGCTGCATGTCACAACAGGGGGGAGTTCCCACAACATCCGCAGGTCGCCGAATGAAAATGGCTTACATACATTGCAGGCTTTACGCCATAAAAGTGAATGCTAACCAGGTACGTCGAGTGAGGTTCCTGTCATAAAGAAAACGGGGGTTGGGGTGATCAGATAGTTGCTCCAGCTATCTTCGGATGCGAGCCCATGCACGTCTGGATGCTGTGCGCCGCATTGGAGACAGCCCGCAGCTACTGCGCGCGCATGCATGGCGCTATTCATGCGTCTTGCTGTGTTCTCAGTCCAAATCCCCGACAGCCCGTCGAAACATAGATACGGCGAGGGAGCGGCGCGGGTCGCCAGTGGGTTGGCCGCCAATGTGTAAAAGCAAAAAAAAAAAAAAAAAAAGCCTTAAATGCAGGTCGCAAGCGATGTCTATCCTGGCTAGAGACTTCATTCTTCGTCGTGGCCGCTTGGACGGAGGCTGCGTCGACACCGAGGTCAGATTGGGGAAAAGAGCGGTGAGAGCAGCACTACTCTGGCGACAGCGACAAGTTTGTGTGAACGGGCCTTGAGGCAACTTGACGACGCGAGGGAAAGATGAGGTCCCAGGGATGGGCCTAGCTTTGGACAGTTAAGCCAAGTCAAACACCGCGGCGCAACCACTTTAGATCTGCACAAAGCGGACGAAGTGTGTTGGCATCTGGGGCCGCGGGGAACGTCGTTGTCTCTCGTTGTCATGGTCATGGGCTGGGTTGGCTTGTCGTTCTCCCTGTCACTTGATGGTCTCTCTGTCTGTTTTCAAGAGACTCGCACATCGGCACCTCAACCACGTTGTACACACCACTGGTCCCTCAGGCCAGGTCCCTGTTGAAGGTGGTGGCTTTTTGCTGCTGATTGCCGAGGCGGGGGGGTGCAGTTGACAGAGAGCCTTTGGGGTTGAGCGGGCTGTGGAGCGACCGTTTTTCGGGTCCCTGGCACCTTGACTTGACATAGTACGCCGTCTGACGTCGGTAAGCGTGCGCTCTGCTGGAATGGACAGCGCTGACGCCCATCGGCAAATAGTGAAGCAACATTTTCCGCCTTGCGAGCGTCGTTCTATCCATATGCCAGTCACATCAACACCATTTGAACTGCTGCCAATCGTGAAGAAGCTACCCATGGGGTCTGTGTTGGCCAGCCCTCCACCCACCCCGGGCCTCTTTGGTCGTTGAGAGACGCCGCTTGTACCGTCCCTTGCATCGTGCAGATCCGTTATCCGCATTGGGATCCGAATTATCTGACAGTGAAGATGCCAGGAACCTGTGCCGGGAGCACTTTACTCTGGCGAGGCCTAACTTTTTGATGTCGTAGCTTCGGCCAGTCATCCGGCGGCAAGGAACATCCCAGTCAATGCAATCGAGCTGCCGTATCAATACCAACTGACGGTGACGTCTCATTCCGTATCCCGAATCTATCGCATTGATCGTGGAACAGAATCGAGTCGCGGATGATGTAAATCCCAAGGTCTAGAGAGGCAGGCATATGATAAAGCTGCCTGTCATTGTTGCCCCAATGCTTCCTTGTGGTCGTGCCTGGATGTCATAGCGGAGAAACCATAACTTTGCACAAGGCTGACTCAACTGAAAACGACAGTGACTATCTTGATCCAATATTAGGTCGGTTGTGTCTCAGCTGCCGTGCTGAGAGATCCAAGGGCGAGGCCACGTTGGCGTGTTGATCGGGATTCTTTGAACCATGAGCGGACGTGGCCGGTCAAGTCCCGGGTGGCGGAGGGTACCCGCAAGCCACCAGCATGAGAATGGCTTTTTTGGCGGTGAACCATGAGCTCGTATATTGCGAACTTGGCCAACTCGCGGGTCGAGTGCCGGGGCACGCAGCTGTTGTTATTATCCTGCAAATCTCATGCCGATGGAGTGCTTATGGCTATATGCTGTCCATGCGAAATAGCGGCAGGCCCGAAGTATATAGCTACGGACAATTCATGTAGGACGGCGAAGTTGCATGCGAGTTACAGAGCAGCCGGCAGAGCAACCAACCACAGGACGACTGGAAATCCGAGCTGCATGGGCAGAGTCGTAGTCGAGGCGGATATGCAGGCAGAATTTAGCTGACCAAAGGAGAACACTCGCAGCAGCGTGCACGCAGTCGGGATGCCAAATCCAGGCACAAGACGAGTTTAGCGACCTGCATACGACTGCAGTATACCACGCATATTCCCCAAAACGGCTTCCCGTTTGGCTTCAATGACACTCATCGCTTCGCATGCATCTGGCCATCCTATTGCCTTCTGCACCTACGCTGAAACGAGCCAAGCTGCACTCTATCGAAGAGGTTGTCTGCGGAAGGTAACACGAGTTCCTTTACCTTCTGTCATCCTCCGTTTCCGGTCTGCAAGTTCTTCTCCTGTAGGAGTTCGGTAGAGAGGCGGATGAGGTAAGCCACTAGTAAGTGATGGGCAACACGGCACAAGGAGGAGCCTTGCCTCTTGTTCGAGGGCTGTGAACGTGTCTCTGCGCTGGTGGCCACCATGCCACCTGAGTCCTGCTTAGCCATCGGATAAGCTTGCGCGCCTACCCATTCTGCTGACGAACCGCGGTTGGGAGCACGCCGCTAGGCGGTCTGTGTGCCGGCATCTTCCTGGCAAGCGATTGACGTGCGAAGCAAGGGGCGGGGACTCCGATGCATTGTTTCATCCGCTCTGAGTCTAAATTCTCCGTTTTCCGACGAAGGAAGACAGGATCCGTCGCTTAGTGGGCGCCTTAGGGCCAGGCATCGGTCGACATGGACCAGGCGGTCCAAAGTCGCCGACTACTCTGCTCATTGTTGGTGCATTGCGCCACTAGCAGACAACCTAAATGCTGCCTCATCTATCGGAACAGATGACTCGCCAGTAGTGCGGTCATTTTCCTTGCCGAAATGCGTCAACAATGAACGCTGTGCGATGTAACTGCTCATTATGATTCTGAAGGTGGACAGCGCCGGCGCGACGCATACAAGGGTAGCTGTAGCTCCTTTGGACCCTCATCATGCTTCGTGCACATCTTGGTTGATTGCGGAGGAGGCACATGATCACGAGATGGTGTTTATCGAGTGAATCGCTGGTACATCACGTTGTGCGAGGATGACCGACCTTGCGCAAGGAAGCCCCTTCAGTGTGGCATAAGCAACATGGGAGATGCCCAGGGAACCTTGAACAGCCGCTGCAGACCAGCCAACGCTGAGCTGCAGTGGATACGATATAGAGTGGCCGCGATATGTAACGGTAGCAGCGTGGGGGAAGACTCATGGTTAAAACTCTTTTGCTTCGAAAATCGCAGGCGTACCTACGACGACACTGGGTCCTGGTGATCTTCAGCGGCGGGGTGTGAGACTTTGAGGAATTCTGCGATACGGTAGTGAGGATCAGCGTATATCCTTGCCCTTCAGAAAGCGACAAGCGCCAGCCTAGCGGGTACCCAAGAGCAATGCCATCTTGTCCCTGCGGCCATCCCCCAGGACTAGGGCGATCAGAGCCAGGGCCAAGT